ATTCCCGTTCCTTAAGTGTTTTTCATAGACATCTTTATTGAAGTGGTTACATAAATATATGTTATTATCATAAAAAAGAACTGTGATAATTTGAAAACAGCCAAATTTTTTCTTATATTGATTGTTTCGAAACAAATTTATAAGTCAATGGAAGACTTCAGTGTTGAACATATTTTTTAAAGTATATTTTATAGTGTGTATAACGCATTAAAATGGCTGTCAATGTCCAATTAAATGAACGGGATTGGTGTCACGTTACGTGCCGCGAGTGTAAAAGGTCCGTCCCATTCACTTGTACTTTCTACAGAAGAATGCGTTGTAGAATTACACCATAGCAATAGCAAATAGGAAATAGTCATTAGAACAATTATAAAAAAAAATATCTCGTTAACCGTCTTCGGATAGAAGTTTTAGATTCTACGCGTGATTTAGTTAAACAATAGTTTTGTAATAGTATCGGAAACTAAGAAGGAACACGTAGGTCCCACAGTTATTACAACACATACTGTATGTAATTCTGTTGAAATTGAATCTTAACAAAGAAATAGATTTTGTAAACGTGGATTTGTATTGTGAATTAACAATTAGAAAAACGTAAATACATAATTTTGATGTGGATTTAAAGTTCAGCTTACCTTGTTCTTTTAATTTCCTTATTTGTATCCTGCATACTTTTAAACATACTAATGGTTTAGTTATTTTCAGAGTCATCAAATAATATTTGATGGTTTTCTAATATAGTGTATTATCTATGGTTTTCAATACTTCAAAAAAAAATCATGATGACACGGAATGCATTTGAATGAATCTGTTTTGTTTTCTTTTATGATTTTTTAAATTCTGCCAGTTTGTTTAATACATTTCGTGTGAATCAAATTCGCCTTTAATGTGAAAACAGTCTATACATATGATAACATCATCATTATAAATAGCAATAACTGAAAACACCTTTGCTTTTATAAAGTTGTTAATAGTGACTCAACTCTGGACGACTGTACTCGCGGATCTGTACGGATTTTAAGTAGGCGTTATTTTGTGAATTGTGGCAAACTAAACGTTGAATTATTATTTTAATAGTCTTATACTAAATAAAACAAAAAAATATGTACAATAAAGTGATATTACCAAGCTCTCCGCATCTTGGCTCATCTTTTTCTACGCATGGTTCCCGTCAAGGACTCGCGCCCTGCCGGCGCTACTCCAGACGAGGTAAATAAATCCACAGAACCATTGCAGGTCACCACAACACACCACATTCCATCACTGCATCCGTGTTTAACATATGATCGCACAGGCCGGTCCTATGACGTCACGCGCTTTCTCAAACTACAAGGTTGTGTTGCATACACATCCCACTAAAGCTAGCTATCGTTGATATAATACAACGGCACTATTTTCTAAACAAATCAATTCGATCCACTAAATGTACAAAGTGATATTGTCGTGTGTGGTGAAGATAATGTGACGCAGGTAACGACTTTCGCGCACGAACTGAGTGAAGCACGTCCGCTTCGTGGCAGCAGCGGGCGCGCGTGCAACATGTAACGGCATCGACCCCCGCCGCCCGCGTGTACCCGACCACCAAACCTGAACCGTCTCACGGTTCAATATTGCCTGACCGGTTGCGCTTGCGATTCGTCTAGCACAAAAAACGATAACTTATAACATTATACACGTGAATAGTAAACAACTTTTCATTATTAACTTTCGTGATCGGTTTTGTTCATAACGCATCAGCATTATCTAATAAACGAGTAAACAAATTTATTAATGTAACTTTGTTTTCAATTGTGCTTGGGTACTAAAAAAAGTAAGAAAAAAAACTAATACACACGTAATTCTTAAAATCAATTGCACAAAATACGTTCTTTTGTATTAAAGTGGCCAAAATGCGATTTATGAATGTTATTTAAAACAAGTTTATTAACTAGCGATATTATTTATATTAAAACAATACTAAGTAACATACATGTAACATATTATGGTATATGTATTGCTATGAATTGTGTAATTCTTAGCTATATTCCAATGAGTTTTGAAAAAGTAATTAACTATCTGATGAATTATTAGATACAATATTTGAAACCGAATCATCACCCGTTTATCAATATTGGCCTTTTCTTATGAAATTGACGTTTAACATTCATGTCCAATACATTTGATGAATAAAAGTTTTTAAATTTATAAGAAGGTACAACCTAGCTTTGGTCATTTGTTCAGCTCGAACATAGGTTGGCTCGACCGAGGAAATACCACCCTCTCACAGAAGATTAAAGTAAAGTCTACTTAGTTTACGAAAAGTAGTCTATAATGGGTGCCTTTCGTCCGATGAATGAGAGAGCCGAATGTTGATGTGTCCAATGACCTTATCACTTATGTTTGATCTTATGGCTGATGCAGACTGGGTGTTTTGAGGTGTTGAGCGTGTGTCATTGGCATGACTCCCAGGGAGACTCTAGGACTGGGGTTCGGATCGGTGGCCCTTCCATACCCCATGCCAGCGACACAGAATTCGACTCTCAATTTAGACCAAAGGTTTTGACACTATGGTTAAATGACCATCAGCATCCTTCCAGCCAAACCTATTTCTAGTTAGTTCGTTAGTGAGCTCGTAATATTTATTGACCTTGATGGCATGATCTTTGGCGATGTTGGCTCCCCATGGAACTGTAAGGTCTATCATCACAACGCGCTTTAAAATTTACGAAATTACACAAATATGTCTGGTCTGGAGTTGGACGTACAAATATCTTTGGCCCTTTGGGCATATTGTATTGTTTCTCATACGTACTCATCATTATAGTCCTATCCGAAACAGATTTAAGGAGTAAGGCTTGACGTTTGATTTTATAGCCCTAGCGCCATATCTCACAAAACGTACTGATCGCTCGTTTGTAGTTATTTCCCTTTGCGCTCTGTCTACCGAAAGAGAGAAATAACGGGAGAATATAATCGTACGATTGGAGATTTAAATTGTATTGTTTTTGTTGTCATCGATTATAGACAATGTTTTCACCGTGATGGAACCCGGAGGAATCGCCTAAATACTCAGACAAACCGTTATACCCTGTACAGCAAGTAGAAAGAGCATCACTTCATTCGGATTTAAGATTTATCTAATAGAGTCCTTTCGTTGGGCTGGCTGTACACTGGCAAAAAAAAGAATGGAGTATAGAATTATAGGGCGTTTGATTTAAGCTGAGCTTTGCATTCGTGTAAGTGCACACGGATAGTGTAGGTGTGATAACAAATTTTTGAATGCCACGTTGTTTTCTAGTTTTTAACCGGTTTATTCTGCTTTTACTCCGCCACGCACTTTCCACACTTCAGCATCTGTACTGGTAGCAACGTCAAATGTTGAAATCGCAATATCAAGTGAAAACGTATATATTGTAGGTATAGATTTCTCAAAATTTTAATCATTTTTTTCCATCTGGCCTTTAACAAGTAATTTGCTTATTTTAGTTAAATTCTAGAATAGCTCTTATGTAATGTATCTATTTAAAAAAATAATAAAATTGAATTCTAAAAGATTTTTTGTCTAACTCTACTTTTACTTTCACTCACACAAATGCTAAGCGCAACTTAAGTCTAACGGACTATACCTCGTTTAATTCCTGAATCTTAAAAAATATAACGAAAGCTTATAAATATATTAAGATGTTTGTTAGGATGCACTAAAATAGAAATTTGGGACTCTAATTCTTTATGTCAAGATGTAAAAGTATACAATGTATATTCCATATCATACTCAGCTTTAGGAAGTAATTTGCTATTTGCAGTTGAAATCTTTTGCACATTTAGTATGCAATGGCCTCTTTGGACTAAATTCAAAGAACAAATAAGTCTGGTCTCAGAGAAGTTATATTTCCAATTAGTTGCTAATAATAATAATTAACTCTGATTTTTGCTGTTTTGCTGAAAAATTGTTTGGTAAATAAGCATAATTTATATAACAAAAAAATACGTTTTATAAAACAGTGTCTGAAATATTAAAAAGATTTTGTACTATGTTGTTGATCATACTATCGCAACAATTTATAAATAAAAGATGAAGGAATGTATTTTGGTTTATTGACTTTTGGATTATTTTTCAAAATAAAACAATTTATACGTCAGCATAGATAAATGAATATAATGAATAAAAAATATAGTAATAATTAAAAACGATAGAAAAACTATAAGTAGAATATTTCAGCTACCTAACTAAATGAATTCAGTAAAAAGGTTTTACTACAAAATCAAATGTATTACAAATTTGATTCAAAAATATAAAGTTCAAATAACATAATGAAAGTCCTTGTAAAAATAAACATAATTCATTTATTCATAAAACATAATTCATTATTATGTAAAAATATTCTAGTCTGTTGTCGTTGAACAGTTACTTGAAGTAGTTTGGTACACTGGCTTCCCATCTGCATCCCAAGTGTTTTTGCATTTTTTAAATGCAAACGCCAAATAAACAGCTGAAAAAAGGAAAACATTATGTAAAAAAGAGGTTCAATATAAAAAAATATATACAAGTTTGTACTTTTCATGTAATATTATATAAATTTTTATTATGTGATAAAGGCATATGATAAAAATGATTTAGCTAATAGTAAGGGAAGTTTAAAAGTATTTTTTATAAAATCTCTAACAATAATTGTTATTCTATTTAGTTTGCTATATTTATTTCTTAGACATCAATATGACATATTTTAAAGTAGTTTTTATTATAAAATTTATTATTTATAAAAAAAAAAAAATTGTCTGTAAAGATTATTAAATACTGATATCCTATGTATTACTCTAGGATTTTTGCAAGTTTTAATTGAAATATGGTTTTCAGTATGTTACATGACTTAATTTTTCTAAATTTCAATCAATATTTTTCTTCTTTGCGGTAACCATTATAATTGACAAACTAGGTGAAAGTAATCCCAGTTACTGTAGTTACAAAATATCCAAAACCATGGCTTTATTTAAATGTTCACAATGAAAATATTTTAATAAGATTATGATGACTCACTTGCTACCTCCCATTCACTTTTACTCATTGTGAGGTAATCTTTTTTTGACTTGTCAGAAACATTTTCAATATATTTTTTTGCATGTTCATATTCTAACTCATCACCAATTAATTCTCTCCCTGGGGGTGCAGGGTAATTTTCAAAACACTTAATTTTTGGCAATAAATCCTTATATTTTTCTAAATGCTCTTTATAAAAATCTGAAAATCCAGCCTTATACACCAATTCCAAACCACACTCTAAAGCTAACTTGGTAAACATATCAAAATAAACTAAGAATTCTGGACAATCAACAACACCTTCTAAATGAAAATCATACTTTGCCCCAAAAAGGGGAAATCCATCTTTTTCAGAGTCAAACATTAGTTTAATATTACAGATTCTATTTTCAAATAAATTTTCTGGAGATTTCTTACACCTAGAGACAATTTCATATGCGTCAGGTATAGTCCCAAAGAAATAACCACCAGGTTTAAGGCACTCAGATATGTTCAAAAGCATTCTACGTGCTTGTTTTAAACTTTCAAAACTATAATGCAACCCAAACTGGCAACTAACTAAGTCATACTTTATTGAAGGATCCTTATATTTATCTCTTAATGTGTCTCTAGAACAATCGGCAGCTATAAACTCAGCTGTAAACAGCCTTCCAAAACGACGATACATATCATCATATCTTTCTCTACATTGCTGTACAGAGACCTCTGCAATATCTGCAAATACAACATGATCAGCTCGAGCTTTCTGCCACTTACTAAGGTCGCCACCTTTTCCACAGCAAATGTCAAGAACTCTTAGAGATCGTAAATAATTTTTTTCACGCACTTTATCAGAGTATTCTTGTATAAGAACACTTTTGACCCAATTGTTGAAGTTTCTTAAGTAAAGTATGGGGGAATTAAATCTTTCTCTTAATCCCTTCTGTTCAAGATGGTTGTAATGATTAGCGACAATATTAGCGTGGTTAGAAGCCTTCTTGGCAGGTATCTCAGGTTCATCCTCTTCATTTAAGGTCCTTTTTAATTTATTATCTTCATTCATTTTTGTTTTTTGTTCACAACTAGTTGAAGAGTCATTCATATTTATATGATTTTTTTTTTAAATGAAATGAAATCTAAGAGAAGAATAGTTCAATTTACGACTTTATATGTGTATAAGTAAATTATATTCTTAAAATTATTGTTACAGTAATGAAATGTAATTTAAATTATTATAAGTATAGTTTTTAAATTAAACGCTTGACAAATCACAGTTTTTAAAACCAGATACAACTCATGAATTAATAAAAATAAATGACTTTAGTGTTTGACAGTCAAATAATATTGCCATATTAAAGACTACACGTGTAACCGGGCCAATAAAAAATATTTTATCCTTACTTTATAGAAGCACTTAATTTTCCTTAAATTATTTACATTATAGTAGAATTCAATCTATCAAAATCTTCAGGGTTAAAGGTTAATGTTATTATTCTTAAACAGAATAATTATTATTTCATTTCCAACTTAGAGTTAAATGTTATCTAGGAAGCAATATGTAACATTAATTTTTACTGATTAATTGTACCTTAATACTTTTAAGACCTACATAGTAATTGTTAAAGATTTTATTTACTTTGTAAGCTGACAACATATCATGAAACCTGAAGTTTAAACTGAGTCCATTGAACTAACTCATCTGAAGTTGTCGAGTTATGCGAAATACGCATGCGCATTCGTCGCGTCGCAGCACTTATAATTATTGCGTTCAGTCGACCGGCCTCATGTAATCTCGAACAAACGGAGTTATACGTAGGCAAAATGAGTGTTGAAAATCCAGCCAGTGATGATGGTGATTCAGTAAGTAATATTCAATAACTTAATATTCGTATGTATATTTAGTACTTCATAAAATGCTTTAAGTATATTATCACATATAAATCGTTGATTCAATGTTCTCTCATGCTACAAAGCGAAAATTTTCTAAGTCCCAATATGGCGTCTGCCGTAGTTTTCGCTAAAGAAAGAATCATAGCGTCGGTTTGTCGTGCTGTAACTATTTTTATTACTTATTTTTTATTAAGTATATATTTTTCTTTTATATGCGTATACATTATTAAATTTAAAAAAAGTAAGTTTATAAGAGTCACGTTGTATTTTATTCGCAGGGAAAAGTAAATGGAAATAAAAGTGAACACGTGAACGGCATTCAAAACGGATACAGCAGCTCCGAGAAGCACAAAAGCAGCCACAAATCATCCAGTAAAGATAAACATCGCGACAAAGAACGTGACCACAAAAGCTCGAAACATAGCAGCAGTTCAAGCAGGTTAGTATTCTAGAATATTCTCGCCATATAACCAACAGTAACATATGGGTAACGATACGGAATAACTACATGACATTAAGTGTTATACCTTAATGCCCTTAACTATTAAGCATTAATTTATTCTAATGTTGCCATATATTAAAAAAAATTAATGTCTAAATGTTTACGGCGTATTTGAAACTAATACAAAATAAATTATATAGAGACAAAGATAAGGATCGTCATTCGAGCAGTAAAAATCATAGCAGCTCCCACAAGTCATCCAGTAAAGACAAAGAACGGGATAGGGATCACAGAGACGACAAACATAAGGATAGAGAAAGATCTGACAAAGATAGGGACAGGCACAAGAGCGACAAGGACAGACATAGGGATAGGAGCGAGAAGGATAGAGATAGAAGTGAAAAAGACAAACATAAGTCCAGTAACGGCGAGAAGAAGTCTTCAAAGGAACATTCATCCTCATCAAGGGACAAAGATAAATCAAAGGATGCAGACAAACAGAGGGACCACGATAAAGACAGAAGTTACAAAGAAAAACATAGAAGCGACAAAGACAGACACTCCAGCTCGAAAGAGAAACACAGGTACATACTTAAAACTTCATGTTTACTGAAGATATTGCTCAAGTTATATATTCATATAATAGTTTTTTTATTATTAATCCTTGATTTATATCTACATCTTTCAGTTCCAGTAAAAGTAAGGAAAAAAGTAGCTCTGAAAAAAATGACAAAGTCAAATTGGAAGAGGATTATCAAAATTCATCGGTGAAACAGGAATACATGGAGGTGAGAGAGATACATTAGTTATAATTTAATTGTTTCATTATGTATGTATTGTTATTAATTACATATTCTATTATAGGTTGATGAGCCAGCAGTTAAGAGGGAAATGAAATCTGAAAGCGATGATGGCTATGGTGCGATGATGGCTATGGCTCATAATACAACTGTTTCATCGTGTGACTACTCACTGTCACAGTTCAAAGATGAACCTTTGTCGGAAATGCCCCTTGAAGAAGATAGTGCATCAGGCGGAGAGGAAGATGTACCACTGGTATATTTCTCTAATTTGTTAATAATATATAATATAACCTCATAAATTACTATTTATTATATAAATGTAGATGAAAAGTATGAACTTTATATTAGTTATTGTTTGTTTCACCTGGAAATTGTAATCTTTGAACAAAGTTTTCTGAGTATTTTTATCTTTATTGAAGTCATTCATCAAACACTTACATAAATAATATTAAATCTATGTAATTTTATTCATTTCTTCTATAGTTAGAGCGTAAGGCAATCAAGAAAAGGGCTATTAGTGAGAGTGAAGAAGACACACCGCTGTTACAACGGAAGAAACAGAAAAAGAAAGTGAAAAAAGGTAAACACTTGAGTTATAAAATATAAAAGTTCACAATTTGTTACCAAAAAAATGTATGATTCAATAATAAAATATATTTTTAAAGCTAAATCACTTCAACTTAAATTACTAAATGATGCAATTAATATTATTTACAACATACAAAAATATGACTTGCCATATTCAGCCGATTAACTGTACCTAAATCTTTATTCAAAGAAAATTATGATGACTATGATGATGAAGAATCGCAACAGAAAAAGAAGGCTAAGAAATCAAAATCTACTAAAAGCATCAAGACTGAAGCTGATGATGGCCCGAGTCCCAACAAACGGAAGAAAAAAGAAAATGAGGAACAGGAAGTCTGGAAATGGTAGGAAATATGATTAATAATAGTTTTTGAGGCAGAATTTTTCATATTACAATCACAAATTTACATTTACTACTTAGACTACATAATTGTCACAACTTGTATAGAACAATTAAGTTATGGTATTTTTCCTCACACCACCAACCAATTACTAAGTTATAAAAACAGTTTGCGCTAATTATACAACATAATGTGTGTTAGTTTGCTTGAGTGTAAAAAACAAAGATATTCTTCTTTATTTAGTCTATTAATACTATATTCTTTTAACACGGGGTTTGAAACCCAATTAATACTTTATTAATAGCCAATGAATATTAAAAATAACAATTATATAGTTACACTGACCAAAAAGATTTTTTGGAATCTTAGTATTAAAAATATTTCTAGCAACATTTTTTCTCCTGGCTACACAGAGTAGTCGCTTATGACAGATGTCATTATGACATTTATTTGAGGTTATACGTCCATTAAAATGTTTGTTACATTGGAAGTTACGTTGATTCGATTCAACCTCCTGTTAAAGACGACCTGTCGGAACGTTGTATTCAGGAACCTTAGGACTTCTAAAAAAAAGTAACAAATAAGTTTTAATTGTCATGTCAGGTAGACTGTTGAAAATAATTAACATGTGTTTTCACTACACAGGTGGGAAGAATCAAAAACGGACGATGGTACTAAGTGGCATTTTCTCGAACACAAAGGTCCCCTGTTTGCACCCCTATATGAACCGCTGCCAGAAAACGTTAAATTTCGCTATGACGGCAAAGTTGTGCGGCTGTCGCAGGACAGCGAAGAAGTGGCCGGCTTCTACGCCCGTATGTTAGACCACGACTACACCACTAAAACTGTATTCAATACGAACTTTTTCAATGATTGGCGCAAGGTCATGACAAATGATGAAGCGAAATTAATCAAAGATCTCTCAAAATGCGACTTTAAAGAAATGCAAGCATATTTCCAAAGTGTGTCAGAAAAGAATAAGAATCGGAGTAAAGAAGAGAAAGCAGCACTCAAAGCAAAGAATGAAGAGATCCAAAAGGAATATGGTTTTTGTACTATTGATGGACATAAAGAAAAAATTGGTAATTTTAGAATAGAACCTCCCGGCCTCTTTAGGGGTAGAGGTGAACATCCCAAGATGGGAATGTTGAAGAGGCGTGTGATGCCTGAAGACGTCATTATCAACTGTTCAAAAGACAGCAAGATACCCAAACCACCGGCTGGTCACAAATGGAAGGAAGTCAGACATGACAATACTGTAACATGGTTGGCTTCATGGACGGAAAATGTTCAACAGCAAGCCAAGTATGTCATGTTAAATCCCAGCTCAAAATTGAAGGGCGAAAAGGATTGGCAGAAATATGAAACTGCAAGAAACCTGCACAAATGTATCGATAAAATAAGAGAGACATATAAGTCAGATTGGAAAGCTAAAGAGATGCGCGTCCGTCAACGTGCCGTAGCTCTGTATTTCATTGATAGACTGGCTTTGAGAGCCGGTAATGAGAAGGATGATGACCAGGCTGATACAGTCGGTTGCTGTTCCCTCCGCGTCGAGCATATTGAATTGCACAAAGAGAAAGATGGAAAGGAATTTGTGGTTGTGTTTGATTTTCTTGGTAAAGACTCTATTAGATATTACAATGAGGTGCCAGTAGAAAAACGTGTTTTTAAGAATCTCGAGATTTTCATGGAAAATAAAAAGGATAGTGATGATCTGTTTGACAGATTGAACACACAGACTCTGAATGAACATTTGAAAGAATTGATGCCAGGGCTGACGGCTAAAGTTTTCCGTACCTACAACGCGTCCATAACATTACAAAGACAACTGGAAGAGCTCACTGACCCTGATGCAACTATTCCTGAGAAAATATTAGCTTATAACAGAGCAAATCGAGCTGTTGCGATACTTTGTAACCATCAGCGTGCAGTCCCCAAAGGTATTTATGCTAGTTACTATAAAAGTAGCTGCTGTGTACCAAACTAGAACAAAGACTTAATAATTATAATAATGTAATAATTCTTCCCGGAAACAATGTTATTCTTAGCTCATTTGGCTTCACTTCTACATCTTACAATTGAAGTATTTTAGTAGGATCTACAATCTGTATACATCTACTTACTGTCTTTGTTTATGATAATCTTTACAATAGTAGTTTATATGTCAATGATTTACAATCATCACTTCATTTTTCATACCTTAATTTATATTTCATTGATAAATTTTTAGGTCATTCAAAGTCAATGGAAGCATTGAAAGAAAAAATTCAAGCTAAAAGAGACCAGGTTGATGAGGCTGAAGCTGATTATAGAGATGCAGCGAAGGCGGCTAAACGAGGCTCGGTGAAAGAAAAGTTAGCTTGTGACAAGAAGAAGAAGGCGCTCGAGCGGTTAAAGGAGCAACTAAAGAAATTGGAGCTTCAAGAAACAGATCGTGATGAAAACAAAACAATAGCCCTCGGAACCTCCAAACTCAACTATCTTGATCCAAGGATCTCAGTCAGCTGGTCAGTATTAAATTATTCGTAATATTTTCAACTCATTTTGCTTGTCATTATAATACAGTAATTATTTTTTCAACTTGCTTGTTTATAATATAATAATGTATAATTTTCCAGGTGCAAGAAACACGGTGTACCAATCGAAAAAATATACAATAAAACACAACGTGATAAATTCCGATGGGCGATTGATATGGCCGGGCCCGACTACATTTTCTAGATGAACTTAGCAGTAGCTATACGAGGTGGTCGTTGTAGACGATGCTCTAATGATCGCGCAACATCTTGTAGACGGATAAGTGTATTATTTACAATAGTTTGTATAAAATTACTACTGAAACTCGTATTAAGTAGTTTAATGACTGCACCTTCTCTGTTTGTTCCAATAAACTACTAAAATACACTCTACCTGCGCCATCTATTATCAATCGTCTGCACCGACCATTATATATATGTATTTATACCATTTCTTTTTTTCAAATTTATAAACGTTCCACAGATTTTTTTTACACTTGTACTTTATTATTTTATGGACTTGTGACCAATATTTGAAATGTATGTATGTATTATAATTTTTAAGTATTGATATTTTCAAAAATATAAATCTGTTCCTCTCAAATTTAGAAATCGGAAGTCTGATTCTAATTTATTTTAGTTTCTTAGTATTGAGTTCGCTTTTTATTTCGATGTTAAGCTTTTTAAGATTGTAAGTTATGATTACAGTCTCAAGTAGGATGTGGTAGTTTTTTGCCATGCAAAGTTCAAAAAAAAATATATAAAAATCATTCTTAAAAAAGTATAATTTAAGCTAGTTTTATAAATATTAGGTTAAATTTATATTACTAAATACGCTGAGTAAGATTGTCATATTGAAATCAAGGATGCAGGTTATATTTGTATATAATAGTGTGTCTGTCTACCTTACGTCTGTCTAGTACGGTGTCATTTCGAGCAATAGTTTAGTGTATTTTTATCAGCAGTGAAGTATCTACAGTGTTTCTCGACACGCGGCGCAGATCACGTCTAGGTTAATGTAAATTTATATTGTATTTTTGCACAATGTGCAGTAGCAAATGTTGTAAATTAAGATATGTTATTTTATTTTTATAATATAGGACCGAAATTGTGGCAGATACACAGCCGTCAGTGTTGCGAAGGTACAATGTAGGTAAAATTTGTAATATTACAGTGTGTGCGTATTGTAAATAGTAAATTTTTACCATGTCATAAAATTGTGAAATGAGATTATCCCAAATAAAAAAATTGACACTAGATACTTAAATGTTTTATTTGATGCTTTAACAAATGTAGTTAAATTGATATAAAAATAAGATATATAAGTAACTATAAAATTACCTTTTTAAAAATATACCCGTGCATTTACTTTTTTTAAAAGAAAGCAGTACATACAGGTTAAAAACTAAAAACAAAATAAACATTAGTGACATCTTAAAAGAAATTTTACTGGTCGTATATTCAGTCAACAATAGGATGGAAAAGTTAATTTGAAAGTAAAAGATAAAGAATCTTACAAAATGCGGAGAATCATACTAATGTAAAAACAAATGAGTTAATGATTGCAATAACCTTACTAGTCTTAGTTACATGACAATTTTGTACTTATATGAATGAAAAACAAAATATGATCTGTATTTAATTCGACTGTACAAACTCGTAGATACATACAGGTGAACAAGAAAAATAACAATCAATTATTGTTATAATTTATGGACGCCTAGCCTACTTATATTAGTTGATCCTCGTAAAAATGTTATATGTACTTATATTCACACCGTTTGTTCCATCAAAAAATTAATTACAAATGTCTTCCTTTCGAAAGAAGTTTTCGTTCTCCATACCTTCGGGCATGTATGTTAGACCTGAGACATCTTTGTGATGTAGGTTGTATCCTTTTGCGTAGCCTGGAAATAAATTTTAAAATTAATACAAATACCTACTAGCATTGACAAATTCCAATTGTAATAATTTAGACTTCCGACATACACCTAAGTAACATTTATGATTAAATCCTACTAATATTACATATAATTGCGAAAGTTTGTGAGTGTGTGTGTATGTTTGTTACTTCTTCACGCTCAAACGGTTGAACCTATTGTGATAAAATTTTGTATACAGGAAGATGACGTCCAGGAATAACATATAAGCTACTTTACATCCCGGAAATCCGCGGGTAACACCGCGGGGCGCAGCTAGTTTAATATAAATCTCGGGTTGATTTTAAATCGTTTCATGAAAATACGTAGTAGATACAATTTGAACACAGTAACTCAATCAATTAAAAGGTGAAATAATTCAAGAGTCAAATAATGAATATGAAATATGGATATTTCCATAGTATAAAAAAGTAATCAGATAATGTGTCAATTATGAAAATATTTTTTTACAATTTATAAACTTCCGTAATTAAAGCTACGAACTAACGTATTTAACAAGGGATTTACGACTAGAGTAAATAAATTTAAAGAGAAGAAAACATTATTGTGCAGTTACAGAGGTTTATGCGTATAAAATGGCCACGCTGTCTTGATTATAGAGGCAACTATGACGATAAATAAAAACAAATCCCAAATATTGAGGTTTCCTTCTTCCTATTATTATCAAAGGTAATTCAGAGCCAAATTAATGACATCTAATATTTTCGCGAGTATTCATTTAAATTATCTACAGAGCCAAATTGTTGGGATCTGAGCACGAGTCTCAGTTATGAAAGTTTCGTACTTATCCAGGTCCCACTTAACTGAGTTTTACTGTATATGATAGATATACAAAAAATTAAATGAGACGGATATATTTTTAAATGTCTAACACCAGTTATATCCGCTAAATAGCAAACATAAACATACCTAAATCCTTCATAAGCTTGGTGGGCGCGTTCCTAAGGTGTAACGGCACTGAGGGTAGCGGACCCCTGGCTTCCTTGAGAGCCTTCTGCACGCGAGTCATAGCTTTATAGACTTCCCTGCTCTTGTCAGCGCGGGCGAGGCGCACCGCACACTGAGCGACCAACACGTCGCACTCCGGCATACCGATCAGCTGACAACCCTGCAGACACGCCACTGCCTCCACTAACGCGTTGGGATCAGCCAACCCTGTATACAAATATATATTTGTATATCTTAATTAATATTACAATTAAAGGCTATGAATTTCATAGTAAACTACAGTTAACATCTTCATTGACACCCATTCGAAATTTGAGTTGTTAGTAATGAATAAGATTTAATTATTACTGTTTTATGTAATACTAGCTTTCCGTCCGCCGCTTCGCCTGCGTGAAGTTCGGTTATATCGTGTTTCCAAGAGAACCTTTCAAAAGTCTGGGATAAAAACTACCCCATGTTCTTTCTCAAGGTCAACTCTATCTCTATTAAAAATTCATCATTAAAATCAGTTCAGTGGTTTAGGCGTGAAAGCGTAACAGACAGACAGAGTTACTTTCGCATTTATAATATTAGTAGGATGTTACCGATATCCTCGCAGGCGGCCCTCACCAGCCTCCTAGCCACGTACAATGGATCTTCTCCGCCGTGTAAGGCGCGCGTGCTCCAATACAGGGCCGCGTTATCATCACCCGCACGGATAGACTTGTGCATGGCTGATATTATGTTGTAATGTTCTTCACCCGTCCGGTCGTACAGCATATGCGTGCGCTGTAAGAAAATATATATAATTTAGAGTAGCTCAGGGATTGCTTTAGTTACAAAGTCATAGAACTATAATCGTAAACGCCAATTGTGTTTCATTTGGAGAGTAAAAATATTTGATGTCTCAATTTAAATCCGTAATCCGCTTATTCCACCTCTATTCTTTTTTTTGTCTTGCCAAACTTCAAGGGTCCTTTAGGCCTTAACACTTTTGATGGTCTGTTAAGATCAAAAATATATACAATATACAAGTAAAGTTATGATGAATTTTAAAGAAAAGAAATTGCCTGCCTTCTGGAATATTCAATGTACCAATATACCCAATAGTTGATTTAATATATTTTGATTAGGTACCATGAACTTACAAGTAACATACATTTAAATTGTTTCTATCACATTTAAAAACCAAACAATTTATCTACTTTATATCAATTATTTTAAAATCTAACACTGACAGTTTAAATTAATACCTTAATCCCATTCTTCAAATCTTCTAAACTAATAACTGTGTCAGGTGTTCCAGCGGCCAGTGTCAACTCCAGAGCACTGAGAGCAACACGAGCATCACCATCGCTGACCTCGGCCAGCCAACGGATTGATTCAAGAGATATCCTGCATCTATATACAAATTTTACTTCAATAAATTAAATTACTTCTATGCAATATTGGCTATTATAAAAGAATTTATAAATATCCTTACCTTTTTTGAACACCTCCATTGACTTCTTTATTTGAATTATCAATAATAATAGCTAAATCATTTCTTAATATGGCCCTTTGTAATATTTGTGTGACATCATCGACTGATAATTTACTGAGAACAACAACTCTACAACGACTCAACAGTGCATTGTTCAAACTGAACGATGGATTCTCAGTTGTGGCACCTATTAATGTTATTGTTCCGTTTTCAACATGCGGCAGAAATGTATCTTGTTGTAATTTGTTGAACCTGTGACAATTAGGAAGCAATCATTAAAATACATTGAATAAAAATATTTAACATATATATAACATTCAGTGTATATACATATCTAAGTCATACTATAGATCATTGTAAGTTATAAATATATACAATATCTAATGTGACAAATCTAATATTTGTGCAAGTATTTCTTGAAACTAAACTCATACTTTTTGGATTTACTATGTATGTGTTTTGTAATTATTATTTTACAGGATGAAATGTTTGCCCGTGATCATGGTTGCTGCAAAGTAACGGAAACATCTTTAGTATGTTGCCAAAAGTAATTCTAAGGGGGTATACCTATGTATTTCATCCATGAACAAAACAGTCTGTCTTTTAAACTGTGCTTCATTTTTGGCAACTTTCACCACCTCCTTGACATCATTAATACCAGACATAGTTGCCGATAGCTTCACAAATCTCAGATTAGGTTGCTCTTTGCAAATATTTGCCACAACATTGGCAAGTGAAGTCTAGAAAAAAAAACTTAAATAAACAATATATATATCATTGGAGTAATAAATATATAAATAGAATAAAAATACTCAATTTATTTTCTTCACAAAAAAATTACTTGAGTTTCTAAAAATAGTTAAAGATTCATTTATAATAATCAATAAATATCTACTGATGTATTGTATAAGTAATAATTAGTTATTGTATTATGGAAAAAAAAATTATTGTGTGCTCGGAAATCTCTAGAAATATATATAATATTCTTTATAAAGGTGGTGGAATATCATATTCACCTTTCCACACCCTGGTGGACCCCACAATATCATGTTAGGTATTTTGCTCTTTATTAACATTGAATATAACATTGAACCGGCACCAAATGATTCCATCTGACCAACAATATCTTCAAGACAATTTGGACGCATTGACTCAGCCAATGGTATACTTTTGACACTTGTTTTAGTAGTTGATTTCATATTTGTAGATTCAGAATCATCTGTTTGTAGTTCCTGAAAAAAATCATCATAAATAAGATTAATAACATATTAATGAAATTAAGTATGAAAGATCTAAATTATATACTTACATGAAAACTTGCCCTTCCCTTTGAAGGACCACTCGCAGGACTCTTTTTAGGCTGAGTGGTTTTTGCTTTAGATGGTTGTATGTTGCTAATGGGACTTTTTTTCTCTACCTTTACTTTTTTCTGCTGTATACTACTTTCTTCTAAATGTGATGCACTTCTTTTAGTATTACTTGATAAGGTGTTTAAGAAAATGCATTTGTCTACATGTTTTTCTATCATATTTTTATCATATTCTCTATTACATACAGGACAAGAAACAAAATTTGTCTCAGTTTCTCCACCTTCCATGATGCATTTAATGTCCGAATATGCTTAAAATTACCACAACTTTATAATCTCACAGTTTGATCTGAAAGAGCGCAATAGATGGAACTTTAATGTAAACAAACCTAAACAATTTCATAACTTGTTGTAATTTGAGTTATTGTTTTGCGCGCTAAAATTTTAAAATTTGTTTCAATACAAAATAACAAGTTCTTTCGTAATTTTATTCATTAGAGTATTGATAGTGGTCATTTACTATTTAACTAAATAACTTTTACAATATTTCTAATAATTTTCATATTAATTTATTCAAAACTTACAATGTTTCTAAAAATTTTTATTCGCTACTGACATACTAGTATTTGTTTACTGACAGTTGAGTCTTGACCCTTGACAGTATTTTTAGAGGTAGCTAATCATTCGTGTGGAGGATAATTTGAAATTATAAATTATTTAATTTAATCTTCGTCTTAATACATGTTCTGGCAAAAATAACTCATTATTTTAAATTACTGATAAAGAAAGTTATGTAGGTAAAGGTTTAGATCATCATTCTACATTTACTGTTAATAATAGTCAAAATTCAAATTTTGATTACGATAATAATCGTAGGTGTATGATGAATTTACAATTATTTATTACAATATTAACCAAGACTTAGCGAGGAGGCCCTGGAAGTAATTTGTCATTAATGACAAGTTAACATTTATACTAACTTTAATAATTCTACAATCGGAAAAGTTTGACAAGTCGATTTGAAAGTACAGTTAAGTTTAAGTTATAAACTTCAACTTTTATTTTTCTATTAATTTAAACAAAAAAAGGCTAGACTTGAATAATAGTGTATTTAAAAACCAACTATGTTTCTAAGATTACAATAATGGCAAATGAAACATCTCTAAAGCAACGAAAAACTTCTAAAAAATCAAACGAGGTCAGTAAACTTTCTGAAGCTGATTTGGCCGATTCAATAAATTCCTCAATAATTGCGAAAAGAGAAGTGGTAAGTTATAGAAGTTTTAAGAAACGTTTTTAAATATATATATTTTTACTTATTTGTAATAAAATTTATAAAGGAAATATACTAATATAACTGTTTCTGACATTAAACGACACATTTAAATTTTTTTTTTTTTCAACAAAAATATCACAGGGCGATGGAGCAGCAGCTGAAAATGAGGTAGAATATGATAGGAATACTGATCACAAAGATGAATTACAAAAGCCAATACAAAGCATTTATTTCAGGATTGAAATAGATGTTGTGTTTCTATTGCTTCTTTTATTAGCTCTGGCTACAAGACTTTATAAATTAGAAGAACCCAATTACATTGTGTAAGTATAGTTATCAGTTATTTATTTTGTACATTTATCTGAATTTACAAATAATGGTCTCAGTAAATTTATAGTATATCATTTTATAATCCGTGACAATGTTTACTTATGTTAATGCAAATAATTTTACTTAAAATTAATAACTTCGATTACCTTAATTTATATGTTTTGTTGTAATCTGATAGCATGTTTTATTATGTTTCAGATTTGATGAATTACATTATGGAAGATATGTGACTTTATACACAAAGGGAATATTCTTTTTCGATGCGCACCCACCTTTAGGGAAGCAATTGTTATACTTGGCAGGACAATGGGCTGGTTATAATGGAAATTTTACCTTTGATAGAATAGGATCACCTTATACTGATAGTGTACCTGTGAGAGCCTTGCGTTTCATTCCCGCTGTCTGCGGGAGTTTACTAGTGCCCGTTACATACCAATTGATGTTAGAAATATGTACATATCAATTTACTGCCATACTAGCCGCAGCTCTTGTTTTATTTGGTAGGTATATATAAAATATTATTTAACGGCATTTAACTTGAAATTATAAATTTAACATAATATAATGTAATATATTTCAGAAAATTGCTTTCTGGCGCAATCGAGGTTTATGCTGTTGGAAAGCATTCAGATTCTGTTTGGATTGTGGGGATTATTATGTGTTATAAAGAGTTCTCGTAATACTAGTGTAGCATCAGTTATTTGGCTATGTGTTGGAGCGTTTTCTCTAGGCTGCTGTTTCTCGTAAGTACTATCACAATATGCATAATACAAAACTGTAAAGACATTAAAAATATTATTTTGTTTGCTTATCAATATAAATCAATTCAGTTTGTAGAAATAGACTTTTTAAATCAAATTGACACAGTCAAATATAGCTTAATTTTTTTTTATTTAAAACATAAAAATATTTGGTACCCTTAAATAACTTTATATTTAATAATCATGAACATTTAGAGACTTTTTTATAATAGCCATCATTAACAATTTATAATTTTTTAAGAAGTTAGTTAATAATTTGAAAACTTTATTTTAAATAATATAACAATATTCTTTTTACTAATACTTTTTTAACTAATTACTTAACAACTGTCCCTCAACAGTATATTGTCTATTTCACTTAAAATATATGAAAATAATTTTATTACAAACTTTTTGTATAACATATTGTTTTGTTTTTCAGAGTAAAATATTCAGGGTTGTACACATACTATCTTGCGATATTTTTAGTTGGTCGACAAATGTGGCAGCTTATTGGGGAAATCAAATCAATACTAAAATTGTTCTTGTCATGTTTGTGGAGATTTTTAATACTCATTTGTATCCCTCTGGCTGTATATATTAGCGTTTTCTATGCACATCTAAATATGTTACCAAAAGCTGGACCACATGATAGTGTAATGACGAGTGCCTTCCAGGCATCATTACAAGGAGGTCTTGCTAGTATTACAAGAGGACAACCGTTACATGTGTCACACGGCTCACAGATCACATTAAGGTAATACAACAAATTATTTCAATAGTTAGTATTAGACAACTATTTATCCCTTAAAATAGTTGGCTGTTTAAAATATGGCCTTTATCTGTGCAAAGAAGTGCACAGGATATTCTGCCAGCGTTGTATCCCTTATAATAATGTGTATTTATGGTATTATATTAAGGAAGATTAAGTAGGTATGTGATGTGACTTGTTAGTAATAGCTATAATATTTGTCAAGGCACTCTCACGGTCGTACATGCTGGCTTCATTCTCACGCGCACGTTTATCCTGTGCGCTACGCCGATGGTCGAGGTTCGTCCCACCAGCAGCAGGTCACCTGCTACAGTTTCAAGGATGTCAATAACTGGTGGATCGTGAAGCGTCCGGAGCAATCTTCCCTGGCTGTGTCCCAGCCGCCAGACGTTATACGACATGGCGATGTAGTCCAACTGCTGCACGGCATCACAAGTAGGGCGCTGAACAGTCATGATGTTGCTGCGCCAGTTTCCCCCCAATCACAGGTGTGTGTCGATCAAATGTAAGCATTATAAAGTAACTAGCTGCGCCCCGCGGTGTTACCCGTGGATTTCTGGGATGTAAACTATTCTATGTATTATTCCTGGACGTCAGCTTCCTGTATACAAAATTTTAACAAAATCGGTTCAGCCGTTTGAGCGCGGAGAAGTAACAAACATATACATACTCACAAACTCTCGCAATTATAATATTAGTAGGATAGGATTTAGGAACTGATTTTGATTGATATTTTTTTCAGGAAGTTTCTTGCTACATCGATTACAATGTATCGATGCAGGCTCAGAATTTGTGGAGGGTGGATATAGTGAATCGTGAGAGTGAGGAGTCCACGTGGGACAGCATCCGTTCGTTGGTGCGTCTCGTGCACGTGGACTCGGGCTCCGCCCTGAGGTTCAGTGGCCGGCAGCTGCCCTCGTGGGGCTTCCACCAACACGAGGTCGTCGCCGACAAGGCCATATCCCACCAGGACGCTTTGTGGAATGTTGAGGAACACCGCTTTACTAAAGGTTGGAATGACTATTTATTCACTAAGCTTTTAATTATATAATACTAGCTTTCCGTCCGCAGCTTCGCCCGCGTGGAGTTCGGTTATATCGCGTTTCCAAGAGAACCTTTCAATAGTCTGGGATAAAAACTATTCTATGTTCTTTCTCAAGGTCAACTCCATCTCTGTACCAAATTTCATTAAAATCAGTTCAGTGGTTTAGGCGTGAAAGCGTAACAGACAGACAGAGTTTCGCATTTATAATATTAGTAGGGATTAACATTATTTTGATTGTTTCAGCTGAAGACCGTCGTGAACGCGAGAGGGAACTGGTTACAGCGGAAATGATCCCCACTACGACGCCGCGGCTCTCGTTCTGGGATAAGTTCTTGGAGCTCCAGTATAAAATGATAACCCACGCTCCGGACGCGCCAGTCGGTCACATGTTCGCTAGCGAGCCGGCTGAGTGGCCGCTGCTGGTGCGCTCTATCGCATACTGGCTGTCTCCTGATTCTAATGTAAGTGGATATTATTGACTCCATTTAATTAACAATCATCTATTTGATAGTCAAAATCTTCAGCCACCAAATCTCGCAAATAAAATCTACTCTAGCGTTCTTTTAATACCCTTTATCAGTGGCGGCTGGTGGGTTATCGAACTGGTGGTGCACTTTACTAAAATATAAAAATTAGAAAATGCAACAAAAAACCAATTGACATAAAATGTGTTTATTTTTTATACATTAATTAATGCAACGACATTTTTCCGGAGCGAAATGATCAATCACCTATTTATTAAAATCGGTTATTGTTTGTATATATTTTTTAATTTAATATTAAGCACAAAAAGTGCATTTAGCAAGTGCAAGGTATTTCGGAGAAAAGTTTTGATTCTTTTCAATTCCAATTCGTCATACATCGGGTGCTCTCGGTGACCTTCGGCCGCTCGTGCGGCGCTCGAGAACCGACTCATTAGGCGGTACATTTCTATGAACTATCTTTTGTTTCACGCGTCAGGCGTATTGATGCGTATCTCATACAACATGTATTAGCAGTCCTCGTGCACTCACCGAAGCGCACGAGATATTAGTTTAGTAAAGCGCTCAAACTTTTTGACTATAATTAGAAATTTAATTTTTTGTACGTTTTTGTATGTTTAGAAAATAAATATTAAAATGGTAATTTAAAAATAAATATGAAGTAATATTTTGTAATTTTTAAATCTTTTGAATTGGTGGTTCAGCGCACGAGTGCACTTAAGGTACAGCCGCCACTGCCCTTTATAGAACCTTCATGAATATGACACAATTCTGTTAAAAGCTTAAATTCTCATGAAAAACTTTCTTAGCAATGTAGAATACACAAAAGATGTATTAGCCTCGTGTTTTCTTTGCTTTTTAGTCAATATCTATTTACTATCGCCTTTAATTTATAGTAATAAAATATAGTGATTTTTTACATTAGAATAGTCGTTTCTACTAACGGCATTTGGATATACTTATACAGGGTGACTGGTGAATTACTATCGATACTTGAGGACGTGATATTTGACGATCATATATGACAAAATAAAAATTAATATAACATAAATATTAATAAACTTCTAAGTAAAGTTAACCAAAAGTTATGTAATTAATTACGCATCGTGTGAACACCCTACAGATTAGGTACACACACGCGTGCGGCGGCGTAGTGTTGTATCAGCACGCCGCCGCACCCGTCCACACTTGGAACACTTGGAACGTGTCCACACTTTATTTATTTATACGGAAATTTGGTCGAAAATTAAGTACCTATTTTTTTTACATAATTCGAATGAGAATCATGTACCGAGTATTCTCCTTAAATATCGATAGTAATTCACCAGTCACCCTGTATATGGTTTACCAACTTTTTTTTTTGTTAGTGTGTCTTTCTTTCTGTTTATCACAACTAATAATAGAAGTGGCTGACTTATTTCGATATAACTTTCATCGGTAGATAACTGCTGTGATTAACAGTAACGTAATCTACTTTATTTATCAAGTTGAGTTATTTTTATTGTTGTGACCAAGAAAAAAATATATATATATTTCTTAATAACACAGCAAAATCTAGTCCAAAATGAGAAAATTTAATACAGCTTATATTCTTCAGTTATTACTTTTACAGTCAAAAGCCAATTTCTTAGCTCTTTTTATCAACAATTCTTTTTTTTTCATAGACCTAATAAAATCACATCTATTAATAGTTTTTATAAATATTAACTAGCCGACTTTAATCTAATTTTATTTTCAAATGTCGTACTTTTGAATACTACCCGAATTTAAAAAACTTAGGATTTTTAACAATTAGTGAATACATAAAAAAATATTTGAATGAAACTAATGTGACACTCACACAGACAGACACTCACATCTCGACTGCCCGTGATCACGGTTGATGTAAAGTAGCCGAAACGTCGGAAGTATGTAGTTTATAGTCAAAAATAAAAACGCGTCGTAAATCCGAAAATATTAGTTTCATTTAAATGAACTCGCAAAAATTTTAGATCTCATTACATAAAAAAGTATGTATTCTTTTTTATTCCAGGCGCAAGTGCATTTGATTGGAAATCTAGTGACCTGGTATGCTGGCACGATCTCGGTACTAGTTTACAGTGTTCTTCTTGCTGTTTACGCAATCAGACAACGTCGTGCCTACCAAGACCTGCCTCCAAGGGCATCACATAAATTCTATGACTCGGGATATATATTATTTTTAGGCTATTGGCTACACTATCTACCTTACTTCTTTATGGACAGAACATTGTTCCTTCATCACTACTTACCTGCTTACATCTTTAAAATCCTTCTCCTAGCATATGTAATAGACCATATATATTATATCTTAGGTGCTCGTGAAAATACTAAGTCCTTTTCTCACTTATTTATATTATGTGTAATCATTTGGCTCTCTTACGTAATGATCGCATTTAAAAAATTCAGTGTTCTAAGCTATGGCAACACTGATCTGACTGAAAATGATCTTTTGAATCTCAGATGGAAAGACACTTGGGATTTTATAATACATAAAAAGACTTGAGCATATTGTATCCTGCCATACTTTATAAGTTGCTTTAAAAATGTACTTAACATACTGGTATTATATTAGAAATAATTATACTATGATCTGTTGTAATACTTGACTTAATAAATTATTTAGGATAAATCATATAATATATATTTTTATAAATGTATCATATGTAGGTATAAGATAATAAAAACAAAAGATATTTGTTACAATTTAATGTGAAATAAAGAGTTTATTTAAATCTATGTTTCCATTGGCTGCACCGGTCGGACTGCTACAGACTCTACTTCAAGTGGAATAACTCTTTGTCTCAACACTGCAGTAGTACCAAGAGGATATCTATAAGATCCTTGTTTTTTACCCTGAAAATTATAAAATATAAATTAACTAACAGACTATAACAAAAAACTAGAAGAAATTAAAACTTTCATCTTTCAAACATATTGAATATTATTAGTATACATCCCTACTAATATTATAAATGCAAAAGTAACTCTATCTGTCTGTTTTGCTTTCACACCTAAACCATTGAACTGATTTTAATGAAATGTGGTACAGACATAGAGTTGACCTTGAGAAAGAACATATATAGGATAGTTTTCAAAGGTTCTCTTGGAAATGCCATATAACCAAACTCCACATGGGCGAAGCTGTAGGCGGAAAGCTAGTTACAAATAAGTTTATTATGGCTGAGATTTCATAAACACTTATTGCACTCCAATGCAACATTATTGTAAATTAATTTTATTGAAATAATAGTAGAGCTATGTAAAATTTAATATTACCTTCACATTGGCTTCCTCATAGGTTCTTAGATATTGAGCGGGTCCTGATGTACGGATGACACACAGGTCCACATTGGAACCAGAACCGAGATCATTAAAGATACCAGCTGCGATGGCATCCCTCACTAACTTTTTGCCTTCTTCCTCAGACATATTTGGCTTCCAACGAGATTCAAACACTGCCATAGCGGCCAATGATCCCGAACCTAAGCAGTACATAAATATAATATCATTTTATTAATACCTAACTTATTTTATAGTTAAGAAATTTGGACACATACCCATAGTAGCATAAGGTAACTTGTCAACAGATCCATGAGGGTAAATACAGTAAATATGTGGTCCGGTGCGATCTACACCTCCCAAAACGAGTGCAGCGCCTATATGCCCTTGGTAACGGAATAACATGCGCTTTAACAAAGTAGCAGCAGTCTCAACGGGGACAGTACGGCCAGTGTGAAGACGTTGCAGTTCTAGCTGTGAAGCTACGGTTTGTGTCGTCATCTCAGTATCAGCAGCAGTGCCGGCACCACAGCAATACATATTCCCAGCCAGATAATGGATCTTCTGACAGTTCTTATCCGAAACAACAGTGTTCTCAGTCGCTCGTGTATCCGCACCCAAAATAACCCCGTCCGCGTAAATTATACCCACAATGGTAGTACCAGTCTTGGTAGCTTTCGGGGCAGGAAAGCCTTTTTGAGATAAAAATGCATTGCTGAAAGAAGACACATTTACAAAAAATAAAATTTAACATATCTCAAAGTAATTTTTATAAATGACCGAATGTTTGGGGATCTCACCGTTGACAATTTTCGAAAGAGAAACCTGGGGTAGGCACTTCAGGTACCAGAACCGACGCCATTATTATGTATTTTTTTATTAAAAATATAAAGAAACGAGTACTAACAAAATAATATTGAATTCAATGAGTGAGTTTACAAATTTGTATATGACAGTCGCTGCCGACAGATTCCTCAATCCAAGTTACAACTTACAAGTCAGTCTGTCAGTCTGTTACTTTTACCACAGATTAAACAATTCGTGAATAGCTTAAAAGTTAAAAAAGAATGTTGGAATGTTAGAAATCAAGCACAAAAAGGAATATTAAGATATTCTGGAGCATTGAAAAACATATGTTACCTTGTTCACTCACAAATCCCCCTTTACATAGTTCAGTATAATATCGGTACACGGCATTGGCGAAATCTATAAGGAAACGCCACTAACTAAAGAAGAAGAACAAATTTATATGTATTATATTATATATATTTATAGGATTAATTTACAAAGGCTAACTTTTCCTACTAGATCAAGAAAGTGTCTAGAAAAATAATTTAAATATTTTTTGTTCATCCATCAAACATTCATAATATTTCTTTGATCAGGTTTTCTTCCAAATATTTTTATACTGATTGATTTGGTTTAGTTCTCTGTAAAATAATTCGCAAAAGATATCTGCAGTGCTATCAATTCTTTAAAATGTGTAAAAATTAATAAATTTGTATAATGTAAATAATCCATTAAAAATAACATTAGAAACGGCATGGAGCTGGAACTCAATAAATACGAGGCCTATTGTGATTGGGTGTTAACTAGTTAATTTAGATTCACTGAAAAATATATCTTAGTTTCTTGAAAATACGGCTCTGTAGTCTTACAATATACTTCAACATGAGATGTTTCGAGTCTGCAGTAGTTATACAACCAATAAGAGCAAGACGAATTGTCTTGTCAAAATTTATGTCATTGTGGAGAATCTGTAGCCGAATTGATATGGTACAGTGTAAGCAGCCTTGTGTTCAAAAGAATTGAGCTGGAGTTAGTTGTGTTTATTAAAAATGTTAGTAAATTCTGCATATATATGCATTCTATATGTTTTATCAAGTATACTTATGACCCTGGCTGGTCGAGATTTTTATCAAATACTCGGTGTGTCCCGATCGGCGAATACCAATGAAATTAAAAAAGCTTACAGAAAATTAGCTAAAGCATTACATCCGGATAAAAATCAAGATGATCCAGATGCTTCCCAAAAGTTTCAAGACCTTGGCGCGGCCTACGAAGCCTTATCGGACCCAGAAAAGAGGGAGTTGTACGATAGGTGTGGAGAAGATTGTTTGAAAAAAGATGGAATGATGAATAACAACGACCCCTTCGCAAGTTTCTTTGGTGATTTCGGTTTTCATTTCGGTGGGGAATCCCAGCAGCATGAAACACCGAGAGGGGCAGATGTTCTTATGGAATTAATGGTGTCTCTTGAAGAGCTATATAATGGAAACTTTATAGAAGTAAGTTATAATTATTGTCCATTCATGTTATTTGTATGATTAAAATGATAAATATTTAACATAGTTATATGAATGAGTTGTAATGATATATTCAATACTTTAATATTTTATAGATAACACGTAATAAGCCAGTCATCAAACCTGCGTCGGGTACACGGAAATGCAACTGTCGCCAGGAGATGGTTACAAGGAATCTTGGTCCTGGCAGGTTCCAGATGATGCAACAAACTGTTTGTGATGAATGTCCTAATGTTAAGCTAGTTAATGAAGAGAGACTCCTGGAAATAGAGGTTTGTATAAATTTTGATGTTTCACAGATAATCGATAGTCTTAAAGTACCTTGCTCCAACATTTTTATTTACATGAAATTAAAGTATTAATCATATTTATATGCTTGTTTAAACTTAAATAGAAAAAATAAAACTACAAAAAAATTGGTCATCTGTGGATTGATAAATTATTGATAAGCCTCTGGAATGGTTTTAATTGGACCTTATCTAGGCTTGTGCTTTACAACTAACTTTTTATGATAACAAAAATCTTTAGCTGAAAATAACAGAGGTGTATTATAATATATAGTTTAATTTCTAAGGTTGAAGTTGGTGCACCGGATAATCACAAAACAAGATTGAGAGGAGAAGGTGAACCTCATATGGATGGAGAGCCGGGTGATCTAGTTATAGTGTTCAGGACGGAAAAACATCCACAGTTCACTCGTCGTGGTGACGATCTTTATACAAATGTTACCATTTCATTACAGGTGAGAATTTAAACAGTTGTTAATTTCGAAATAAATCTCTCTAAATTTAATTGAACCCTATGTTACACAAGTATTTAATGATGTTTCTATATTATCAAATATTACATCATTATATTTACATATTATATTTTTGAATAGAACCCATCATATATAATAAATTTTTGTCATAAATATGTTGCAACCATATTCAAATATATGTTATAGTGTGCATCAGTCTTTATAAAATCTGGTTTATTATCCCCAGGATGCTCTAACCGGGTTTACATTGGAGCTGCAACATTTAGATGGTCATAAAGTGAATGTGGCTCGCGACAAGGTCACGTGGTCCGGAGCACGCATCCGCAAGAAGGGGGAGGGCATGCCGAACTTTGAGAATAATAATCTGCATGGAAATTTGTATATTACTTTCGATATTGAATTCCCCAAGAAAGATTTCAGCGATGATGACAAAGAAGGTAATCCATCAAATTCTTTTTTATTGGCTAATTGTATAGAGAAATATAACATACACCAACAAAACCATTCTGAAGTAGTATTGCATATTGGTGACAGCATCCTTGAAAGGATTTCGATCCTCTAATTCCAAGTTAGAAAAGGTAGATAAGAATTTTCCTAGAATAGCCTTATAGTGGAAACCTTCTTCCTAATATAACAATTATAATTATGGAATGCCTTAGGCACTAATTCAAAACAGGGCACAGTAGCTTAATGAGAATAGAACATGAATCCAATATTCAAGGTTGAAGGCTTGAAGCCTGAATATATATTGATGAATTTTATATTTAATTCATAGATTTTTTTATATATGTAGTTTGAAAAGTTTCATATCATATCATTACTATTATATTTAAAAAAATGAAGAAAAAAACTTTAGAATATTATGTAAAATTTTCATTATTTTCATATTATTCTCTTTTGTTTCAGCCCTAAAGAAAATTTTACAACAATCACCAAATAATAAAGTATACAATGGACTTTAGTTTTGTAACTGCCAATTAACTTATTTAAGTAGTGAATTGTGTATGAAGTGAGAGAAAAGTTTTATGTGAATGTGTGCTGTGTTACCATGGTGATTCAAACGTTTTCATGGAATAAAACAATTTTTATTTGAACCATTTCGTTTTTATTATAATATTATATAACATTTTGTTTAATTGACATATTAAATGAATAATTCAGATCTATTGGAATTTTAAAATATACGAGTTTAGAATATTTGAGAAATTTTAAACAGTTGTATGTAGAATATGTGGAAAAATACAAAACAGTAGTTAACTACAAGATAAGGAAAGTTGTGGCACACAAGAAAATAGTTGATTTATTTGAAACAATATATTAGTTAAACCTATATATTATACTTAAAACATATTTTATAGTTTATAATTTGTAGATAAAATGAAATATAACTTTATATGCTGGAAAATCAGAATAACTAAAGAACAATAATAGGGTAGAAGTGACCCAGAATTTGTATCAGATTTTTTAAGCTATTGTAATGGTAAATCGTTACTTTTAAAGAACGTCATATGTGGATAGGTTACAAATTGCTTAACAGAAATAATTTTTGATAGGACTTCTATGAAACTAGACAGGCGTCGTGAGGGTAGGGTGGGTTAGTGGCGTGTGGAGCGGCTGCTTGTAGTACACTGTTGACAACAGCTCGCGCCAAGTATCCAAGGGACACTCCTGGCGCCGCCGCGCACAATGAGGCGCCCTCTTTAACACTCTCCGCGCAATCCTAAAATGACAAGAGTACATTATTAATTCCTCCTGCCACCACTATGGGGCGTTCATATCACTTATACCTACTAATATTATAAATGCGAAAGTATCTATCTGTTAGCATTTCACGCCTAAACCACTGAACTGATTTTAACGAAATTTTGTACAGAGATTTTGGCCTTGAGAAAGAACATAGGATAGTTTTTATCCCAGACTTTTGAAAGGTTCTTTTAAAGGCGAAGCTGCGAGCGGAAAGTTAGTTGTTAATATATGTACTTCTCGATTAAATAAATAATAACCTAAATATCTTTACTATGCTTTAGTAGTCGTCTTCTATAAGGAATCATTTGACATTTTGAATCTATCGCTAGATAAGACGAGCTTATTTAGAAAACACATTAATGACCTTGGCATAAGTAAGCTGCGCGTCATCTAGTAGTCGGTCGAGGTGTAGCGGCTGTGTGAGGTACAATTCGGGGTTTCTTCTTAGAATGGTCGCGAGTGCTACAAGCAGTTCCACGCATAGCTGGCGTTGTTCAGGTTTTGATATACGGACCAGTGCAGCTTCCACCAACAGAGCGAAGGACAGCTCCGACCGGGACATGTTGACTAGTGTAGGTTGAGCCGGTATACAGTGACCCTGAGTTATACGAAATTGCTATAAACATGTGTTGGTAACAGTATCAAATCCGATAATTTTAGATATAGCATACCACTGGAGATTTATTAAGAATATAGAATATGTTAAATCTTATGTACCTCTTTGCATATAAACAAATAAATTGACAAATATATGATGTCATTCTTTGCATAGTCATATCAAGTATCGATTTTTGTTTAAAACCTTGTGTACATAGAAAATAATTTACCTCAACTATGATCCCGTTTGGAGTGCGCAGTAATATGTCCCAGACGTGCATATAAAAATGTTTTGGAACTCGACAAAGACAGCCTTCTAGCCTTCTCCTCTGTAGTGGGGTCAATCTGTAATGTATAATAATCACCATTAAAAATAGTAACTACTAATATACATATGATATGTTATTAAAGACAGTTGCACTGTTGAAATTAATTGCTTTATATATACATCTTCTTCTTCTACCTGGCAATTTCCCGGCTATAGCCAGGGTCTGCCTTACATGTTTGTGAATAGTTTTGGCTAATTGTTTTTTACGACCGGGCGCCTGCCTGACATCAACCCTCTTTTGGTAATGCTATGTATATACAGGGTGACTGGTGAATTACTATCGATATTTGAGGACGTGATATTTGACGATCATATATGACAAAATAAAAATTAATATAACATAAATATTAATAAACTTCTAAGTAAAGTTAACCAAAAGTTATGTAATTAATTACGCATCGTGTGAACACCCTACAGATTAGGTATACACACACACACACACACACACGCGGCGGCGTGTTGTTGTATCAGCACGCCGCCGCACGCGTCCACACTTGGAACACTTGGAACGTGCCCACACTTTATTTATTTATAAGGAAATTTGGTCAAAAATTAAGTACCTATTTTTTTTACATAACTCGAATGAGAATCATGTACCGAGTATTCTCCTTAAATATTGATAGTAATTCACCAGTCACCCTGTACATATGTATGTATATTTATTTTGGTTAAGTTTTGTTAATTACAGACATATTTTCGTTATTCCAATAGAATTTTTATACTTTCATCTTAAGTATTTTTTCTCTTGACTGACTTAGAAACTGAAGATATTATGTATATATATGTTATATGTTACTCTATGTACCCTTTCTCATCAGCCCAGTCGGATACTGTGAGTACTTTTTGTAGTAATGTTCTCAGTTTGTATGGGGAGAGACTCTCTAAAGTAGCATCAGGTCTCTTCTCCTCTGGAAACAGCTCCAAGTATATTCGTATCGCCTCCAGAACCCAGCCAACTCGAATTTTTAGTATTCCACGGAACATGTCCGGATTAGTCCCAATTAGACGACCACAGTATAACACTATTTCCTGTAAATTGATATATGTAGTTAAACAGATAAATTACTTTGAATACTTGAAAATAATGAAGTAAATTATACAGGGTGACTGGTGAATTACTATCAATATTTAAGGAGCATACGCGGTATATGATTCTCATTCGAATTATGTAAAAAAAATAGGTACTTAATTTTTGACCAAATTTCCGTATAAATAAATAAAGTGTGTACACGTTCCAAGTGTTCCAAGTGTGGACGCGTGCGGCGGCGTGCTGATACAACAACACGCCGCCGCGTGTGTATGTGTGTGTGTGTGTATACTTAATCTGTAGGGTGTTCACACGATGCGTAATTAATTACATAACTTTTGGTTAACTTTACTTAGAAGTTTATTAATATTTATGTTATATTAATTTTTATTTTGTCATACATGATCGTCAAATATCACGTCCTCAAATATCGATAGTAATTCACCAGTCACCCTGTATACATTTCAATGGAACAAAATATTTTTAATAAATTCAAAATTATTACTTCAACTTGTGATAAATATGTAAATACATAGATTAAAATAAACTTGTCATTGATATACGAATTTGGAAATACATATGCAGTTACAGTTTAAGTAACTGTAGCAGGATCCACGGATATTAAACAAAAAAATATTATAAAGATTAAGGAAGAAATATATATTTTTTAATTTTTTATTAAACTAATATTTTCGGATTACTATGCGTTATTTTATTATATTGTGATCACGCTGGCTGCAAAGTAACCAAAACGTCTAAATTATCCAGTTTAAAATAAATAAAAAATATGTAGTAAATCGCGTAGTAAAATAAAGGATTGGCTAAATTATAACCAAACAGGTTTTATAGTTCAAACCTTCTTGAATGAATGTCTATTTTTTTAATTCACAGTAAGAACTCCTTAAATAAATATAAAAAGTACACACCTGTTGTAGTACAGCACCGATGATGTCATAAGGTTGTATGGTGGAGTACATCACTGACTGTATCTCTCCGGGGGTCATTGGCTTATCAAACACTGTTTCCTTCCGACCGATCACACCTACAGTCAACTGGACATACACATATTATTATGAGAACTTACACAATTTGGATGTTAAATATATCAATTTGGTATTTTTCTTGTTCAATTAGAAGTGAATTTACACAAAACTTTAATCAAAAAAACATTAGTGGGTAATTAACTTAACTTGGATTTAGTGTAAATATTGATTTTTTTAGTCCATTACTAGACACATTAAGTGTACTGCACTTTAAGTATCCTTGTTAATTATTACGGTAGGATTTAATTATTACGGTAGGAAGTCCAGTCAATTGGTAGTTTTATCTGGAAAGTTTCTTGAAATTCGAAAAAACCGAAATCTATAAATCCACCAATTTTTTAAACTCCCGGAAAAAATTCCAGATAACCACCTTTTTGCACCAAATGACTGGACTATTATTTAGACTCTACTAGTCTATGAGTCTTATGTATATGAATATAAATACCTGTTTCCCGCTAACTAGTACAGTGGTGATGAAGGGGCTGATTGAATCCACGGTGTGATTCAACAGCGACGAGCAGTATCTAACCGCTCGCCAGTGACGCAGTATTCCAGCGCTGCCGTACAGAGACTTAAGCGCTTCAAGCGCTTGAGTGCCGTTAACCTGCAAAAAACATTGACATTTCATTTATTACGTCCTGATCATTAACTTTCGTGTAATTTCTAGTCTCAAATTTCCAAATTCTACTAATACATGTTTAAAGGACACTAATATTTTCGGATTTTACTTCGCATATTTATTTTTGATTATAAACTACATACTACCGACGTTTCGGCTACTTTTCAGCAACCTTGATCATGGGCAGACGAGATGTGAAAATCAAAAATAAATACGCGAAGTAAAATCCGAAAATATTAGTTAAATTTAAATGAGTACTCGCGAAAATCTTAGATTACATTAGTACATGTATTATTTAGGTAAAATGATAAGTTTAGAGAATATTGATGAAGAGTTAGCCATCAAGAAAGTTTTTTTGTATGAAGTCGTATAGAGTATAGTGTAATACAATATCTTACCTCATACATGGGTCCCTCTCTCTCTATCAGTATGCCCCACAGCTGTGCCTGAGCGTATATACTGTCAGTGTTCCTCAAGGCGTCCACCACGTCCCCGGTGGACCTGTTCCTGTAGCTGTTAACGTCCATGTCCCTCTCGTGGTAGGTGAGAGTCCTCGGTACATCGGTCAGCGACTGGTAGCCAATGTAATCATGTTGAAGCTGCTTGAACTGTGTGAACATCTCCGACGGAAACTCACCCTGGCTCATGAAATCCAAGTGTTCTGTAATATTGTAACTCAACTAAATCAAAAAGTCAATAAATAAAAGGGGTGGTGTTAATTTAATTCTGATATAAGCGATTGTTTTATTTTTTTTGTGCATTATACAATAGATTTACCTATACAGGAGCTGGAGATCAAATTCTGTAGTCTTCCGAGTCTCACTTTAACTCCGTCGCAATGTCCCTTCTTGAGCATAGCGAACAGGTCCAACATCTGTTTAAAGTGTGGGTCCCGCATGTGTTCCTCGCGGACCAACAGGCAGACTGTGGGGCGACCGGACAGACGCCAATATCTGCAATGGAGGGTTAAGGTATTAATTTGGTTTGGCAAAAAAAATATTTGGGTGTCATCATTCGAGCATATATCAACATGTTACAAAGCTAGTGAAAACATTGAATATACCTGGGATTATTAGTGTCATTGACACGACACAGCAAAGAAATAAAACGAAAAAAAGTATTAGGGACTAAAATAAGTAATGAGAAACGGCGCTGATTATATGAGTATTAAGAACAAAACTTAATAGAAGTTTGTATTACTATGTGTTGATGTAAAATGGAGACAAATGTGTCCAGGTTGAAGTTGTCAGACAAAACAAGCCATTGGTTTGAGAAGTAGAAGTAAAATAATGGATGAGAGGAAAAGAAAAGTCTGGGCATGTTTGGAGAATGGGAAATAGATGACCTGAACGTTTAACAGAATTATTCCAATCTGTGAAAAAGGAAAAGAGGGAAAACAAATAAAAGGAGGGAGTTCTATCAAAAAATATGGTGTTCTAACTAAATGCACGATAAAAGAAGGTCTAGTAAGAAGGCACTAATGTCATTTTTATGATCTTTTTGTAGAACAAAAAATGTTTTCCAACAAAAAATATTTTCAATATTAACGTTACATACTTGCCCACAAACTGCAATTCTGTCTTAATATCGTCTATAAGAAGAGCCATGTCTCTATACAGATAGAACTCGGATACTTCGAAGATCAGTGGATAGCACAGCACGGTCATGCCGCACACCCTGTATATCTAAAAGTATTTAACTTCATTAGTCTTCCTATTTTATTAATATTAATTAATTAAATCTTATACCTTGCTGGTACCCAAAGATCCAACTGGTCTGATAGGTCTACCAGTGAGCTTCAATTTTCCACAAACACCTAATTCTCTATACACATGTACGAGTTGAGTTGAGCTGCATATCTGTAAGGAATAAACATGTATTTGTTTATAACTGAATGTAATTAGCTGTGTTTTAAAACAGTGCGGAATATCGTTTTGAGGCTCAAAAAATATTATCATGGTATATTCGAAATATCACATATAATCGGAGATAGTGAAAAACCGTTTAACTAGCATTGTATAATTTCACATAATATCTGCGTTAAAAGTACATTGAGAGAGAAAGATGAAAACGTGGTTATATTCTAAGTTTAATGACCTTTAAGGTAATTTCTGCACAGTGAGTAATTATTGATGAGTTTAATTTATTACTCATTGTGAAATCACCTTAAAATCATCGTTGATTTAGAAAATTATTAACTTTAAAACCTATCTCTAAAATATACTGTTGCGATTCTGATATTTTTTTAAAATAATAATTTAGTTTATTCATTTTATCACGTATAGTATACATGACCCTTCATTCCATGTACTTTCTTCATGAGCGGAAAAATGTTACAAATATTGTATAAAGTACTAGCTTTTGCCGCGACTCCGTCCGCGTGGAGTAGTGACTTCCGGCAGATTTTTGGTTCTTCCCACATAGTTCCCGTTCTTGCGGGGTTTTCGGAATGGTCGAGTTCCCGTAGAGTTTTCAGGATAAAACCTACGTTTTTTTAAATTCACAATGAAATACTCTTAACCAACAACATATTTATTTGTTTATTTGAAAAAAGATTTTATAAAATTATTTCGACCAAATTAGGTACCATAAAAACGGTTTTTGTGAGTTTATCTTAAAAGGTAGACATATACTGTCGCGGACTGTTTTTTAGATTATTAAAAGAGCTATTATTCTTTAATATATATCTTTTGTGTATCTTGAAACGTTTTCACGGCGCACGCAACGGAAGACTTCAAAGATGAAATAATTTCTCCCGCTTTTTACACATTTACCACTATATCTTTGCTCCTATTGGTCGTAGCGTGATGTTATATAGCCACAGCCTTCCTCGATAACTGGACTATCCAACACAAAAAGAATTATTCAATTCGAACCAGTAGTTTCGGAGATAAGCGCTTTCAAACAAACAAACAAACTCTTCTGCTTTATAATATTAGTATAGATTATTTTATGGGATACAGACGATATACCTTTTTAAAGTTCTGCTATATTAGGTACACATTAATCATTTATCTCTGAACACAAAAAAGATCACAGAAACGAAGTTGCAAACAATAACTAGCATAATAATTTAATATAGATTAGCAATTCCTACCTGAACTGGCTCGACTTCATGAGGCGTCTGCGTCTGTATGCCATAAGTCCCCATCATGGCCTGAAGACGCATAGACTCCGCTATCAACACAACTTGCACAACCAGGTCTGTTGCTATACCCTGTACAGAATACGGCACCATAAAACAACAGAGAGATATATTTGTCAGTCGTATAAATGAAGCTATATTTAATTAATTTAATAATAATTTATGATTCAACATTGCAAACACGCAAAAATGTAACGAGTACAAGAAATAGAAAGTCTTACGTAAATGTGATACCCGTAGGTCCATGATAACATATAAATGAATAAAATGTATCGTTTATGTGACAAATATGAAAAATTGTTTGTCAAACATGTTTCTTGACCGTTACATTGAAGGAACCTTACACATACTCACGAACGTTGGCTTGGCCTGAGTTATGTTCATGAAAAATAAAATTATTGGAAATTTTTTACACGTCATAAGCCCAAAATATTGACAAGCATAGAAGACATTCTGTTAGGATTTATTATAAAAGATTTTGAGATAGTTGAAAGATTTTATTTATATACAAGGTCCAAGAATAAAAACTCATGATACCAACGATATGATACCACTAACCTGAAAGGCTGAATATCTTCCAGCCCTCCTCGGTCGGTTGTAGGAAGGCAGGTACCTTCTCACAGGATCTAGTTCATTCACGTGAAGCAAACCGCCCGTCAACAGCTGGGCCAGTACGAACAGCGACTGAGCCCATAGGAACAACCCGCCAGTGTCTACAGAGGAGGTCTACTTATAATGGTTAGGGAAACTATAAGCACGAATAACTATCAGGGCTATAGAAACAGATCAGCCGTGTCTACGTTGAAGTTCTTGTTATAATGGTTATTATAGACATACGACATTCCATGATTCAGCTTTAGTATCTTGGTTAAAGTGTTAGGGGATAAAAATCAATAGAAAAGCAGATCAAAAGAAAAACAAAGAGTCAAACTATTTTCATATCAATCGTGTACGTGTTAATTTTGTTAGCTATAAATATTGCAATTACATGGAGATTCTTTTAAACCAGACATATTGAGTATAGTATAGATAGAAAGGATAAAGTCACAGATAGTTTACTTTTTATGTATATTCATGTTAATAGGTCAATTAATTAATTTTTGAAGTGATTATATTTTTTGCAAGATATGGTATGGTATATATTACATGGACATTTGGTGGATAAAAGACCTCAGTTGATGCGTTTAGAAAAAAAAGGTTAGGAAGACGACAGAATCTCACAAAATTTATATATTTATAGATTATGTTCTTAGTACAATTTTAAAAATCACAATAATTTATAAGAAAGTAATAAATGCACAAAGCTATCTAGAAAAAAATATATGCAAAAATATAGAGCATAAAAGATACAAACGCGGGAAGAATTAGCATAGAAGAAGACAGAAAAAAAATATTAATCAGCCTAAAAGGAAAATTAGCACAATCGACTTTATTACAATTTTACCTTGAAGTTCGTTGTCACCAGGGTGGTCTGTAAATACATTGGTTTTGAGGCTGATCCGTTATTAAACAAATTATCTATATACTTGTATAACTAAAGCTATTGATATTTATTTAAAACATAACTTACTGGCTGGGATCCTTCGCACGGAGTATGGCTCACTTCTCTCACTATCAATGCCATCTCGTGGCACATAGTAGTACCACGGTATAACAGGATCTGGAAGTCAACAGGTTTATTAAAACAAAAATATAAGAAAACCATTATATTCTTCCCAAAATTTGTAATGATGTATGAATGTTTGTCGGGCGAAGGCAAAAGTAATTGTAATTAAATGAAACTAATGTTTCGGATTTACTACGCGATTTTTAGAGCACATTTTTAGGGCAGACGAGATGTGTCACATTTAAATGATAATCGCGAAAATTTTAGATCTCATTATGTAATTGTAATTACATATTTATGCTACTTAATAGTTATTACCTCCATGTTCATCCATATATATCCTGGACTTCAACAGTTTCTGATACTCCTCGACCTGGTCGGGTAAGGTACGGAACACTCCATCAATGATCATCATGATATAGAACAGCGGCCACTCTGACTCCATCCCATCAAACTCTTTGAGTTCTCCCTCATTGTAATATCTCCTGTTGGGATCTTCGAGGACACATTTGAACCCGTCTCGACTGAACCTCTTGAAACCGTATTTGCCTTGGAGACGATTCAGTATATTATTTTTTGTTAATTGCACCAGAAGCTCCTCGTGAGTTGCGAACGCGGGAAAAGATATTGTTGGTAAGAGAGCCGCATCGACTCCCTAAAACATGTAACATATTACAGATACGCTAAAAGAAATTACAAAAAATTATAAAAAAAGTTTCCATGCAAAAATATATATTCTACATAAGGCAAGCCAAGCCAAAACTGAATTATTTAAGATAAGAACGTTCAAGTATTACGTAAGCACTATGGAGGGGCGGGGGGGTCTTTGCTTTGCTTATTTTGGATGACATGGGGGGTAGGGGCGTTTAGATGATGATTACGTCATCGGTAGTTATTTACTTTTGTAACGTCACATCGAGAAGATCCATAAAAAATTATTATTAATTTTTTTATGGATTTATATTTAAAACAAAACAATACAGTAATTGAAAATGTTTACGTTAGCATGGGGGGAGGGGGTAAGAGCTGTGCTTACTTTTGCTGACAAGGGGGATGGGGGTAAATATTTATAATAAATCTGCTTACGTAATACTTGAACGGCCCCTAATTATTAAACATAACATTCTTACATAATTGAGAAGGTTTTATATAGCAAGAACTAAAGAAGATTAAAAAGCAATTCTCGCTGTATTGATTACCTTAGAACTGGATTCTCTGGGCAGCATGGTCTCAAAGATACTTCTGTTCCTATTATGCGCATCGATGTCAACGTACACGACACTCCAAGAGGCTCCCTTGTCTCCGAACAGATTACAACCATTTATTGCTTCCAGCGCTGCTTTTGCCATACCTATAAAACAATTACAGGGATTTGGGAAGAAGTTTTTGGAGTTGTGTCTTATAGCCCTAAAACTTGTTCATGGGATCCCTTAGTACAAATTTTAATCTGCAAAAATTTAATAGTAAGAAAATTGGTCAAACTTTCAGTTATTCTGTAGTTAATGAAAACTTGAACTTGGCCACTATTTTGCAGCATCTAATATATTCATTACATATATATCTAATGAATATATCTCACCTATAGAGGACGCATGTATTTCTGGTTTGCCATCATTGTACTTGGTGCCTCTCTCCCACATGCCATAGTCGGGTGTACGGTAAGCGCGCTCAACATAGTACACTAGATTTTGAACAAACGCCACTTCATCCTGCAATAAAAAGAAAAATGCAATAAAAACAAAAAAAGAGTTTATGCAGAATTAAAGAATTCTTTTTGTTGTGATAAGATCTTTTATTCAGGAAATCTACATAAATTATAATATTAGCTAAATACATAAAAATAAATGGGTCTAAAACAGTGGACAATCAATATGTAGTAACAACATGACCAATTGAAAAAAAGTATATACATATAAGACTTTGTCCTTTATTCTGATTTTGTTATGTATAAACTATTTTGTAATTTTGATTTAATGACTAAGAACCATTAATCTTGACAAATTTATTTAAAATTGATTGTTTTATTGTAAAATGAGAAAGGAATTAAAGTGGATAAAATACACTACCAATCAAATTATAGTGGAGCATACACTTAAAAATATACATAAGAATTCGAATACCTGTGTATAAATTATTTGCAAGCCAGAAGTGATCATTTGGACAAGAAATAGCAAATATAGAGATATGACATCTATTTGTAGGTGATGATATTGCTCATCACTAAGCACTGGTTCCCCGGTCATGAGATGGAATTTCACATGTAGAGCATGGGCTGCACTCTGACGGGTTTTAAAAGATTCAACCCTGGCCGCTTGCTTGATCCAACATTCTAGAATCCCTCTCATACATTTGACTGTACTTTGACCCAGTTCGTGGGATTTACCTCTATCATCATCTATTCGACTGCAAATAAAGAAAAAATTATAAAAATATAGATTATTAAAGACATAGATGATAAATAAAAAAAATTTAAGAAAGTTATATTTCTTTTTTCCATTACATAACAATAAATAGTATAGCCACATCAATTCAGTCTGAAATATCAAACCTTCTTTCCATCTGAATATAAAACTTTTATCATATTAAATTTATGCCCTAATATTTCTAAAAAAATTGCAGGAAAGTAGCAACTGGTTTGTATCAAAAATGTAATATGAACTGTAAATAAGTAGCTCAAGGGGTATATACCGATATGCTTGATATAAACCCCAAACTGCAGCAGCGCAGTAAACACTGTCTCTTACACTACCAATATGTAGGTCAGATGACAATACTGGAAACAGCCCAGTAGTGGGACTTTGGAACCTCAATAATTGTCTTTTGACTGAAATGAAAAGCATTTTGTTAAATAAAGGTAAATATATTGGATACTAATGAGAAAGTCTAGATTTACCAATAGCATAATATATATCTAGTTGGCGCACAGTATCCTCATAATTTGATATTTTTAAAAACTGTTGTGTATTTATGTCGTCAATACTCCCGTGCCGAATCATTGCATCTGGGATAGTCTGTAAAGAATATACATTAATTGAATACAAATTTATTACCTATATATTGCCTCTATTTATATAAAGGAGTAATTTTTTGTGTCTAATACCAATATTGTTTACGAAGTTACTTTATACAATTAAAATAAAAAGACATTTGGACTTATGAAGGAACTGTATCTATTTGTTTTGTGATATATTGTAAATAGTGTTTTATTTGCCAACCTTAATATTTCACACGATATTTGCCTTTAAATAATAATAAACACTTTCATCTACGTATAAACAATGTCAATTCTCGTAGTACAATAAAAGAATAAAAATATCTTTCATACATATTTCATTAAATGTACAATAAATTAATATACATAATTGTAATTTTAAGTCCTATTATCAGTCAATCAAACAAAACTAAAAAAAAAAATCTCTTTCAAGGTCATATTAAGGACAAAACACCGAAGACAAGTGACATTTATATTATGTTATCAGTAAACAAATAGGGCTGCATTTTAAAATCGATTTCAAATTATTTTTAGTTTGTCTTACAACTGACACTAATTAGAAAGCATTGTTATGCATATGGAAGTAAGCTAAAAATCTACTTAAATATTCCAAAATACTTTACATAAACATTAAGTTAGCTTCGCGATATACAGTAAAAGTTTCTATATTCTAAAATATGTTCTATGGAATGAGGTTTGGAAATTTCACTTTGTCAGCTGTCGTCTGTCAAAAAGATGCAATTGATTAATTTACCAAAATATTATTGTTGTATGAAAGATTTATATTTTTCATAAATGTCCTATTGCTAGATATACAAAATATCGTTTCTACCATCATAGTGACGAATTTCTTTTGCTTTTATCGGAGGCAGTAATATAGGTGTGTAATCAATTATATTAATACTTTTTTGTTATAAGATTCGCAGACGTAAATGTTTCGTATGTAGAAATCTGAATTTATATATATAACTTATAATTGGCAGAAGAATGAGTCATGAGGTTCATCATGAGGAGAAGGAAAATGCAAGCAGCAGTAATTCACAGGTTTAACACATATATAGGCCGATGTTTGTCTTGCTTTTTGTATGTGTTACTAACATAAATAAATTAACAATGCACTAATTTTTAAAATTATTTATGCATGTATAAAATGCTACTACAAAATAAACATTTCCTATATTTAATTTGTATTTGTTTTAAACATAATGGATGGATCTAAAATTATAACTATGTTATACAATTATTAACATTTATATCATTAATTTGTGGACATTTGTAAATAAATAATATTGAGGATATAAATTGGTTACAAATGCCTTCGAAATAGGAGAAAAGATGATCTGTTTATACTTTGTTAAAATGGAAAAATGTTTTCTTCATTAATTGAAACTCTGAAATAAAGGTTGTATTATAAATTTTCTGTTTCTGTTTAATATATATGGATCATTTGTGATAATTTAATTAAATTGTTTTAGTGCATCTGTTCATATAAAATTGAAACGAAATATAAACAGTCATCTTTTAATTATTGAGGTATCTTATGAATTAAAAAATTGAGGTCTGGGATTTCATAGAATATTATAATTGTTCTTTTTATTCTGGGTAAAAAAAATTACTGGATACTCATATTTGATAATTATTGTATAATCTATGAATATTATACAGCTTGAATTATTCAACCTCATTGGAGGAAGTTGGCCACCAGCTCCAAGAGAACCTGAGCATTTAAAGTATGGGTCAGTGCCTCGTACTGTGAGACGAACTATGCAGCACTCGGGCCACAATGAAAGGATCAAATCTGTAAACCTAATTAATCATCTGGCACCCGAAAAGAGAAAAATAAGACAAAATACGTCAAACAGACCTGGGATCAGCGAGGAGTCTGTTCAGAGTAACAAAATGGTGAATGAAACGAAAAAGGTTGAGACAGGAGTCTTAATTGGTGAGTGAAATAACTTTGTTAGAGTGAGAAAAATATTATTTTTATCATAATTATAGTATTTTTTTTACTTTAAAAGTATTTAAGTTTTTATACAGTAGGACCTCGATTATCCGGACTAATTGTTGTCGGTAGGCATCCGGATAATTGAAAGTCCGGATAATCCAATATATGAAGAAAAACGGGCTTTTTGCATATGTACATATGTAGTCTGTACCATACATATGTAATGTTAGGTGTTTATTTAAAACAACAAATACATATGAGCGAAAATCAACGTTTATTAAGAAATTGTACATAATGTACGTATAATTTGCTTACAATAATTTTGTGGCGTGGCGTTATGCAAGTTCTGACATGTTAATCTTCTTCTTTCTTCTATATCTTCTATTTATATATATATATATATATATATATATATATATATATATATATATATATATATATAAATGGATTGCTGTTCCTTCGTCTCGCTAAAACTCGAGAACGGCTGAACCGATTTGGCTAATTTTAGTCTTGAAATACTCCTGGAAGTCCAGGGAAGGTTTAAAAGGTGAGAAAAATTGGAATAATTGCCGGGAAAACCCTAAAAACAGCCCTTTTTTATTTCCCATAAAAACGTTTTGTTGACATTAGATTTGACAACTAACTAATATGTCAATCATTTTGTTTGATTGAAATAGGAAAAACCTGGTTATTTATGGCCTCTAAGACGGAATAGAGTTCGCCTGGTCAGCTATACCTACATATATTACTCTTGACCAAACTAACGCGGACGAAGTCGCGGGCAATAACTAGTGTTAGAATAAACTCGTCGCGATTGGCAGTCCGGATAATCGCGAATTCGGATAACCGAGGTCCGGATAATCGGGGTCCTACTGTAATATAAAATTTTGGTTTTGAAAACTATATTATAAAAATTTCTCAAATTCATATTTTTAATTTTCTTAAAATAGAACTCAAGAAAATAAGTGTTATATTATTGATCTCTTATACTTAATCAATCCACTTAAAAATGTATGAAGTTAAAGTTTTTTGTTTTAAAGCATTAATGTCACCTTGACTGTAAATAGTTATGTATATAAATCTAGCATACCATTTGTCCCGAATGTGTATTAATTCCCTCGAACATAATTTCGTAAATATCACAGTTTCTGTATCACAAACAAACAATATCACGTTTAAATAAGCAAACTAATTAGTCACTATTTCTCCCACTGATCGTTTCGTTAGTGCGTTCTACTTCAGCTTTTCTATTTTCTATATTTAGTTCCCTCTATGTAGGTGATCGTCCGACGCTAGTCGTTACATAGTTCAGTCATGTCACACGCGTACTATCTACAGGAGCTTTCTATTGATGAGATACCTTTATGTGTTTTACAATATGAGAACAGTATGTGGTGTGAAGAATATTAGATATTATTGTATGTTCTTGATGGTAATGTAATATTGTTGATAGATGTTTGCGGTGGGGATGTTAATGAAGAGTTTTATGACTCTCCGTCGTTGGGATCCCCGCGTGCTGTTAATTTGGAGCCGTCGATTCAGTCCCCGCCTGTGTTGGATGACATCGGAGTGGGTTCTCTAGTCGAAGTAGCGACTGACGTTGATCAGAACTACTACGGAGTTGTGAGATGGATCGGACTCATTGATGGTATGATGGCTTAGTAAAATCTTGTTCTAAGTCCAAAGAAAAGAAAACTCTTTTCCTAGGAACCATTAATTTTCATATTCTTCTAATTCCTACTTTTTTTTAAAACACGAAAAGATATTAGAATGATCCAAAACAATGCGTTCAGTCAAATTTGGGATTAAGATTGTTTATAATTATAATTACTTTAAGAAATACTTAATACAGTTTGTACTTTGATAATTCATATTTGATTGCTGTTTCTATCAAACCTTTAAATCTCTATTTCTCTTTTTATTGAATTTCGTACTTACCTATACAGAATATTTTTTCTACTACTTCTTCTGTCAGTCATGTTATTATTTCCTCATAGACATAGCGACAGCGGGCGTGGAGTTGGAGCAGAGCGTGTGTGGTCTCGGTGACGGCGTGCACCGCGGGTCTCGTGTTTTCACTTGCGCGTCTGGTCGGGCGTTGTTCGTGCCGCTACCTCTTTGTAGGAGAGACGCGCGGTTCACTGACACGCCGCCACCGGAGACACACCTCACTGAGATCGGAGAACAGGTGGGGTATAAAGATTAGAAATATTGAGGTGCACCCAAGTGACTATAGATATCTATAGATTTGGTTTCCGTTATTACTCTCATAAGGTTTGGTTGTAATAAGGAAAGACAAAGAAAATTAGATCTAGGTAAAAAATTAAAAGGTTTGGTTTTAAATACGGAAAGACAAAGAAAATTAGATCTAGGTAAAAAATTAAAAGGTTTGGTTTTAAATAAGGACAGACAAAGAAAATTAGATCTAGGTAAAAAATTAAAAGGTTTGGTTTTAAATAAGGAAAGACAAAGAAAATTAGATCTAGGTAAAAAATTAAAAGGTTTGGTTTTAAATAAGGACAGACAAAGAAATAGAGATTAAGGTAAAAAATTAATATGAACAGATCTTCCACATTTCCGTTCATGAAATTATTACTCGCCAAATACATATCCGAAATTCTATGAGAACTCGTAATAATGCCATGTCATATATGAGTTGCTCTTCATTGAACCAATATACGTGTACCAACTACATTTCAACAATCAACTAATCTATACTAATATTATAAAGCAGAAGAGTTTGTTTGTTTGAAAGCGCTAATCTCCGAAACTACTGGTTCGAATTGAATAATTCTTTTTGTGTTGGATAGTCCAGTTATCGAGAAAGGCTGTGGGCTATATAACATCACGCTACGACCAATAGGAGCAAAGACATAGTGGTAAATGTGTAAAAAACGGGAGAAACTATTTCGTCTTTGAAGTCTTCCGTTGCGTGCGCCGTGAAAACGATTCAAGATACACAAAAAAATGTATTAAAGAATAATAGCTCTTTTAATGATCTAAAAAACGATCCGCGACAGTATATGTCTCTCTTTTAAGGTTAACTCACTAAAAATGGTTTTTATGGTACCTAATTTGGTCGAAACAATTTGTATAAGTTGTATCAACATAATAATATTAATCTTTATTCAAATAAACAAATAAATATGTTGTTGGTTAAGAGTACTTCATTGTGAATAAAAAAAAACATAGGTTTTATCCTGAAAATTCTACGGGAACTCGACCATTCCGAAAACCCCGCAAGAACGGGAACTATGTGGGAAGACCCAAAAATCTGCCGGAAGTCACTATTCCACGCGGACGAAGTCGCGGCAAAAGCTAATATTTTATAAAACAGCAAAAGGTTAGAATCGGTTTCGAATCTTCGAGATGTTAGAATAACATCAAAAGAAGTAGCTACTTAAAATTTTCATCCGAAGATTAACTATTCAATGTAAACTGCAGACTGTATCGTGTATCGTGTAAACTGCAAACTTTATCGTGTGTCGTGTAAACTGCAGACTGTAACGTGTATAGTGTAAACTGCAAACTGTATCGTGTAAACTGCAGACTGTAACGTGTATAGTGTAAACTGCAAACTGTATCGTGTAAACTGCAGACTGTAACGTGCATAGTGTAAACTGCAAACTGTATCGTGTATCGTGTAAACTGCAGACTGTAACGTGTATAGTGTAAACTGCAGACTGTACAGTATATACTATTGCAGTGTATATACTTCATACAAAAAGCTTCTAAAGAAGAGAAAGCTCGAAATAATATATCATCATTAAAAAAGTGCGCAAATTTATAAACACAAAAAAAAATATTACATTTGAAAAACCGATAGGAATTATTTGTATATTTTAAAAATCTACTTTATTTTCTAACATTAAAAACTATTTTAATATCCAGAGTCTCAATATTTAAGTTTTCATAAAATATATATTTTCATTTAAAAAAAGTCTCATCCAAATGACCAATAAATTCAATTGCCATTATGATTTTTCTTTTTTAACTAGGATTTTTTAAATAACCATTTCAAGTCTCTTCTACCTGGCAATTTCCCAGCTTTAGCCAGGGTCTGCCTTACATGTTGTGAACAGTTTTGGCTAATTGTTTTTACGACCGGCCGCCTGCCTGTCATCAATTCTCTTTGAGAATAGATAACCATTCCAAGTAAATGTTATTATTATACCTTATATAATCAAATTAATTTAACGTCTTAAAATGTAAGCAAAAATATAACTGAATCAATATTACCGATTTGTCCTCAATTTTAATGGAACTTATTTTAGAGTCGAACGGGGAAAAGTGTTACAAGTTAAAAAAAAATACCAATTTAAAAGTAGATCGTGAAAATTATAAAAGTTTTAAAATTATATTTTAAAATAAAACTTCATTTTATCATAATTCTATAGTTATATTTATATTATAGTGTTAATTGTTAGGACGCGCGCAAAATATATGTATATATATACAGGGTGACTGGTGAATTACTATCAATATTTAAGGAGAATACTCGGTACATGATTCTCATTCGAATTATGAAAAAAAATAGGTACTTAATTTTTGACCTAATTTCCGTATAAATAAATAAAGTGAGGACACGTTCCAAGTGTTCCAAGTGTGGACGCGTGCGGCGGCGTGCTGATACAACACCACGCCGCCAAACGCGTATGTGTGTGTGTGTATACCTAATCTGTAGGGTGTTCACACGATGCGTAATTAATAACATAACTTTTGGTTAACTTTACTTAGAAGTTTATTAATATTTATGTTATATTAATTTTTATTTTGTCATATATGATCGTCAAATATCACGTCCTCAAGTATCGATAGTAATTCACCAGTCACCCTGTGTATATATATACATATATATATAAAAATGAATTGCTATTCTTTAGTCTCACTAAAACTCGAGAACAACTGAACGGATTCATCTTATCTTAGTCTTGAAATGTTTGTGGAGGTTCAGGAAAGGTATAAAAGCTGAAAAAAATTGATTCATTACTGGGAAAACCATAAAAACAGCCCTTTTCTATTTCCTATACAAACGGTTTTTTTTTGACATTAGATTTGACAACTAACTAGTATGTCAATCATTCTGTCGCACTACAAAACACGGAGATTTATGGCTTACTCCAAAAATATAAATAAAAAAACGTAATAGATATTTCTTGATTATAGGGCGATACGAAGTTCGCCAGGTCTTCTAGTACATAATATGATGAAACATGTCCTTCATAAGATATTTATGTACACAAATGTATGAAGTGAGCTGAATGTACCAATCTCAAATATCAGTAATATTTCATGAAATATGGACGTGAAGCACTACTACAATTATTATAGACGTTACATTTTGAAGAGAATAAAGTCATGAGATCATTTTCCTTACGTTTTAGTTTTGAAAACTACGCTCAGTAATCAGGATCTATGTTGCGTACTTTATTAACAACAGTATCCATTTTTGAGTCAAAACACATTTTTGAGTCAAAACACATTACGAATTGTATAAAATATATGTACGTTGTTTTTATTAATTTCGTGTCTTGTTCTTTAATACAAATATTTTTTGGAGTACATTCTGTAATCTGTTGGCACTCTATAATAATTCAATGTCGTTTATAGTTTTAACGCTACCCATAGGATATTGAGTATGAAAAAAAATTAGTTTTTTATATGAAATTTTATATATTTAGCCGGAATGTCCAGTGGTAACCGGCGTGGTTCCCCCCTTAACTTCGCTAGGAGACTTGGCGGGGAAGAACCGCGGTATCCAGGGACATCATAACTCATGTTACTTGGACGCCACATTATTCGCGATGTTTACTTTCACAAGCGTCTTTGATGCCTTGCTCTATAGGCCTCCAGAACCTGAGGTGAGAAAAATGTTCAATAATCTATTACTTAAATTAATTGATTACTTAATAGCCTAAGCTGAAGAGACGAGATCCCGTTTTGGAGAGAGAGGAGCTTTAACAGTGCCTGGGACGTAAACCCAGGTGTAGGTTTAAAAGGCCCTTATCTATGGCGTTAAACGCTCACCTCCACTGTCCAAGCTCCTCTCTCCTAACCAAATTTGAAAAAAACCTACTAGGGATGCCTTCGACGACCGTTCCAAGAATGAATTAATGTGAAAATATTCATAAGAACTGCAGTGAATTTCGTCTTATCAGAATATTATCCAGTATATGTCAAGTTATATGTTGTCGCCAGGATTCCCCTCACTACTCGGAGGTTCTACCTAACCAAATTTGAAAAGAACCTTTTAGGGCTGCCTTCGAAGTACGTTGCACTTGCAAGAATGAATTAATGTGAAATATTCATAAGAACTGCAGTGAATTTCGTCTTATCAGAATATTATCCAGTATATGTCAAGTTATACGTTGTCGCCAGGATTCCCCTCACTATTCGGAGGTCCAGCGTGTTCTCCGCGAGGAGGTAGTGAACCCTCTGCGTCGTCACGGGTACGTGAGGGCCGACCGTGTTATGAAGCTGAGGACCTTACTCGAGAGACTGTCCGACGTGCCCGGACTTACTTGCGAGGAGAAGGTAGTTGGAACATATTAGGCAATATTCCATTAAATAAGTATAACTTTCCCAATATCAGAAAACTTAATGACTATTCCGTTAAATAAATATAACTTTCCCAATATCAGAAACAGTTAAGGACTATTCCATTAAAGAAATTTAGATTTCCCTATATCAGCGAAATTTTTTTTTCTCAATGGTAAGGGCTTTTTTATTTTCATTAAATAAATGTATCTTTCCCGATATCAGCAAAATGTATTGTTGTTAATATTGTCTCACCACGATACAACGTCATATTCGTTTTGCAAAAAATATTTCCCCTAAGGTATGTTAATTAGTTATTACGTTAATTTTCAGGATCCTGAAGAATTCCTCAACGGGCTAGTGGCGCAGTTACTAAGGGCGGAACCGTTTCTGAAGCTATCCTCTGGTCAAGAGGCGTTCTGCTACCAATTGTTCGTGGAGAAAGATGAACACATCACACTACCTAGTGTACAACAACTGTTAGAACAATCATTTGCCACATCTGGAGTGAAATTAAGCGAGGTGATTGATATGTAATATTTTCAGCTATACGTTATGTATGTGTATTCCAAAAAGTTAAATTCTTTAGCACTATTTGTATCCAAAATAGTATAAGCTTACGGATCGTTTAATATAAGAGATTGTATGGTTGTATTAATTTATATTTAACATATGAACGCTCTGTTTCAGGTTCCCGCGGCTTTTATAATTCAAATGCCCAGATTTGGCAAACAGTACAAGCTGTATCAAAGAGTGCAGCCATCTCCTTTACTGGATGTTACTGATCTCATTGAAGGATGTGAGTTTGTATTCTCATTTGTTACAATAAAGGCTGATTTTTTTTAATTTCAAGCTTTGTTTACTCCCAAAATATAATGTTTCAATCACTTTATCATTCAATCACTTTCATATTTGTGTTAACATATTGAATTATCACTAAAATTGTTTTATTTATTCGGTTATTTAATATAATAATTATAGCATCAAAAGACGTTCAAAGGAATAATTAAAAAAAAATTAATTTGCTCAAATCCCGAAAAATCTCTCTCGTTTAATCGTTCAATTTAAGGATAACAAAAGCTTCCCATATTCAAGGTGACTTTAAATAGCAGAAGATGATTTGTGTCAGTAAAGACTCAATATTGGATTAAGTTAATTTATATTCAATACATCACAGACAAAATAGTCTCTGTCGGGCAAATAAAGAATAGGTAGTAGAACCTAGCTGTGGACTCCTATCACAGAAGCTCGACTGTGTTGGACCAATTTATTGAAAATCTTCATTATGTGACTCTTAACTTGATTTTTTTACGATTTGTGCTAGCTTATTTGGCCTCATTTTACTTTATCTTTACACTTTTAATTATATATACGTATATTTCCAGTGCCTCGCCAGTGCACTGTATGTGGAGGTCTTGCTCGCTGGGAATGTTCTGCGTGTGCAGCGGGCGCTTTAGACGCAGGGGCCTTGTGCAACTCCTGTCTGAGATTGGCACACGCTACCCGACCCACACATAAGGTACACACACACACACACACATGCAAATACTCCTACACTATGACGTAAGAACCATAGACAATGAGATAATTATTTTTTTTATTTGAATGGCACATCAACAGTACACACAGTAAGCACTTAAAACTAAACATTTAAAACTGACACTTAACTGATGTGTGTACCAATTATAGACGTACACAGCACTGCTAAAGATTACTGTCTAGCTGCTTACAAAAATATTATAAAAAAATAAGTTAACAAAAGAAATTTCAATAACAAAACTATTACGAAATATTGAACTTATTTTTTTCTTGTTATACTTTTTAGGCCGTTCCATTAACTATCAGTGAAGAGTATGCGAATATTCTCGAGTCGTGTCCAGTGCCGAGGGTGTACATGGAGTTGTTTGCTGTGTTATGTATAGAGACCAGTCACTACGTCGCCTTCGTCAAGACCGGGGTCGCTCATGACGCGCCCTGGTGTTTCTTCGACTCTATGGCCGACAGGAAAGGTATAGAACTAACTAAATTAAACATTTTATAACGTGTGAAAATAATTGCAACTTCTTTTAACAGAGATGATAATTCGTCGGAACTAAAGGGTTCCTCATTTCTTTAAATATTAATACTATAAATATTAGTGTTCATTTCTTACATTGCGTTCAATAAAATGTATTTTAATTGCTATGTCTTTACATTAAAAATTTAGGATTCCACATACTCACACATATAATATGTTATTATCATTTTAATACTCATAATTTTTTTTTCATTTATCAAGGGGAACGCAACGGTTACAACATCCCAGAGATCGTGTGTGTGAGTGAGTTGGGGTCGTGGCTGAGCGAGGAGGGCCGAGCCCTAGCTCGGGCTGCGCCCCTCGACCGTCACCTGCCCGCGCCGGCCAAGCGACTGCTGTCAGACGCTTACATGTGCTTCTACCGCAGCCCCGATGTAGCTATGTACAGATAAAAAACTCATCTTTGTCTATGAGTGTATTCAAACATGAATATGTAATGTCCGGTCATAAAGTTTTAATGATTTTATTTATGTATTACATATCTCTATGGGCCCGATATAATAAAAATAGAATTTAGATTATTGAATTATTTATTATTAATTTTTTTTTTATTATTTGACAGTGAGCTATTGAGAACTGTTTAAAAAATTGTATGAGCCAACTTAATGTCAATAGCATCACATCTATTTCTGATCAGAATGAAATAGAAAGTCATTCAAGTCTTGTTCGTAGTACATATTTATTACACTAAAAATGTAATATAAGTATATATAGTATGCATTATTATATTATATACTAATTATTTAATAATGAAATATATTTATAAAGATATTATCATTCCAGAGTTTATTAATTTGATCTATGTTATTTAAATTATATAAATGAATGAATAAAAATTGTTATATATGGCACTGAAAAGTATTACATATATTATTGTACAGAAACATGAATTAAATTGAGAAATTTATTTGTTATTAATATTAATACCATAATATGACGGGAGTCAATAAGACACGTTGTAACTCCCCACTTAGTATTTAAATAAAACATGTTGAAAATATCCTTGTACATTTATTATTTATACTTTACATATCCTTAAACTAGTGAACACTTGTATTTTATTAGTTAATACTTAAAATAGTGGAAATAAATTGAGATTTTAGTTATCACTAAGACTAGTCTAAAGTTACAACTCTCAAAAATCTATACATATGTAACATGTAATCACAAATCCTCATGTATAATTCCTTTGTTCGATTCACAGTCACATTCAAAATCTGCTTGTGGTACATGTGTCATTCCTTCACGGACTTGCACTCCATCGATAATTCGTTTACTCCATTCCTTGAAAAATATAAGTAAATTATTAAACAACTCGAGAACAAAAGGACTCTGTAGTCTGTACATTCTTAGTTAATGAGGTTCTCTAGATTGTAAAAATATTTTTATCAATTACTAATATTAGAAAATCATTATATTGTACAACTTTTAATGTATGTATATTTAACTTTTATACCTTTTAATTATAATATAAACTTACTGAAAACAGAACGGCGTGGTAGCAAATAATATGTAGTGGTAATAAATTGTCGTTTGCAAAATCCCTTGCATTTCTAGCAATAGCAACTGCCTCCGTATCGTGATTCTTGGCCCATTTGATTTTTTCTACTAGATCTGAAAGATCACTTTTAACTGGCACGTAATGTTTCCATTGGTTTAATTTACTATAAAAATGTTCGTAGTAAGAGGAATCCTGTTTAAAAACTAATCCCCCTCCGGCCAGAAGATATGGGAATCTATATGCAGCTACTGTTCCATCCACATTTATTTGATACTTATACTGTAATAAATAAATTCATTAAATGTATTTCTAGAATTTGAATGAAATAAAAAATACGAAATAAAGTAGAATACTTGAGATGCTCCAGCACAAGGGTAAATAATATTAAAAATGATAGTTTAGACTTTAGACTTACATCAAAAAATTTAAAGAACGAAATATGTGGCACTTTAGGTCCATATTTCGCTTCTTTTTCTCTAAAGAAGAAAAAGTTGGTGAGTGATGCGTTGATGAGGTCGGGATTTTCGCGGGCAATGTCAATTAGCTTCAATCTTTCAGCGCGTGAATCCCGTCCACGCCAGATAGCACGAGGTTCTCTATCATCCCATTTACGTTCAACATTTCCTTGAACTGACAAGGTGTCTAACGTAACTCTGTAAATTACACAAGATATAGTTTGGTGAGAAATGTATGCTTAGTACAGCAGTACATAATGGTAAAGTATCTGAAAGATCAGATAAAATTTAAAATAATAAGTAGGTACATATAAGTATATACATATATATATTTACATATAACATTAGAAATAATCAGTTTCTATGTTGTGTTTAGAAGCTATCATATATTTCTATATAAGACTTTAGTATATAATGTGTAATGTGGGGCATATTCATTTAGTTATCAAAGGATAACATGTCACATCAAAGTGTTTAATGTTTTACAATGAAATGAAAACTTCTCTGCTTTAGCAAAATAAATTAATATTAAAACACACCTTCCTAAATTCTCTAAAGTAGATTCAGTGATATCATATGTGGGCATCACAATATCGAGAGTGTCATCGCTACCACACCATGAAAACATTGCTAGTTTTTCACTGTTTTTATGTATGAGTGGCCAGTCACCCAAATTTATAACCATTTCCATATCAGGCAGTACCGTTTTCCTAGACAATGATAATAGGATGTTGTCTGCAAACATATTGAACCCTACATGCTTGCCATAACAATCTCTGTATATTTTGTTCTCTTTTATAACATAATGACAAAAACTTGTACTCTCCGGCTTGTGATATTTGTCAACTATTTTCTTTATTTGCTCTTTCATTGCAACTCTTTGGAATGGAAGGAGATCTTTTTCAATTTGTTCATATGTTGTTGAACAACCATAATCATTTAACCAGGACTGGAATTCTGGGTTTGGACAATTACATTGATCTGGTAGGATAGGACCTGAAATAAAAGACCTAATTAATAACACATTATTTTCTAACGTTATACTTATAGTTGACTTAAAGGAACTAACCCTTAATTTGAATGGGGCTATTTTGAATGTGTTTGTTCTTGTAATAAATGCCTATTGTTAACTCCGTACAAGTCTCATATATCTTATAACGTATAATAAAAGTCCCGTCTTTTCGGTCTAAAGTGTTTACCCAGATGCGGCAGTGGTCCTTTTTAAAAGATTTCCCGCTAATATCGACTGCAAAGTTTCGGGACAAATCTTTATCGTATCTGCAAAAACACGGTTTAAATTTTAGTGAATGTAACGTATTATTCCAGCATGTTTATTAATTATATAAAAACTTACGAGGTCTCATTAAAAGATGTAAAATTTACAAAAAAATATCTTGCCGGCATCACTATATTTTTTGGTTGAAGTCCGGGACCAAATACTTTGATTTCTTCGCATGATACTAAATTCTCGTTAAAAATGTAAATAACAATAAATATGCACTTAAAATATAAAAATGTAAACATTTTGTAATCATAAAAAAAAGTTAATAAAAACTGGACATATGATTAAAAAATAAACGTTTATTTACTTTGCTTCTCGAATTGACACATAATGTCAATTGTCAATTAGAGACAATTTTGAATTCGGCGGTGATAAAGCCTTAAATGAAATATTTAATAAAAAAAATATATATTTAGTTCTCATATATTGTAATCAAAATAAAAGATGTTTGTAATATTATTTAAGAGCAGTTTGAATTCTTTAAACGTATATTTTTACAAATATTATTTATTTTAGTGGACCTTCGAAAAGCGGAATACCCGATAATCCGACTCGGTGTTTCACATTTTATAATTGTTTTTTTTTACAATTTTCGCTAATACATAAACCAGTTATAAATTGTACGTAGTACGTACATGAAGCCATCATGCATGCATGTAGAGGATAGTTTTTTGATTCTGATTGCTAAAGTATATAACATTTTTATTTATTTTACAATGATTTTATTGCAGTGATGTTAATTTACAGTACAGCTTTAAAGTACAGTAAGAACTACTTAATTGCTTGGTTATAATATCAATGAAAATTTGTTTACAATGATGACTTATTGCTCTATTATATTGTTATTAATAAAAAAATTCCATCACAAGCTTAATGTACCAAACGTACTTTTTTACCTATATGTAGCATAGATTATACAATGTTATGATACTCACGTCAGATTTTTAGTTCTGACAAGAAGAGCACTTACTATTTCTTCATTTGTAACTTACTAAAAAGGTTATGATTTAAATAGATTTTTTGCTATGATTTAAAACATTAACTGAATTGTAGTTATAATTTTGTTAATATCTATATAATCATGGCATCATCTAACTTAAAACTCCTTTGCACCTTATTGAGTAGGATTCGGTAAGTTTATGTTAAAACAATATTAATAAAACTATTTTATTTTGATGTCTTTTAATAAATTCTTGTAATTTTAGAGTCGAAAATGTGACAATAAAAAGGAATCTCTATCAGCCACCAAAATATCGTCCACCGCATTGGTACATGCCAAAAGAGAGAGTGGTATGAGTGATAAATTTTAATTATCAATCGCGTTTCTACTTAATTGAAATCTGTAGTTAAAATAACTGTGAGATCTTTATTATGTTTACAGTTGACTGATGATATGGTTACTCAAGACAATAGGGATTTTATTGATGAAGTAAGACAAGATAAATTAAATTTGCAAACTGCAATGGAATCACCCCTCAGTAAAATCGAGCCCCAAGAAACCGTACAGTGGAACCCAACTACTAGAAGAGTTGGTTTAATAGCCCGAAAGATTGGAAATTATCCACTATGGACAAAAAGTGGAAAAAAAGTGCAGACCACTTTGCTTCAGGTAATTAATTAAAATATGCTATTAGTTTGTATCCATATATGAATTTCATACTTTTGTTGAACCTTATGTAACATTTATTTACAGGTGGTGGACAATCATGTCATAAAATACATACCACCAGAAGAATACACACCTGCAAAAGATTATAAACCTAAAAAAGTTGGAAAATATAGATTAGGATGTATGCTAGTGGGATCAGAAACTATAGACCCCACTACAGTCACTAAAGATTATTGCGGCATTTTTAGTAGTGTGGGAATGCTACCTAAAAGACATTTGTGTCGTTTTCATGTGTCACCAAATGCACAACTGCCCACAGGCACACCATTGTTTGCTACTCATTTTAGAGTTGGTGACTATTTAGATATAAGAGCCAAAACGTAAGAACTATTTTTTTTATCAGTAACTCTCTCAAAAGACAAAGAAATTATTTTTATTGTATACATTTCAGTATTGACCGAGGCTTCCAAGGAGTTATGAAGAGATGGGGATTTAAGGGCATGCCTGCTTCTCATGGTGTAACTAAAACTCATAGAAGACCAGGAAATATTGGAGCCGGTGGTGAAAAGGCTCGTGTATGGCCTGGAACGAAAATGCCAGGTCATATGGGCAACAGGTAATAAAAACACATTCTCTTAATCAACTTCTACTATATTTACAATTTAAAAAATACATGTGCCTATATTATCTATGAATTTCATTAGTTTTATTTATTGGCAAAATTTTATGTACCTAACTTATACTCTATCTAAACATTACATAGTTGTCTTATTAAATACTAAAATAATTTTAGATGGAGAATATTAAGGGGTGTCAAAATACTCCGCATCAACACTAAGCACAATGTGCTTTGGACATTGGGTGTTGGCATCCCTGGTGAAACTGGTGCAATGTGTTATCTTTTTGACACTGTTCTCCCATTGAAGAAATTACAGACACCACCCCCCTTCCCTACTCATCCACCTGCCGAAGATTTGCCACTTGAGTATTATGATGAATCTATACACTTATTTGAGCAACCCTCAATAACTTTTGAAGAAACCTAATCTAGAAATATTGATGAATAAATCTGTAGTGTATAGATATGTAATAAAATAAATAATGATTTAAATAAGGTGTTATATTCTTTCACAATACAATTTCTTTACTTATAAGCATTTATTTTTAAAGTGTTTCAAAACATTTGTTTTATTTGTGTTTTATAATAAAGTAACCCATTTTTAATAATTTTATATACTTAAAGGCTGTTCTGTATAGTATATTAGACTTTTTGATGTTTAGATATGAATGGAAATCTAAACAGAATAGCTGGGTGGAATGAAAGGATGGACCATGTTTTTGCATACATGAAATGAGGATTGATTTGGCTGCATGTGTTTTAAAGTTTTATGTATATAGGATGGCAAACTTCAGAGGGTAGATTTTTAGTTATAAAAAAAAGAATTACAAGTACAATACATACAAAACAAGTGAATCTTTAAATAATTTTGTACAAAGCCTCATCATATGTTTTGATGTCGGTAAACATTGCATAAAGCTATTTTTTTCTAATGGATGTTTCAGTGTTCAAACTATAGGTATCTTAATATTAATAGTAATTACTCATCACATAACACTAAAAATAAACTTGAGGTTTTTATTAGTACACACTTAAAGTAAAAAGCAGTGAGAATATAAAAACTTACATTATTACTGTTTAATAGTACTCTTGTTCTTTTGTTAAGTAATTACTGCTGATTAGGAGGCTGGAATCCATATCCTGGATAAGGTTGTGGTGCACCAGGGGGAGGAGCACCAGGTGCTGGCGCCCGAGCATATGGATATGGGGACGGAGGATATTGGGCCGGGGGGTAGCCTTGTTGATAAGCATGGGGAGGATACGCGCCTCCACCGGGAGGATAGTTCTGAGGATTCTGCGGATATGAGGATTGAGGAGGTGGCGCCGTTGAAACTGACGGCGCTGGACTACCAGGCTGAGATGACGGATTAGAATAAGGTGGCTGTGTCGCTGGAGGATATGGAGGTTGACTAGACGGAGGGTATTGTGAACCAGATGGAGTACTTGGAGGTGGTCCTCCCGAGGCTGGCGTTGAAGTCTGACCATTATTTCCATGGGCGCTAGAGTTATATGTCGGTGATTGTGCAGAGGGAGAACCGTAACCAGTACTGGTTGGGTTTTGAGATGTGTAACCAGATGGTGGTGGTTGAGGGGAGCGGTTCGGTTGAGAGATTGGTGTTGAGCTATATGCTGACGTTGGAGTAGTATTAGGGAATGGCTGTGATTGATAAGGCTGGGGCTGGGAGGTTGTGGCATTATAAGAACTCACACCCACATTGGGATAGTTTGGTCCCGATTGAGGTGGAGGGTAACCTGAATTTCCAGTGTATGCTGGCTGGCTTGATCCTCTTACTGGATATGGTGAACCGGCAGCTGCGGGGCTCCCGGGTGGTGGAGCGTAAGGTTGCTGACCAGAAGAGGGGGGATATCCTGGGCTTGGGTGTGTAGAGGGGGGATAGTTACTTGATGTGGTTATAGGAGGTCCATATGTGGAATTGGGTGGGTAACCTTGTGGTTGTTGAGAAGGGTTGGGTGGACCATATCCTTGTCCTGGGGGTCCATAACCAGCCTGGGGAGGATACCCTGGTGATCCTTGATACTGTCCTTGATATTGATTCTGGGGGTAAGGTCGTTGACCATAGGATTGAGTTGGTCTAGTTGGTGTTGAAGACACTCCTGATGGACGGTATGGTTGTTGTGGTGATCCTGGTACATCAGATCCACTAGTAGGAGGGTTGAGGGACCCTTGTTGAACATTACCAGCCAATTGATGAGGTGGCTGAAAGATAGTTACAAAAAAACATTAATACGTATTATACATTACTTATTATAGAGCGTTATTTTTTTTATATGGTTACTTTTAATAGAAATTGTTTCTTAAAATAAAATAAATTCATTTAAGTAGATGTTCGAGATATTTCATACGTATAACACGTGATAAAAGTAAACTGATACACAATATAAATAGTAAACTATAGATAATTATTCACCGGGAGTAAGGCTTGAATGTTCTGATTGGCGTCGGCGACAGATGCTAAATACACTAAATTTCTGTGTAAAACTTGCTGATATTGATGACATTCCATAAGCTGCCCTTTCGCTTGATATTCTTGAATTGTTTGTATCAAATGGGCATTTTCATCCAGCATTTTTTGAATTTGTGCTGGACTCAATGGTGGCCGGTTGCCCCGGGGTGCAAACGCAACAGACATAATTAATAGTTACTTTTATTTGTACCTAAATATAGAATCTATATTTATCTGTTCATATCCTTGTCTTAAAAACTTAATTTTGTGAGTTAAGAATTATTTTTATTACAAAAAAGCTATAGTAATTAACTGATAGAATAGAAAGCGTCAACACACACAAGCGGACCCTCGATAGTTGACAATTTACATTTTACGGAGGGCCCGAGGGGTTAAACTTGAAGTTGCAGATTAAAAAACTAGTTGGAGCACAGCAAATAAATCGCAATAATGTATATCAAAAAAACCGTGTTGCTATACGGAAAATTTAAGGAACATTGTAAACAAAAATAATCGCAAAACAATTGAGGCATATTTTTATAAAACTGTTTATAACTGCATCGGTTATTGAGTTAATGTTTAAAGAAATTTACAAAATAATTTGAAACAAAGATAATTTGGTTAAGGAGTAGTATATTTTTAGATAAACTTTATAATTTTGGAATACTTTAAATTTCACACATTGTAATGTAGCAATACTGTTTAATTATATAGAAAACCTTAAATATAGAAAATGCAAATACAATTCAAGACAACACATACATTCTTATCTTGCAATCTCAAAGCTTATTATATAAACTACAATAATGTATACAAACTTTTATATGATATATTTTTATTAAAAATACATTTAATGAATACTTACATATGAATTTGAAGACTTACGTATACGTATGCAAAACAAAATTTTGTATTGCATACGTATTATATTTCATTAATCGATATTTATAAATATTTTGCAATTATTGATAAAAGACATAGATTCTTTTCATGATGAACTATGAACTAAGTCAAATGTTAATTATAAACGGGAAGTTGAGATGATTTATCAGATTAAACACTTGCATAAAAAGCAAGATTTTATAAATTTAAATTAGTTAGCTTAGGACTTTGGACCAGTGAACGTGTTGTTAAACCAAGTGAATAAAATTTCTTTTTTAATATGGCTTTAAATGGTATAAAAGTTGTAGAAATGTTGGGACTGGCTCCCGGCCCTTTTTGTGGAACTGTATTAGCTGATTTTGGTGCAACTGTCACAGTTGTACAAAAGGTCTTATTTACATATATATTTTTTTGTTGTTTATTAATGAGTTATTTAACATTAATTATTATTCATTCTAGATTGAAGTCACAACGTTGGATGTTTTGTCGAATGGGAAAAAATCTATTTCTTTGAACTTGAAATGTCCAAAAGGTAAACAAGTGTTTAAAAAATTAATGGACTCTTCTGATGTCATAATTGATACATATCGACCAGGTGTTTTAGAAAAATTGGGTCTCGGCCCGCAAGACCTAATGAAAACAAATCCAAAATTAATATATGCAAGACTTACAGGATTTGGTCAAACAGGATTATACAAGGATAAAGCTGGTCATGATTTGAATTTTATTGCCATGTCAGGTGTCCTCTCAATGCTTCGTAAAGATGGACAGCCACCGAGAGCTCCGGTAAATATACTTGGAGATTTCGCTGGTGGTAGCCTTGTATGTGCTCTTGGTATAGTTTTAGCACTGTTTGAGAGAACAAAATCAGGAAAAGGACAAGTTATTGATGCTAGTATGACAGAAGGAGCTGCATATGTAGCAAATTGGATTTTTAGATCAAAATATCTGCCAATTTGGATGGAGGAACCAGGAACCAGCGTTTTGGATGGTGGATATCCCAATTACAATACTTATAAGACCAAGGATAACAAATTTATGGCAGTAGGAGCTTTGGAAGAAAAGTTTCAATCAATGTTCTTAAAAGGACTTAATATTTCAGAAGAAGAATTTTTAGTATGGGAAAAAAATGAATGTGACGAGAAATTAAAAGAAATATTTTTAACTAAGACGCAACAAGAGTGGTGCAACATTTTCAAAGATTTGGATGCCTGCGTCACTCCTGTATTAGATCAAGAAAATGTAAAAGACCATGAACTGCATCTCTCTAGAAAGTCATTCTATGTAGATGAAAATAATTTAGTATCCCCCGAACCGGCTCCTAGATTATCAAGAACACCAGGTTTAGCCAGCGGTAAGCTGCCATCGGTAAAACCGGGTCAACATACAATAGAAATAATGACATCATTAGGATATAAAAAACCAGAAATACAAGAACTTATTAACAACAATAGCATTTATGCCCATAAAAAATCGAATTTATAAACATTTACATTTTTTGTTCCTTGTCTTCAGGGAATTTTTCCACTATTGTCTCACATATTTGATCTCTTATATGAATTAACTTTGGTGCTATGTACTGTGGTAAATGGCTGTCTACTATTAAGGGGTGGTTTAAAAGACATTTTATTATTTTTAATATGATTGATAAATCATAATCAATATGATATTTACCTATATTATACATATTGAAAAGTTTATATTGCTTATTATTTCTTAAACTTAATCTCTTAGTAGCTATGTAGGTGATGAAATTAATGAAACTTTCAAAATCCATGCCGAACAGTGATTTTAGTATAAGTTGGCACTGGCTAGTAAATTCTGGAGTTTCTCTGAACTCTTTAATTTCATTTTCAACAGAAATTAGATTTCTTTGCAATGCTTCCCATACAAAATGTATGTTGCATGCATTTACAAAATTATGATTAATAGATATAGTTTCTAACTCATTACAAACTTGATGGTGCCATCCGGATGGGACAAAAATAGCATCACCTCTTTCTTGAGTAACTTCTATGTATCTTACTTTATTAGATTCTTGTGCATTAAATAATAAAGGTAAATTTCCTAGAGAATCCTTTAATTTTTCTTCTTCACCGGGAGGAAACAGGATCCATTTTTTCCTGCCGATTACATTCACAGACCAACTGTAAGATGAATAGACATCTGCGTGCAAGGGAGTCCTGAAATTATGATATTTTTTAAAATTTAAACATACTATTACTTAAACCAGTGAACATAAAATGTTTACCAAGTGTTTTGAGCTCCAATATAAACAAACATAAAATCATCGTCCTCATGATCTATAGCAAATTCATTTAACCAATCAGAAGCAAATATGTGTGGGACCTCATAAAAATTTTCACCACTTTTCAATCTTTTCAAATGCCAGTCTTTAAGATATAGAAGTTTTTCTTTGGTAGGGTTTCTGAGATATGTTATGTAATCTCCAACTTTCATATTGCTTTTGCAATGAGAATTGAAATTGGTTTCTTGGCAGTCTGCAACAGGAGCTACTACATCTCCATAGTGTTGTTCTAGATACTCATAGTTGATAGAACCTTCCTTAATCCAATCAACTGAGCATTGCCAGGTATTCGATACATTTTTAATTATACATGGTAAATTTTGTAACATATACTTCTCATAGAAGTTATTATATTTTAAATCACAAAAATTAAGATACTGGATTTCACACTTAGAATAATCATATTTGATAGGTATATCCTTACAGATATTAATTTCCAATTCCATATTTTGTCTATCTATTTATAATATTTACTTTTATTGCAATCCATTAAAATTATTCAAATTTGGATAACATCATTCATTCTTATTGTGTTATTTTGAAATCTGAATTCTGATTTCTAAGTTCTGATTCAAACTGACAGTTGACACAATCATGATTGCTTTTATTCCAATTATCAATTCCGATTATAAATTTTTATACGATTTACTTACTTAATAAATTGAAATTAAGCGTTAAAATTAATTTATACTTTGAAAAATCTTAACACTGATATACTTTTAATGAACAGGTTTTAATGAACCGGTGTATTTATTTATTTTAATTTTATTAATACCTGATGGACACCAAAACTCATTATCATATCATTGAATTTAATTAATTTAACTAAATAAAGTAATTGATATTAATTATTTAATAAAACCATCACATTTTAGAAAATACATTAACTAATTATGATATAAATCGATTCTAAGTATTATCGATTTTTTCTGTAACTTTCTATTTTGTCAATCACTTGTGTATAAGGCATTGAGAAACTAAATTATGATTAATCTGTGGATGGCGGTGCTTGAGGAAAGAACTACGCCAAGTTATTTAATTTGGAAAATACGATTATTTCAAGATTTCTTTATTATTTTATTCATAAAGTAACATTTTTAAGTGAAAATGGTGTTTAAATATTATAAGAAATCAAATATGTGATACGTTTCAGAAAAAGTGATGATTTCTTTTGTATACCATTTCTTGGCGGTAACATTATCATGATTACCAACAAATATATTGTACATACTTATAAGAAACTTATAAGCGCCAATGAATATTAGGGCAAATCGAAAAAGTATGATATTTTGATAATTTTTCAACATTTTCGTTTATTAAAGTCAGTAAATAAAAACATAAGTTTGCCGATATGAATGATGTTCGCGAAAAAGTTGTCGCTGGGTCCTCGACATGGGAAAGTGCTCCGCCGCACAGCGACTCATCTCCTGAAATTCATTCCTCCCCCGGAGGCAGCGGGGAAACTCCTCAAACTCCTGGAGCCCCAGCTCCTCTTGCACCGCATCTTGCTGCAGATTTGCATCCAGATTTAATACAACAAGGATGGCAGAAATATTGGTCAAGGCGTGAAAACAGACCTTATTTTTGGAACAAAATATCTGGCGAGTCTATGTGGGAGTTACCAGCGGTGAAAAGAGATTTTGACCCAATAACGGACCCCTTAGGTATATGTCACACAGGTCCACCCAACGCTGGGAATGTCACTCCAAGTGCTAGTAAGCGACGTCCATCCGAAGACAATGGGCCTCCACCAAAAAAGTTTGTTCTTGCCGGACCTTGGGATATTGAAGTTCCAACTAATGTCATAATATATGAGCGGCCACCAACTATTTGCCCCCATCCTCATCCAGAGATTGAAGGGTTTAGATTTACATTAGCTAATAAGTTGAGGCAGTGTTATCAGGAATTGTGTCACACTAGAGAGAGTATAGACGCCCCTAAAGATTCTTTTAACAGATGGCTGATGGAGAGAAAAGTGAATGACCAAGGAGGTTCAGACCCGTTGCTACCTAGCCATTGTTTTCCTGAAATATCTCATTCTATGTACGAAGAAATTATGAATGACATACCCTTAAAATTGGCTCATCCAAAATTTACCGGAGATGCCCGTAAACAACTCTCAAGATATGCAGAAGCCGCAAAAAAAATGATTGAATCTAGAAATGCATCTCCGGAAAGTAGAAAAGTTGTTAAGTGGAATGCCGAAGATACTTTTCAGTGGCTGAGACGGACTGTTGGTGCGACTTATGATGACTTCCAAGATAGATTGGCACATTTACGAGTAACATTAAAAATATGATTAGTTATTTTTTTATGCTAATAGTAAATATTTATTATTATTGATTATGTATATATTTTTGTAACAGAGACAATGTCAACCACACCTCGCAGAAACAGCAAAAGCATCGGTGGAAGGAATTTGTCTTAAGATTTACCATTTATCAGCTGAGTACGCCAGAAAGATAAGAGAAAAACATAGCATGTTGTTAAAAGAAAATGGAATACAGGTGAGTCAGTATCAAGGAACATTCCAATAAGAAATATTTTAACAATAAGCATAGTTTGTGTCATAGAAGATTTAAAAAAAAGGGTCTATTCTAATATTATTCAAAGAAAACAGTTATTAAGACATATATGGTTAAACATAAATCTTTGTATTGTCAGTTTTATGTAAGTTTATTTTAATAATTGAGTGTAGTATGACTATTGAAATGAAGTAAAATGCTTAGAATTATAACAAGTAATTTGTAGAAGTACTAGAAATAATAAGTTAGGCTTTAAATTCAATAGAAAATTTTGAATGAAAAATTCATCAACTCAAGCAGAATGGTACCTGCCATCTTTGGTATATAGAATACCAGCTTTTATTTACCTTTCAAGTTTTAACTTTAATGTTAAAAATATAATTATGTTATGAAGGCATATATTTTTATTAATACTAGAAATTAAGTTAATACATTAATGATGATTCTGTTATAGGAGTTACCAGCCCCACTTCAGCAGGCTGCTCTACGTAAGGTGTGGTGCTATCCTGTACAATGTGCTTTGCCTTCACCGAGGCCACCTCTCGTGGAACACTTTCTAGACCGAGACCAAGTGTTGCTGAGATACCTCGGGGAAACACAAGTCATCAACGCCAATTACCTACAAAAACTTGTTAGTATTCACCTCTACTATCTACATCAAACTTATGCAGCCATATTTGTATGTCAAGATCGTTACAGCTTCTTTATTAGTTTTTTCAATAATGAAGTTACATAATATTCAAAAGACTTTGTTCCAAACCATGTACTAAGCTTATTTATATGATAAAGACATGTAATATTAAAATATTTATCTGTAAATTTCAGGAGCAGTTATACCGCTACAGCTGTTTCGATGACAAGAAGTTCGAACAGTTTCTATCCCGAGTGTGGTGCCTTCTGAGACGGTACGCGGCGTGGGTGGGGGGCGCGGGGGCCGGGGTCAATGACTCCCACGTCACACAGATGGCGCTTCCGGTTCCAGTATTGGACTGCCTCCATCGATACTTCGGCGTCACCTTTGAATGCTTCGCCAGTCCCCTCGACTGTTATTTCAGACAATACTGCTCTGCGTTCGCAGATACTGATTCCTATTTCGGTTCACGAGGGTAATTCTTTTTTTACTATTGCCTTATAAGGGTTTGTTCATATCATAAGTAAAAATAGATTTATTACTGAGGTACTGCATATGGCATCTTTGTCATCATTTTCATCATTCATCAGTAGTATTAAATCCATTCATATGTATACCCAGCCCTTTCCTCGAGCTTCGGCCTGTCTCCGGGTCGTTGGTGGCGCACCCGCCCTACTGTGAGGAGCTCCTGACCGCAGCCCTGCGACACATGGAGCGCCTTCTCCAGGACTCCGCGGAGCCTCTTAGTTTCGTGGTGGTTCTCCCCGAGTGGCCTGACAAACAGACACACGCACTGCACAAACTACAGGCCAGCCATTTTAAGAGGAAACAGGTAATAATCCCTTATAGCTACTGTATACCTTCAATATTATTGTTAAATCTCATTATTGTATTATTTGTTACTGAATGAAGTTTAATCAGTACTAATGATATATCTGCATGATTTTTTATTATATATAAAAATGTATTAACTATGATTTGTAAACATACATTTATAAAATAGCAATAACTAACACTTGCATGTATACAAATGTTAATTATTTAATTATTAACAAGTGTTAATTATTGCTTTTTTATAAACTATATTGACAAATATCTTAAACTTTTAACAATTGTGACCAAATCTATATTTTTTGTATCATTGCAAACAATCACAAAAATCATATCAAACCGGTAGGAACAACTAAAAGTTATTAAATTTATATTGTCTGTTAAATGACAAAAGATTCTACTTTCTTCTAATGTAAGAAGACTTTGAGGGACAGTTTGATCAATGGTACACAAGTGTTAGACATTCAGAATCTCTGCCACTCACAAGTGTTACAATGTACTACTACGAGATACTCATTAAAAATATCTTTTTTGTGAAATTCAAGTAACATTATAATTTTTTTTTTAAATAATATAAACAAGGCATCACTACTACTCGTTTAGCGTTGATTTTTCACTTATACCGTCAGTGAAGCAAGTAATTTCTCAAGCATTATTTCAATTGCAGGTGGTCATACCAGCGTTTGAACACGAGTATCGCCACGGTTTTCAACATGTACTTCCAAAGTAAGTAACAATTATAATATAAATAAAGAAATGGATATTTCACATTTAAATAAAGCTTGTAATACAGAGGGCTTTGACGTGAAGGTTGGTTTACAATAAGACGGCTAGGCCTCTAACGTCGACACCAGGGAGCTATCCCACACAGTGGAAGTAGCCAACGGAAGTCGAACTTAGAAGAGTGATTTTCCTCGGTAGCTTTCAAAATACAGTCCCAACCAGGTGGAAGCAGTATCTTTGCCACTATCGAGGTCCCTGTGACTCGATACAAAACAATTATTTTCTGGGTTATTTATTCACTATATAAAGTTATAACGTTAGCGTGATTTAGAATACAAGTAACATCATCTATTATCAAAAAGATGAACTAATGTAATGTTAGGAGTAGGAATATATTGCTGTTACAAGCTAATATTTTCGGCTAACATTCTCATCTCGTCTGCCCGTGACCGCGTAGTAAATCCGAAAATATTCAATAATCTCAGAAGTCCTAGATATCATTACTTTACATCCTGTAATTCAGTACATAAATATTTTGTCACCTATTTTTTTGTATGATGTTATTTTATATTACACTTTCTTTCTCACCTTTTCTTCTGAGAAGAAAGTACACTGTTAATGAGACTAAACTTCTCAAAAAAAATTGAAGGGTTCAGTGTGAAGTTGCCGGTCCATCTTAATTTTATTTTTATGGTATTGTTGGACCTGTCTCATGCTATTTATATCTTGTGCGTTCAGTACAAACTGTCTCGAACAATTGAATCATAACAACTTGAGTCAAATTCTATCTCCCGCCCTGACGTTTACATACTTCAGGAAATTGCTAGCATAAACTCATGAAATAAACAAATTTTATTTGTATAGTTTACATTGCTAAAAGTCCATAAGAAATGTTAAACCCTACATAAGTATCTAGAATTATAATTTTTATAGTCCAGTAGAATTTTTATATTAATTTTTTTTTTTTTTTGTGGTGACTAACTTGATTCTTTAAAGACGGTGTTTATTTGAAACCAGATTTTTCTTGAAACTTTGTACTAGGTCGCTGTTCACTTATAACTAGTTCTATGTATCTTAGTTATTAGTCTTATATAAAGTGGTGGTCTTATATAAAGTGAATGAAATATAAGTCTACATATGTACTACAAGGGTTGAACAAGTCAATTTGTATCACAGAAACGAAGTTTATTTCCGTTGGGGCTGCGGCACTGTGGTGGTATGGTTGCAAAACGCAGCGGGTTTCGCACGCTGGGGACCCACAGACGAGCGTGTAGAAGCGTTATTAGACGCCTGGCGACCGCGCGCCAAACTGCGCTCCCCAGTACCGCCTACACCCTCAGTAGAACAATCGCCGCACCCCGCACATCCCTCATCCGACAGGCGCTAGTGATGTCCATAAACCGGAACCTGCCAATTTGATTGTCAATTTTGCCGCCAAAAAACATCGACGCAATTCTGACGTTTCTGACGCTATATAATTTAAAATAGAGCATTATATTATTTTGAAGACAGATATATATAAAATTGTAAATAGTTTATATGTTTTTGCATAACTGATGTATGATTCACTATTGTAAAACCAATTATACTTAGTTATTGCATAATATATTATCAGATGCGCAAATAGTTGTGAAACATTAGACTACGTTGTTACAATAATCAAAGTGTTCTATCAATATCCAGCCTAGTTGAAAATGTAATTGTGATATATTATTACTAAACAAATGTTAAATATCATCCGTCAAAATTATCATAAAAATACATAAAAAAATTATAATATTGTGAGACATAAAAGAGAGTAGCTTATAACGTTTCTCCTTCAATAATGGAAAATAGCGTTGTTTCTACTTATTAAAGAATTTAAGTTAAATTTTATATATAAAAGTATAACGTGCAGGGATGGCACGTAGGTTAGTTAATTAGATAATTAAGCACCTTGTGAATGATTTATGTGATGATCTTAAATCTAGTTTTGTGTCCAGGCATAAAAGGAATTATTTAATTACTATAATAACTAAAAGAGTGTAGAGACATCTTAAGTTATGTATGATTTTGTAAGAAATGATAATAAGATGGCCAGCTTTGTTCATTTAGAGTCATTAATATAAATTACATATTTGTCTAAGTAACAACTTGATTATATAACAAATTAATATATTTTAATCCATTTTTGTTTCGGTAACTATAATAAACAAAACACTATCACCACTAATAAATTGTACATAGAATGATATGTTAAAAGAAACATTTTTTTTCAATGAACAATGAACATATATTCAATGTGCTTCAAAACTAAAACTTATTTACTGATACAGATCTAGTGATTTTAATGGCATACATAATAATTGGAGGTTCTACATGTATTGTACTATATAACTAAAGAGGAATTATTATATTAGCGTCCAGTTGTGCTTCAAAGCTTTTCTATGTCAATACATAACATATGCCTGTGCAAGATCTCAGTTTATTTAAATACAACTGTAAAACACTAGAAAAGATTCATCTTAATTATATTTATCAATTATTGTGGCTGTATAAAAAAATGTTATATATATTCGGGCCACCATAATTTCCTATGTAAACATAAAGTATGAAATATTAAAATATGTATACTTATCTCTTTATGTTAATTTTTGTATCACAGTCTTTTGAGAAGTGTTCTTTGAATAATCCAAGAATTATAAATAGTTTCAATATATGAACTAATGTTTGACATCTTTGAAATATTTAACAGCATTTTGTTATTTTTTTTTATATAAAATTTTATATTTGTTCCAAGATCGGGACAACTTCCATTTTGTTTTTGTGATTCTTCTATCAAATTAAAAATCATGTTGTATTTACAAAACGCTATGATATATTGTATATAGCAAGGTGCATACTGTACATACTTTTTGATGAAAAAAAAATTGGTTATTTACTTAATGTAAGTTCTTTTTAAGAATCCCTTTTTACTGTTGTATAGATTGATAAAGATTATATTTTGATTGTTTGATTATTATATTTTTCTGAAAAATTGCCTCTCTTTCTTTCCTTTTCCATTATGATGAGATCCCATATACATCCCTACTAATATTATAAATGTGAAAGTAACTCTGTCTGCCTTTAGGTCTGTCTGTTACGTTTTTATGCCTAAACCACTGAACTGATTTTAATGAAATTTGGTACAGATATAGAGTTCACCTTGAGAAAGAACATAGAATAATTTTTATCCCAGACTTTGGGAAGGTTCTCTTGGAAACGCGATATAACCGAACTCTACGCGGCGAACTTGCGGGTGGAAAGCTAGTCTTCTATCTTCTATATATATAAAAATGGATTGCTGTTCCTTAGTCTCGCTAAAACTCGAGAACAGCTGAACGGATTTATCTTATCTTAGTCTTGAAATGTTCGTGGAGGTTCAGGGAAGGTTTAAAAGCTGAAAAAAATTGATTCATTACTGCGAAAACCATAAAAACAGCCCTTTTCTATTTCCCAAACAAACGGTTTTTTTTTGACATTAGATTTGACAACTAACTAATATGTCAATCATTCTGTCGCACTTCAAAACACGGAGATTTATGGCTTACAGGTAAACTCCAAAAATATAAATAAAAAAACGTAATAGATATTTCTTGATTATAGGGCGATACGAAGTTCGCCAGGTCTTCTAGTACTTTATAAATTAAATATCCCAGTGTCTTTGTAATTTTCAATGATTCATTTATTGAAGAAATTGTTTTAGTAGACATTTATTGTAGAAATCCACATCAATTCTTTCCTCCATTGAATATTTTTACAGCAATGTCACGATAGGCTTAGATTACTTATACAGACTACTCGAAATCAAATGTAAGGAAAGCCTATATATTTAACTTATTCCTTTAATATTATCATTAAGAAGAGGACAGCGTTGACAATTATCACACCTAGTAGTAATTCGGACTAAATTTTTTTTAAAACGTTTTATCACAGCAGCATCCTATTCACTTTTACTGAGAAAAAATCAGAATTGTACGTGCCAGAAAACTGTCGGAGGCGAACCGTCCCAATCTTTAGCTGTGTTCATGATGAAGGAGTTATATCATGCAATTACTGTTCACATTCTCTACTGCGTATCCTGTAAAGTAGGTACTTAAAAGCTGATTTTATTCGGCCTGTGGTCGAAGTTGACTAGATTAGTTTGAAGAAAATCGTGGTTACTAAAAAGCCTTTTCATATGCCTGTAAAGAATCCGTAGAAGTGATGTGACATGGAGTAACACGGATCCACACATGACAGCAGTAATTAATATGCTACTAGAACTGTGCTTTATAGAAACAAAGTAGCTGTCTCTGCACGAAGTATTTTTGCAAGGACATTAGTGAATTTACTGCTTCGTTGGCCTTGGACACAACGGCGTGCCCAAAGTTAAAGGACAAGTAAATAACTTTAACAAAAGGCTTTCAGTGTATTCCGGGGATACATTCAGATTATATGAGTCAGTGTAAGTGGATTCGTCTTGCCAAAAAAAAACTCGCTCTTGTTATGGGGATAGTCAATGACTCATGTGGAGACTGCCTGAATGTTAAAATTTATAAGTTCTACCGAGGCATTCTTCGAAGTCTATCTGATCCCGATACTACGGCACGGTCTGAAATGATACAATTTCATAAGTATGCTCTCAACTCCGTAGCTAAGAAAACAAAGTAATAGTAAGTCTCTAATATGTGCATTAATAACATTAAGTGATGAAGAGAAGGCCTCTGTGGGAAAGGATTGCCTTGATGGTAGCTGGCTTAGAGGTGCAGACATGCCAAAGAAAGTCTCGTAATCAGACCGTAAGATATCCAATACTCGAAGAGCTTATTAAAACCGCTATTATCAGAAACTGTTAAAAAATTTCTAGACATCAAATAAAACTATCACAACTTCACCGTTTCCATTCAATGAGTGCCCTTCCTTTCTCTAAGCAACTACCGTGTAGTTTTTTCTATTATTTTTATCTAATAGCCATACTTTTTTATACTCATTTAATCTAACGAATCTATTAATAAACTTTATGAGATACATCATACACCGTTATTCTTGATTAAGGGTATAATTTTTTTTAGAAAACAGATGTTACTATTCTAAAGAAACATTAAAACCGTCTGATATTTAATTTCGTATTTTTGGTAATTTTAGTGTCAAAGTATGTATAGGTAAGCTTGAACTTGAACCCCTTGAAACACCGTCGTGGCTGTTACCCTCTGGAAATTTGAAATAGAGAATAGAAATAAACTGTGAGCTGTCAAAATACCTACAATAAAGGTAAAGTTACAACTTACACATACTCATTTCAAGCACGAAAGCATCCTTTAATTGAGCACATGCTACTTAGTAGCATGCGTGTTTAAATATTGCTCAAATTAGCATACTATTTTGAGCACGCTTTAAAATTGTCAGGCAAGCGATTTTTGAGCATTCCACTGGGCTTTTTTCGGGATCAGGTGGCGGAATACCTTTCACACCGCCACCGTATGTTCCCCCATGTCCTTCGGTTGGTCGAGACGACACCCGTGCTTTTCCTCCATTCCGCCTGACACACATGCTAACCGGACATAGATGTTTCGGAAGGTACCAACCTGTTTCGGATTCAGATAAACAGGTTACCAATAGTAAACTGCAAAAGAAAGCTTATTGTATGCCAAATGTATGCAATCAACAATATATAAAATTATGCCTCATTAGCTCACAAGTGATGTATCGAGGGATATATACGATCAAGGTATGAAATGGTGCATCGTAGTTAACATGTAGTGTTAAACGCGATTACTTCAATTTAGTGGCCTTATAACAAGAACAAATAATTTGGTACTCGGTCATTTAATTACAAAATGCATTGTTATTTTTTCTTCATCTTGGGACGTAAATATTTTGATAGATAATTATATTTTTGAAAGTTCATTAGTACCTATAAATACCTTGTATACATTTTACACACAGAGTTTAATGAAACTGGGTCTTTACAATTATCTCTTATTGTTAACTTAATAATTAAATAAAAATTACCATTTTTGTTTATGTAAATATTAATTAGCGTAGTTGCATACAGTACGATATGTTTACATAATAAATTCAGAAAATAGTACCTTTCTCTTAATTTCAATTTAGCGGCCGGCAGCAAAGAGATATGCGATAAATGAGGGCAAAAAAGTGATATAAAAAGTTTCACTCTATAAATAGGCATTCACTATTTTGAAACATCTGAAGTTGAAAGAATATCGCAAAGATTTCCTTCTCAACGGAGATCGACCTTAAAATCTCATTATAAGAACTGCACGAACTTGAGCTCTTCGTTTAGAATTAACTGAAAACTAGCTGTCACCCACGACTCTGTTTACGTAAAAGTACAAACGAACAATATAATGAACAGTCAGACAGACACACAGACAAAAATTATGAAAAATGATATTTTGGTGTATGTACAGTGCCGTAACTAGAGCGGTGCCAGCAGTACCCAGGCACAGGGAGCAGAAATGACCAGATTAGTATCTAGTTTTATCTCATGCATGCATACTTATATACGCCAGTGCAGAGGCCTCTAAAATTAATGAAAAGTGAAAATAAATTATAGTAGAATGAAACTCATTACAAAAGGGGGGGGCATATTATAAAAATTAAAGGAAAAATAATTTACGGGCGATCTGAGGTCGGGAAGGCTATGGGGATCTGTATTTAAGGGTAAAAAATGGGTTTTCTTGATTTTCGGCAAAACTAAAAGTCCTACAGAAAATAGTAATATGGCAAAGTTTATTTATTTTTAATAGTTGTGTACTCTGGAAGCTGCTAAAACTATTAAAAATAAATTGAAAGAGCCTTTTCATAACGATATCGAGTGTCATTTCATTAAAAGGGACATGATTATTTTATCAAAAAATGGTAATGCAAGTAGGAAACTTATATTTTTTTCTTCACCATCGGAAAATAAAGATTTCAATGATTAGAAAACTCACCAAATTTGTGAAAAAATCTTATATTTTGACGGGTGATTTTTCGATTGAAAATGAATCTGATTTTTTGATATTTATTCAAAATAAGCTGAAAAAATATATATTTCTATTGATTAGAATTTGTTTGAATAAATTACAGTATATTTGGAACATCAAAAGGTAAGTTTTAACCAAATTTCGTGTCAAAATATTGTTTTTTGTAAGGGATAAAAATAAAAAACCAATAAATTGGTTTTTCGAATTTTTCACATAAAATTTGAGGTTATGTAAAAAAAACGTTAGTACATAAGTTTTAGATTTTTTTACCTGCAACTTTGCCATATTATTTTTTCTGTAGGACTTTTAGTTTTGCCGGAAATCGAGAAGACCCATTTTTTACCCTTAAATACTCATTCCCATATTCTTTCCGACCTCAGATCGCCCGTAAATTATTTTTCTTTTAATTTTTATAATATGCCTCTCCTTTTGTAATGAGTTTCCTTCTACTATAATTTAATTATGTTTTAAAAGCTATCGGCATTGGTCTAATATACTTTGTTACTTTGGTAAACAACAAATAGATACGTTTATTTGTATGCACATTTCTCCATTTTATTTTTAGAGCCTGGTTAGAGCATTTTTTGTAGCCCAGTTTTGAAAGCTCGCACCGGGTGCATAAAAGCCTGGTTACAATACTGTGTATGTACTATGTATTCATATGCATGTATTAAAAAACGGTTTTTTCAATATTACAAACAGACATTCCAATTTTATTTGTTTGTATAGATAACAACTTTATGATTTTGTTGAACGTTTGAAATTTACTGTTTGTAACAATTGGAAAAGTTCATTCAAAGATTCCATTTTTAAATTGAGTAATATTTTTATTTGTGTTTCATAAGTTCTAAAAGTATACCTACAAATTACGTTTACTGCTGTTATTCTTCACCGTAGGGAAGTATATATGTCCACTATGTTCATATATATTTTTGATGCATATTTAATTATTATTACCTTCTATATAAATATTTTAGTTAAAACGGTCCGCAGGAAAGAAATACAAAAAGTAGCGCTAATTATTTATCTGTTTAATAAAAGATAAAATATCGAGGTGCAATTTTTACTCTTTAAAATCATTCCCACCAATACAATTACATAACTTACTTACTTACTATAGGTACCCAGTTTCACGTTATTTTCGTATCCTTAAAGAGAATAAACATTTTCTTGTCGAGGTTCCTCTTCGATGAAGATTTTCTTTTTCATAAATTGTAGCAGTGGTGCTCTTTAATCTGATTCATAAATTTTGGAAACAAAAAGGAGTCATATTGATAGTGTTCCGGCAATAAAGTGGATTCGAAGTAGCATAGTAAGTGTTGTTTTTGGTCAATAATCATACCACAGGTTGGAAGCAATTTTCGTTTTTATATAAATCCGGAAGTTTTTAACGGATTACTTAGCAAAAATTGCTTATACGTTATAGTTAATATTCTTTTCGATCTACATATCTTTATTTCACCTTCTACCATAAGGTAAGAAGTAAGAACTCATGATGCACCAGCAGGCTACAATCAAAAAAGTCTCCCCATTCAATCTTTCTTGGGGAGCTTTTTCCGATTTTAATTCATATGCCAACTTCCAACGGCTACCTTGGAATTTTACGTTAGTAATGTTAATAATATGTTATGGTTGTAATTGAGCCATTTTGGTAAGAATTTTATAACATACCCAAATCGTTAATGAAAGTATATATCAGTAACTTTTCTAACAGTGATCAAGGGCTGACCAATACAATTATCTCGACTTTTCTATGTCTGAAACATCAATTTTTCTAATATTCGAAATTTGAAGACGATTCTTACACAACAAAACAGGTGTTAAAAATTAACTTTATATACATTATAACTGAATTATTGAAATTTTAAGATGAGTAAAGAATGTAAAGAAAAGTCGAAACGCGATAATACAAGTAGATATAGTTTTTGAACGGGTTGTATACTTTTTGATATAAGCGCTTTCTTTTGTTTTTTAATACTAATTCATATGACTCACTTTATACATTAGCGGAGAAAAATTAAGGGTTAAAAAAGGGTCAAAATAAAGAAAAAAAGATATTTATTATAAATTTATTTTATGTAAATTTTACGCCACAGATAAATAGGCGGATTAATAATTATCTACAATTCTCGTGAATAATGCTATTCAATATTTTACTATCTACATTTTCGTAAGTTTATCAATTAATTTTGTTACGATTTATACAATGTTTATGATAATTTCGAACAGTTAATTATATTAAGATCAAACCAGGACGCGAGTATATTTCTCAAGGTATATTTTAAACTGTTGACAGGAAAAAATACACCATCTGTAAATGTCCTCAAGTTTTTTTCATTGTACTCATTACAAACAATAGATAATTATAGTAGAAGTGATTAAAATAATCATCAAGCTTACCACAACTGTATACTTAATGTAACTATTTTTATAATGTAGTTCTATTTAAAATATGTACATATAAAATCTATTTGTGCAAAAAATCTTGAGATCCACATTTGTGTAGACTGAATAATAATTGTTTAGTAATATTTATACATGAACACCACACATATATCTCATGCAATGTTTTAAAACAAATTACACAGAGCAAAAAGATATTTTTTTTTTACAATAACTTTACATTATATAAGAATTGTTTTTATAAAAAAAATATATTAAACAAATCTTGAAATCTTATATTATTAATGAAAATCTTAAGAACTATGTTAGTTAGAAAATCGTTTTTCAGTATTAATCTGTTTGAATAATTATTTAGCCTCGTTGTTATTGAAAAACATTTTTGCGCGCAATTTAAACAGATTATAAAAAAATCTTTATATGATATTAACATATACTGTCTCCATTAGTCAAAATAGCACTTTGTATTGCAAAATAGCATTATTTATATTCGTTATCATTAATGACATATAACAAGTAATCCTGATTGTATATTCAAATTACTAGAATCTTCGACTGACGTATCAATCAAAAAATTATCTAGTAAAAAACGAAATCACTTTTTACTTTAGTCAAAATCACGTCAAAACAAAAGCTTACATCGAGAAGTGACGTCATAACACAAGTTGGTTCAAAAACGTCTTTGTTTACTTTCATTTACTAGACTTCATATAATTATACAAACGCGGTTTTATAATAAAAATATTATTAATCTGTTCATGCATCTAATAAATCCCGCCAAAAAAATGTGTTGAATAAAGTTATGTTTATTTAGTAACGTAAAGGGAGACGAGTTCGCGCCAAATTCGACTTATTCGTTTTTTATTCTGGATATCCATATTAATTTGAGTTAATTAATAATTAAATTTTATTTTATTGAATATTTCAATTTAAGAATTACTATTATGCAAGTTTATGCATTGTACAGACAAACATTTAATTATATACGTTTGTTAGAAGTTCTAGTTATTACACCATTGTTATGTGTAATATTAACTAAATATATAAAAATAAGCAATATCAAAAATTTCATAGTAAGCCTAAACACTTTAATGTATCCATAAAAAAGGAGAAAGAAAAAAATGATTTATATAATAAAAAAAATCAATTGTATTCCTCGTCTTCATCCATAGCAAAGTCCACACCAGAATCGGCACAAACGGGGCTGCAATAAAAAAATAATTAAATAACTACATACAGTCAATCTGGGTAACTTTGACAGATAAGGGTGATATTTTATACTATATTTAAAAAAATTAAACCTATAACTCGGGTGTTTTTATTTTATCAGTGCTCTCGTATTACTTTCCGTCTCTAGACATCCACAGAAAGTTTATAAAACATACCAATATAGTATAAAATCTAAATTTTGTGTGTGTCAAAGTTACCCATCTTAGGAGGGTAACTTTGACACACACAGAGCCAAGCATACAAATGTAGTAATAAGTATTATTTTTATCAATCTGGGTAACATTGGGGTATATATTTATTAACTAATGGATGCATGTGACACAATAAAACGAACATTTTGCAATTTTGTCTTATATTAAAAAAAAATATGAAGAATCAGTCTACAACATTTGGCAATGTTACACACATTGTTTAACACCATCAAAAACGCTTAAAAAACTCCTTTAATTTAACATTTTTATTCAAATTATAAAGAAAACAAGCAAAAATAATTTTAACAAACAAACATTTTGTAAAATCTTGAGCATAACTTGTCTATTCTCCCCACTCCATATAGAGCAAATCGTCAATAATACTTGTGTAGAGCCCAGGCTGCTTTATACTGATTTTACTGTTATCTACTGGAGATACAACATCATCTTATCTAATTTTAATAATTTCTCTTTTATCTGGCCATTTCCAACAACCTTGTGTTGATCTACTCATTACAACAAGTGTATAATACGGGAATGTGTAACTTGTCACTTTTCCTGGAAACAGTGTGCCTTCTGTTTTAAATATAACTGTTGTTCCAGATGAGAACTCAATATATTTTGATGTTCATGTTGCAAAACTCCATCGTTAACAACAAATTCTTCAATCACCTCTTCTACCACCAATTCTTCCACCATTTTAGTTTCTATGTAAGGGTAACTTTGACACTGTCAAAGTTACCCAGTTACTGTTCAAAATACGTATTTTCATATTTATGCATGAAATTTCAAAATAAGATTTAATTATATGCAATTTTTTCATGACAATGCGGTAGTACACTCAGAAATGGCTCTGTATAACATCTCACTTACCTTATCAACAACCAAAATCACAAAATATTCAAAAAGTTATTCACCCTAAAGTAAACTTAAATTCGCGCGATATATTCAGAAACGAAGTTATGACGTTTTTTTACTTTTACAAGTTACTTTTTTTTTAAGTGCATTTAGGAAGCTTATTTAAAATCGCAAATCTAAAATAAACATATATGAATAGTGTTGGTTTCATGCGAAAAAATAATCGAAACTAGTTCATGGTCCCACTGTCAAAGTTACCCGATGAATCAAAGTTACCCAGATTGACTGTAATATATGAAAAAAGATATAATTAAATAAAGTTAAACCAACCTCATCGCTCTGCAAGTCAGAAAAACTATTCTCTTCAGCTTTATATTGTAAAAGAAATAATTGAATGTCCACAGACAGCCTGGTTCACCGTAAGGGTCAGTCGCTAGGTCTGGGTTATAACTGTATATGTTGCACTCGGAGAGCACCACTTCTTCCTCGATTGCTGCCCACAAGGCAGGTTTCAACTGCCTCCATCTTGCTCCTCCCACAGCAGATAATGCTGCATCTACAGCACCTTGCACCCACGTTAGGGACGGCTCGGCACTGAATTCACTGCTCTGTGAACAGAGGACAGTATTTCAATAACGGAACTAGTATATGGAATTTATAGGTATTTTATTACATATATTATATATGAATATAACAAAATACAGCAGCTTTATCAATATCTTTACTTAATGTCTTTATGATTTCTAAAACATAAATTGTAATGAACAATGTATGTTTCAAAATAATCTACAAAAACAAGATAAACAAGCATCCAATTTTGTAAACAAATGATAAGGATTATTTGTAAGTGTTAAGGGACATTAACCTTGGCCATAGAAAAGTCATAATCGGGGAAAGCAGCATTCAATGTAGCAATGAGATAAAATAATGTCTTCCGAGAGATGGTGTCGCAGAGTATACCCTCCTCGTCACCTGACAGACTCCGACTGCAAAATATAAGAAATTTAGTATATGGAAACCTTTAGTTAAGATTGTTTTCAGTAATTTATAATATGTACCTATAAGACACACACTCGGGAGGCGATAAAGCCTGGAGATTATTAGAGGTTTCCCCGTCCGCAGTGAACCTTTTGTAGAAAGCTTTCTCACCTCCAGCCATCTTGCAGCTGTAGCTTTCTACTCGGCCTTGTACTGCACTGTCTCCATTCAGAATAGACAGGGCACTGCTCAGCGCCTCCAGGCGTCCACTTTCTAAGAGTTTCATATTTATATATGTACTCGTCTCTTACCCACTACAATTTATTGCCAACAACGTAAATCTTATATTCATGCACGGAGCACTACTTCTGTACATAGCAGAGGGGTGTATAAATATTCCTTTTCTTTTGGAGTGGAGAAGCTTTACACTCGGAATCAGGTTCGTCTTCTGTTCTTCCGCGCTGATGAAATGCGGGAACATCACAAATAAGAAAAAGAATTGAGGTTTGTAAATGGCTGTAATAGCCCACAATTTATTTTTAACTTTGTTTGGCTTGAATAACAATGGCGCGTCACTACACTTGCAGTCCTAGAAAGGGCACAAACACTAGATTTCTCTATTAGAGCTCAAAATCCATGGAATACATTATTAAAATGTTATAATAATAAATGCACACAAATAACTTCAAACAAAGCAAGAAAAACTTTTCACTGTTCGATAACAAATTATCTAACAAGTAAGAATAACTAACTAGCACAAACAAGATGAAGTCACTTAACACAGTAAATCCCACACGAATGTTGCTATAATCAAAACATATATTTTCTAATAACTTTTTTAAACTTATTATTGCAACACTGGTAAAAATATTTTAAACAAATTTTATAATTTCCAACAATTATAATAAATAACTCATATTAATAATTAAACAAATCGTAATACAACTTAATCTTTAAATTAAGTGCATATCTAGGTATACATAACTAAATCTTTCCTTAATTTATGATCTAAGTTTTGAGTTAACGGCCTTACCCCATTCTTAATAATATATTCGGGCCAATAAATATTTCGAATTTTGTAAAGTTTGTTTAAAATCCTTTTTATTCAGTTTGTGTTTAAATGTTTAAATCTAATGACTGAAACTTTAATTTTCTTTAATAATTTATTATAAACTATCAAATTGCATAGATAGTAATTTATGTATTGTTTATGTAGTTTTTGTTTTATGTATAAATATACTTGAAGGTTGATAAAGCGCCATTTTTTTCATTCGACAAACAATTTTTTGTGGTCAAACTTGACTGCACCAAATCACAATTTCAATTTGAATGAACCCATAGCACAATAAATAATAAAAGGTCATAGTTATGTCATGTTAAAATATTGACATTAATATAATATTTTGTAGAAAATTACATTAAAAAATAAATGATATAGAATATAATTTAAAAAAAATGTTCAGTAATAAAATTGTGAAACATTTGATAAATAAACAATACTTGACATGGTCTCGATATCAGAAATATGGTAGTTACTTTTACAGAATTAAACTTATTAAAATGTATAAATTGTCCTATAACCTAAGCAATATTTTTAGCAACTCACAAACGGTTCTACAGGCGAACAGATATTGTTCAGAATGAAAAGCATTGGGAAGTTACTCTAGACCATCGGCGCCTAAAAACTCCAAATGGTAGCGTCTTTACCGTGAACACCGAGCCGCTTGCTCGGGCAGTGGCTGCAGAATGGGACGCACAACACGAATATATTACACGGCCTACTATGCATCTCGTATGTAATAGTCCTTCTTAAGGTTTATTTACAACTTTAAATTATATTGACAACTTACTAAGTAATAATCATTATGAAAATCAAGCTTCTATAATGCACATATAATTATCTATTGCAGACAGCACTGTGTAATACAGCTATTGACAATCCAGGAAAGTTAAATTGCCATGATATTGCAAGTTACTTATTAGACTTCATTGCAACCGACACATTACTTTTTTATTCAGAGGTTAGTTATTTTTTTCTCAAGGAACCAAACAAATGGATTCATTAAGAATATATAGAAAAAAATTTTGTATACAATATTTTAAAATTACACATATAGTATGACATTAATTAAACTTACTATTAATAAGGTTTAAGGAAGTTTAATGATATTAATTTATTTTTATATATTAGGAAGAAGAATTAAGAAAATTGCAAGAGAAAAAATGGGAACCAGTGTTGGAATGGTTTTGTAAGAGATTTGGCGTAACCCAAGAGGTGTCCAAAGGCCTAGAACTTCCACCGATAAAAACTGAAACTAGAGCAGTACTAGCGAGACATTTTCTATCCTATGACTTTCCTTCTCTAACTGGTTTGAATTATAATATAATCTTTATGTTATATTATCTTTGTTATTTGAAATATTTGTTTGACTGTTGCCAACATTATTTTATTCCTTCCACAGCATTAAACTTTGGAGTTGAAGCCTTAAAGTCACCAATTCTAATGCTGGCCTGTGTTGAAAGGCACTTGGAACCCAAAGATGCGGTGATGCTTGCTAGATTAGAAGAGGAATACCAGGTTAGTACATTGTAGTATTGAGAAAGATAATAAACATCAAATGAGACAATAATTACATGAAAAATATATGTCATATATTATAATAAGTGTAAAGAATGAAGACTTGTCATTGTTGATAAATACTTTAAAAAATGATCCACAATAACATTACCATTGATGTAACAACTTTTTTTAAGACTTGGCTGAATGTAATGTTCATTATAAATTTCTAAGTATCTTGTAAGGAAAAGAAAAATCAGAATAGCAATAGTAAATAAAATCTTCTTGTGGGATATGTCAGCTAATATTATTGCTACAAGTAAAGTTTGTAATAGGCTATGTCTACTTTTTCTTATATGAAGTTATAGCTTTTTGTCTCTTGAGAGAGTATTTGAAAGCATTGAAAAGGGCTACTGAATACTTGAAGTTATTTTATCACAAATATTTTTTTAAAATTTTATTTAAAAAGGTGGCTTTTATAATATTGATGGAGATGGTTTCTGAGTGTTAATTTGTGCCATCGTAGTTTCTAAACGGATTGATCGATTTCGATGGGGTTTTTCTCAAGCCAGTTTGTAGCGATGTGAACTCTCACACTTCCCTATTAGCTCTTTCAGAATAATGTAAGGCAGTTTTGGTTCATTTGATTAATTGATTCGCACTTGCCAGTATTATTTATAAATTACAATGTTGATTGCTTTTTTTTAATTTTTATGCTTTAAATATTCAAGTTCATAATTATATCTCATTATACAGGGTGACTGGTGAATTACTATCAATATTTAAGGAGAATACTCGGTACATGATTCTCATTCGAATTATGTAAAAAAAATAGGCACTTAATTTTTGACAAAATTTCCGTATAAATAAATAAAGTGTTGACACGTTCCGAGTGTTCCAAGTGTGGACGCGTGCGGTGGCGTGCTGATACAACACCACGCCCGCGCACGCGTATGTGTGTGTGTTTGTGTATACCTAATCTGTAGGGTGTTCACACGATGCGTAATTAATTACATAACTTTTGGTTAACTTTACTTAGAAGTTTATTAATATTTATGTTATATTAATTTTTATTTTGTCATATATGGTCGTCAAATATCACGTCCTCAAGTATCGATAGTAATTCACCAGTCACCCTGTATAATAACTACTTTACAAGTCATTTTATTTAAAAGGAAGTCTGTGTGACTAAAGTTAATAAGAAAGTTTTTTAAACTTCATCGCTGCTCATATTTATTGTATTTTTTTTCTTTTCCAATATTTCGAGATATTAACAGCCTTAGCAAAATTTATTAGATCCAAAATGTCCAAATAATTTTCATTCCCTTCTACGAAATCAGAATAGCATCACTAGTAACTTTGAATCAACTTTCGTTTAGTACAAAATTTAGCCTTATATATATTTTCGCGATTAAATTCAAGTCTTTACTGCAATCCGTATGTTCGTAGTTTTATATAGTAATATTTCGCCTCAAATTATATTATTCCTTCTATAAGTTTCTCGCGATGGCACTCGATGGACCTCGAATTTATAAATAACACGTAAACAAAAGACTTAAAGACGAAACAGGTGACGAAAACCAACGATAAAGAATGAATCACGAACATCAGAACAAAATTATACAACACTAAAATTATAATATATTTAAAATAACCTACCAAATTATTTATTATACCTATATCGTATTTTCGAAATGTCATCCTTAGAGTAATTTCAGGCAAATACTTTTATTTGAATGGAGTTATGGGTCCATTAGTTAATCTGTTGAAACTAAATAGTAAACAATTCCGATAAATGCCGTCTTATAAATAAAACTAATATTTTCGGATTGCTACGCTTAAAATATTAGTTTAATTTAAATGTATTCTCGCGAAGTCATAGATTATTATAGATTAACTAAGATCTTATTAAATTAAAAAGGAAAACATCAGGAAAACATAATTTTACTTGAATTTGTTGGAGATCATTATATATTGGTCATAAATCATATAGGTATCTCGATGGGGCCGCGTGCCATGGGCTCACGAGTTGAACCAGGCTGAGCTGACCGCTCGAGTCTCCGCCTCATTGTTAGTCATACACGCCAACTCCGAGCGACACTCCGCTACACAGAAGAATAAAGAAGACAAACGATAGCCATCAACATTGTAACATAAATTAGAAAATACTTAATGTTTCATTAAATATAAGCTGAAATATCGTTATCCCTAACAAACTTTGTTTTCTTCTTCCTCGAATATTTGTTTGGTATACAAAATAAAACAATTGAAACGGACGCTATAATTATCGCAGACAAGAAAGGAAGTCATCCATTCCGTACAATTTGTGAGACTCACGACGAAAGATGTGGGCAAATATTACGATCACAGAAGAATCTTTACAGTATAGGTATCTGTTACGTAATAATATTATTTGCATAAGTTATTTTTTTTATTTGCATATAGAAATTTCTGGTTTATTGTAATGGTTTTGTTACATTATTCGATATTACTAATATATAACACGAGAGGTATCCTAATTTAAGTGAGGTCAGACGAAAGAGGATAAATAGAAATAGCGAAATCTGTATCGCGAAGATGCGCTAAATATAGCTGGGCGGGCGGTGGTCATTGAGTGGCGCTGCGCACGCGCAGGCGTTCGCTAGTCATACTGCGCGGTCCTGCTTTGTGATCTGTCTCATACATTAATGTACATAAATGTCATAATTAAGTGTCCGTTTTTCATAAATTTATAAATAATTATAAATATTTGTATCGGTGTGCTGTGTTGAGTGACGTGATGCCTAATAATGATCGCGTATTAAATGGAGGTTAATGTGTGCTAGTTAAATTTTACGATCGTCGGGTATACTCATCGTTACTACAGTGTGTAAGTATCAAAATAATATATTATGAGCACCTGAAATGCTTGGTGATGAACTGATACAAAATCATAAAAGTTTATTGTAATATTAAGTGTATAATGTGCTTATTCTTTTTTATATACCTTGATTAAGATTTCATATATTATTATAATATACCATTATATTCTCCTGAACTTTAAAGTTATAGATAAAGATATTTTAAGTTTCATCTATAAATCGTCTGAAAATTTTTACAAAAGTTGATAGCCATGGTAAATTTCATTGATTTAACTACATGAGTATTGTGTCAATGTTCCAGGGTGATGAACGACGAAATTGAGGAGGAGGCACCTCGCCCCCGACCCCTATCCGGTGGCATATGGACCCTGTTCTCATGGCTACGACGCACTGATAGGTCATTTTCAAGTGAAAGCATCAGCAGCGTTGGTTCCGATAGAACGGTTGCCAGTTTCGACTTCCTAGCTCCAATAAAGTATAAAGATAACCCAGGTATATTATTGCCCCAGATACCAGAGACTGAAACATATAAGAAGAGATTGAACGAACGAAACTTGCGAAGGAAATACGACCGCGATATAACCTTGAGACGTAAGTACGGCTTGTTCAGAGAAGAGGTCACCAGTTTCGACGGTTTCAGCTTACCTTCTAAAAGAATACAAAGAGTTTCACCTACTAGAAGGGATAGACGAGCGACCAGTGAAATATTCCATCGTAGAGCACCATACGTTCCTGGTAAGCGACGTGCTCCATTACCACCACAAACTGTAGTTTCAAACACCTTACCTCGTAGTAACAAAAGGAAAAGGCAAGCACCCAGACCCCCTATAAAATTGTCAGACGAAAATATGGAAGGCAACAGTATCAATAAGAATATGTTAAGAGAAACTAAATTAACGAACACTAAATATATAGTCACAAGTCACCCTGAATCATCAACGCAAACAGAAAACGATTTTAAAAGTACACCATCTAAGGAGGTCAAATTACGTAGCGAGAAAAGTTTTCTGAAACAAATTTTTGATAACCGGAAAAGGAACTCGGCGATTGATACAAGCCATGTGAAACTACTGCCAAGTATAAGTGAACTTGACAAACAGGCAGCAGAGATAATAGCTACCAATAAGTATCTACATGGAGGGAGCAGTGGGCAGATGGATGATAACTTTAACAAATTATCGATCCCAACATCGTCCAATGAGAAGAAATGGATATGTAAATTATGTTTTAGAAAATATGATGCCTCTATTGTTTCATGCGTATATTGTATTACAAGTAATAAAAATAGAAAAATAGCTTCCAATATATACACACAGACAGACAATAAATCGATGTCTAACAGAGACAGCGAAATAGACGAGAAGAAGAAGTTAAAGGAAATGTTAAAAGAAATGAAAGACTCCTTGCCCAAGAGACCAAAGCATAATGTAAATAAAGAAAAAACAAATATTTCTTCAACAGAAACCCCTACCCTTAGAATTGGGTCTCCTATAGAAAATATTGGTGTAAACGCGGAATTATTAACAAATTCTAAGGTTCGCAATCACGACAATAAAGCCATAGAAAGTAGAACTTGCAATAAGAGTTTAAATTTACCTTCAGAACCGTCTACCTCCAAACAAGCTGACAGGTTTGTTTGTAACAGCTCTAAAGATACAAATCAAATCAAGAATCCTGATGGAAATATTAATGACGGGTCTCATAGTGATGATGTAAAAATGGCAATATCAAATCCTAGAAAATATAATTTTCTTCTGGGTTCCGATCCAAAACCAACAAATAATTTAAGCAATAAACAGTCATCTGATGGATTGTTGACTGAGATGAGTAAAAATAATGTAGTTAATGACAAAAAAACAATAGTTAAAAATACTGAGGTAAAGACTAAAACAACAATAAGTCAACAACCGTTAAGTACAGGGTTACAAATCACTGAAATAAACAAAGAGTCAAACGTGCCACTCAAAGAAATCCAGAGTGAAGTAGAAATTGTTAATACTGAAAATAAGTCGAAATCAACTAAAATTATAAAAATTGATCAATCTTCTTTGAATGTACAATCTAAAAGCTGTATTAAAGATGAATCTAAAAGTCATAAAGCAACAACGGAGCAGAACACAGAACAGTCTAATAAAAAACCAAATATATTAAAGGAATCAAAAATGGAACGTGTCCGACTTGGTGATATCATATCATCAGGAAATATCCGTTTAAATGATACGAACAAAACCGTGCCTGATAATAAATTGAACACGCCACTTAGGATATCATCGTTACTAAATCCTTTATACTGCCCAAAAACTGAACTTGCAAACAAGAAAATTGAAACCGAGATCTTACAAACGAAACCTGATTGTAGTGGTAAAAATAGTGACGTGAATAATACTATTTTATCATCCAATAGTTCTGCTGCAAGTACTTCCAAGAAATCCGATGAAGTCCACAGTGCTAGCACTTCCAAGCAACTTGAAAATAATTTGCTTGCTAATAAACAACTACATACTGAAACTTCGGCTACAAAATCAAACTCAAATATAGATTATTTGAATCTTCATGCGAAACGTAGGGACCTAATTAATCAATTAGAATCAGCCATTTCTAAAGGTGACGAAAAAACCGCAGCTGATGCAGCAGCGAATCTTGCTAAGTTAAAATTATCTTGCTCAGTTTTATCATTTTCTTCTCAAATAGTTGGATTAAGTAAAAATATACCAAATGATACTAACAAAATTGAAAAACTTGCTCAACATGGCAACAAAAACGCAGTTAAAATAAACGACGTTAAGGAAGTTGAAAAACAACACCGTGAACAATTGACAATTAGTGAATCGACAAATATAAACAATCTCCAACCGTCGACATCTAAGGGAGACTCAGTTGAAGATATGGTACCGTAAGTAACTATACAATTTACATTTATAGGAATAATTATAGCTGCATGTTTCATTACATCTTTTATAAGATTGCAAATTGAAACAATAATTAGTAATTAATTTTATTAGGAAGTAATTAAATAATTGGAGTTTAGTCCCTCTTATTACGATTATGTACAGATTGAACTTTGGAACTTATATTTATAAAATTGTGTATTGGTTACAGGATTGAAATTTGGGTGGAAGATAAAGAGGCCGCTAGGGGTCCCATACGCATGAAAGTTAAAAGAAAAGCCGTTATGGGAGATTTGAAGCGACAAGCTGACGCAATACTTGGTCTTGAAATACGTTTACAGCGGTGGATTGTTGGCAAAAACCTATGTACGAACGACGATACACCCCTTCTCACCCTGGCAGGTCCTGATTTCAAAGCTCCTTTCTATTTGTGTTTAGTTGAACCTGGTAAGTTCGATGTAAATTGGTACTGTAGCAATAATCAGTCAAAATATATTGTAAAATCGATAAGTTAAATTCAAAATCTGTTCTATCGTTAATTATGATGGTAATTTATTTTCTAGGAACTAATAAGGATGACACCAGTAAAATCAGTGAAATTTCTAATAACGATAATAAAAATGTACCAAATAAAATAAACAATACGGAAGCGGGTGACGTTTACACGGAGTTAATAAAATTGGAGCAGCAAGCACTCGTGCTAAATACCGAAGACTTCGAATGTGGCGTGTGTATAGAGCAATGTCCGGTGGGAAATGGCGCGGTCCTACGGGAATGCATACATACATTCTGTAGGGAGTGTCTATGTGATGTCGTGCGACACTCCCAAGAGGCGACTGTTTCATGTCCAGCTATAGGCTGTCCTGGGACGTTGCAAGAAAGAGAAATACGCGCCCTTTTAACTTCAGAGGAATATGATCGTTGGTTAGCAAGGAGTCTCAGTGCTGTGGAAAGTGGAACTCGCAATACATTTCACTGCCGCACTCGCGATTGTACCGGCTGGGCGTTTTGTGATCCTGGTGTTAGGAGATTCCCCTGTCCTGTTTGTAAACACATAAATTGTCTCCCTTGTAAGGTAACTTCTTATTAAATTACATGACCTCTAAAGCTTAAAAGATAATTAAGCTTTTAATTTTATAGTTTTAGATCATATATATTTTTAAAACCGTTTTGAACTGATATACAATTTTACCTCTTAATTTTATAATGTAATAGAAAGGTTCATCACAACTGTTAATTTTAGGGGAAATTCTTCTTATTTAAATACATAAAAAATTTACAACTCTTCAGCATTGACTGTTTTCTTAAAACTTTTAATCTCTTGTCATTTACTGTTTTTGTGTATTAAATCTAAACAAATACACAACTTAATTAATCATGTCAAGACTTGCATTCATAAGAGCACTTGAATAATTCAATTTCCTTTTCATTAATGGGAATTTCTATTTAAAAAGTACATAAAACACTCCATGATATTACATTTTTATTATTTATAATTTCAGGCTGTTCACGAAAACGAAACCTGCGAGACATATCAAGCAAGATTAAGTAGAGCTGCTACAGTGACAGATACAAATCAAACAGACGAGGGAACTCGGGCTCTGCTAGACTCACTGATCGCGAAGGGTGAAGCACTGAAATGTCCAGAATGCAGTGCAATTATAACCAAGAAATGGGGATGTGACTGGATTAAATGCTCATCATGCAAGACGGAGATATGTTGGGTGACAAAGGGTCGTCGCTGGGGACCGGCTGGCAAAGGTGATACAAGCGACGGCTGCAAGTGTGGTGTAAACGGTAAAAGGTGCCATCCCTTATGCAGCTATTGTCATTAAAATACTATCATAAGTTTATTAATTTAGATTAGAATTCATGTTAGTGAAGATTTGATTCTGTACAACTAAATCAAATTTTATTTTAAGAAATTGTAAAACATCTAAAAAATTTTTCTTAATCTGGCAAAAAGAAAGTACTCAGCATTTGATATTAAATTTTCTATATTCAATCCTATTTAAGTGTAGTTCCAATGTTAGATATAGTTTTTTAAGCATATAAACTTATAAAGTAGTTTTAGATTTGTAGTATTCACAGAAATTGTATAAATTGAGATTATGCTATCAATTGTACTATTGCCAGGCTAAGCGAGTCACAGCGGTGAACCTAATCAAATTGTTTGAACCGAATCTATAAGTACTGTCTTCTGCGCAAGAAATATTTTAATGGTACAAAAAAGTATGTTTTTCAGATTCAGATATAACTGTAAGAATTCTATATCAGTGTTTTAATTTGCCAATATTCATTATATATTACTAAATTAAATGTTCTACATAATTTTGTTGAATGTTATCTATATATGTGGAGATAAGTTATAAATTTGTTATACAAAATTTGTCACACTCAAAGTTTTTGTCCAAACATAAATTAGTGATGACAATGTGATTTCTACTTGAAAAAGATTGATTAATGGTTCTTAGCCAATATCTGAAATTACTTATTATTAAAGTTTAAAAAAACTTAACAAAAATTGATGATTTTCTAAACCATTTTGTAACTCTCATTACGTTAAAAAGATCTGTTGTCATATATCTTTGCATTTGATATCAATTGTATGTCATAGATTTTATAGTATTCTAAACAATAAAGTTAAGAAAAATGTCTATGAACTTTCAATTACACCTGAAAAGAAAGATGGTCTAAATAATAAAATAAATTAAGATTTATTCTGATTATAATTCAGGAAAGCTTTTGTTACCCCTAAATATTATGTATGGATTATCTTCCCTATACTCCTAGTCTACATAGGTTCAAAATTAAAATTCATTGCCAACTGTTCCCAAAAAAACTATTGTTCTAATGATTGTTGATACAAACAAAAATATATCTGCATAAATTTTACTTGTTACATTAATGATTATAAATTGTACCTCTAAATATCTTCAAAAACCAACTTAATAATCTCATACTAGTGTAAATAAAATGCAAAAGAAAACAACATTGTGAGTTCTTATTCTATAATTTATCAAAATAGTTCTTCGATACATACCTATAACCTATAGTATAACAGACAAGTAATACACAAATCAATGCTGTCGGTTACAATATAAGGTCAATTCCTTAGCACTTTGGGACTCATAATGCAAAACACATCACTGAACACAAAACACTTAGTATCGACGCATGCCAGGTGGTCCTCCTCTGCCGGGGCCACCTCGGCCCATACCGGGGGGAGCTCCCATCATGCCAGGAGGCGGACCACCCATCATTGGCCCGCCTCGCATCTGTGGAGGCGCTGATAACTGTCCCCTAGGTCCCGGAGCCATATGCTGCTGTGAAGGCCCTCCGACACCTCTCACCGGGCCCTGTAAACCAGGCGGAGCTCCAATACCCGCGCCTCGACCGGCCGCTCTGCCAACCCCCGGGCCTCCCATAGCGCCAGGCAAAGGCACACGAGGCAAACCTTCCTCAGGAGGCGGAGGTCCTTCTATAGTCAACGACACTATATTTTCACCTCTCAGCAAAACAAAACCGAGTGTCCTTTTCTCTTCCCTATCAACGGTTTTGGTATTTTTAGACTTGATTTTTCTAAATTCCTCACAGTCACCCAATATTAAATTCATATGTTTATCGAAAGCTTTGAATGTCCCAATAAATGTTCTCGAGTCCTGCAGTATTACTCTGACTCGATAGTTTATATGCTGTTGCATCTTATTATTTTTGCCGATCGTCTGTAAACAAAATAAATTTTTATATTGCAAAAATTACTATTTATTTTCGGGGCATTACAATCTATTAAACATAAAAATAATACTATCAAACTAAATACATAAAACCTTAAATTGAATATAAAATGTGACTTACCATTTTGATATCTGATTAAGACGATATTTAAGGATAAAAAATTAACAACAGTCCTCTAGCGGGAAATTAAATACATTTATAACAGACGCTATCCGCCATTGATGTTTGACGTTTATCTGTCACGAAACCGGCGTTCAAAAACAAACTTCAACATTACAGATTATAAAAAATATAGATAATATCTATGACATAACATTAGTATAGTTTTATGAAATTTTGCTTTATATAATATTATAGATTATGGTGGTGCGATATACATATATAATAATTTTAAAATTAGAGTATTCATGTCTTTTTTCAATAAATGTATAAATATATATATTTTTTAAATATGGATAATATTTTATATACCCCTGTATGTAGTAGTCATAACTCATAAGCCTATAAGAGCCCACTGCTGAGCAAAGGCCTCTTTCTTACATGGAGAAGGTTTGAGCATTAATCACCACGCTTGCTTAAGACTGTTTTTTTTTATTATTCTTTATTGCACAAAAAGAAATGTACAAAGGGCGGACTTAACGCTATTACAGCATTTTCTGCCAGCAAATCTGGTCGGTGATTTCAAACTTATTATTGTGAAATTATAAGTCGAGATGTTCTCACGATGTTTTCCTTCAACGTCTGTCAGTGATGCTTAAATACTCTTAGAAAAAATATATATGTATATATGTATTAAGTACTCCGAAAAATCATATTGGTACTTGTCAGGATCGAACCCGCGCCCTCATGCACGAGAGACGGGACTTTAACCACTAGGCTAATACTGACTATAAAAAATACGAATGAGTACCACATAAATCCATACTTAATATACATATTCTAATTTCTTTGTAGGCGAAGTTCCATCTCGATATTGTATTCGATCCTTGTAACTGGTTGCACTTACATAAGAGTTTCTCAAAAACACCTGATCCTTTTTATAATTATTATTTTTTATAAGAAAGTTTTTGAAATTTTATACATTTTATTCAGCTACGTGTGTTAACTCTTTGTAACTATCTTTATATATTTAATTCTTCTGTGACTGTGTATGTCACTGAACTTCTCTCAAACGACTGGACCGATTTTGATGAAATTTTTTATGTGTATTCAAGGGGATCTGGGAATGGTTTAGATTCACAATTTTGTCCGCTGGACAATATTTTTTTAATTCATTTTAATTTATTAGTAGTTGTTGATACAAACTTTTTTTTGACATTAGATTTGACAACTAACTAATATACGTCAGTCATTCTGTCGCACTTCAAAACACCGAGATTTATGGCTTTAATAGGTAAATAGGCCAGTGCAGATGCCTTTAAAAACAATGAAAAGTGAGAATAAATTATAGTAGAATGAAACTCATTAGAAAAGGAGGGGAATATTATAAAAATTAAAGGAAAAATAATTTACGGGCGATCTGAGGTCGGGAAGGGTATGGGGATGGGTATTTAAGGGTAAAAAATGGGTTTTCTCGATTTCCGGCAAAACTAAAAGTCCTACAGAAAAAAATAATATGGCAAAGTTGTAGGTAATAAAAAGATCTAAAACTTTTGTTCTAATATATTTTTCACATAACCTCAAATATAATGTGAAAAATTCGAAAAACAAGTTTTTCGTTTTTTATTATTATCTCTTCCAAAAAACAATTTTTTGACACGAAATTTGGTGAAAGCTTTAATTTCGATGTTCCAAATGCACTGTAATTTATTTGATTAGAAATATTTATGTTTTCAGCTTATTTTAAATAAGTACTGAAAAATCAGCCTCATTTTTAATCGAAAAATCTTCCGTCAAAATGTCAGCTTTTTTAAAAAATTTGGTATGTTTTCTATTTGTTGAAATATCTATTTTCCGATGGTGAAGAAAAATTATAACTTTCTTCCTTACAGTACCATTTTTGGATAAAATAATCATGTCTCTTTTGACGAAAAGACACTCGACATCGTTTTGAAAATGCTTTTTCTAATTTATTTTTGATAGTTGTGTACTCTGAAAGTTCTCCAGGTAGATGGAGTATCTGGATCTGGACTCTTAGGTAATTTACAGAAAATTGACATTAAGCTGCTAAATCTATTAAAAATAAACTGAAAGAGCATTTTCCAAACGATATCGAGTGTCATTTCATTAAAAAGGACATGATTATTTTATCCAAAATATGTACTGCAAGTAAAAAACTTTTTTTTTTTTCACCCTCGGAAAATAGAGATTTCAAAAATAGAAAACACCAAATTTTTTAAAAAAGATATTTTGACGGGTTATTTTTCGATTGAAAATGAATCTGATTTTTCAGTATTTATAGAAAATAAGCTGAAAAAATAAATATTTCTAATCAAATAAATTACAGTACATTTGGAACATCAAAAGGAAAGTTTTCACCAAATTTCGTTACAAAAAATTGATTTTTGGAAGCGATAAAAATAAAAAACCAAAAACTTGGTTTTTCGAATTTTTCACATAAAATTTGAGGTTATGTGAAAAAAATCTTTGTACAAAAGTTTTAGATCTTTTTATTACCTACAACTTTGCCGTATGTTTTTTTCCTGTAAGACTTTTAGTTTTGCCGGAAATCAAGAAAACCCATATACATATTACCCTTAAATACCCATCCCCATACCCTTCCCGATCTCAGATCGCCCGTAAATTATTTTTCCTTTAATTTTTATAATATTCCCCTCCTTTCCTAATGAGTTTCATTCTACTATAATTTAATTATGTTTTAAAAGCTATCGGCACTGGTCTAAAACTCCAAAAATATAAATGAAAAAACGTAACAGATATTTCTTGATTATTATCTTGAAGTTCACCGGGTCTTCTAGTAATTATGTAAAAGAACTATGTTAAAAAAAGACGATCAAACATATTTTCCATGAGAATTAACGGAAATGACAAAAAATTACAGATATAGGGGAGAGTTGGTTATATCGTACTAGTATTTAAATCGTACCACTTCTAAATTTCCCATTTAATGAATATTTTTTTCTACACTGACTATACCAAATCGTGGCCCTGCACTATCCTTCTTCACCCACTAGTTTAAATCAACGTGAGTTAACATCTGTGCACGTAATAAAAGAAAAACATTTTTTGTAGGAATTAATATAAATATTGTCGTACATTCGTAAGGAGATAACTCGTTATCAAGGTAAGCTATAGTTATTCAGTTTTTTTTTTATTATGCCACAATTGTATACTAGATTATTGGGTGTTTTTGTTGCGTGTCTAAGTTTTGAGTTTATGCCGGATATTTGCTTTTGTTTTAGAAATGCCTTAGTCGGTTTAATCGTACCACTTGCAGTTGGTTAAATTGTACTGGTACGATTTACCCGACTACCAACCGCAAGTACCTATAGTACTACCGCACTTACGTATAGTAAGTACTACCCAAGGCCAAAAACAAAAGTTATAAGAGGAAACGATCTCATTCCATCACCAGTAGCGATGATTCAGGAAAGACACTTGTTGTAGAACTAGATGATGATGATGACAGCGATGATTATCTTGAAAATATATGTCGAAAGTACAATTGTTCTTACTACGATAAGAAGGGTCCAAAAGTTGATTGGATTCAATGCGTCCGCTGTAAACGGTGGCTACATGAGACATGTACTTCGAATCCAGACATTTGTCATGATTGTTTCCATTAAGAAATATGCACAATAATTATATTACAAATAACATTCTTATTAACTGTTACTTTATTATTATAGTTTACTGTTTTTTTTTGTCTCATTTTTATTAGTTATGTTGATTGATCTCATTATCTTCTATATATATAAAAATGGATTGCTGTTCCTTAGTCTCGCTAAAACTCGAGAACGGCTGAACCGATTTGGCTAATTTTAGTCTTGAAATACTCCTGGAAGTCCAGGGAAGGTTTAAAAGGTGAGAAAAATTTGAATAATTGCCGGGAAAACCCTAAATACAGCCCTTTTCTATTTCCCATACAAACGTTTTTTTTGACATTAGATTTGACAACTAACTAATATGTCAATCATTCTGTTTGATTGAAACAGGAAAAACCTGATTATTAATGGCCTTTAAGACGGAATAGAGTTCGCCTGGTCAGCTATACCTACATATATTACTCTTGACCAAACTAACGCGGACGAAGTCGCGGGCAAAAACTAGTCATAGTATAATAATGTTATTTTACTGAGAAAGCTTATAGTTCCTTTATATAACCTAAGAGTTAAAAATTATGTTTCTATTACCTAAAAGATATAAATAATGTTGTTATTACTTACCTAACAGTTAAAAATAAATAGTTTGATTGAGAATTTTAATGTCTTTCATTCAGTGGTACGACTTAAAAACCCATGGTACGATTTAAGGACTTAGTGGTACGATTAAAACGACTAGTCGGCTAAATCGTACCGATGGCAAGCTTCTATAAAAAAGCATTTTTAATAATGTTAGAATAATCGCAAGGATCTGTTCTCTTCTTCTTAAGAAGCTAAAATATGAAACTTTATTTTTCATATGTATTAATTATTATATGTATTAATTATTATAGACGTGTTATAGTCGAAATATTTGAGTTAAAGTGAAAAGTGGTACGATATATCCGACTCTCCCCTATATTGAATATTTTTTTATGATTCTCGTAATTTTTTTATCACTCATAAAACAAGTTTACTTGTTATTAGGTATTTAGTTTAGGATTCGTTTATTCAATTAAAAGGGATTTAAAATATATGTACCTAATATACATTTTAGATATATTTAAGAAATTTCTGTCGCAATCTGTTTAGTATTTTTATAAACTTTTTTTAAGTAAAATAGTGATAGTGCGAATATTTTTTTAAATTTAATAATAATTATTATTTAATTATTTAACTCTTTAACTTAGTCTTCGTAGAACATCATAATAGTAAATGTGAGAAATAATAAATGAAATACTATGTAGTTGCAAGTTTCTTTATTTCAAACCTATTCAATACACGACAGTTGCAATTAAGAATGTAATATGTAGCCTGCTATTAAAAATTAAATACATACTTCGAAACGAAGATGTTTAAAAAAATGCTATCCTTAATATAGAAAACCTATTGCAATAACATATCAAAGCATAGTAAAAAATGCGTTGTTCGAAGCGTCTAGTTAACACATTGAAGTGGTAAATAAAAAATTTCAAATATTTGATTTACTTATTCCATTAATTAAGGCAAATATTTTAAAAAGAAATGACAACACTGAACACGATATTCGAATATCGGCGAATGTTCACTTCCACAACTTACAATCAACGAATAATTTACTAAATTAAGTTTAATAAAATAACAATCAATTATTTACTTAATCATTTACTTTAACGCACTAACACATAGTAGATAAATACAAAACTTACTCTATTAATAATGATAGGACAAATACAATTACACATCTAATTAGTCTTTTTTTGTAAGATTAAACAATACGTCATTCTGCATACAACATAATTCAAATGTAGGTCGTGTAGACAAACATAATGTACGCTACCACGCTACAACTACCGAGCCACCGGCCAAGGGGCGCGGACTATTAACAGCCTTCAAGAAAAATAGCCTTAGGAAACTAATTTAATATTAATTAGTGTGGAATATGCTACTATGACACGCTGGAGGGCGGCGCGAACTGTATGACGGACGTGTGACGGACGACCGGCTCCGGCTGGACCGGCTCTATGTGAGGGACGAGCTTACGTTTCCTGGGGGGGAGGGAGGAGGGCGCGAGGGTCATCAGGGAGGGGCAGCTCTCCGTGGGCGAGGGAGAGGGGGTTAATGACGAGGGGGAGGGGACACACGGGGCTTGAAGTGACCCCGGCACAGGCAGCGGGGACGGAGGAGAACTGGGAGGCGTAGGAGGGAGCTGCTGTAGGGCGGCCTCCACGATATCACACATGACGTTCCCATTCACTACTAACGGCACCGAGTAATCTGATGCTTGCGCCGGGGCCTTGGGACTCTCGGCCCCGTGCTCCTTGTAGATGTGAGCCTCCATCTGCTTCTTAGTGTTGAAGGTCCCGTCGCACACCGTACAGCGGTAGCATCTCTCGCCGAAGTGCTGGAAGCGGTGCAACTTCAGCACGTGGTTGTAGCCGAAGTCCCGCAGACATATCTCACAGGTGTAGGGCCTCTCCCCGGTGTGCGTGCGGGAGTGTACTTTGAGTTGTTTGGAGCACGTGAAGCCCTTCCCGCAGCCGGGCGCCGGACACCTGTAGGGCTTCTCCCCGGTGTGTGTCCGGAGGTGGATCACCAGCTGCCCGGACTGTATGAAGGTCTTGTGGCAGTGCGGGCAGGCGTGCGGCCTCTCGCCCGTGTGGATCCTGGCGTGCCGGTGCAGCTTGCCGGAGTGCTCGAAGGCGGCGCCGCAGACCCCGCAGCGGTAGGGCCGCTCCTTGGTGTGTATCCGGCGGTGCACCTGCAGGTTCTCCTTCACGCTGAACATCTTGTGGCAGTACTCGCACTCGAAGGGCCTCTCGCCGGTGTGCGTGCGGTAGTGGCGCACCAGCCGGGCGGGCACGGCGAACGTCTTGTGGCACACGTCACAGCGGTGCGCGTCGGCGGCGGCCCGGTGTGAGCGCGTGTGGGCGGTCAGCGCGCTGCGGGTGGACAGCCTCAGGCCGCACTCCTTGCATTGGTGTTCACGTTCCTCTTCACCTGTACAATCAGATTGGATCACTTGAAAATTCGGCGAAAAGGGCTCCATGTTTGTTTTTTACTAAGACTTAATAATTAGTAATTAATGCCCTAATTGTGAGCGTATATTGACGCGACGGTCGTTCAGTGTACTATGTCTGTTGTGGATGTTATGCAGCGATCAGGAATATCAGGATGCACGCACCGGGGCCGCGCGGGGGTGAGGGCCGGCCGCGCGGGGGGAGGGGCGCGAGCGGAACGAGGCAAAGTGAATGTCCTCCGGCAGCACGTGGAGGCCCGCACCGCGGTTTCGAACAGATAGTGCGGCGGTGGGCCTCCACGTGTTTGGGCCAGCGACCCCGTATCCGCACTCTGCCGCGCCCCGCTCACCCCGCCTCACCCCCGCTCGCGCCCTGCTCCCACTTTCGTTATATCCTAACCCATTTAATGTTGTACATAATACGAAATTTTTTCACATATATTTTCAAGGTCCTAAAGAAATATATGAAAAAAACACATAGAAATACGATTATATTGTATATTTTAATGTAAATAGGAAAATATGAACGTATAACGTATATATGTATACCAAGTATCATAAAGCACATAATACATACAATATATCTTATATCATTCAGAACTGAAAGAACATGACGTAGATCAAAATTAAAAAAAAAAATCTATAATGCCAGTATAAATAAAATTTAAAAAAAAACAAATATAATAACAATAATAATAATAGAATACAAACACGTATAATGCTAGATGCTTACCTATCATATTGATATATATTTCCCGCGTCCAACACGGTGTATGTTGGTGTAGGTTGTGTATAGTCTGTGCGTCTGATACAAAGCGCGCGCTCAGACGGTCCACGGTCGAATGCGGAATTCGCGAGCCCGTACACAGAGCACACTCGTCCTCCGCTCTCCTCTACCGCGCGCACACACACATCCGCCCGTGTGTACACACGTAACGCCTCTGTGTGCGACGGTACTCTGTGTCACAGAGGCGCAACATAATTTTGGTTATATGTTATAAGTATAATGGATTTGATTTGAACCATTTAGTTGTTTTTTTTTTTATTATAACCGTTAAACGAATGATCCGATACAGAAATATTGCTATTGATAGTTTTCTTGTAGTCAGTAACTTATATTTACATGTATATTCAATGTTTTGTACTGTATGTTTAATAATTAACAACACTCCCTTTTAAATTCCATTATCGAAAGCTACAATCTCGATTTATGTATCAATATCATATAATAATAATATTATCAAATTAAGATAAAACAAAAACCGAGTTGTACCCGTATGCATCGAATAATTTAACATATACCAGCGTTCTATGTATACGATGTACGACCGCGGCTTTGTTGAAGGTTGGTGCGGGCGGCGCGGGGAGGGCGAGCGCGGGGCGTGCGGCGGGACGGGGGGGAGGGGGTGACAACACGTGGAGGCCCACCGCGGTTTCGAAGCTCGTGTGAACTCTCAGGCGGAGTGCGCGTGCGTGGCTTCAAGCCGTCGAGCTCGCCTCCTCGCTTGTTCTTCTATTTTGTCTGTCTAGGACAATATGTTAGGAAGTTTCATTCCGTACCTACATTATTCAGACTAATCCTTAGTTGTTTTTTTTGTTATTTTATTTTTTTTCATTTCGTAATATTTCTTTATAGATGACGTCATGAAGTATAATGCATTATCTTCGTACGTTTATTGCTTACATACAGAGCTAAACAAATAGTATTATGCAATATTATATTTAATGTGGTTGTAAATATAACAATCCTTGTTACATAGCGTTGTGGATATCGATCCGCAGCATCCTATGGCATCCGGGCGAAAGTGTTTTCATTTCGCTCTTAGCTTTCCTTAAAAAATCTAATCTGGCGTAAACATGACAGTTTCAGTTTAAAAATTCATTTCCATTTTTTTTCTTATCACGAACGTTATGCAGACAAGGATGTCATTATCATCGGTTGATTTTATTCGTTTTTTTTATTTGTTTATAAGGTTTTTTTTTTTTGGCCAGTGTTATTTTTTTATATTTTCAATATAGATACTTAACAACAAAACCTAGTCTAATAAATGAAATCAAAATTCGATAACCATTATCTATTAATACATTTGTGGAAGAATATCAATAATATTAAGTATAATTTGAATCCTTTCTCAAACATTTACAATGGTTTATTATAAGTAATAGTGACTGTCACTTATTAGCTCAAGCTGTATGTTATGGACATTTGCTTTATTAATAGTTTTAAATAAGCACGTCTGAATATTTTTTTTTTTTTCTAACTATCATATTGGAGATACTTCTAAAAGGTGCAAATATACATTTTATATTATGGACATGACAAAGTAACAGAACTTTTAATAAAGATATTGTTCGTAATCTAAATAATATTGCATTGAGATCATTCGAGGAAAGATATACTTAGTTTTTCCTTTCTTAACTTATTATTTTTTTGTTTCAAAAGAAAGTTATTGCAGCCAGTATCTTAAAATTGCTATAGGTAGAGTATGAAATGAAAATATTTCTTTTTGTAATACATTCTTAAAGTAATAAAAGTAAATTATTCTTTAAGTATACATAACCGTAATAATATTTAAATGAAATACAAAACACATTAAAATTAAATCGATTCAGCTTGCATCGGATCGAAATATTGATTTATTTAAAATGTTTAAATTGTTAGAACTTTTTGAAATATGATATATGTATATAAAAAATGTTTAAATTATTATCTGTTGGTTATTAAAATAGAAATAATCGGATCAGACTGAATGAAAAATGTCATTGATCTTTTGAGGCGTAAAAAAACAAAGGATGCTTCAAAATATGGCCAGCGTCTTTCATTTGTGAATGGCGAATATAACATATATTTTAATTAGGGTCCACCTTTTTCTGCATGTGTTTTAAAAGGATGTGGCGGAATTTTTCATCTAAATAAATAAATGTTTATTTTTTCTTCAGTTCAGTATAAGGTAAAATTATTACGTTCTTACATTACTATAGTATTGTGAGTAATGTACCGTTCACTGTACATACAATGTTGATTAACGTTTCAACTAGGTATAAAGGAACATAATCAACATTCCATAGGTACATTATAAAGCCGAGTACACAAACTATGTTCAATACAATCTATAATAGTTATTAAAACCGGTGGGATTGATTTCTGTGTGTTTTAGTAATTGAGGCAGGTTAGTACATGCTGTTCTAACCTATTAAAACATCAATCGAATTCGGCTATAGGATGGGGAGTGCGAACAATCGAGCGGCGTGAGGGTGCGAGGCGCGAGGGTGCGGGGGTGCGCGCGGAGGGTGCGGGGGGTGCGCCGACACGCGCTGCAGCCGGTCAGCGAACGTTCGTGTCCGCGGTGATGAGGCCCCCGGCGCGTGCGGCTCGCGCCCGATTCAACCTTCCTCAACGCGACCGCCGCTGACCCGCCTTCCCTCGGACGCACACACGCGCACGCACACGCACACATACACAACACATGCGCGTAACCTTCCGTAAGCTTCTATAATTTAAAACAATTCTACGCTCGTTTTTTTTTTTTCAAATATAAAAACTTTTTTATTGTATCTCGTTTCCTTTGTGTTATTTTTAGTTTATAAAATATGCCCGAAATATGTTTTCCAAGCTGTAGCTTAATGTGTCGGGGTTATGTTTTGGAGGCACTTCATGACGCGTATTATTTTTCGTCTCGCAAATCAACATTAAAACAGGTTTCGGTCGTACTTTTCTGATCGTCAATACGAAGTTGCTTGGAAGCGGCCAGAACGATGATTTTTGAAAGCATTATTTTAACGTTTTTACATCTTATTGTTGTTCTGTTTTACTTTTCTAAATAAAACTTAACAATTAGTATGAGTTCTAAATATGACAGATATGATCTTCTGATTAAAATTTAATATATTTATTGATTCTTTATTGAACTTAAATGTACGGACTACGCAACCAGTTCTTTTCTATTAGGTATATAATCATAAAATACATAAGTAGGTAACATCAAGAGTTTAATTTTGAAAAGGCATTTATTAGTAACTACATCTGACACATAAAATATTACTATTAACTTTTTATTAAATTAAAAAAATCTAAATCATCGTAATACTTTTTGCATATAAACTGCTATAAAAACGGTGAATTATTTATTTCTATCCACGTCACTTTACAAGGTCGCAATCAAATCGTATAATTTATAGATCGTATGGTGGTGATCATTGCTGACGATCGTAAAGTATGAAATAAAAAAAAAAACATGACATCAGCCTTCTGTAAGACATCCATTAACTGTTAAAGGAAAATGTCAATCGGTTTGTGTAAACAATGATTTTAGTTGATGAATTCGCGTTCATGTACTGTATGAGCCGAAATGTATAATGTTGATACATTGTACGAAAATTATATAAGTAAGAAGTCATCGACCCAGCCCGCGCGATGCTTTAAAGATATTTGGAGACGGGATCAACGGCCGACCTCGCGATCGTAGTGCAAGGTAATAATTGTTCCACGTGCATCAAGGGCTTCCTACAATCTATTAAATCTTATCTATAATAGTTATAGCATTACACGTGTATGCGTTCGTGTGTCGATGAGATTGATCAAGTTACATTAAGCATTTTATTTGCGAGCCGCTAAAAATAGATCATTATTAAAACGTGTGGCGGTAAGAGATAAATGGATTTGTATTTTTAGATTAAGATTGGATTGTATTGTAAATTCGCTACGTTTTTAGCGTAAAGTTACAAAAAGCTAATAGTATTTTTACTACCAATATTATTATCAATGTATGTATTACAGAAATTAAAAATATTATTGTTGATAAGTGCAGTTGTTGGTTTTATTAATATTTTTGAAATCTGTTTGATAATGTGTAGCCAGTAAGTCTATACTATGTATCAAACTCAATATATTATATCTCTATTAAATATCCTTGTTTCTGAATTTTCTAGCGCCATCTCGTAGAATTTTCATGTATCAAGGACTTTACTACTCGTAGTTTAATATCACAGTTTTCGTTTTTCTTAAACTTCAATAGATGGCGCTGTAACGGGAGTTATTATGTAATATTATAATTATTTAATCTGCGTACAATGCTGTAGCCCTGTCTATAATTTCAGCGTTAATTAAAAAATATTTTAATGTAATGGTTAAATTTGAATATTCCATGATAATGTTAAAAACAGAATTTGTAAATTTTATATTAGAATTAGATATTTATATTAGCTCTGGAACATAAGAAATTGGATTTTGAAGTAAATGAATAGTGAATAAACCCGATACTTAATCAGCTGTTTTGCGTTTTATTTAATCAACCTTGATAAAACCATAACCTTTTGTCAACTTTTACCAAAAATATAAAGTTGGGAATAAGTTTTTTCATAGTATAATTAGGTATACTGGCATTCAAGTGTTGTGCGTCGTTCCTATGAATAATCGGAATGCAGTATAGGGTCGAATTGCCACCCCAAATTTCTATAACCCTTCAATACTCTCACATAAATGAATGACTTGCATAATTATGTATGAGCTTCAGAGGTGAAACCATGTGTAAAAAGAATCTATATTTTAATCTGTGTACTTTTTAATTAACATTTTTTAATTAGGAATTTCTTCGAATGAAAAATTATAGTTTAGGTATTTCATTAAATCGCATTACATTAAAAAACATAAGTTATTTATTACGTATACGTATTATTATTGCAATATTAAGAGTGAGATTTAATAGTAACTAACTAATATTAAGTGCAGCGTAGCTAGACCCACATAAATAAAAAGACTAGGGAGGCTAAATAGGTTGAAAAATATCATAAAGAGTGTGCAAACGTCAAAAAAAATCAGTTATTTTATGTATGAGATTTTATTAATGACGATAATAACAAAAAATTTTAAGAAAAAGTTATATTAAGTTACACTAAATTTTATCACCTATATTTCGCATTTTGTACTTCGGCCATAGCGTAGCAGTTTAGTGCAGATATGTTTACAGAGCATCGAAAGCCAATATAGCGGCACTAATGTCTCCTATGAGTTTACTTTTTAGAATGTATGTTCTTAATAATTCCTGCTAGTCCTCTGCAGTATTTGTATTTTATGAATAGAGGTAACCGTCGTAAAATAAATGGGATGCTCAGTCTTTTACGTCTGAGATTTTCTTTATGTTCTGTATTCTAGTACGCAAAATGGAAATATATTTTATAATCATTTCCATTTATTAATTTTTAATATAAATATCATATACTAACATCTAAATTTTAGAATAACTACGTTGAATATTACTAAATATCTTTAATTTAATACCAAAGAAGTAAGTAACATCTCAAGAATCCAGAAATGTCTAACCGACTTTGACAATAGTGACACTGTCAAAGCTATCATTTTTTTGACAGAACGCGATAATTACTACCTATTCAATAATACACAAATTCATATCATATACTTGGTAGATAGAGTTATATGCAATTTAGGTTATAAACGTTTAACTTAAATAAAATTGAAAGAAAATCATGAGTTAAAAGAGCTCTTCGATTAGTTTCTTGTGTTACTATAAATAACAAAATGGGAGGTGGTGATTTGGTATGTTGTAACATATTTATAAATCATTGGTGATTGTGAATCTTAATTTTGATTATTTATTTATTATAAAAATAACAAATCTCCATCTAGAACACGAAAAAAGCTTGGCATCCCAGCAATTTAAAAAATCAGGAACGCGTCTGGAAAGCGGAGCAAGCTGCTGCCGCCGAAAAGAAACGAATTGAGGAATTAGAGCGGGAACGAGCCCAAGAGAGAGATCGAGAGGAGTTGAATGCTTTATCCAGACAAAATGTTAACACTAATACAAACCAAGAAAATAGACTGCATTGGATGTATGACGTATGTATGGTATAAAAAGTATATAACAAAGATTTTTACCAGACACATAATACAGTGTAAACTCTATATAACGACACTGAAGGGACCGTGCATTTTAGTGCGTTATAGAGAGTTGCCGTTAAATAGAGGGAAGAAAAATTAGAATTAGAAAAAGACAAAGTTTGTTTCCGACTACTGTTAGTACTTATGTACATAAAAAAGAATGTTATAAAGTCTGTTGTTTTTGTTTGACGTGTTTTGCTGCACCAGTAATGTTGTTGTATTTTTTACGTATTTTATTCATATCTTGCGATATTGAGGCATATTGGTGAAGAACGAATTTCTTAGAAAGTTTGGTATGCATGATTACGACAGTGGAGTTTATTGCGGGCTAGTATAACAAAGCGACAAAAAAACGTACACAGCTGCGCATTTTTTACTAATTTTAGCAACTTAAGGGTACTTTTTATTACTTAATTTTGTCGTTATTGAGAGTGGCTGTGACGCTATATAGAGTGTATCATTGTATAGTAGACAAGCTAAACCAACCAAAGTCTAATGATTTCGACGCTTTAGAGAGTTTGTCGTTAAATCGAGTGTCGTTATATGGAGTTTACACTGTAGTTTAATATTACTCTTGTAACAAATTAAAATTTTAACATCATTTAAGATTGGATAATGCAATATCCAAGTAACAAACAAGAATATATAGTTAATTACAAGTGAAAATTTAATAATTATAAAAATCATTATCAGTTTTGAAACTTTTTAATAGTTGTTTTATGAAGCATAAGATTGATTTATAATTTTTTTATCATATACACTTTTAAATTTTATACGATTATGGGTTTATCAATAACAAAATATACTAAAGTCTAGTATTTTTCTTAGAAACCAGATAAACAGGTGCAACAAGAAGATTATTTGTTGGGTAAGGCAATCGATAAGAACTATGACCAAGGAGATAAGCAGGATCAAAATGAGATCCCAGCGGTGTCCCGCCGAGTTGTTGGGTCTAGCATGATGACTGCCGGGGGTGATGTCCAAGTGGATCTGGCGAGGAAACTACGAGAAGATCCATTGTTGCTGGTGAAGGAAAGGGAGAGAGCTGCTAGAGCGGCATTACTTAACAATCCAATCCAGAGACGCAAACTTACTGAGCTTCTAAGAAAAGAACAAGTAATTAAGTGAATTTTTAATAATATCACATAGTTTTCTTACTTTCAATTCATATTAATTTTATAAGAAGAACAATATATTATAATATTGATTGAATCTAAATTAGCAATGTTAAATGATTGTAACAAGATATATTTCTGTATTTGCAGGAAAAGAAGAATTTAAAAAAGAAGTCCAAGAAAAGTAAAATTGATGAATTACTGGCCTCCAAATTAAGTGCCCTAGGTGGTGAGAAAAGTATGAACTTAGCAAAATTACTCGACTCAGACAGTTCATCATCAGATAGTTCATCATCATCGGAGAAGAAGAAAACTAAGAAGAAAAAAAAGAAAAAGATGTCAAAACACAAATCCAAAAAGCAAAAAGGAAGTGACAGTAATGAGAAACAGGAAAAAAATAAAAAGTCCAAAGATAAGAAGAAACATAAAGATAAAAACGATGACAGTGATACTCGAACGATTTCCAAACAAGAAAAATCTCACAATGATTTAAAGGTTGATGACAACAAATATCCTTCATCAACGAAACGGAAAAGTCATGTTGATAGTGATGATGAACCTCAGAGGAAAAGCAGGAAATCACATAGAGATGTGTCCCCATATCAAAGAAGAAATGAAAGCTATAAACAAGATCGGTATAGAGGGTCAAGCGGTGATAAAAACAGATCTAGAAGAGAAGATGATAGGAAAAATTCAGCCGATCGAAGGGGGCAATCAAGGTCAAGTTCAAGATATGATCAGAAAACACACCGGGGGAATCAGAGATCTGAACTAAGTCAGGATGAGAAGGCAGCCAAATTAGCGGCTATGGCTCAGGCTGGTGCGGAGAGGGAAATACAGAGAGGGAAAAGGGTCGCTGAACAATTAGCAGAGAAAGCTTCTGAAGACACTACGACCTTGCCAAGGTCATCCCACAAGAACCAAGCGCGGATACTACCAGAATCCCTCGAAAGCCGCATCCACTCAAACCGTCACAACATTCAACGTGATAAACGACACATGAATGAACATTTCGCTAGGAGATGATAAATAAAAGACTTGTATACAAAATCACTTTATTTCACTAAAAATAACCAATTAATTATAAAAATATTATAGTTATAGCGATGAGTACACAAATGCCGCCTAATTTTATTAACGACTAATTTTTAATATAAAATCAAATTTTATTAACTTGGTATGGTATTTAAAAGATTTGCCCTTCAAATATTTTATGACGATTTTTCAATCAAGCGGTATCTTCTCCCTGACGATCTGTAATTTACAAAATAAAGTATGTTAAACAATAGTCCTTTTGTTTCTGGTTCCTCTTTTTACATTTAAAATTATTTTCTCGTGTGATCAGTTATACCTCAAAAGTAAACAAATATATCTTGTTTTACAAATTACTACCTTGTGCCTGCCATTTTGTCCGCGTTAGTTTCGTAATTAAAAATATATAGCTGACCAGGCGAACTCTTTCGATTTAAATGCAGTAAATAATCCTCCTGATTCCTACCTACAGCCGCATAAATTTCCAGCCAAATCCGTACAGAAGTTCTTGAGTTTTAAATAGTGTAATGAACACGACTTTCTTTTATACAGATTATTATTACTATTATTATTTATTTATTATTAATTATTACTTTTTTTATTTTTTGGTGGAAACCTGTTATGGATTAGATTGCTATTTCATATTTCATCTCGTGCTTCCTTAATGATATTTATATTTATAATTTTTTTTGTTTCCAATCTATAAACTAGCTAAAACTCTGGTGATAGAAAATTTAAAAATGGTTATTGTCTTTGTATTATAATCCGGAGCATTTCCTCGCTGGTTTATACCCTATTTATACCTCTGCACACATTCCGGCATATATAGGATCTGTATCCCACGGCCCACGTTCAGGTAAGGGTAAGGCCCGGCGGCGCAACTCCGCCACCAGCTCGCTGACGTCCATGATAGGAATCGGGTCAAGAGCACGCGCCAGACCGGCCAAGTACTCCACGTAGTGCGTCCTGAAAGAATATACCCCATAAACACACCTCGATCAGCCCCCGTTTGTAGAGGCCGTCTAGTGAACCGTAGGGGCGCGGTGGTGGTCGCAATGCGGCTCGGCGAACTAGCGTTTCAAGGTCGTCCACCTCCAAGATCGGCAGAGGGTCAACATTGTGGCCTCGAACCAGCCGACTCAAATACTCCAAGTAATGGTTCCTGCAAAAACACGCAGCACTCCACCTCTATTTCTTGGGCACCCCAGGTACGATCGACGGTCTACTTAGAAAAAGGTGCCCTTACTGATACAGCTGATCAACTACCAATGAGTTGTCTTTTGAGTTTAGTTCTCTTTTAAATATTTTTATATTAGTAGGGACCCTATCATGGATACAGTGCCGGAGATAACTATTTTACTGTTATTGGAATATCGGACAGTGGTAGGTATGATTAACTTACTTGCACAGTCCAGCATTTTTGGCTTTTACTTCACTGCCGCAAACAGTGTCCACTAAACCACCCGGTGTTTCACGTTGCAGCTGGATGGGGCAACGTCCAGTATTGTTTTCTGATGCTTCCGTTTCGTATGTGACATTGTTCATCTAAAAAATTTTGTATAATTATAAAATACCTTATATATTTATTAGAATACAAAGATTTTTTTTGTATATTTGAATAAGACCTGCAAGAGTGTTTGTAACTCATGTGGTTCCTTATCTCGAAGATAGAAAAGACAATTTCGCGGATGGTGAGCATGAAGTCCTAATTTTGCACAATATTCACTTAGTCCACACCGTGCGCCCATGGTGAAAGGTTTCCCGCACCCGTAACAGAATTCATATTTACATTGTGTGCACGTAAAATGCATGCAGCCGCCTCTGAAATTTTCACATAAAAATACTTTATTTGTTTGTTCTGTACTTTTGTTGAACTGTAAATGTATAAATGTACCTTGATAAAGAATATTTAAAATGGCATCTTGGACACTCCAGTCCGTTTTCACGGAGGTGTTGTTGTACTGCAGCCATCGATCTTTCTGGATCATTATCTTCCAACCAGGCTGCGTATTGTTCGCATGTGATTCCTTCATGATTAGAGTTCCACTGACAAAGAATTTACAATTTTATTTTATAAAGAAGAATAAATGTTGTAAAGCAAAGCAAATTGTTATGTATTATGATTTTATGAAATTTAATTATTGAAATATCAATGCACTAGCGAGATACGCTCGGAAAAATATAAATTCATACCGGTTTTCTACAACTAGCGCAGGTAATAGATTTACACTCAGGACATTTTAATCTTTTCTGTTTTGGATGAACGAAGAATCCCGAAGAACATTCTATACACCATCTGAAATTAGGATCTCTAGCCAGCGTTCTGTCTCGCAGCTATAGAGAAACAAAAAAATGGAATTTAATATTAAGGTACACGTGTTAAAAGCTTTTAATACAAATTTATGTTATTTAATATAAAATCATTTTGATTAAAGATAAAACTATTTCATAAAATAATCGAAAATTTAGATTTTTGATCACTTTTGTTTAGTGCTATGATATGTAACATTAACAAAAGCGACATTGAGTATTAAGTATAGGTACTTGACAGAATTTAAGGTATAGTAGGAATTTACTTTTCTTTGAAATAGTTCGTGGGTTTCTGTTTCTAGTAGAGTCTTGAGCAGTATGTCCATATTAGCAAAATAATCCAGCCACGCATCTTCTGGGAGGTTCTCTAGTTCTGGTTCCTTGCAAAAAGGGCACACACAGTCTGCTATACTTCTTTCTGTTATTTGTGTCATAAAATAATACCGAGCACATTCTCTACAGCATCGATGGGTGCATCTTAACATTGAAACCATCTAAAATATATAAAAAACATATGTAAGTTTAAAAAAAAAGAATACTAGAAAATAGATATAAGCGTTATTTTCATATTACCTCATGTTCAGGATACTTTGAGGCACAAAGTTCACAGTCTTGGTTGAGGTAAGCTAGAGCCGAAGGTAAATCAGTACATTCTAAAGCGGCCAATAGGGCAGATGAAGTCTCAGTACCTTGTAACACAAGTTTTACTGCAAGCTGAGCTTGTTCCCACGTTTCTGTTGCGCCTTCTGCTAAAAGCATTCTGGCTTGTCTCTGGAAATAATTTTCAATTGAATATTAAAATGAAAAAAATCGGACCAATTTCTGTTTATGACAATTTCCAGTTATACAAAAATAAAGCGTGTTGTATAGTAATGTAGAATGTATCCACACATCGTGTCAAAAACATATCTTAATTTAGGGCTAAGTCAATGAGGTTAACTTTTGCCCGCGATTGAGTCAAGGTGTTTGTAAACAGTATACATATGTAAATATGCATTGAATAATGTCAGTTTACTTACCTCAGGCGAGCCTTCGGGTAATCTGACTTGAGTTAAGTCTATCAGTTGTCCAGAAACTTGTCGTATTGTAAAAGGCTGCACTTGTGTTACCGGTGTTGATACTACATCAACCTCTGTTTCTGCAGAATTTATAACTTTGGTGGGTTCTTCGGCATCGCTATCAGTCCATTCATCCTCTGTTCGACAGGTTTCACGGAAAAATGTGTTCTTTTTCGTACCACTGTTCGTAGTATCAGGTAATGGATTGTTAGGCGGCGGTGGTGGTGCTGGTTTCTTTTTAATAGATGCCGTAGATGTAGATGGTTCTTCAACAGGTTTAGCTGCATTCGCCTTTGTTTTGTTGCTAAAGAGCCGTGATTGTAGTTGCCTAACATGACCACTTAACACATTTCCGAAGTGACTTTTGGGAGGATTTGGTGCAGGGTAGTGCTTAAGGCTACCTCTTCTGACAGGAACTTTGGATGCAATAACCTTTGGAAAATTTTTGTCTGTTTTCTGTTTACCTGTTTGTATTGTTTTGATAAGTTTGGGAATGTTTGATTTATTATTTAATTGAGATTTCTTTGTTTTTTCATTATCAGCGGAGGCCGTAACTTCTTTATTTGTGAATTCTGAATTATTATTGTCGACTTTGATTGGTATAGATTGTATTTCAGGTTGAGGTACGATGTCTCCTACACTATTTCTGCTAAGAGTCATACCAGGTGTTTCGTTTGTATATTGTACACCTTCATCTTTCCTGGAATTATTGATTTCACTTGTGGTCTCTTCATGACCAATTGTAGAAATTACTTCTGTGACGGTAACGTCAGCGTGTAAATTTTTATTTTTAATCCTTTCGTCATCTTCTATAGATTCTGAATAGTTTTGTGGTTCTGTAGGTGTGTTTTCATTCGAAAGTGTATTATTTTGTTCGAATATTTCTTCACGATTGTCTGGCTTATCTTCCAAGACTACTGGTATGTCTTCTAGAAGTGCATTTTGGGGTTCATATTTATTTTCCGTAATCTCTAATTTAAATGGCAGTTGAGGGACAAAATTCGAAAATTCTATTTCTTTTTCTACGTAAGTAATATATTTTGGAATTTCTCTTGAAACGGTAGTCGACAAATCCAAAATTTCAGATTTAATTTGAGTATTAGGTTTTTGTTTTTCTACTAACGGAGTGGGGTAAGCAGAATCTACTGTGTTTGTTTGATTTTCTTTCCCACTTCCTTGAATATTATTATTAAGTTGAGCATAGATTTCTTCGAAAGTATTAACTGCTGAAAATAGATTATTATTAACATCTTGGTCTCTTTTGTTATATACCTTAGGGTCCTTTACTGCAACAGAAACAGTTTGTTCTTCTTGTAATGTTCTAGCAATAGAATTTAACATTTCAATATTTATTTGTTTAAAATTATCTATTTCATTTTCTACATGGTCCATAGCTTCTTCAAAATGTTCATTTTCTTCAGAGCTGGTCCTATGCGGTGAAATGCTATGATGTGATTTTTCACTTGAATTACCCTTATTACTATTAAATGATTGTTTTTCATCCGATGAGAGGTCGTCTGACTCACCTTCACTGCCACTATAACTTGATTCTTTATCAGAAGTGAGTTCATCATTAGTTAACTCATCAGAACTCTTACTAGATTCGCTTTGGTTATCACTGTGGTTTTCTATTGAATTAATGTCTAAGTTAATTTCGTTTTTCATTTGTTGAATTAATTTTTGAGTATTATCTACGATGTCATTAAGATTATTTGATTTACCGTCGTTTTCATTTAATTCTTGGTTTTCATTTTCAATTTGCGGATAGTCCTGTTTAATGTGTTTATTTTGATTTAGACGATGATTATCAGAATTTGATGAAACGTTATCAATTCTGGGTTTAGAATCAACTATCTCCTCATTTGATATAACATCTTTTTGTTTCAAATTGTTAATTCTTTTTTCTTCCTGGATATTTGAAGATTTTGTATCATTTTGTAGATTTGGCAACGGACTTAATCTAGTTAAAGCGTTATAAGCGTCGATAAAATCATTTTCGGACTGTATAAAATCTGATAAATGAGATTTTTGTAGTGATGGTGAATTACTATTACTTTCTATTGGAATGGAAGCACTTTGATTTGTTATATTATCTTGTTCTTGGACTTTATCGGTATCCGTAGTCTTAGTCGAATTTTCAGCCAATAAACCGTTTAGAAGTAATTTTTCGTCAATGAAAGGTAATCCTGCTTGTTTCAGAAGGGACTTTAATTTCTCTGCAATATCATTGGTTGCATTTGTGTGCTCTTTGGTCTTCGATTGATCAAGTACATATGAGTTTTCGGTATTAGTTTGTAGTGGTAAGTACATCCAGTCATCATCTTGAAATTGGTTTACAGTTGCTTCAAACTCATCTGAACTGTCATCGGCTGAAATATAAACGTGAATGTTATGATGATATAATATGGATGGTACGATGAACGATTTTTGTTATGTTATGTTACTGTTTCGGGGTCAGCTTTTGATTACCGCGATTGCGGTGTAAGCGGCCAGATAAAGAAGGCGGAGGAACTGCGTCATCGTCTACACCCGTTGGTGGTCCCCAAACATGACCTCGTAATCTACGTTCTTCGCCAAAATTTGTGGTGTTTGTCTGAAATTATTAAAACACCTTACTGTTAATTTACGTATACATAAAGCCGATAATACCTATAACACAGTGTCAACAACACAAAACCACATTCTACTTGATGTATAATTATAAATACACCTGTGTCTAATATTAGGGTTTATATAAAATATCTATTTTACACTTTGTGGAATTGCAGATTGGAACAGAATTTCATGGATGTATGAGTATATTATAATTAATATTGTTAGTTAATAAAAAATAAATAAATATCACCTGACGACGATATCTTTCCACGCAGTCATTCACAGCAGGCCACATAGCACCTCTGTGTTTGGCAAGAGAAGCTCGTGCTTCAAGTTCAGTCACATTTACTCCTGGAGCAAGTCTTGCTGCTGCAGCTTGGACGCCTGCGCATAGACTCGGCCACCGTTCTTGCAACCACCCAAGGGGTGCCACTGGATTTTGTGCTAAAGCTGCGTGTACTTCAGCCGCACTGAATCCAAGTTTTTCGGCATCACTCATCAAACGAGCTAGTTCTAAACCTCTCTCAGCCTCCCGTTGCATTCCAGACCCAGCAAGAGCTTCCAGAGATATAGCCCGGTTGTTCGAAATTAGATCGGGAGAAGGTACCTGGGAATGAGAAAGATTGAAATATATTTTTTATGTGGACATTACAAACTTTTTGTATAATTATATTTTCGGATTTAGTTCTCGAACATTTAATTTGTTATTTTTAAACCAACACACTTGTGACGTGAGTATTTAATTGTATATTTTTGCCAAAATTGACAAGAAACGAGATGAGTTGACAAGCATATTCATCTCTCCATTCAATTATAAATATAAGAATACACAGTGGTTGTAATTTTACAAAAAAGGAGTACCGATAATAGACTAATTGGGTTCTATAGGAGATCGAATAAACCCTTTTTTTTACAGTAACATTTAATACCTCTGAACCGTAGATGCTGGAGCGTCGAGACGGTTTTCCTCGTCTTAGGTCGAGGTGAGATGCTCGTCTAGTAAGACGTTTCTTGTCATGTCTTCTTTCACTCTCACTCCAATCTCCTCCTGGACTGCTATCACGAGGTTCACGCCACTCCCATCTTCCTCCACTAGTTCGCACGCTTCGTTCGCTTTCCTTTAATATATATTTTTATATATTGACATTATAGCTTGTAAAGTTTTCATTAGAAGTAACGATTGATAATTAAGAGATATTTTTGGCTTACTCGAGTATCACTTGATAAAGACAATCTACTGTGCGATCGCTCTCTCTGTGCGTCTTCTCGGAAACGTCGTCTTGGACGGGATCTCGTAATTGATGGCTCACGTTCCCAGTTAGTGGGAACTTCGTAGGTCTGAAATAAAAAATAGTAATAAATGATATAAAATGCATTCTAATTATATTTATTTCATGATATATATACATACGTATTAAATATAATTCAGGTTTTAAGATTATGAAACAATAATTAATAATAATAAAAAATAATAATAATTTTATTTATTTAGGCATTTTTGACCCATCTTTTTTTACTACACATTTTCCTTATACCTATGTTAGTAACAATTTAATTTATTATTAATTAATTATGTAATTACCTTTACAATTTAACTATTATCTAATTAATAAATAATTTAATTCAATCAGTATAAATAATTTTTAAGCTTTAATTTTTAATACATATTTATTCATTTCATAGTTCAATTCAATTACTTTAATATAATTCACCAATTTATAATTAATGTAAATATAAAATTTATGACTAATATTTACTTGTGTTGAAATATTTTGCGGAGGTGGTGAAGTGCCCGTCGAAGTTCTACTGGATCTTGATACTGGTCTACTATCGTTGCCTTTAAAATTTCCATCGGACTTTTTTTGGTAACTTGAGACAGCTGGTGAAATTTCTCGTGGTGGTGATGGACCCACCGAAACACTATGAGATGATTTACTGTCTGTTGTTTGTTTATCATGTCGCTGATTTCGGGTGTCTACGGGACTGTTTCGTATACTTTGGTTAGAGTTTTGGGTTGATCTAGTTATCGGCTGTTTATTGATTTCTTTAGGAGGAGAAGGTCCGACTGCTATATCGTGACGGATACGTGTTGGCTTCGAGCGTTCGTTGCTATTATCCCTCGTTGGTGTAGCGAGTCTAGTAGTAAAATTCACTATTGCCTTATCATCTCGAGGAGGTGAAGGTCCACAAGCAGTGGATGATTTCTCAGTCAAATATCTGGATTTATTACCTTTGCTTTCTGAAATTGAAATATAATTTATATGTATTTAGATTTAAATGATAATATTTTGTAATTAAAGGTTTATTTAAACTTATGTTTCGTTTTAAAATATTGATATTTTTAAATTCAAATTAAAACAGAAATTATGTAATAAAAAATTCATAGACACGAGCTGTACCGTTGCCATTTCCAATTTTAGAAGATAAATTTGAAGATAAACTTTGCCTTAATTTTGAAATCTACATTATAAAAATTGTATAAGCTTAAAATTATTACCCTTTTTAGTAGAAGATTCAACAACCACATTTTTCATCGGAGATTGACGTGTTTTCTCGATTTTTAGCTTAGCTAATCCGTTGTTAACGATGTCTGTGTCAATAATTTTCGGCTTAACTGTTGGCGTTCGGCAGCAAACCGAACATACTGTTACCCCAGGTTCGTTAACAAAAGTACAATGTTCACATTGCCAAGTAGCGCTAGCGGGTGGCGGCGCAGGTCCTAACGAGTTTTGGTCCTCTTTTTCTCCATTTTGGCGTTCAGAATCACTTTCGTTTTCGCTTTCAGAATCAGCGTCACTTGAAGGTAGAACAACTGGGGAGGGAGACCTATGTTTGGATCTCCTCGAAACACGTGACCTAATGCTGCATGCTGGTGATGCAGCACGAGATCCCGTTCTCGACGCTGCTCGAGACATTGGACGACTTTCAGCTGAAATATTTTCATTCATTAGTAAAATATTTACAATGTTTTATATATATTTAGAGAAAATTGTTCTTTTTTACCCCTTCGGTACGGCTGTGGAGTATGTATTGGTTGGGGATGGTGATGTAAGTGAGGGTTATGCGGTGGCGGATGTGGACCACAACAAGTTTGAGGCCAGGGAACTTGACCCCACGAATGTTCTAGATTAGCACAGCTGCCATAACGCCAAGGGTTGGTAGCACAATTCGAACATCCAGAACACCCAGAGGATGCTGGTACAACTCCTCCTAATTCCATGACAGATGTACCACGCCGTAGAGGTCTTCCCCAATTATTAGTCATATTTTCCTGAGGTTCCCAAGAGGTCATTTGGGGAGATTGAATCTGAATGGGGAAATTGTAAAATATTAAAACATATTACAGGATTAAAAATTTGTAATAAATGTGTCAACTCACCATATTCGGTGGTATGTTGAATCCTGGTAGCGAACCGCGAGGTCGGCCTGAAGTTGCAAAATGTGCCAAAGTGTGATTTTGTTCCTGGGCCATGATTGGTGTATTTGTATGATGCATATTTCCTGGTATATAAGGCATGCTGCCCATGTGCGTTCCCATTGGTGGAACTTTTTGTTGTGGATTATGAAATTGTCTTTGCGTCGCAAAGTGATTGGTGTTCGTTATTGGTGACATATGTTTATTTGCACCCATTGAGAGAGAAAGAGTCGCTCGACGTTGGTCTGGTGCTATCGCTGGTGGAAGCGGGCTTGGGTTAGATCTGTCACTGCTTACCTGATCAGAGTGGAATCAAAATAAGTAATTAATAACAATAATAAAATAATTTTCACTGATTTCTATATAAACTATATATTTTATTATATCTTACTTTATGCCTTCGTGGAGGTGGTACTGGAGGGGCTGTTTTTGGCGGCAATGGAGGGCGTTCATCTCGAAGTTGTGATTGTGAGAGAGCCTGTGTTCATTATATTAATTATATGCAACAAATTAGCACATCAGCTTAAAGTAATGCGACTTTTATTTACTAATAGTAACTTTGTTTACATAACTATATCTGATGGGCGTCTAGCCAAGAGTTTGACGATGTTAGGATTTATTTAGGATCGCTAATTGTGTCTATTAGAATACATGAGTATTCTACCTAAATATATAAGTTCGTCCTTTTGTATTAAATTAGTTTCGTATATTTAGTTAGCATTTGTATAATTCGTTAGCATTGTTTCTTTTTAGATAGGTACGTATTTATAAAAAGACGTAAATAGTACAACATATAACCGAATCTGATGGAAGATAAAGTTAATATAATAGTTTGTTTCTATATTAGTGTTCTGAACCTGTCTCTGATGGTTTCGTCGCTTGGGATGTCTATGATACATATCGTCGCAGGAGGCACACAGAGCTCGTCGACCGCATTCGGTACAACGTACGCGAGCGTTACCGCCTCCGCACAGCCCGCAAGACGATCCCGCCTCCAGTGGGTGACCTGGTTTATATTATTATTGTAACATCTAAAATTCGACGGCAACAGATTTATATTGTCTTTAGTACCTAACCTCCGTTTAAAAAATGTATTCCTGCTATTATAATGTCAGCTTTGGTATATAATTTTCAATATATCTTGGCTTATATTTTATTGGCTTTTACTAGGTTAGGTAAGTGGATTCAATAGTGTATAAAAAGGCTTATAAAGAGTCAGTAGGGCAAATGAACTTCTTTCTTTTAATCACCTGTTGGTGGTCTCGGCGGCGGAGGGGGTGGTGGTTGTAACTTAGCGTTGACATACTGTTCGGTGGGAAATTCGACGACTTCGTAGTCCGGTTCAGGCTTAGCCATAGGAGCTCGTCCGATTGGCCGCATCGACAACGTCGGCGTGCTTGGCACGACGGAGCGAGGATCGCGGCTACGATTTTTCATCATCTACAAATAATACACTTTCACAATAATCTTTCACACAGACATTGGAATGTTATGCAGCTTATACTGTAAAATGTCACGTATTTGTTATACTTCTATGTTAATTATTATACACATATACCTGCTTTAACAAATAAAATGTAAATATGTAGGGTACACAGATAAAAACAGAGCTTCAATTTTTTTCAATATTAATTTAAATTAAAATCTTAAATTAAAATATAAAATATTTATATAAACCAAAGTTTTATTGAGGATAAATAAGTTGGTGTTAAAGTATTAATCGATATTAAAAGTAAATTAACGATAAAATTTTGATTTACATTAGTTAAATGTATGTGTTCTTGGTATGATTTCGTTTTTAGAACTAAGAAACAGAATGTGTGTAATGGTGTCAGTAAACGCATCCACGATATTATCGTAGTTATGCTTACTAGATCTTGTAACCGAAAATACATCACAGTGTATTGTTGGAAACTGTTATTACAAGTGTTATGTAAAATCTTAACCACAGCATGTATTTGCCCCAAATAAATAATAAAGTCAAAAAGTTCTAATCAATTAAAAATGACTGTTTCTTCTTTTATTAGAAAAGAGGATTAACCTCGTAAAATTTTAACGACGTCAGCGTAAACTTTGTAATTAAATTAATATGTTACAAACAGATATTATAAATAAATTATTTTGAAAAAATGTTTTAGAAACAGATTAAAAGTTTATATCAGGAAAGAGGTTTCGTTTCGTTACTGAGGTTTCAGGTTTATGATAGTTAGCGATTTTTTTTCATAACAATTTCTTTATTACTAATTTTGTCGTCAACATCCAGACAGAATGAGTAGAATTTTTTTTTGTTAATTAATTTATTTGACTAGCGTAAATTATTTTTATATAAATATTCGTTTTTCAATATAATTTTACAGGCAGCTATACAACTGTAAATAAGATTTACTAATATTATAATGGCCTAGTCTATTTTAAAACAGGAAGTATCATTGCTGCTGATATAATAAATTAAATATTATTGTTTTGTCATTAATCATTGTGACATTTTAATAGCATTTTAATAGCACATATTATATGATAAATTTTTCATATTTTAATAGTACAACAGATCCATTTAATTCGCAAAACTTGTCAGCAGCTGCGACCGGGAGTGCGGGCGTTGCCGCGTCGCGGGCGCACATCGACCCATTTATTCCGCCTCTCATATCCCAAAATATCGAAAGCATTTACATACTTATACAAATATATACTACACATTATAAAATTGAGACGTCCCTGTTAATAGAAGCTTATAGCTATTTCACGCTGTTATTAGACTTGCCTTGATGAATCCGTGAGCACAATAATTAGATAACACTTAGAGTGAGAATTTTTGGCATATTTGTAAAAAAATTTGGGGGACACTAGGCACTTGAAATTCACACGCGATAATTTTCGGACAGAGCAGTCTGTCGGCAGCTCGACCACCACTGACACTGTTCGCTAATCTTGCTCCCTATGCGGATGAAATTGACAGCAAGACGCTTGCGCCGGCGACTCTATTTCTGTACGTGGCCGCGTTGCCCTGTTTCTACTAAAATTACTACCCGATGCTATTTCCGCACTGGACTCAATGCGCTCGTCTAGTATTCAGTGAATTTTCTTTTATTAAAGGTCGGCAATAAAATCATTTAACACTAATTTACATATTCATAATCACTTTACTTTCATCGTAAAATTTCAATCAAAAATAAGTAAGAGATTGCCAAAAGATGACGATGATTTTAATAGAAAATGAGTCAATAACATAAATGTTGAATCATTACTATTTATAATAGTAATATTATTTTTAGTAAATTAATATTAAAGGGAAGGTAACAACAAGGTTACATTAAAATCTTATATAATACTTAGAAGTTATATATACAGACCTTCTGAATTTAAAACATATTATTATTATGTTATACTGCCATAGCAACTGTCACAAGCTATTTAAACAACGTGTCAGAGTTCAAGCATAGAGCTTTGTGATATGGAGATATTACATAAATTTAAACAAAATGGTTATTTTACAGCAGATTTGTATCACCTGCTTGCGAAGAAGAGGATTTCAGATCCGTCTGAGGAGGTCAATAATTTAACATTTATATTAAAGATAGATAGTAAAGAAATTGAAGTTTATTTACAATAGTAAAAATATTATGTTATGGAAAGATAGTGATAAATAATGGTCCCAGCAGATCACACCCTCGGAATACGAAAAGGAGATGAGGATGAGCACAGCTGAGCGTTTAAAAAGCTTGAATACAGTTATTGTTGATAACATTGTGTCTACAGCGAAGAATAGGAAAGCTGTTCTATCATTTACACCAAAGCTGATTGTCTTCCAGAATTTTAAGCCAAACGATAAAATTGTGGCTAAATTCTCAGTCAAAAACATAAGCAAGGTTATTATTAACAACTTCATTCTTGTTAATTAAGTTTATTATATAATAATTGTTATTAATATTATAGAGTCCAGTTTACTTGAATATGGTGTATAAGGAATCGTCGTATTTTTTTATTAAACCCTGCGGGGGGCAGCTGTTGTCGCGGTTAGCTCCAGGGATCAGTGTGTCTTTCGCTATTACTTTCCAACCTGTGCAATATGAAGACTATACGCATCGAGTCACATTTTATACTGATCTAGATCAATATGTTCTACCAATTATCGGTAACTTAGCTTAAATAATATATTTTAGTACTATCTTCTTAGCTTATTACTTTGTATACCTTAAGATTTGTTTAATATAAGCCAAGAATAACCAATCATTTCAGCGATGGGTCCCCGGCCTGTGTTTAATTTTCCAGATGAAATTGTTATACCTAAAATACCACTCAAGATCGAAAATCATGTTGTATTACCAGTCCATAATGTTGGGATGATTCATGCTGGATTTACATTGACAGCAAGATGGTAAAAAAAAATTCGCTTTTAATTGTTATGAATAATATGAAACAATTCCTATAATGAGATCTAAGATTTTCGCGAGTACTCATTTAAATGAAACTAATATTTTCGGATTTGCTACATTTTGTTTATTTATGACTATAAACTACATACTCCTGACTTTTCGGCTACTTTACATCAACCGTGATCACGGGCAGACGAGATGTGAGTGTCTGTTAAATAAAAAATGCGTAAAAAAACGCGTAGTAAATCTGAAAATATTAGTTTCATTGAAACAATTCCTATTTGTATCTTATACTTGATGCAAAAGAAGGTACAGCATATGTATTTCCTTTTTGTAGCCCTTTCTCTGTGCAACCTAAATCGGGATATCTAAATCCTAACCAGAAAATTGATATCACAGTTGGCTTTAAGAGTATGCATCTTGGAGAAAGAATTGGGATTATGAATGCAACATTTGAAACTGGTTAGTTACATTTGATTTATTTTGAATATTTTTTTGTATCATAAAAACACAATTATAAATAAGTTTCCCGGAATGCTATGGAATTTCTTTTAATGTGAATAAATTTTTATTTTATACGTTTAAATACGATAATTTTATTCAAAAACGAGCTTTTGACAAATTAGTTACATTTAATCTCTTTTCAGGTGAGAATTTTTGTATTAAGTTAGTGGGAGTCACCCACACAGTGAATATACAATTGGAGAAGGCAGTGGTTCGCTTTTTGGACACCTACAACACTATGGTGCGACAACAATCGTTTAAGATTACGAACAAATCCGATCACATCATTAGTTATATGTGTATGAAAAATAGTTGCGTAATAGGGGGTAAGCGTTATTTTTGTTTGCAATACTATAATTAAAATTTAACATAACCAATGTTTTTTCTGCATAAAGATTTTGAAAATAAAGTGAAGTTAGCAACAGTATTCTACGACTTGAAAGAAAACGAATCTAAAAAATCCAATAAGATGGTGTACTATGATGTACTCAGCAGCGAGGAACACGAACGAGTCTATACGAGAGTATTTTTCGACGAAATGCAGGCTCTGGTGGCTGACGAATCTTTACATTTTCAAGATACACACTTTTCAATATCACCTATAGTCAGTATTTGTGAAATTAAATTTCTTCTTAGTCTTTATGATTTGCTCGAAACATCATAAAGTTAAATGAAACTAATATTTTTATTTTTATCAAAAACTACATACTCCCGACGTTTCGGTTACTTTACAGCAACCGTGATCACGGGCAGACGAGATGTGAGTGTCTGTCTGTCGGTCTTTTTATTTTATCACTTACCCCTATCGATTGCATTATTTGTACTTTATATTTAACTGATACAAAATATCAGGTTCATTAAAATGCATATTCGCGAGAATCTTAGATCTCATTATCATAAAGTTAGAAAATTATTTTATTAATATATTTTTCAGGAAGGCAATCTGTGGCCAAATAAGACGACAGAACTGACGATTACGTTTTCTCCAAAACAAATAGGAGAATTCGAGGCGATCGTCTTTTTAGACATAGATGGTGTTGTTGAGCGAGTACCTTTAAAAATGGTTGGTACTTCTTTGCCGCCTCTCATCAACTTGAATTTGGAGACATTGGACATGGATCGAGTATATATTAATAAAACTTACAATTATGAAATCGTCGCTATGAATAAAGGTAACTTAAAATTCTGTAAAATGAGAATATATATAGTGGTATAAATTATATTATACGATAAATTTTTGCAGGTCACATAAATGGAGTGATCGTATATAAAGAATTACCACCATTATTCGGCAGTATTATAACTTGCACTCCGCAGATGCACTGTATGAGACCGGGCGACGTAGAGAAATTTATCATTTCGTTTTGCAATTCAAATCAAGGGCCATTTTTTGAAGAGATAAATTTCGCTATTCGGGAAACTAATGTTGTCCTAAAACTTTATTTAAAGTACGTTTAATCTCAAAATATTGGTTTTAAACCTTGGTCAGACTAATTACTGATATATTAATGATATTTTATTTATATTTTTATATCTTGTAAATATATTTTGGTTCTCTTTTAGGGGTGTGGTTATTTATCCATCATTGATGTTTAGCATGCCGTGCCTTGATTTTGGAATGGTCAGTCTAGGTAAGATAAGTTCTATTAAAATCTGCTATCTGCTCCGTGCTATCATGGACTCAGTAAACAGAATTACGTGTATTTCTATTATTTGTAGGTATATCAAAAACATTGGAAGTAGAGGTGATTAACGAGTCTGTAGTACACGTGGACGCTAACGTGAAGATTTCTTCTGACGGGCCAGAGATAAGCAGCATAACCTTAATTGACTATTCCGTGGCTGATAAACCAAAACCGAAAATCCCCCAATGGCCGCGAGAATTTCATATCGAACCGCAGAAGATTCATATATTACCAGAATCCAGAGTATCCATTAAAGTAAGAATATCTGGTTTTTAGGAATTTTTAGTATTTATATGTTTTTTTTTAAATTTTGTAAGGCATTTTAGTGAACACGTTAAGAAGACACAAAACAATATAAATCAACAATTAATTTCTTAGCCTAACCTCAAAACAAACCCTCATTGACCAGTGGCGTGCACAGAGATTTAGGGTACGGTAAGCAGAATATGTTTGAAAAATAAAATACCAATTTTCATCATTTCTACCTCTAAAACATTGATAATAATGATATCTTTCGCAAGTATTGATTTTAATTTTAAATGAAACTAATATTTTATTATTTTTAACGGGCAGACGAGATGTTTTCCGTAATCACGGTTGCTGCAAAGTAATCGAAACGTCGGGAGTATGCGGTTTCAAACATAATAAAATACACGAAGTAATCCGAAAATATTAATTTCATTTAAACATTGATAATATTCGTGCATAATTTTACAGCAGTCCGATCGGAACGAACATCTATATACTTTATGAATCTCTTAACAACCTTGAGCCACGAAAGTACCTTAAAACGATTACGATCTGTTCATCACAGCTTTATAAAAGTTATTTAAATAGAGAAATTCAGTGGAGATTCAAACATTCTTATTTTTATCATTTGAAAACAATAAACAAGACAAACAAAATAACTAATTTGTATGTACACAACCTGATAACTAATCAAAAGTATCATAATACATACTTGTTATTAAAACGAATAACATTACCTTTCTTTAAGTTCAGTCTTAACTGCTCAAACACCTTGATTTTACACTTTTTTTAATTTTATTATCAAACGACAATATTGAAAATCTACTTGTAACTAATTTCAATAAACACATATCAAAAGCACAGAGCTCACAGCTATAATTTTCCATAATGCATTAATAAATTAATCCACTGTTTACTAATTAAAACTTATTCACTTGCGCTTAGAAAGACAACTGACAGTGACAAATGACATTATTCAATAATAATAAAATGGCGAAAAAAATATATGAACAGTTTACCGACCAATCAGAGAGCCCCATTTCGTTTGACAATTAACGGACTTTCTACGAGTTTTGAAACAATACAAAATAATCAGTGCTTCTGGAACACTATGTATGTGTTAGTTTTACACACACACAAAAAATATTTCCCGCATACATACACGAGATTTAGATGGTCCTTGGGAATTTTTGTATGGAAAATAAGCAGAGAATGGTTGTGCATATCGCCGCTCTGGCTGCATAGCGGCGCTAGCAGTTAGCAGGGGCCGATCGAAAATGTTTCTTTTTTACATTGATAGCACTTATTAAAAAATCATGAATCAAATGTCATTTTAAATGTCTATTAACATTTGTATTTCGTAATGTATGATTAAAAGTTTGTAAGTAACAATAAAACTATATAGGTTTAGTTGTTATATGGGTAGGGTATGCAGTGCTTATTTGTATCTATAGTGTGCACGGGACTGTCATTGACCTCCTGTTGCTTAGCAACGCCATCAGCTGTTGTGTCGTTAAAGCAATTAGCAAAAAGTAGTATTATTATTCGCCAATAGATGTCAGGAAGAGTCATATTTTAAATTGGGACTACTCGAACGCCTGCTTTTGTTTCTTTTTCATAAAATGACATTTTCTAAAAATGGTTCCTGTGTAGACCGATTTATCGCCCTCGAAACCCCCTATATACTAGATTTCATGAGACTCGTTAAGCCGATTCCGAGATTCCAATTATACTATAATATATATACAAGAATGAGCACATTTAAAGATATAAGATATTATGGAAGTACGTGTTTATTTATTTACAAACTAGCATTCATATATAATGACCCTTTCAGGTTAAACTGACGGCAAACTTAATACGTGCTAACCAGACGTCGCTTGAGTTGGAACTTGATAAATCTGATAGTCCACCGATAGTTTTGCCAGTAACGTTCAACGCTATGGTACCTATCATCACTCCTGTGCCGGATATTAAGCTCCGAGCGTGTTTCCTAGATTTTCCTTACAAACAAGAGATTCATGTCTTCTGCAGCGATTTTTGGGGATACTTTTCTTTGGTAGAACCTGAGGTATAATAATTATTGTAGATTTACATACAAATTTTATTGGAGTTTTTAATTATTCTTATATCTTTCTTATATACATATGAGCGTTAAAAATACGCGTTTTCACGTTTGGAGAACAGTTTTGAAAATACTATTTTTTAAACAGGGAAACCAACCAACAGATTCTATAAAATAGGGTAAAAATAAATCTTTTCATCCTCTTTCTTTCTTTCAGGTTTCCTCGATATGTTATAGGCATTGATTTATTTTTTTAAGTGTTTGTCATGCAGTATAAACACAATTAACCCTCATTTAGCCTTAAAGTAGCATATCTTTTTAACCCTGCATTAATTTTAGAAACCAATAAAAGAATTGCTCAATGAACAAGAGATTTAAAAAACAATTGAGTTAACAAAAATTCATAATATTTTATTCTAACAGATTGAATCAACGTTAGAAGTGGACGTGGATGTCAAAGAGGGCATAATAAAACCAAATAGTGTTTTAATATTACCCGTCACTATAAAAACTAGTGTTCTCGGCGTCCAGGAGTATTCGATTAAGTAACGTGTTTAAAAATATTATTTTAGTGATTTTATTTTATTCATATTAGTTTGTGTATACATATATCTGTTCTCTTCGCGTTATATAAATATCAAATTTGTGGTTTTAGACCGTTGAAAATTCTTTAGTAGTTTATTACGAATGACTAAAAAAGTATCAATATTAATAATTACTATAATTTATATCTTTTATATTAAAAGAATTCTTGAGGATATTGATATTATTTCAGATTGTTTTTTATTCAAGTCCAAATGTTGTAGATGTAATAGATAAAATCGTAACTAAAGTAATTTATAATGGTTTTTTCAGACTGAGTCTCTTCGGTTTGTCTCAACCAGTTGAAATATGTCACATAACTGGTTGTGGAGTGAGGCCCATAGTGACTTGCAATCCCATGGCTTTACACTGGGGACAGGTTAAGCTGTTGTCAAAAACTCATAAGACCCTCGTACTATGCAACGATTCACCTGTCATTGTTAATTTTAAAGTCTCTTTGGTATGTGCTATAAGTAATTTATGTTACTAGCTTTCCGCCCGCAGCTTCGCCCGAATGGAGTTCGGTTATATCGCGTTTCCAAGAGAACCTTTCAAAAGTCTGGGATAAAAACTATCCTATGTTCTTTCTCAAGGTCAACTGTATATCTGTACCAAATTTCATTAAAATCAATTCAGTGGTTTAGGCGTGAAAGCGAGACAGACAGACAGACAGAGTTACTTTCGCATTTATAATATTAGTAGGGATGAATGTAGTATGTCTATGTACTAAAAAGTAATATGAATAGAAGTTGACTTATTATTGTTTAAATATTATTGTAGTTAAATCGGGATGGTAGATGGCATATTTATCCAACAGAAGGTAATATACTACCAGAATCTGAGTCCGAATTAACTGTTAGCCTATATTTGATTGACGCTGACAGTTATACGAACAAAGCTGTAATACAATTGGAAAAAGTAAAAGATATAGTGAGTTTACATTTAGTATTTAGTTTATATGAACTAATTGCTTTTGGGTTTGGTGAAATTAAGGAAGGAGACTTTTTTCAGTTGGTACCGTTATCTGCAACTGGAATAGGAACCAGTATTTTAGTTGGCGAACTACGGGATAGAGTTATTTTGGGTCGTCATTTTACTAAAATACCGCTCCAATGTAAAGTAATTATGGAGAATTGCGGAACTCGTATGCATGCCCTGGAATGGAGCGAACATTACAAAGCGCCTAAAACGAAGCAAAGCACTACGTAATTATTCTTATTTGTATTTTTTTTGTACACAAATAACTAAAAATCCAAAAAATATTAACATAAAATTTTCATTGTGTTTCAGGGGGTTCTTTAATTTAGAACCAAGGGTTTTTAAAATGGCGGCGGGAGAAAAATTAGAGTTGAATGTGACGGGGCTCTCCTACAAGACAACAACGATAAAAGAAATGTGGTACTTGGTCGGAAGTGTGGAAGGAATAAATAAAAAGGAGTTGTTACTTGAATGTCAAATTGTAGCTGAATTCGTAGACCCTAAAATAGAGGTGTCCTCTTCTTCCATAGAATTTCAATACGACTATGGACCGTACAGCGAGTATTACAAATTAACAGGTAAAGAAAATATTTCGTAAATTACTATTTAAGAAAAATATTATTACTATTACGTTATATTGTTCAAAACTTCATTTCAGATCTGGTTACAATTAAAAATGTTTCCAAGTTACCACTAGATTTCGAAATAAATGTCAAACCTCCGTTTGCTATAATTCAGAAGAGTAGTTCATATAAAATATTGCCGACAGAAGAAAACTTATGCGGGTGCATATGTTACAGAGAATCTGACATTAACATAAACAATATACTTAACGAAAATGGACAGCAATCTAAAGTATTTATAGATTACTTGACTTTGAAACCAGTTAATCCTCTGAGAAAAGGTCCCCTGCATTTTTTTCAAGATATCAATAGGATAAAATCGGCTTTCAATCTTACACATATGATTGAAGAAAGATTGGACGATCAAGATATTATGAAAATACAAATTCTATTCGACACCACCAAACATACGTCACTGAAGTCTAGAGTTTATTGTGATTTAATGCGTTTGAAATTCAAAGGACATAAAAATAAGGTTTATATTCCATAAAGTTACCGTTACGAAAACGGCCTGTTGCTTATTAATTATTTATTTTATTACAGGATGCAATCAAACTTGTTGGAAAAATAAACTTCCCGAATATTTTTGTTCTATCTCCAAGAGTAGATTTCCAATATGTTCTGAACGGACGTATTGAGAGCAGAACTATAAAAATTCAAAATACAACACCTCTTATGGTTTGCTATAGATTCAATTGGAAGAAATGTACAATAAGTCATATAGTGCAGGTAATTTAAGATGTATTTTTGTGTATTTATAAATTATTAGCGATCGGTGGTTTATAGGGGCCATCAAGATTGTCATATTTTGTGCATTCTTGCTAGACGGATACGAATATTCCAATTCGTTCTTTCGCAGTACCCAATAAAACTTATCATCTCACAACATTGTTCGAGACGCTTCGTTTGACTATTCAAATTAAAATGAATAATTCTTTTAAAATTACAGGACGAGGGGTCAAAAGAAGAGTTAGATAGTAAAATCACCTTGTATCACCAAGAATCAACAACAGAAACTACACATTATAGCGGTTAGTAATAATAATGTGGTAGTTATTTAAACACCGCTTCCAATATTAAATTTATTATGTATGTAATTATTATTAAACTGAATATTTTCTACAAAAGGCGCCGAGGAATTGCACGAAATACTACCATGCCGCACCGCTGCCGAAGCTTTGTTTATTGATGATGAACTGGATCAAAGTAATGCTCCCGATATGCTAATGTCATATAAACAAGAAGTGAAAGTAACTCAGACGACAAGTTCACAGAGTTTGACAGCGGAGGATCCCGAATTACTTAATTATAAAATAATGCAAAAAGTTACTCCCATGTTGGACATAGAATGTGATGGTGAATTTGAATGGTCATACAAGTTTTTGAAGCTCAATAGAAATCAAAACGTATCGATAAACGATTTATTCTACTTGATCCCCTTTTCCGGATTATTGAAACCTAATGAAGTTCAATATGTTAATATAATGTTCAGACCCAAAACTGATATAAGCGTCAGAGCTACATTGGAGTGCGAAGTTTTGGGAGGGCCTCCAGAAACAATAATAGTTACTGGTCAAAGTTCAAATTTACTATACAAAATAAACACGCAGCGAATAAATTTTAAAATACGCTCATTTCACGAGAATGCAACGGAACAATTGGTGATTTCAAACATATCACAATTACCTTTTGAATACACAACTTACCTTAACGAACCCGAATTTGAAAATGATTTGCCTGGAAGGATTCTCAATTTAATACCATCTCAGAAACTTTTAGAGCCGGAGGAGCAAATAGAAATGAAAGTTGAAATGAGACCTGGTGTTATGGGATACTTTCAGACTAAATTCCTTTTAGAGATTGGGCATCTCCCTCTGTTGCACATAGAGGTGTTCGGATGGGGTGTCATTCCACAAGTTTATTTTTGTCTACCACGGCCGGACATATTTAAAGTTAGACGATTATTAATTAAAATTAATTATTGATATATTGTTTCGTATAATATAATTATTTTTTAGCTTGATGAACAAATCGGATACCACGCCATTCCAAAGCTAACAACAGAATATTTACAAGCTGTTAGCGAAATATTTACCGTTGGCACCTCTGAGCATTTAAATTCTCCATTGACTGAAAAATGCTTTGAAGATCCCACTTTACAACATGATTGGCATATATGTTCTTCTTGGGTAGCGTTTATTTTATTGAGAAATTTACCTACGGCTTTATTATTTGTAGATCTCATTTTTTGTTAAAATGTAGGAGGCAAACAATTGTTTTTATTTCTTATGTTAACACGAAACTTATCTAAATATTAAATTTATTGAAATTTGCTCTCTACTCTATGAGAGAGGCAGTTGTGTGAATATGATGATATTCACATGATAAAATGATGATATTCACACATACAAACTCTGATAAAAATTATACTTATACAGCAAATCACATATAAATACTTTGAAATGAACTGCCAAATAGTTTTTAAATAATATTTTATAATAATTTAAAATGCTTTTTATAGGATCTCTATCCCTCGGTAATGGATATTGAATTAGCTATAGAAAGACAGTTGGTAATTGATCACATAAAATTACGACCAGACCTACTGACATCGTATTTTACAACGGGAAAAATGGGGCCTATTCCAGGCTTCCTTACAGTTCCATATGTTATAGATTTTGGAGTTGTTATCACGGGTAGTACTGTAAATATCCGAAAATTATTTTGTTTGTGTTATATTAATATACAAATTTCATGAAATAACAAAATTTCTGTCTTTCAAGATACAATGCTCTGTTGAGATAGTAAACTATGGTCCAATAGTATCAAAGTTGCACTTTGCTAAAGGCACTAACATACCGACTTGGTTGAGTTTGAAATTGTGTGGAAAATTGAATCCAGGTGAGAAAGGGAAACTTGAGGTTTCGTTTGCACCCACTTCAATAGATTTTACGGAACTCGAGCAGAATGTTGAAACGTCATTTAATATAGAGGTAATATTTTAAATAATCTATTTAATTAATTGTTATACTTCCATTATTTTTAACAAGTTAATATTCAACAGGTTCCATGCGGAGTTATAATACCTATACGTATAACAGCACTCTGTGCTGTACCTTATTTAGTTTCAAATATTAAAGAAATTGATTTCGGCTCCGTCAGATGCGGGGACAAGATAACATGCTCCATTCCTCTCAAAAACATGTGAGCTAAAAAGAATAATGTAATTTAACAATAACGGATATTTTTTAAGTGTAATTTAAACTTTATTATTTTTATAGTGGGAAACCGGCTTGCATTTGGTTCGTTACGTTGAAATTAAGATCTCCCGGGCCGAGTCCAATGACAATATTGGACAGTTCAGGAAAATATGAACCAGGCGAAGGCGGCTGGCTGAGTATTGCGTTCAAACCTACTATTGAAGTAATTTTATAATAATTAATACTTATTTTCCCTTAAAAGTTAGATAACGTGATATAATGTTAATCTCTTTTCCTCTCAAAGATGGTGTATGAGGGCCTACTTATATTTAAGTATCATATGAATCCAAATAGAATGACGATACCCATAACTGGTAAAGGGATTATGCCTCAAGTACATATTATCGGTCCAAATGTAGCATTTCCACCAACTCTGCCGTGGTCGGAAACTTCGGATATTTATTTCGGACTTACAAACCCGTGCCCGTTTCCTATTGAATTAATCATAGCACACAGCGATAAGTAAAAAGTTTCTTTATATTTATAATAGTTTCGGAATATTATTTACTTAGAATTACTAGAAGTTATTGAAATTTTAACAGAATGTGGCAGCAAGAAGAAGAAATATATCAACTTTTATACAAATATTATAACAAACCAGATGAAATGTTGGTTCCTTCTATACAACCTGGCACAGGGTTCCCATTTGAAGTAACAAATTTTTATACAAAGTTCAAAGAAACGGTGAAAAAGTAAGACATGAAGTATGCTTTTTTCTCTAAAGATATTGGTGATAAAAAAATTATGGCGAATTTTCAGGTACCAAGATGACGAGATTCAAGGGGCAAAAGTCACAACATCACGCTCAATTGCATCTTCAAAGTATTAGTTTGATTTTTAAATTAAGTGGAATAAAAATAATCATTATTAATGAATAAATGTGTTTTTTTTTAGAAAACTCAAAAGTCCTAAAAATACTGCTAAACCGTCGTCTGTAAAAGAATCTACTTCTGTAAAGAAAGTTCGAAACGAAGCAGAGATAATTTCAGGTTTCTTTTATTTAATTTTAATTTGTTATTTTATCAAAAATATTATATCCATTATATTATTTTGTCATTTTATAGATGTCATCAAGGAGTTTAAGGAGAAGAATATGGATCCGTTAAAAGAGAGCCTTTCTGTATTTGATACTGTTTCAACAGAAACTGGAACTGAAAAATATTCCAACGGAGTTTTAATTTTTGTTCATGGATCCCCTTGTGAAGGCAATTAATTGGGTTAACAAAAAAATGTGAATTTTACATTTTTCACTGTATTAATTATCGTGTCCTTAAAATTTCAACAGAAGTCCAATGCCAGGAAATGGCGTATTCTCTCGGAAAAGCTCTTCAACTACCGACAATCAACATTGATTTGTGTATCGTAGAAGCTTTGTGCGTCTGTACGTGTCCAGCAAAATTATTAATCACAAGTGCAATTGAAGAAATGTATGCCATTTACCGAAAAGGTGCGACGAACAAAACCGGCTCCGAAGAAGATGAAAATGATGATGAAAGTATAATGTGTTTTATGCTATAATATGAATCATTTAATAATATTCCTTTATACTATTAAATAACACTTCTTTGTCTTAGTTTCATCGGAGGAAATTGAGGACAAGTTTGACATTATGTTGAAAAAGATTGAGTATTTGGCAATTAATAAAAATGTAGGCACACCTAAATCTAAACTTGGTGATAAGAAGAAGAAAAAGTCACCTACATCTTCAGTAGCATCTCAATCAGCACTCGGAGCGATAGGTTCAACCACTATGTTTCAAATGGTAGCGCTCAATTTTGTATAACTTATTAAGTTACTTAAAAGGTGGTGTAAAAACTAATGTATATTTTCTACAGGATTTGATGCTGGAACTCCTAACAGAATTTTTCAAATTGCCCAAATTCGACCGAGGCTTCATTGTGGATACCTTATCGAGCGAAATTTTAAAAAATCCTCCACTAGCACTATCAACAATTATTAAAGCAAAACACTCAATATGGAATGTTAATTTGATACTGTGTCAATCTGATTTCAATAAATGGGTCCAGTCATACGAGGAAGCTCAGCGAGAAATGGATCAAATAGACGAGTATGGTTATAAGACTAAAAACTAACCTTTGAAAAAGATATTTAGAATTCGTATACATCATACATATCTTCAAAAATGTTCTAGGAACATACCCAAAGAGTATGATGAAACTGAAATAGCAGAAATCGTTGAATCTTTTGAAGCGATGGAGAGTGAAGAATACGAGAATGCCGACCCGGAGTTAAAAGCAATTTACATTAGTTATGGCTTAGAGAATAGACGTAGAAATTATTTAGAGAAAGTTGGGTAAGAATATTCATATATTATGTTAATAGACAATTGTTTGCGGTTCATATATTTCCGATCTTGTAAGTTTGAAAATGAACCGCGAGATTATGTACCGAGCATTCGTTAAAAAAAACTTGTTAGATTCTATTATGATTCTATTTGTCATATTTTATAGAAAGTTTTTTTTCAGGTATAGAAAAGATTCTGTTACAAAATTGAAGAGTGCGAAAGGTAATTTTTCTTACTTAACAACATATTGACATACTGTAAATTTGAAGACTTTGTTTACAATTTCCTTTTTTTAAATTGCATATTTTCTTTCATTTTTAAACGTATGTATAAGTTGCAGTCATTTAATAGTTATAATATCCAAAATACCAATTTAACAATGTTCTTAATAAGAATTTGGTATGACAGGTTTTAAATAAAATTCGATTTATTTTAGATCACAGTAAGTCAATCCTGGTTATCGAAAAAGATGAGTCTAAGAAAAAAATTAAGAAAGAGGAAATGAGAGGTAAGGAGGTCTTTTTTTGGTAGTGTATAGCTTTATTTATAGTTATTTAATGTTATCCATATATTACAGCAAAACCTACGAGTGAATACTTGATGATGAACACAAAATACAACGAATATTTAAAAAATACTTTCGAAAACCTGATCAATATAGCGAATAACTGGGTATTTGAAGAGGAAGATGTTGGTTTTCCTTTGTACGGCTTTAACGGACAAGTAATAAATGCAGCACAGAAAAAGGCTAAGAAAAAATCTGATGTACAAATCCAAGTAAGCAGAAAAGATCCATTCATTAATAAAATTATCAAAAAAAATCATTGTTTATTGAAAATCAATTGGTTTTTTACTTCGCAGATGTCAGAAGTAAGTTTTTCTGAACGAGGATTTCCATTGACAATAATAATGTGTCCATGTCTTCGATATAAACAAGTTTTAGTACATAAGTTTGCAACGTCAACACATATTCAAGAAGCTTTAAGGGAAGAAGAAAAGTATGACGTACTAAAGTGTCCTATCGATAAAAAGTCTTACACTGTACTCCTACCTAAAACATTTCCCAGTATAAATCATGAAGAACCTTTGGAATGGAAATATTTGGACGAACCTCCTGTAATATACCGATTTTTTTGTCAATAATTTAACTATTTAATGAAGCATACTATGATAATCTTATTTTTCATAGATTAAAAAATGTGAATGTAACCAATTAAATGATTTAAACCTGTTGGACGATACCAGTCAAGATAATGTTTTAAATATACTTAGCAAATGGAACTGCACATGTGGTAAAAAGGCGAGTTGTATTCTGTATTATTTATATTTCGATGGTCTTTATGAACTTTATTGATTGCTAATAATTTTAATATTCAGGTAACATCGTCCCAAACATCTACTAGTGAAATACCGGTTGCCTCTCTAGAAAAAGTTGTAGCAAATGAAAGTGAAACTGAAGTAACATACCCTTTACCACTACGTACTGTGAAGTCATTGACCGGTAATACACGAATATGATCTTTCAATTTATATGTATAGTCTTGTTTAGGTTTTGTGTCAATATATAATTTGCCTTATTTTCGTGTTTTAGATATCAATACTAGAATCGTTTTACATCCCGGAGATCTAGTACGATGCAAGTACTCCTTCAGTCCTAAAGTTGAAGGAAATTTTAGTGTCAAAAGATTCGTGGAAGTCAGTGGCTGGCCTGAATCGAGGGTAGACATAAACGTGTCTGGGATATGTGACCTACCGAGGTTCTTTGATATCAATATCTTTAATAACTTCTTAAAAAGATTTATATCGTATTAATATTTAATATACCGATCAGATTAGACAGTCGCCCGAAGAAAATGTTTGAAAACTTCGTCAGAAGAGCGTTAGAAGATCAAGTTTATAAAGTTACTTATTTGGATGATCAGAAACTATTTGAATTTGGACCTATATTTGTAGGAATGAACAGGTTTGAAATTATTAAATATATTTTCGTTTAAAAAGGATGGACAAAATCTTAGTATTATTTTAATAATATTTAATATACAGGATATATGAAGAAAAATATACCATAGACATAAGAAACTCTTCTTTGATAACGACAGACATCGAAGTAGAATTTCTAGAAGAAACTACAGTTTTCATTATTGATAAAACTTCATTAATACTGGAGGTGAATTACATCTTTAATGTTTTTTACATATATAGTTATATATTAATTCATGCTCGGGGAAAGTTTTAACAAAATATTTATTTACTAAGCCTGGGTGTAGAGGTAAACTAGAGGTATCTGCAGCACCAACAGAGGTAGGAGTGCATACGAGTGTGTTGATGTTCTGCGTCAAAGACAATCCCGAAATCGTGACTGTTACAGTAGCTTGTAGAGGAGTTGTGCCTACCGTTGAAATTCTTCCATTGACGAAAATGATTGGTAAATACTAAAGCCAAAAAAATACTTAATTATAAAAATCAACCCTGTACCTTATAAATTGTTTTGTAGAGTATGGAAAACATTTACTATATAGACGTGAAGACGACAGGTTTATAGTGAAAAATGATTCAATCTTGCCTATAAAGTGGCAAATACGAAATGCTTCGGAATTTGTAGAGGATTTTATAATATCTGAATCATCGGGCGTAGTGTTACGTCATGATAACCAAGTTGTACCCGTTACATACATCGCTTGCAGGGTTGGAGTTATATCAAACAAGGCATTGACAATTGATGTAATTCGAATTCATAATATATTTTGGTTGTTTTGATATAAACTTAGAGCTTAAATATAGTTAAAACAATATTAACACAGTTAAAGTAGACTTTCATGAAATAATACAGATAAAAACAATAAGAGAACTCAAATTTAGCATCTTTTTGAAAGGGAGGGAAATTCTAATATTAGTATTTTATACTTTATTTTGTTATTCTACCTCCATCTAGAACAATGCTAGCCAATAATAATTAGCAACTTTGGAACATTTCACCAACGCGAGCTTAAAAAAAATATTCTTAATAATATGAGCTTAACGAAATTTTATATATTTATGCTTCACTTGTTTTGTAGATATACGATGCAGAGGGTCGTGGAGAGCCAATGTTAACAGATGTTTTGTTCTTATCTGCGGAGTGTTATGACGTTATGGTAGATTGTGCTTATGAAAATCCCAGCGAAAATTTCTTAAACTACGGAAACGTCAAAGTGAATTCCACAGTTTATCGAGAAATGTATTTGCTAAATCGTGGAAAATACAATGTTTATTACAAGTACGATAAAATATATCGAAAGAGTTATGTTATTCCAAAGTAAAGTAAAATTTAAAAATTATCTTTTTTTGTAGGCTTAAAAAGGTAAAGAATTTTCCTGAACCATCGTTGCTCCGATCTTTTGAAGTGATGCAAGAATGTGGAGTTGTACCACCAACATTAAAATTAGTTATCATAGAATTTGAATGTACTCCCACAACTTCCATGAATTTGGTCAACGTTCCAGCTTATATTTGTTCCATTTTAGATGGTAGTAAAAACCAGGTGGTTGTAGCAAAGTTTCCCGTGTGCATTTCAATTGCTTCGTTTTATAATACGTGAGACTTTTCTTTACATTATTTCGAATATATATTCACATTTTTTAATATTCTCATTCTTATATAATCTCCATACTATTATAGTTTCACTTTATTCCCTTTGGGGGAGTTAAATTTTCATATTATTGCTGTCGGGAGCGGTGTAATGCGTGACGTTATTTTAAACAATACGAGTAAATGCCCCGTAACCTATGAAATAGTTTTACCCCCGAAGTATCAACCGCATCCTGAAGATCCACAACCTCAGATGAAATTAAAAGACAATAAGTAAGAGCCTGGTTTTAAATAATTTCTTTTGTAATCAATAATAACATAGACTATTTTCTGAGTATAAACCATCATGCAGGTTGAAAAACCCTCCATTGAAATGTGGAAACTTTCTCATTTTAAACGATGACAATCTTCTGGCTCCTGGTACCAGTAGGACGCTTCAAATCCAATTTCTTGCTACCGCTGCGAAGACATTTGAGGAGACGATACATTTTATAATCAGTGACACTTGTCCTGCTGAAGCTCAGGGAGTTCCATTAAAACTAGTTGGTACAGGAGCAATGCCGACGCTCGATTTTTGGAACTTAGAAACGACATTTCGCGAACATCTTATCGTTAAAAATTTGTCTGACTATAAAGTGCATGAGGTATGTTACACTAAAACATTAATGATTGTATTGAAACAATGAGATTAAAAATGTTTAATTTCTTTCAGTCATCACCGCATTGTGTATTTGTTGAAGACTCCGTCACTCTCCACTTTTTCGCCGTCAATGTAAATTCTAGCTATGTTGCAATTGTCGACCTTTACAATAGCGGACTCGTTGCTTGTGCATTAACAATGAAGCTACATTATCAATCTAATACAGAACATAGTATATTTTCACTGGACAAGTACCAGACCCATATAGAACCATTGTTACATAAAAACTTGGGTATTATATTTAGCCCAAAAGCTCTTGAGGTTGGGAATCTATAATTATAAAACATTTTAAAAATAATGTTGAGTTATTTTTGTAATGATGAATATATTTCAGGAATACAGAGCGGTTTTAGAAATAAGACTTAAATTGCTTCAGAATCAAGAGCAATCTTTTAAGATATGCTTAATTGGTGAAGGTGTTATACCAAGAATATTTTTAATATCACCGCCTTTGAAACATCAAAGGATTGCTCTGTTACATTTTCCCGTTACCTGTTTGGGATCAATGACGAGTAAAAAGATTCGTTTTAAAAACGTCAGCTCAGTACAAACGATAGTAGTCGCTGAAGTTCTATTCTCAAAGAAAGAAGAAAGACCAGTGTTTTGGTTAACCTCAGCCATTGATAGCGAACATATGATTATTTATGGAAATAATGGTAATTATAAAAAGCGGCTATTTTTATTTTAGTGATATACTAATTATTTAAATCATGTTTTGTTACCTTTTGTAGATGACATGAATATAGTAATGAAATTGATGCTCAAGCCAAATGAAATAGCCACGCTATATGTCTATTATAATCCTATTAGAAGAGGAAGAATTTCTTGTGATGTAAAATTAACGATCGTCGAAAATCCATACGAACATTTTACGGTAGTATTTATATCAATATAACATAATATTAATTAGGTTTATATAATTATAGTAATTGAATAAACCTTTTAGGTACTCTGCGAAGCCGAGGCGTTTATGGAAGATGTAATTTTGACGGGTTTAGAAATGCTGTTCATGGATATCGATTTGGAAGTATTCAAAGGATCCGGTGAAGGGTACGAAATATACTGTTTTCATTTGTCTTGAATAAAAATTAACGCTTGTCTGAAAGGCTACGATGGTTTTTTTTAATAAATATTTTTTTTTTTGTTAGAACCTTATCGACGGTGTCAACGCTCGACAGTAGAAAGAAAAGTAAAAGTGCAACTGTGGAAAGAAAGAAATCTCGAGCGTTAGAAATAAAAAAGAGTAAGAGGATATCCCAGGCTTCGGTGAAAATGAGCGATACAACCAGTAGCGCTGAGCATTCTATTCTGAAATACATTTTAAATTTTGGTAAGGTTACTGTCGGTAGAATCAATTCTTAAAAATATTGGACCAGAAATTAGTATATGATTATATAATTACCGCCCATTTTAAACCAGGCGGCTGCGAGCTAGCTGTGATGCACAGAAGAATAGTAATAATGGTTAATAATTCAGAAAAAGTATATAGGTTTAAGTGGGGTGAATTGGAAAATATTGTTGTTAAACCATCGGTCGGATATATTTCACCCGCAGAGGAAAAGGATATAGAAATAGTTTTTTTCTCTCTACAACCTATTGTAATAAAGAAGGTACGCAGCATTTCCTTATTTTGGAATCATTCCGTTATTTGGGAATCAAAATTAATGGACTTGGATTTTTTTTTCAGGAATTATTGCATTTAACATTGACGGCCATAAGTGATGACTTCCTAACACTTGATATGAAAGCCACGACTTGGGATAACCGACAAACTGTTACTGTTTTTGATCACAACACGTAAAAATCACATATTGTATTTTGTTATTTTTAACTGTTTCTAGAATTCTATTCGTGAAAAAAATAAAACTTTAGTAATATTTCTTTATTCCTATCCTGAGATTCAAAGATCAGTATCGAATCAATAGAATTTAGAGTATGGAGCTTTAAAATACGCTATAAGGCTTCAGTCAAAGTCTAGATAGCTAAAACTTGGCTATAAATTCGCATATTTTGTGTGTTTGTTAGGCTGAAATTGCTGAACGAAATTATAAAGGTATAGAAATAGGTAATTTGGAAAAGAAAGTATTAAAAAATAATCTCAGTTTAATAATAATAATATTCAAAACATGAATTTCATCAGTATGTAGATAAATGTTTACTTTTTGAAATAGAAATGCAGATCTGAACCAGAGATTTGAGACGCCCTTGGATGAACTCGTCAATCAAAATACGGAACCCTCTGCTGACGTGATACAAATGATTATCGTGCTATCAGCATTGACAGAGTACACAAAGTATACGTGCAATTTAAAGGCAGAAAAACGTTTGGAAGATACATTCATTTATCAAGTAAGTCTTATATACTACTGTGTGTACTAGGATAAATTTTAAGGGTTGAAATAATACAGCTGTATTTAGTTGGATTTGTGGTTTTATTCCCATAACCATTACTTTATTATAAGCTATAAAAGTTAAGCAGTACTAGTAGTTATAAATCAAGAACACATAAATTAGCTGAAATAGTTTTAAATTAGACGGAATCATCTAACTTTATAACGGCTAAACAAATGATTACAGATCGTTTAACCTAAGTTTACACCCTCCCACTACATATGAAGTGTTTTCAGTGTCTCGATTAATAACCTAAATAAAAACTATAATATGTGAAAATTGACGACTAAAAAGTTTAATGCTTTGTATGTAGTGGGAAAATGCAAACTAGTGTTAATCTTGCCGAAAATTGTTATAGTATTCTATAGAAAATAATATGAATATTTCTACATTTAATTTAATTCTACGTTTGTTCCACTAGACGAGAAGTTTTAACTTCAAAGTTCATAATATCGGAAAGGTACCAATGAAATTAGTATGGAACTTTATAATCGATGATAATTATCCAGCACGGATAGATAAATATGTACCCAGAGAAGTAAGTATGTTATAAATAAACCAGTAGTTCTATGTATAAAGATTGACGACTTACCAATACCATCCCATAGGAAAGTGAAAGTGCTAACGAAGAAGGTGGAGAAAATGATGAACGGAAACCATCTGAACAAATTGTGAACCAAAATGATAGTACGTAATTTTATCTAACACAGAAATAAATACGTAAACATAAACTTGACGCGATTTACTTTAATACTGTATTTACGTAAATAAATGTCACTTTATAATTTTCAGATCCCAGTAAAATTACCTTATTCAGCGATAGTACGGGAAGGGAGAGTGTTGATACATGGTTCGAAGCTGACTTACCTTTCGTCATAAAACCAGAGAGAGAATGTCTCAAACCGAATGAAAGTCGAGAGTTTAAAGTTACCTTTGCACCGCTAGAGGCTTTCCTTTTTAATGTCCGACTTAAAAGTTCAATAGGTAATTATTTTATAGAAATTTTAGTTGTATAAGCACTAATCATTTTTAAACAATAATTATTCTTAACTTTGATTAATCTTTTATAGATAATTTGGATCCCTATGACCAAAATATATCATGCAAAATCCGAGCCAAATCCTTAATACCATATGTACACCTTAATATTGAGGAGAGTGATTATATATCGTCCGGCAGAAGGAAAACAACTGGTGTGGCGCTGCCTCCTCATATAAATGTGCTTGAATTTAACGTGCTCGGTTCCGGTTGTTATAAAAAGTCTGTATACCAACAAATAAATTATTAGTTTAAGAAAAATATACTATGATTTATACATATGGAAACTATATTCAGGATATCTGGTCAGTACTGTCGTTTACGATAATCGACCAAATAAAACTTATTAACATTGCAGAGCTTTCAATGTTATTAATCCCACATGCGAGGGTTACGAGTTCATATTCGAAATGGTAATGTCTGACAACCCTGATCTCATTCCTATGCATTGCAACATGCTGAAAGGTTACGTTGAAGGAGGTACAAGTACGGAAGTCGTGTTTACGTTCTCACCAACAGCACCTGGGGTAGTTATATTGGATTTCTTTTAATTGCTAAGCTTTTTATTGAACCTAATTTTATTAAATTTGTAATTTCAGACGTATGAATCCCAATGGAAATTCATAATTCCCGTTCATTCGTTGGTCATGAATCTCCTGGTAGTGGGTATTGTGCACGAGCCAGATGTTATGTTTGTACCAACCATTCTTATAATAAGGAACTCTTTGGTTGGATTTACGACGACACATACGGTCATTTTAAAAAATACTGAAAATGAAAGTTTGAATTACGAATTCAAAGGAAACTCTTTATGTAACGAATCGGGTAAAACACCGGTCGTAGTTGAACCAGAAAAAGGTGTATTGAGACCTAGATCGGAGACTCCTGTTAAGTAAGAGCTTGATTTGAGTAATAGAAATAATTAAAAATATCATACATTTTTCATATTACTTTAGTATTAATATATAAAATAAATAAACAAGTCATAACTATTTTTAGAATAATCTACACTCCAATACAAGACGGACCACTTTCCTTCAAAATATTTTGCAGTGTGACGTACTTAACGAAACTTATAACTTTGTGTGTAAACGCTCTGAGTTACTCCATAAAGCCGAAGGTCACGTATTATTTGATTGGGAATGATCATATACTGCAAAGTGATGCGATCACTAATATTCATTTGGATCAGGTGCCTTTATAAATCATTATCTCTCTAAAATTATTACTTACTATTTTTTACGTAAAAAAAAGTCTTAGCTACACTTTTTATAGTTAGAGAATCGCTAAACCAATTTTTTGATATATTGTATTTGTCACTATCCCGAATAGCAGAATTATTAATTATGAAAGTTGCTGAATAAGAAATAAAAGAAAAAATATATTTTGAAACAATGTTCCAAGTTTGGTAACTGTCAAACATTTAAGATTTATCACATCGATGGCATAAACTCTCTCCTAAAATTGAAAAAAAAACTCTCTCCTAAAAAGTATTTCATTTCATTATTCGGACGAACAACTTATGTCCACAATATTCGCGTTTTACGTTTTCAAAATCTCGAATAATGTCAGTAATTAAAAAATATTGACATTCGTCCTCATTTTCAAATTTTTATGCAGACGTTCAGAAATTATAAAGTAAAATCATAAATTATGTAACTTTAGATAATCTGTAACTTCTTAGGCGGTATGAATTCGAGACAATTCTCTCCTTATATATTTTTTATGTAGATATTATTCTCATATTTTACATAGTCACTAGTTACAGTGTAGATATACATACATATATAAAAAAAGAGACGATTGGAACAGAAAAGTATATGAGACATTTGCCAAGACGTATAATTTCCAAATAGCTTCACTTCAATATTTTGCCTTTATTCAATAAACTAATAATCATTTGTATTCAAAAAGAAAAACTGTTTCACCTATATTATTTAATATGTAATAAATCACGACCAGACCGCTTCAACATACGAGAGGACAATTCCGTTTACAATCAAAAACGATGGGTCTGCGACGTTCTTTTTCGACTGGCGTTACAACACCAGCGGTGTGAGGAAGTACCTCAACATGTACGTGGAACCGAGCAGCGGTCACGTGACTCCTGCCGCGGAGGTCGAATGTATTCTTCATTTTACACTCAAAAAAGTACCTGTCCAGTCATTCCCTGTTAAACTCTTTGTGAGTATCATTTATATAATTTACTAAACATTATTATGGTTACATATTACATCATACATGTGTACAGAAATTATTTGGAGATACAAAGTTAAACTCGTAAATATTATATGAACATGTACAATTTCTCAATACTTATTGATAATAATGCCCAAAATATATGAAATCATTAGTTGTTCATGCGGAATTATTTGTAATTTATAAAACTTGTTCTTGATTTAAATGAATGATTTATTGAATTTTCTTAAATAAATCCTAAAGGATCTTTAAATATGAGTTAAGTTTGAATGTTAATTTGAAATTACAAAGATATATTTCAATTTATTTACTAGTATAGATAAACTTGAAATAATTTTAAGTAATACTTTTTTGGTGAAAACTATTGTTGATAAAATAAAAACTATATATCTTTATTGACACGTATGTAATTTATAGAATAATTAAAGACCATATTCTACATTTATAAAATTCTAAATTATATTCTATTACCCGTAGTTTATAGATTATATTGTAGGCAATTTCAGTATTATGACAGAGCTGTAAAATAATAATTTATCCTTGCCTGTTTGTTATGAAAATAATATTATACTACAAGTCCCTATAACTTGTATTTCTTCCAGATTCCCGATGGTCCCGAGTATATGATATACCTTCATGCAGAAATTAAAAAACCTTCATATAGCTTTTCGTGTATGGAATACGATTTTGGTAGATGTATCGTTAATGCTCCAGATTCGACTTATAAGAAAAATTTAGGTGTTTATAATAATGACACCGAACCTATTACGTAAATATCTTCTTATTGATTTACTATATCATAACTGAAATCTATTCATTGTATTTTATGTATTAGTCGAAAAAAAAAACTTAAATAAAACAATTTAATATTTTAGTGTTGACCTAAATTTCTCTAATGTCCCTGAACTATTTGTGAGCTACAATAATGAGAGCAGTATTGAACCCAAAAATCGTTTGAAAATATCAGTATTCTTCCGCCCTAAACAAGTTAAGGAGTATGAATTCAAATTGCAATTTTGGGTGAATTCACTATGTGAAGAAATCGTTACTATCAAAGGCGAAGGTAAACTATATACTTAACAACTAGAAACATTTAATCATGTATTATAATAATGCAAAGGAATTTGGAGAAGAATAATATATTTGTTTCAGGAATTCCTCTTCTATTCGATCTTTATGAAGGATGTCAAAAGAGTTTTGATCTAGGACCAGTTAAAGTAGGGGAAAAGATTATTCGACAGATAGAAGTTATGAATCATAGTAAGGTACCCATTGAGGCCAGTTATATATTCAGGGTCATGCACCCGAATATCGAAGACACTACGAAATCTGAAGGCACCAGTGTTTGTCTTGTACCCAGTGCTACCACTCTTCAAGCTGACGGTGGACCATCCAGGTAAAATTAAACTATTATTACTGTCTCCTATGTATTTTGGTAGTCTTTTTTATTAAAATAATTTTACTCTTCCATACACAGGGGCCATATGTTACAACAGTATAAAAACGACAAGATCCAAGAGCAAATAACTATGGATGTACAAAATTCTTTAGCTTCTCTAAAAGTGATACCAACAAAGTGTTTAATAAAACCGTATATGAAAGTGCCGTTAAAAATTTTGTTTAAGCCTGTTGGGATGATAAGTGACCTCAATGTTCAGGTATGGTTTAATTATTTAAGAAATTTGTTAAACTTAACTGTCATTAATATGTGTACAATCATTACTTACGATATTTTAAAATTTAATATACTTTTTCATACATTATCGTAGCTTAACATGAAAGTGTTTGAATTCGAGCGCCCTCTAGTGCGTTTGAGCGGAAGCGCTACTGGTATGTCATTATGCTTCAGTCAGAATTCACTGCAATTTGGTCGTGTGCGCAAACGAGGCTGTAAGATACTCAAGGTCATGCTGTTCAATAAAGGCGACTTTGGAGCAAGGTAAATAGTTTGTTTTTAACATATATCGAAATTTAAAAAATATATATAATTTGTTAATGGACAGTATTTTTAATTATGATATTATTTAATAATAAACATTGATTTTTTATCTATATTTCTTTTTATTCGTATTAAATTTTGAACAGATTTTGGTGGCAGCCGTTAATATCAAACGAGTTCTTAATATCCCCTATGCATGGGAATATATCGGCACACACTAATGTCACTTTTACAATAACATTTCGACCCGTCAATCATAATCCATTTATTAAAGTTTGGGTGAGTGGATGTAAAATGGATTATGTACTGAAATACATTAGTTCTTTTTCGTTTCTTCGTAAATAACGGTTCAAAAAAACTTTGAGATTAAACGATCTATCTGGAACTTTTGTTAATTAAGTAAATATTAAAACTAAAGTGGAATTACAGGCATCCTGTAATATTGAGAACTATAAACCGTTGGAGTTAGCTCTGTATGCCACTTGTGTGGACACTGGCAATGTTCAAATGAAAACTTTGTATTTCGAATGTCCGGTCAGAGAAATAGATACACAATACGTTGTTGTCACAAATCCGTACGTACATCAGTTATTTTTATTATACAAAATCTGGTTGTTGAAGTTTTACAATTTTAATTCATCCAATATATAATTTGCAGTTCCGATGATATGTGGCTGGTTTTGTCCGAAGTGTCTGGTGGACCGTTTGAAACTTTAAAGGAATTTAATGTAGAGCCGAATTCAACTATGGATATTCCAATATATTTTAAACCGAAAACGGTTGGCAAACATGAGGTAAGGGGATGCATTTATAGAAAATAGCTCAAAATTATACCCACAAGTTATGATTTACTTTTGGTAATCCTGACCTAGATTAATCATACAACGTCGTCAGTTAACCTGTAGAAAATTTACTGCTTGAACTTTTTTTAATCTGTAAAACAAAAATGTTATCTGTTAGTTTGACTCGACTTTATATCGACGAATTTTTTTAAAGTACTTTTAAGCATCTGTTAAATATTGTTTATTGAATACTTTTAATATGAAAACTAAAATAAAATTAAAATATTTTACCACTAGTCAACATTAAACGTAGATGATATATAGAGTAGGTACTTATTAAGCATTGAAATTGAGCATTTAAATCAGTTGCTGATATTTCAAAAGATATGATTATTTTATTTCAAATATCCTTTAAAGTATACATCGAAATCTTTCTTGAAATGTTTCTCAGAGCCAAGTATTGTTTTCTCCTCTGGGCGAGAGCGCGCTGTTTATAACGCTAGTGGGCTCAGCAGTTCATCCTAATCCTAACGGCAATGTGAACATCACTGTGTCGGCAAAAGAACTACACACTGAGCACCTGCTGGTGTATAATATTACAGAGGTTTGTGTAAAAAATTGCATGGTGTGCTTAAAAAACCGCGAAATTTACTTTTTCAAAAGTTAACTTGGGTTTTTATTGAGTTACATATGTACATATTCTAACTTTTAGCTTCTGATTTGCTGCATGTGTCATCTCTTGTTATCGACTTTTGTCTATTTCACAAAAATGTTGATCAATTCAATCAATCATCGATTATTCACAGAATCCGTAATTTAATCCGTAAATTAAGGAAAAAATTTTTTTGGAAGCATTTCAAATATTAATTATGATTATGCTACCTTGATCTCTTCAGATGATTTCAGATCCTTTCAGATGAATGATACTAATATTTTCGGATTTACTACGCCTTTTTATTTAAAAATAAATAAATAAATAAAAAAAACGCGTAGTAAATCCGAAAATATTAGTTTCATTACAATGAGTACTATTTTTTACTATTATCCTTTCAGATGGTTTTCAATGCTCTTAGAAAGTGTATGAAGAAATACACATTTTAGATTCTTTTATAATAGGTATACTTTATGCATACTAAAAAGACCACTAAGTTTAAAGAGCTTTGTTTAAATATTTTAGATTAAAACTTTTTCTGAGCAAGTCTAACTATAAATTCATTAGTTTCCAGAAACATACCTTGTTTCTACTGAGTTTGTCAAAATAAGTCCGGACAAATTTGATGGTTACTACGAGATCAAGCATCCAGAGACAATAAAAGTATGGGGAGAAGCGTCTGCTACTTGTCGTTGGACTTTTGTGTGCTATGAGGAATGTGAAATTATAGCAAAAGTAAGATTATTCGTCATTTCTTAAGTATTAGATATATTATTTTTAGGTTATTATAGGTGGTAGAGCCTAGTTGTAGTTTTAGTTACTATAGCTCGAACATGGGCTGGCTCGACCGGGGAAGTACCACCCTCTCACAGAAGATCGGCGTGAAGTAGTCTTTAATGACTGCGTTTCGTCCGATGAGTGAGAGTGCCGGTTGCCCTTTCCCTGTTCCCAACCCTTCCTTGTATTTCCTTATTCCCATTTCCTTATCACATATCCCATTCTCCTAGCTTTTCCTCCACAAGTAAGGTTGGCAACGCATCCGCAACATCTATGTTGCGGATGTCCATGGGCGGCGGTCACTACTAACCGTCAAGTTGGCCGTCTGTTCGTTTGCCACCTTTTACATAAAAAAAATACAAAATAGAAAGGAATTTATTCTAATAAAATGTTTTTTTTTTGTAAAGATAAAATATTTTCAATATAAAAAATTTTAATCTTAATCAGTAGCCGTGAGTCTCTTTCAAAGAATAACCATCTCATATCATGTTATAAGACTATTAACGTATTGTCTAATCCGTATTTCGTTAAAGGTAATGTTTGTCAATGAAGACAGCCGTGAGTATCAATTCTACAACGTTGTTGTGTCCGTCACGGAAAGCAAAATTGTGGACACATTGACATTTGTGTCACCCGCGAGGGAGTCTATGCGGAAAGAGCTCATACTCAAGAATCCATTGAGCGAAGATGCCAATTTTGCCATAAGATGCGATCACCTTGAATGTCCAGACACGTTACTTATTACTAGAAATTCAGAGGTGTGTTCTAATCTCTAACACTTGTTAATTAATTCTTTTCACTTTAAAAATTTTTATTCATCTAGAATACGATTAATTTATGCGAGTATTCTCACAATCAAAAATACATTTCATAAAATCTACTATGGATACTAATGGATAGGTATATTCCAATTTGAGTAAAACGTATCCAACTTTTGTTGTGTAATATGATAATAACAATGTTATTTATTACTAATAAAACAAAATACTAAAATTAATTATGTTTTATGAACATTATAGGCAACACTCGTGATGGTCTACTCTCCTCTTGTGGTGGGACAGATTGAGGATGTTTTGGAAGTTAGCAATCCTTTGGTGGGGTCTTATATTTATAAAGTGGTCCTCAAATGTTTGCCTGCTAAGGTGAAGAACTTGGAGTTCACAACGTCTCTCGGCTTGTCTATTCCTCTACGACTACGAGTTCAAAATAAGACTGACGTGAGAACTGATTTCATCGCAACGGTAATTTAATTACGAAATCTTTAACCTTTACCCATTTCAACTAATGTTATAATAGCAATTTTTTTTGTGTGTAGATTGTTATTTGTTATTCTTTAATGTTAAATGTTTGAATAGATTTTCATGAACTCATACAATATCATAGACAATACATGAAAACCCGTTTAGTTAGATGTACGCTGTAATTTACAACGAAGACAACCGATGGCGTTGACGATCATCGATTCTCTCTTAACCTATTTCCATTTCCAAAATCTAACTTACAAACTCCCTCAAGAAATGCATATATACAAATCAATAACCTTCTTATTTATATCACAACATATTAAAATAATGTTTTTCTAACTGAAATATTCAAGGTATCCCATCCGTCAATAATAACAGAAAAAGAATATGAACTGGGACCATTTGAGAAGGGTAAATTTCAGACTTGGTTCGAACCGACAGTACTTGGGGTTCAGAATTGCAAAGTATCCTTTAATTCTCCTGTGGCGGGTGAATTTGTGTACGTCAAATTTATTACTCTTAAAATACTTTTTTTTTGTAAAGGAACGTGTTTAAATTAGAATATAATTTTTAGCTTTAACATAAAGGGCAGAGCTTTAGAGCCCAAACCTCAAGGTCCATTTGAAATAAAATCTGGAGGATCGGTTGTGATTACATTTAAAAATGTTTTTGAAGACGTCAGAATGTTTAAGATTTACGTCGATCGCGAGGAGTTCTATGTCAGAACACTTTATGAGCCTGTGAAGTCTAAAAGTGTGAGTTTGAAGTAACATACGTTTGTAGCTCCTGTTTTAAATTTAACAAAGTTAATTTATTATATTTTGTATCTTAGTTGCATTTGAAAAACAATTTGTTCTGATTTCTTATGGCTTTGTGTTATTTTATTATATTTCAGGAATTAAGTATTCCAGTCTTTTTCAATCCCGGGTCGTCACGAACTTCTACGTCTACTCTCACCGGTTGTCTAACCGTCGAGACCTACGACCCACCGGAGCCTCGAGTTCAATGGACGTACTTCCTCGAGGGAGTCCTTTAGTTTTATTATTTATACATATTTAATTTAGAGAATTTTACTATTTTATATAAAAAGAAAATTAAATAAAAGCGAATGTTGTAGAAATATTTATTTATTCACCAGTCACTGACATTGAAATCTTGAACAACATCACCATTGTCCGGTACTTCTACTTCTGGTAGATTCTTCTCTTGCTTCTGTGTTTTATTCTTTTTCTTTCTAAGCTTTTTCTTCTTCGGTTTGCTTAAATTCTCTTCTTCTCCATCCACTTTGAAATCAACATTTCCATCTTCACTGTCAGATGGAAATAGAACCATTGGTCCTGCATTTTCAGGCTTAGCAACTTTTTCTTCTGTTTCAGGAATCTTAGGTCTCTTAATCATTGGTAAGTCGCCGGCAATTTCATCATTATTGGTGATCTTCTTTCTTTTCTGTATTCTATTAACCTTATTCCAACTCTCGTAGAACGTCATCAGTGGTGTGCCTTTAGCTTTTATTCTAGACTCCCAAGCCGATACCATTTTTATTTCGTTCAAACCGAATGTTATTTGACCTCGTTCACGTTCAATGAACCTAGAGTTCTCTTCTATCTTTTCCAAAAGCTGTCTTATCCTTTTCGTATAATTCGCGACGGAGCATGTTTTCAAAAATTGCTTCATCTGAAACGATTTTTACATAAAATTAATTATACATATTCACCTATATATTATATAAAAAAAATATATCATAAAAAAATACCTGTATTATTGCAAGCAGACTGATATCTGGAAAGGCAATGCTATTTGAAATATTAGCTGTATACTCCAATAGCAGGGCATACAGTCTATCAATGACGGAATCTTTGAAACCATTTTCCATAAGCTGCGATTTTGCTAATCTTAATATACACGAAAAGTCTAATGGCTTCATTGACACTTTCTTGTTTTTCTTATTAAAATCATATGCTGTTAAAACCTGCAAAAAGAAATTGATTTTAACTTCTAAATTTTCTTACATACATATATATTTCGATTCAAAAATTTCCTATAGAACATTACGCACCTCAACAATGAATGGAAGAATTGGTATAAAGGTATCAGTTTCCTTTGAAAGACTAATTAATATCTCAACACAGTGGAATCTTAATGGATAATATTGGTGTGTTGGTACCAATTTTATGGTATTTGTTATCACCATAACCAAAGGGTAAAGCAGTGGCTGTAGTTGTGGCTTATTTGAAGTTGCCGATATCAAATCAGCCCATAGATGAAGAGAATTCACAAACTGCCAATTGTATACAGCTTGTCTGTTTTCAATTTTTTGTACAACAATAGCATTTCGTAAATGTATTGCTAGCTGTCGGATGTATAAAAATACATGTTGGTAAGACACATTAAGGTCTAAAGAGAACATCTCGACGAGGGATCGTCTCATAAAGTTTATTCCGGGCCATGTAGTAGGGCTGACGAATTTGCAGTTTTTCACATATGTCATATACATGGCCTTTAGAACGAGATCTAGTAGGGATGATTGTTGGTTCCTTGTTATCCTCAATATACACAAAAAAGATAACACTCTCACAGTTTCTTCGCTACTGCTCCATAGAGGTATTAATTTTTTAAGAGCCTGTTTGGAGATGCTGTTGAAACAGGCAACATACACTGACAGTTGATGCAAATGTTTTAAAAGAACAGTAAGAATGTTCTCTGATGAAACATTGCTCAATAATTTTAATAAGTCCTTCAAATATGCAACTAGAGGACCTTTCAATTTCACGAAATGTTTGCATTTCTGTGGATCTTTGCCGCTCTGTTCCATACCCAAGTATCTCTTTATGGCATTGGGTAAATATAATACACACATTTGTATTACTGCATTGAACACTGATGAACCTGCAATCCAGAACAAATTTATTAAGAAACATTTTAAGATCTCTCATGATATAAATTATGTATTTTAATTATCACAAAACATAAAATTTACTAGATAAAACTAAGATTTTTGGATTACTACATGTTATTTTTATATTTTAAAACTACATACTCCTGATTGTTCAGTTACATTGTACCAACCACGATACCATTGGCCCATGCAAACAAGATGAAAATGTGAAAAAAAAGTTATTGATATTAATGACCCTTAGATCTCATTATTAAAATTTACTATTTCTTAATATTTACCCTAACTTAAAAAAATATATATATAAAATACAAATGGATGATTTTCTACCTTCAACTTTTAATTCCCCTTTTGATTCCCCGTCTTCACTAGTGGCTCTCAGCATGGCAGCATTAAAGGCCTTAATAACTTGGCTGAGAACTGTTATTTTCATTTTACCTTCACTTTGCAGTTCTGTCTGCCACTGAGACACCATTTTAAGTGTGACTCTCCCACTAACAGATTTAGCATTTTCATCCTAAAACATAAATACAATATGTATATATTAACATTCTTATAAAACCAAGTATTTAACACTACATCACTCAGACATTTAATCTCTTTAGTATAGATGGTCATCTATAAGGTGTAAAGATTGTACAGTAGGCATTGCTTTTAGATTTCATGAGATTTGTTATAAAATATTAATAAACTGTAATATGAGTGCAATAAATGTTATATAAAAATTAAAACATGTCACAAAAATATCTTAAAATATAAGAGGAATGTTTTCATAGTCCGAGAGCCAGTAACAGATTTATATGACCAAGTTCCTCTCAAGTGATAATTAGTAAAACGCATCAGAAAATCGAACCATAAAGCCTCGTGAACGTCAGCTGAGGCTCGGTGGGGGGGATGAGCAGTTGTAACCTCCCACGCTTGAAGAAAAAAAAAATACATTCACTCATTCCCTCTCGGCTAAAAATTTATCAAGTTATAGCTAACCCAATACCTCAACAAAAAAAAAAAATCAGCTGGCTATAACATGGTGCATTGTACGTCAGCTGATGTCTAGATCATGGAAAAAAAAATCTTCACTTTCAGTGATATCCTCTCAAATAAAAATTTACTTGATGATAGCTAATATGTAACTATTGATAAATATATACGTCAGCTGGCTGTATCTCGGTGGAAAAATCGTCAGCTGATACTTTAAAGGTCGTTACGTAGAAGTTAGCCAGAAGCATTTACTGACTATTTAAAGGCATCAGCTGACCAGGTTTCCCTCGACTTACTGCTAGCTGATTTTTTTTATTTATCACAGTATTATATTTAAAATCAGCTCACAAATGTGGCCGTATATGAAGGATAAAACTATTTATGTGAGTGCAGACACTTGTTTTAGATTCATAGTTGATGACTCAAAAGTTATAAAAACTCGTATTGAAGAATTTTCGTGCCCGGCTCACGAAGAAGCGGACACAAAAATGATTTTTCATGTCTGCAACATTGATATTAATGCAAACGTGACGATTCGTTGTTCCGACACTGACGTGTTAATAATTATGTTAGCTAACATGACTAATATATCAAATAATGTCAACATTTGCATGGAAGTTGGAGTTGGAAAAGCCCAAAGATTTATTAACGTTACTCAATTATATGAATCTTTAGGATCTAATTTGAGCGCCGCACTTCCAGCATTTCACGCATTCACAGGGTGTGATTTTAACCCGGCTTTTTTTCGAAAAGGAAAAAAACGACCGTTTTCAATCATGGCTAAATCGAATGATTTCATCGAGTGTTTCATCCAAATGTCAAAATCATTGGAGGATAAAGACAATATTTTTGAGAAAATACAAGAGTTTGTTTGCCATATGTATGGATTTAATCGTCTGAAAAAGGTCGATGAGGCAAGAGTAGCATTATTTGAAAAAACATATAAATTCTTGGATACGGAAACATTCAAGTTACCAAAGAAAGGTATTGATGGCTCTTCTCTACCACCTTGCGAGTCAGAGCTGTATCAGCAATTTTTAAGAGCATGTTACATTGCTCAAATTTGGTCTAATGCACATTTGAAGGTTCCAACTTCTGAAGATCCGGAAGACTATGGTTGGGAAGAAGTTGACAATAAATATGATTTCACCTGGTTCTTTGGAAGTCAGTTACCAACATCGATTGATGAAATAACTATACAGCCCGAAAAAGGTAACATTTTATTATCATATTAATGATATTATGCTAAAATACGCATTCTAATTTTTTTTTTTTTTTAACAGATGACGACGATGAAAATATGACAGCAGACAGCTCTGACAGCGACTCGGACAATGAATCTGACAGAGATGGTTGTGATTCAAGCCAAAGCGAAGCCGAAAATGATTGAATAACATTGTCATTCGCATTGTAATTTGTCATAATTTTTTTATAATAAATATTTTTTATCGAGTAACTAGTTAATTTATACTAATTTATACAAAATGATTATTGAAATATTGGAATGTATCCAAAATTATATGATTATATACGCATAAGTTTGAAAAATATTGATACGGAATATTTGTTTCACCTCAACACTCATATTGGAGTGCAATGCCGAATAATTAAAGATACGTCATTTCCTCCCACACGAAAATTTGTGAGCTGATTTTAAATATAATACTGTGATAAATAAAAAAAATCAGCTAGCAGTAAGTCGAGGGAAACCTGGTCAGCTGATGCCTTTAAATAGTCAGTAAATGCTTCTGGCTAACTTCTACGTAACGACCTTTAAAGTATCAGCTGACGATTTTTCCACCGAGATACAGCCAGCTGACGTATATATTTATCAATAGTTACATATTAGCTATCATCAAGTAAATTTTTATTTGAGAGGATATCACTGAAAGTGAAGATTTTTTTTTCCATGATCTAGACATCAGCTGACGTACAATGCACCATGTTATAGCCAGCTGATTTTTTTTTTTTGTTGAGGTATTGGGTTAGCTATAACTTGATAAATTTTTAGCCGAGAGGGAATGAGTGAATGTATTTTTTTTTCTTCAAGCGTGGGAGGTTACAACTGCTCATCCCCCCCACTGTGCCGCAGCTGACGGTCGTAGGGCTTTATGATACTATTGTCTGATGCCTATCGCCAATTATCTATCGAGAGGAAATAATTGACCAAATTTTCACCTGGCTCTCGGACTATCAAGACTTTGGTGCCATAACAAATAGATCGACTTTCGGGTACCATAAAAATAGTTTTAAAGTGGATACTAAAAATACATGTAATATCTTATGTACAGTCTAAAATCCTTTTTTTTTATAAAAATGTATAGTAAGTAACAAATTAAGTTATGATCACTTTCAGTATTTAAAAAATGATACCTCAAAATCACTTTCATCGCTGTCGCCCGTGATAGGACCAGGAACATGCACTGAGTCTTCATCGTCATTTTCTTTGTCAGAATTTTCGTCAGAATCATCCTCGAAGTTCAATAAATTTTCATCGTTCTCTTCTAGGAAATTGTAAAAGTCTGGATCGATCTTTTTCAATTTTTGTAACGATTTTTTATGTGCCTCAGGGTCCAATTCTTCTTCGGAATCTGTAATATCATATTAAGAAAAATTATTTTTAACTGATCTTTTCGTGGTATAATTAATATGGTTTGAATCTTTACTCACCTGAATGTTCAGCTACCGGCGTAGCTGGTTTTTTATTCTTAAGCTTCATTTCGATTAATTTAACTTAAATGTATCTTTTACTATAATATAACTTGTTTGTATCTCTTAGTATAAACTAGATCTAGGTATCAATAACCATGCGGTGTTATTTTGTATAACCATAAACGCCGTAAAGCACATTGAATTGACACTTAGGTTTTGACGTTAAAATCAGTATGCCGTTTAATTATCAATATTTACTCCTAGTTTTATTTTGGCATATCTTAAAAAAGTTTTATTTCTTTAACAATTAGAAAACCTTAGTCATAACAGTTTTAGACGTAGATTATTTTATATATGAATAATAAATATTACAAGTATGACAAAATTCAATTCACCTCCGAATACCACTACTAATATACTTAAATAAAGAAAAGCAAAGTTTTTTGTGATTAATACATAATATTGTTATTATTATTATGAAATGAAAAACGTTTTATTAATCTCTTAGAGAGACGTCAAAAGTCAAAATTCAGGTTAGCAGCGATAACAAACAGAAAAACACGAGTTGTCAAAAACGTCAAAGACATTCTAGAAACCGAACCGAACTGCAGAAAAATATTTATAATATTCCAGGAATTGTTTTGCTCTTGCTTATCAAAAGTCATTGTTTTTAAAAAAAATATTGTTTCCTACCACGCGAGAATTTTAGTTTGAAAAAAGTCGTAAAACACAGGTAAGGTAATTTTTAATTTTTATGTTGCCCCACTTGTTAAATGTATAATATTTTTCGTCTAAAATTTATCAGAATACTTTTTCTATCCATACTTTCACAGTAATATCATATATATAATAAATCTCGATTTCTCTTAGATTGCATCATGCTGTCTCGAATGTGCGTAGCTCGGTCTGCTCTAAACATCACGCAGACCCTCAAAACTCCCGTACCCCAAAGATTTGTTCCCAAAAATTACGTAATAAGGAATTATGCTCGGGAACCGCGTTCTCGTATGGCAACAAGATCCCAGCCAACAGTATGGGAGAAATTAATGGCCCCAGCAGGACCAAATGGTGAGTGAAATAAGAAAAATTGCACCATCCATATCATATTGCTTGTAATCATATCAAAATCACGATTTCAAGTAGCATAAATATTACGTAATAATAAAAATTTTGTCTCATAGCTTTCAGTTTGGGAAAAGGTGCATTAGCTGGGGCATCAGCTGTGGGCATGATAGCATTATGCTACTATGGTTCCGGCGTTAAACCTGGCACGCTACAAGAGGCACAGTGAGTCATCACCTTAGTAAACAATGACTGGCATGATTGATAGATGTTTACAGATTGGTGTTTATATAAACAAATAATTTTAGAATCAATCAGACTACTTTTCAAAATATTATAATATAAGGCTATAATATATTTTTTCTCACTTTTTTTAGCCTTTGGCCTCAGTATGTCAAGGACCGCATCAAGGCCACATATGGATACATTGCGGGATCATTGCTTCTTACAGCCGGCAGCGCTATCACTGTATTTAGAACGCCAGCCCTGCTTAATATGGTAGCGAGAAGTGGATGGGTTGTAAGTATAAATATGAAAATAGACATTTTATTGTCCTATGCTCTAATGAACTAAGAAATTAGTTAATGTTTCACAGAAAACAAACAAAGGGAGCGTTCAAGTATTACGTAACGCAATTTTCGAAGATTTTTGACCCCCCCTTCCCCCGTCGTAGCGCACAGTAACGTTTTTCTGTAGCCCCCCCCCCCTTCTCAAAACGTTACGTAACACTCAAGTGATCAATTTTATCAAAAGACTTACAATGCAATCTAGATATTACCCGTAAAATATCAATTAAAAGGTTTGCAAACTTGGAATAACAAATAAAAATATCGACCAGACTAATACAATCTGGTCAACAATGTAATGTATATGAAAAGAGTTGCCGGTTTGGGGGTTTTTATTAATATATTTTTTTAGAGACAACGCTACGTAACGTTTTGTAAGAGACACCCCCGCCCGCCCCTGTAACGCATCGTAACGTTTTACGAGACCCCCCCTCCCCCAAAATTGCGTTACGTAATACTTGAACGCTCCCAAACAAGTATGTTTTTAATTATAAGATACTAGCTTTTCATCCGCAGCTTCGCCTGCTTGGTTATATCGCGTTTCCAAGAGAACATTTCAAAAGTCTGGGATAAAAACTATTCTATGTTCTTTCTCAAGGTCAACTCTATCTCTGTACCAAATTTCATTAAAATCGGTTCAGTGGTTTAGGTGTGGAAGCGTAACAGACAGACAGAGTTACTTTTGCATTTATAATATTAATAGGGATGATTTTTATTATTGGTATCAGTCTTTTCCACCCTGTTATATAATCTGTCCTTAAGTTTGTTCATTACTGTATTTTCTCATCATAAATAATGCATTGAATAATCTTGATATACATATAAACTAGAATATCGTAACATGATTTGAATTAAAGTGTGTGTGAGAGTAGATATTATTTAGTTGTAATTTTCCAGTCTATCATCATGACAATGGGTTTGATGATTGGTTCTGGGATGGTTGTACGAGGAATGGAATATAAACCAGGTTTCGGAGCTAAGCAAATAGCGTGGATGGTACACACTGGCATTATGGGAGCTTGCATCGCACCTATATGTTTCCTCGGCGGCCCTATTTTAATGCGCGCTGCTTGGTAATTATTGTCTATTTTTACTTTTCTAAACATCTTGCCCTTTAACATTAATGTTCGAAATTTTTTAAAAATTTTGTCCTAAGTGAAATAGTTGGCTTTAATTATTATCAATGCACAAACAAAATAACGTTAGTAGCCAGATCTATTAAATTTAAAAAAACAAATAAATACTGCACATAATAGTCCTTCCACACGGAAAAAGTGAATCTGGGATTACCATTTACAATTATGTAAACAAGTTTTATTCATTAAATTTAAACGAGAAATACTTCCATATTAAAATATGTGTATCAAATCAAACTAAAGTAATAATGAACATTATAAATAAATTAATATATAATATCTCCCTAAGTGTAACACATTTAACACAAATTTCTTAGAAATTGCTTTAAAAGTTTCACTCCAAAATTATTTGTTTATTATTTAGGTACACAGCTGGTGTTGTCGGTGGTTTGAGTACTTTGGCAGTATGTGCACCGTCGGGGGAGTTTCTTAACATGAGAGCCCCACTGGCCATGGGTCTGGGAGCAGTGTTTGCTGCTTCAGTCGCTGGGATGTTCCTACCACCAACATCTGCATTGGGAGCTGGTATGTTTTATATGAGATAATTATTCAATTAAAAGTAATTTTTGCTGACTTGACTTAGAATTAAGGTGTAATTTAGATCTTTGGGTGGTGTAAGTGTTACCAAAAGTTTGAATGAGTGAGGCAATGTTGATGAGATTGAAAGAGAGAATTACTTTTATACACTAGTATGTATTGGTCATACCGTAGTATGGCGAATAGAGAGAGGTGTAAGCATATATTTTCAAGACAATTTGAAAATAAATTTGGATAAAAAAATAAAAAATGCACAAAATAGTACTCTTATGGTTATTATTTGTTATGAATACTCTTTCAAAACTTGATTCAACAATTCATATCTCATTTGTTATAGATTCTACCCTCCAGGCTCTACCTACTAATTAATAAATTGTTTGTTTATTGTTAATATTTATCTTTCAGGCTTATACTCTTTGAGTTTGTATGGTGGTCTTATAGTCTTTGGTGGATTCTTGCTGTATGACACCCAGGCTATAATCAAGCGAGCTGAAATGCATCCAATGTATGGATTCCAACCCTATGATCCAATCAACTCGTGAGTATTGAACCTTTAACCTCTTTTGAGTGTAAAATAATCTGTTTAAAATAAAATAATAATAATATTCATTATTATTTGATGAAATAATTATAATAATTTATTTTTTTTGTCCACAGTGCTATCTCAGTGTATTTGGATGTATTGAATATTTTCATGCGTATTGCAATGATCCTGGCCGGTCAAGGAGGAAACAAGAGAAAGTAGAAATGTGTAACCAATAAATTATGAAATAGAAAAAAAATAGCAAGGAGACAAAATAATTTCCCTGGCTTGTTGAAATTAACGTGTTTTATTTAGACATCTCAAATCAGTAACTGATGTGATATTGTAAGATATGTAAGGTCGAAGTATTGTTAAGTATGAATAAGTAGTTGTATTTTTTTGCGGATTAAATTGACAAATAAATATTTATTCGAATATCGTTGTTTTGCATTCATGAGACCTTCAGGAATAATTCTTAACTATCTTCCATCGTAGTGAATTTTTATCACAAATTCTTATAATAGTATTTTTGTAATTTCTGCAATAAATCAATATATATTATAAAACAAAGTCTTCCGCCGCGTCTGTCTGTCTGTACGCAATAAACAGAAAAACCAATGCACCGATTATTAAACAATTTCTACCACTAGATAGCGTGATTCTCGAGGAGGGTTTAAATGTATAATTTGTTATGGTTTAGTATAGTTTTGTATGTACATTAACGATATTTGTTAAAGATGTCGGGTAAAAATGAGACGTCTGTTTTAACAAAAAGCTGCCTAAAACCCTTTGAGATATAACTAAACAATGTATGGTAGAATTATATCTCATATAGGTCTACAGAAAAGTCCGCGATGGCATATGAGATAGAGATGATATATCCTTAAGAGATAGCTCTTAAGAATAACATAATATATCCATTTTACTACGTTTAAAAATTGGCATTCATGAAGCGTTTATTAGAAAGCTATTTGCATAATTCCGGTATAAAGTCTTATCAAAATAAATTACTTCATATTCAAGCTTACATCAGTATCTATAAATAACGTTTTGAATTATTTAATTCGGAAGTACAAGTAGAAAGTTATAAGTTTAATAAATGATTCTCAAAATTAAGTCTACGCGATAGCTCATTTTTCACATGGTAATTGTTACTATATTAAAAAAACTATTTTTAACATAAAAATATACCCTTTTTTATAAGTTCAAACTTTAAATAACTATGTTTAATGAAGAAAGATGATGAAATTTTTGTTTATCTTGATTTAACTCAAAAAGTAGGAAGTACTCAAGGCATTATACGCAACAGGCTATTTTATATTTTTTGTAAAGTTGCGAAGCTGGGGCGGGTAGGAATCTAGTAAATTAAATTTTCTAGCTTTTATTTTAAGCATTTTAATAAATGGTATGATTTTTTGTATTCTGGGAAATGGGACATGAATTTATAAGGCAGGTAGCATCCTCTTTTTAACTCAAAAATGCTTGATTGTTGGATTAAATTAAATTACTAACAGAAACAAGTGAATTGAAAAATTTATATTGTTCTGATATTTTTATTTACATGTTATAACATATTTTAAAATAAGCATTAAATATCGATAGCACAATTCTTGACGTTTATACAATAAAACCAGAATCTCATAAACTCCTTTTAATGCGGGTCACTTAATAATGCCTTTTTGAATACTTTTATTCTTAATGGGAATATATTTCTGTATATTTTGATGTTCACGATACAGGTCTAGCTTGTGTTGACGTTAACGTTTATTGTTAACATGTAAAAAAATAAAGTTATTAAATGTTATTAAAAAAGTTTTTGGATTTGCAGATTTCTTCTCTTGATAAACTTCTACATTATCATAGATATTGTATGTAGAGTGTTGCTCGACTTAGCTAGTATATGTTAAGCATCCGCTCATTCTTTCGTCCATCTATCGCATGTCTCATTACGGAAGGAAGCAGAATAGTAATAAGTAAAAGGAATAAAATAAAGGTAAAGCTGTCAATTACTTATTCCTGTAAATGTTACGATGTCTTTGTTTTGTTCAGTGATTTAAAAAAAAGTATTGTATTTTAACCTACGTGTATTGTCTCAGTGTAATTCGTTGTATGATATCGATAACGCAGATCAAAACTAAACTCTATAGTTAGATATGCCGATTACTATTGATTTCCCGAGTTATCGTTTTTATTTTTTTATTACAAAGTTAAGATAAAATAATTGCTCAAAAAATGCATACGATTAGAAAATAACTATGTTTATGTGATTTAAAAAACCTAATACGTTTGGTATTTTTAAATTGTGAAGGTTATTTTAAAAAGTCTTTCCGGTAATTATAAGCAAAAATTTTATTACAGTAGCCGAGGTCGCGCATTCAAAATATTACATTCGTTATTATTTTCGTTATACCTAATTATGACCAGACTATTTTAGATAAACCGATATGAAATATTAAATTAAAATTAAAAAGTTTTTATCAAAAGTGCAATACTAGTTATAAAAAAAAACTATGAATTGATTTGTAAGTTTCTTTTTTTTTCTATTAAATGTAATAAAATATTGTCATAATCTTCTTCTTTCTGGCAATTTCCCAGATTTAGTCAGAGTCTGCCTTACATGTTGTAAATAGTTTTGGCTAATTGTTTTTACGACCGGCCGCCTACCTGACATCAACCCTTTATGGGAATCAAATATTATCACAATATAGACTCGTAAATATATATTTATTATAATTTTGCTAAAAAAAGTTACCCTAATTAAAATAAACATACCTGCACCATGAATATTTTAGCAATATATGATAACTAGCTTTCAGCCCGCAGCTTCGCCGCGTGGAGTTCGGTTATATCGCGTTTCCAAGAGAACCTTTCAAAAGTCTGGGATAAAAACTATCCTATGTTCTTTCTCAAGGTCAACTCTATCTCTGTACCGAATTTCATTAAAATCAGTTCAGTGGTTTAGGCGTGAAAGCGTAGCAGACAGACAGACAGACAGACAGACAGAGTTACTTTCGCATTTATAATATTAGTAGGGATTGCACAATATTTTATAAGTATGACAAACGAGACGATGAATGCTCTTTTATTTAGTTTGAATTATTGCTAATCTTTCTTGACCGGAATTTATTCAAGTATTATTCTGGAGTTAATATAATAAGTACTTGATGCCAAAAGTCAGAATCAGGATTATTAGATAAAAAATACGGTGATCCCAGAGAAATAACCAAATGTTTAAGGAAATAATATTTTTTTTGCGCACTTTGTCAACATACGAAATACCAGCATAAGTAATGGAGACACTATTGTTCCCGCATTAAAAGGGTGAAGGGTCAAAGCTTCTCAATATTTTAAAGAATGTCATAGAACATTTTTATTGATTATAAGTTAGGATAAAATTTCCAGCATTGTGCATAACATCATTCATAGCGTTTTAAATTAAATAAAATACAAAATAATAAAAAAAATGTAAAATTTGTATATAACTAAAATAATATCACATTAGGTACGTAGTTTATGCCAAATCTTTGGAGAAGTAAGCAAGTAAATGCAAAATTTCCTTCCAATGCAGTATTTTGAGCGTTATCGCTTAAAACAAAATAATTATATAATATTAATCATTTAGGCGGTTTCCCTTATTATCCGGCACATCAAACCATATAAGTCGAGGTGAAAATGCATTTAGACGCTATCCGATTTTCATACATTACAGCTTGCATTAAATATTACTTTTCAAACACTTCATATAAGGCCTCTCACTATCCTATGTACATAGTATATTCTATATACAAATTAATTATAATGTTTAAGTTTTCGCTACGGTTTAACTTATATGTAAACTCATTAAATATAAATTGTGAGCAATGAAACTTAATTATTGGAAATATTTTGGTCACGTATGAAGTCTTCAGGTAGTGACGTCACTAGTCTTGCTCGATTGCTGTTTCAAATACATCGCGTACATTTGCCTTGCCTGATTCAATACCCTGTTCACGTTATGTTTACGTACCATTTTGTCGAAGTGCATCGCTAGTTCGTTGTAGTCCATACGATTTCTCATTATGTAATCTCTGTGCTGCAATAATACTGTAAGACATAAATACATCAAGAACGGATTGCCACCGCCAAAGACTGTAGGCGATGGTAAGCTGCTAATACTATTCTTAACGGAGTTATCGCTGATAGAAGATACTGTAGTATTCTTCTGTACCGGCGGCTTGAAAACCTCGCATTTTTTCTGAAAGTTATTTATCGTCGAAGCAACGCTTTGTAAGTTTGTTTGTTTCACGTTCAACAGGCTTTCACAGTTTTTCTTTGCGTTTTCTAATTCGTGCGACATGTTAGAGAAAAATTTGTGTGATTTCAAATTGAGAGACTCTTGATTAATATTTTTGGCCGTAACAGTTTCTGTTGAATCAACTGGATCTTTTTCTGAATAATCCGATTCACTGGAATGTGTCATGGAATGTCTTCTGTTCTTCGATAGTTCTTGCGGTTCTAATGAGTGATTTTTCCTCAATAGCCTTATTGGTGTGATTGATTTTTTTCCGGAATGTTCTTCAAATATCTCGCCCGTATCTCCGTCGAAATCTAACTCCGCTTGCTCGTCAGGTGTTTGAGGGCAGCTGGCTGTAGTTCTAGTTGTTGGTGTATTACGATGTAGTGGATTTTCCCACAGATATATGTCTTCAGCGCTTTTCGCGTTACATTTGATTGTTTCGAGCGGTTTTTTTACCGTCCCATTCGGGTCTACAACTTCGGTCCGTAACTCCAAAGCGTCAGTCGCGGTGTCTTCTTTCGTATCTGCGTATTCAACGGGTTTGTCTTCTGTGCTCGTGGAATCTGATGGAGAATCACAAATCATGCTGCATCGGTTAACATATGAGTTACCAAACACCTGTCGATCTAGGTGTTCTAGTTCCAGTCTTAATTCTCTCGTCATGGAAGTCGTCATCGGATGATATTCTTGTGAATCGTCGGGACTACTACCGTCGTTCGTATCAAAACTGCTTCTGGTTAGCTTGCTTAAGCGATTACTCCTTTGGTTGGCCGAAGAAATATCACTTTCATCGTAGGATGTCTTGGTTAAAATAATTTTCGGACACTCTTTGGAATGCTTTCTTTCGATAACGGAATGTGTTCTTTGAAGTTTTTCTGGTTTTAGCGCGTCTTTATTACCGGTGGCAAAGTTTAGGAATTCGTTGAGATTTTTTATCATTTTCACTTGTTTGGTCGGTTTAGTTGAGTTAGATGAATTAGGTCCTTCCAAAGCGTCGAGCGACGAAAAGAATCTGTTATTATGTACTGATATTTTATCTCTAAGTAATCTTATTTGACTGCCGAGGGGTGTGTCTCTTATATCACTTAACACTCCATTGGGAAGGTTGCCTGTGCTAGACCAGAACGTGTTGTGTTCCTGAGTTTCCACTCTACCGTGTTCAGGCACGCTTTTCATACACCTCTTAACTTTAACCTGAGAATCTTTTCCTTCCTTATCAGTTTTCAAATTTTCCTCGTTTTCAACATTATCTTTAATAGTTTTCTGTTTTTGCAAAGCAGCATCATCTAAGCTTTGAAATTCTTTCGCGTGTATCAATGAGGAGTTATTTAAAATTTTTCTAGTAGCATTCTCGTCTAAACTATGGTTAGATTGTCGGATAGTCGAAAGCTTTGGTGCTTTAATGTTAGCCAAACTAAAGCTTGAGCTTTGACGTCTAATTGCGCATACTTTTGTGTATGCGTTTTCTCTTGGAGTCTTTACTAAGGGACTCGATGGAGGTGGATCTATTATTACTTCCAATGTTGGATCAAAATCTTTTTCTTTCAAAGGTAACTCCGCTGAGGGTGCCTTTTGCGGTAGAGACGCCCACAATACTTCTAACATTCTGAGAGCGTCCTCGAAAGCAAACTCTCTTTTCATCTCTAGAAGAAGCCATCTATAGCAGAAAAGTAAGTCATCTGCTTGTTGGGATTTGAGATAATTATAGAAATCTGGGTCATAGACTTGTAATGACTCCGTTAAATGTGTGAATTTAAGGGTCATTGCCTCTCCGTCGAGAAGGAAGTTTGGATACAAGCGAGTCATAAGCGCACAGAGACAGATGTACGCGTGGGCTTCATCACCCATAGTCACTAGGAGCGGTGACGCCAAATCTGACATACCTTGGCAGTAACTAACCGTAGGGTGATACAATGCGTACCTGAAATAAACAAATACATTTTAGTATAAAAAATCTTCTTCTTCTACCTGGCAACTTCCCAGCTTTAGCCGGGGTCTGCCTTAAACGTTGTGAATAGTTTTGGCTAATAGTTTTTACGACCAGCCTACCTGACATCAAGCATTAATCAGTGATTTCTAAATACTCTTAGAAAGTACATATGACTCGGAAAAATCACATTGGTACTTGCCAGGATCGAACCCGCGACCTCATGTATGAAAGGCGGGCCTTTTAACCACTAGTTCACCACTGATTCTCAGTATAGAAAGTTTTAGTATGAAATATACCTGATGACATGTATACATACAATACATCACAACTTACGTTGTCAATATATTAAATAATGATGCTATGTTTTGATTATCATCACTTCCAGCGTAGAAGTTGTGATGTCTGTCCGTTCTTAGCACGTCCTTGCGAACCATGCTTGTAACGTATGCTAAGTCAGCATTCACCTGTAATTATAACCAACATACATTAAAACATAAAAATAGTTAAAAAATTGTTATTAACTTCAGAACTTATAACTTCAAATGATATTTCTTTAATAAAAAACATATTATTGTTTCTAGGCACTCCGTATCTTTTGATATTATTAATTCTAAGCATATTTTCTAATCACCTTTCCTTTCTGTATACAGTCTTTCCATTGAGATCGTAACGTATAATACTCGTTGGCTTTTCTCTTTATATAGTCCATTCTCTCTTTGCCAGTCATACCGTCCGGGTAAACATTTAATATGTGTTTCCATACAACTTTTCTGAAATTTTATACACCTATAAACAACTAGATCTCTGACATAATACAGATTCTATTAATCCATGAAATTCCAACAATATTTTGTTAATAGTACCCCCAAGTCGTGAATGAAGCCACAGTTAAAATTTAGTTTCAAATAAAATAAATCATATAGAACACAAAACACTTTCTAACTGAATTGGCAGTACATAATTTTGACAAAGATGACCTCAAATCAGAAATTGGATAATTAAAGTTTTAATAGATCATCCTTTCGATATTCTGCATTCAGTCAAAGATTTTAGTTTTATATAAATAGTTTATATAAAAAATTTATATGTTAGCATTACATTAATTTTAATAATTTAATAGAAATAATTAAATATTTAAGCTCAAATTTTTATCAACAGTTATATATCAAAGAGATTCAAGATGCAAGACATAACTTTTTGATACCAAACCACATGGAAAGTGTAATATAGTTTTAAGCTTAAGTCTAAGTGTATGTTCATTATACAGATTAAAGTTGAGAAAGTACTATCAAAATATGATAAAGAAACAGTCTTGTATGGTTGAAAAGTTTCTAAGATAAAATTTTCCTACCTCTGCTCTCTGTAAATTTTTTCTATACACCATGTTAGCCAATCAAATCTATGGTTATAGAATACAAACAAAATTTTCCCCACTAACCTTATGTAAAGCTCAATGTATGGTGTACATTTATGATAGTTACTTAAATTTATTTTCACAACATATAATTATATAAAGATAAATATTATCTCAAGATACCTTAGACTTGGCTCTATTCCCCCACAGTATATAACCTCTCGTAGTTTTGTTGTATTAGTTATTTGTCCTACAGCATCTAGAAATGCTCGGAACTCGATATCATTCAACGGAGGCCGTGGAGGGGTGTTGGGGTCTTCATAAAGATTAAGCGCCCTCGAAACCATGTTAAATGTCTTCTCAACCTAAAATAGTAATAAACAAGTATTAAACTATTAACAACAGATTTTCTCATAAATATTATTACCTCTATACCAAGGCTTTTATAAGGTAACCAGAAAAGTTTGTGTTATTTTCATTCATTGCATATTTATATGGACTGTATATCACTAGTAAGATAAAGCGCTGGGCTAATTTATTATATATTTGAAAGGTTATATTAAGAAGTATCATTAATTGCGTTACATAAGTTTTTTCACTTTAAAAAAACATAAAAATTATTGGAAAGTATGGCCTTGTCTAATGCAATAATTAGTGATTGTTTACTTTACGAATTCCAACTTGGCAGTAAGCCGCAGAGGCTTGTCTTAAGATTTGCCCCGTTTTTGGGGAGGGTGCTGTAACTGAACGAATGAGCCAAAAGTGGTTTAATTTTTTGAAAAAAAGTCAAAAAATAAACCTCGCTCAGAAGACCATAGGCGATTAACAAGGACAATATCAAGCTGGCAATTGAACAGCATTCAAGTCAGACATGCCAAGCTTTTGCTGAATATATTCGGGTATTTCAAAATAGAGAGGCTTTGGAAAACGACATGGTACAGTTCTTTAATTCAAAAAAAAAACAGATTTTTACAAACAGTGAAAAGGTTATATCTAATGAAGGAGTCAATTTTTCAGAATAGAAAAAACTAAATTGAACTTATTTTTGTATCACTATCTTTTAACCCTCAAAACTGCAGGAAGTTTTGTGGTTGCCTGATAAAATTTGATAGATAACAGCCCTCAACACAAACCTTTTATTTTATGAAACCAAATATACAGGATGACTGGTGAATTACTATCGATACTTGAGGACGTGATTTTTGACGATCATATATGACAAAATAAAAATTAATATAACATAAATATTAATAAACTTCTGAGTAAAGTTAACCAAAAGTTATGTAATTAATTACGCATCGTGTGAACACCCTACAGATTAGGTATACACACACACACACACACACACACACACGCGTGCGGCGGCGTAGTGTTGTATCAGCACGCCGCCGCACGCGTCCACACTTGGAACACTTGGAACATGTCCACACTTTATTTATTTATACGGAAATTTTGTCAAAAATTGCCTATTTTTTTTACATAATTCGAATGAGAATCATATACCGAGTATTCTCTTTAAATATTGATAGTAATTCACCAGTCACCGTGTATATTGATTTATGCAGAAATTACAAAAATACTATTTTAAGAATTTGTGGTAAATTTTCACTACACTGGAAGATATTTAAGAAACCAACAGAAAATTTATATAAGAAATGAATCCTACTAATATTATAATTGCGAAAGTTTGTGAGTGTGTGTGTATGTTTGTTACTTCTTCACACTCAAACAGCTGAACCGATTTTGATAAAATTTTGTATACAGGAAGCTGACGTCCAGGAATAACACATAGGCTACTTTACATCCCAGAAAGCCGCGGGTAACACCGTGGGGCGCATTTAGTATGTAATAATTTTAGCAGAATCTTAATGACCATTCTATCGAACACAATTTAGGAATTTCTATATTAAACAATATAGCATTTAATTAACCTGATTCATAAATAGCCCCTGGAATCCAGTCTGTGATTCTTGTTTCTCAACCTGAGTTAATTGTTGAACCGTCGGTTGATCCTTATTGACTTGGCCTATGGGTGCTTCTGGTATGGTTGGCGGCTCCCAGTCCTCGGAAGCTTCAGCAAATGGTTTCATATCAACCTTTAACTGTACACAGGGCTCCAACCTCATTGTTAGTGCTATGTTATGTGCTCTATAAACATGAATAAAATATATCTGCTAAGTTTAATTTGATAGTAAAAATAATATAGTGGACTATCTCTTTATGTAAATAGTATTAGATTTTTTTAACTATATTAAATTCTTACTTAAGAAAAGCTGCATCCAGATCCCAGTCTGAGAGCAGCGGAAGATATATCTCCTGTCCATAATCATCCACTGTCCTGTATGATAATGTAAAATCTGATTTTATATCAAATGCTTTCACTAAAATACTTTGCAAGACTTCCAGGGACGTTATTTGTGGATCAACAGAAAATTTTCTTAGTTCTGGTTGGAGTTTTCCCTCACATTTCTGTAATTAAATTTATAATTAATAGTAGCTAGGAATTCCCGGTATTGATTTTATTTAATAATAGTATATTTTGACACTAAAGTAAGTATCAGATTTTGCAAACATCACGGACAGGATATAATATAGGAGTTAATAAAATTTGAATATTATTATTTCAGTTTGAAAAAAAGACGAACCTTGACTTTTACACGAACAGCTTCTTTACTATACCCAAACATTTCTTTGCATTTCTGTTCACCGATAATATATTTAAATACGCGTACTTAATTTAATAAACTATTCAACATTACAATAAACATCTTAACACAACAATGTTCAAATTCATTCATATTTCATTTTCCAATTACCTATCAGAAGAGAAACAAAGTAGTTTACTGAATGACAGTGACGTCAAATGCTTGACATTTAAAATAAGGAATTAAAATACTTAAATATCTAATGAATAATAATAACAATTAAAAATACGGTCACCAGGTAGTTAATTTGTTTAATTTCTATTATTTATTTCCGAAGGATTTAATTTTTTATTAATAAAAAAAACATTATCATAACCTTTGTTTTCAAAATACTTTTTATTTTTACTACACATATTATAATTATGAATATGAAATTACTATTTATTACTGTAATTGCAAGTATTTAATATTAATAATTAATAAAATATAAATGTTACAATCGCTTAAAAAAAATATAGCCAGTCAATATCGTGACACATGTGAATTAAGTATTTGATGTCAAAAAGTCAAACAGCTCAAAAACAGATTACAGAGCTGAACTATATAGCAAAGCGTAAATAACATTAGAATAAATAGATAAAATATAATAAATCTATAATGAGTAATTCCAATACAGTGCCCCATGTCGACCGTGAATTAGATTTGTCAAATACGGGAAGAGGTGTCTGGCTGGTAAAGGTACCGAAATATATTGCCAACAAATGGGACAAAGCTTCAGGTGACATAGAAGTAGGTAAATTAAAGATATCTCGAGTTCCCGGTCAACGTGCTCAAGTCCAGCTGTCGTTGTCGGAAGCTGTTTTGTGTTTAAATGAACCCGGAGAACAAGCTTTACCTAAAGAGCATCGCCTCGATGTATCTAATGTAACACGACAATCTTTAGGAGTTTTTTCTCATGCTGTTCGTGAGTATCACTAAAATTATCACTTAACAAAATATATAATATGTACTTTATATTGAAAATGTATATACTTTTAGCATCAAACACGGACACAGTGGTTCCTGAATCCGAAAAACTTTATATGGAAGGTAGAATAGTGCAAAAATTAGAATGTAAGCCATACGCGGACCCAACTTATTACAAGCTTAAGTCTGAATCTATAAGGAAGGCTTTGATGCCACAAAGACAAGTACAACAATTGAAAGGAATTGTTCAAAATTTCAAACCTGTTTCTGATCACAAACATAATGTAAGCTTTAAAAAGATTTTAATTATAATAACAGTAATTATTTATATTTATGTCAATATCATAATATTATAAATATATGTTTTCAGATTGAATATCAAGTGAAGAAGAAAGCGGAAGGTAAAAAGGCTCGCGATGACAAGGAATCGGTGCTCAATGTATTATTTGCAGCATTTGAGAAACACCAGTATTATAATATTAAGGATTTGCAAAATGTATGTTACATTTTATATGTTACTGTGTCTTAAAACTATTCATCTAAGTAGTTGTTATCACTATCTCCACCAAGAAATTGGATTTTTTTTTGTGACAGTAAGATCTTAGTTATTAAAACAACTTCTACAGGAGATTAACAAAGAGAATAATGTTTAATATGAAAACTGCAGATAATCTATGGTCTTTTTGATGTTAAAAAAAAAATGTGCATAGATTTATGATAAAAACATCTGAATTTCTTTGTTTTCAGATAACAAGACAACCTATAGTATATTTGAAGGAAATATTAAAGGAGGTTTGCAACTATAATTTAAAGAATCCGCATAAGAATATGTGGGAATTGAAACCAGAATATAGGCACTACAAACAGGAGGCACCTGTTGAGACCAAAGAAGATCCTCCAAGCTCGGACAGCGACTAGCCATAGACAATACATAGACAATATTGTGCATCCAAAAGCATAATATGCACACCAATATCTTTAGATTTAAGATAGATAATGCATTTAAGTAATAAGGTTAAATAAAAACTTTTTTGTTAAGTACATTTTTTATTTCCCAAATATAATTCATAGTTAAGGAAATTGAATAACGAACACTGGCAACATTGCTAGAAGAAATAGATTAAACTTCAACATCTACGCTAATATAGTAACATACAATTGAATAAACGATTATATAATTTCGAGAATAAAATTTAGAAAATATATTCAATATCAAATAACATTCAGTCGATAAACATCAATAGAAAAAAATGCGGTTATTTCTTAATTGATGACGTCATATTTTGATTTCTCAATGAATCTGGCCAGTGAGCAAGAGAGGAGCGCGCCCACGAGTGGTAACACAGCCGTGCCCACCGCCACGCCAATGAGTATGTTCATGTTGTTGATCAAGTATTCCGTAATAACTTCGTAACATCCCTGTAATAAAATTATCTTGCATTAAGGCAGTTACACATTGGTCTTTAAATAACGTTGCACCACCTTGTTTTACCGAAAGTTTTATTCATTTTGCATCTTAAAAATCATGTTGTAAAAAAAAGTAACAACCTCTATGTTGTATTACTTTAGGATTAAAGCCTATTATAATATTCCATAAGTAAGCAGAAGTGCATTCAAAAAGAATCAAAAAAAGTGTAGCGATCTCATTCGATAGAACTTTATGATGTTTTTTTAACACAGTAAAAGCTTTTATAATAAAAACAAATGGTAACCCTTTGGTAGACGTCGTTGTAATTGGCCGTGACGCAGCGATTGGGGTCGAGGCAGCAGGAGATGGGAATCACTCTTTGTGGCGACAGACGCATCCAGTCAGTGTAGTTGTTTACGCCGCAACAGTATAACTATACAAATATAACATTCGGATACTTAATCAAAGAAATCAATATTAAAAACCGACACTATATAGTAATGATTCATTACAAAAATTACTATTCCTAATTAAAATCTTAAAGCTTACAAGAAAATACGAACAGATCAAAATGCTCATTTCTTCAATAAAATCGATTGACAAAGAATACAATTTATATACAAATGAATAGTTACCATTAAAAAGGTAATTCCAGTTATTGAAGACTTAATACGACTTTCTCTTCAGCGTTTAGGCAATTGAGTGACAGGTTTCAAATGAACTAAGTATGTTGTTTTACTGGTTTTTAGCGGATATTTTGTTTAATTATTAAAAAATAACCGTTAAAATTTAAACTACAGATAAAATATATTCTATTTTATCGATTATTTGAAGTTAGTTTGACATACCGTAGATTGAGCAAAGTCGAAATTAGGTTTCTGTGGGTTGTAATTAACGATGGTGTGGGTGAGTCCATCGTGGAGACCCTTGGCGAAGGTGTCACGGTAGCAGACTACTGATGCCCCCACGCCGGCGTCCATCATGAAAATGCATACTAGGAATCCTCCATACTAACAATGAAATTAATGATAATTAAAGTGTAATAATCGTAAAGTAATTATTATTTGAACTACTGCTATTAATAAATTATAGAAATGTCAAATGATTAAGTTGCGGTGATGACATATGTACTCGTATGGATAGATGTTAGTAATTCTTAATTGTTAATTCTCCTAATACTGAAATTTAAAGATTTTACATAACAGATTGAGGTTACAAGTTACCAAAATATATTTTTTATAACAACACAGATGCGACATGTATTACTTAAAAAAAATAGATAATAATATGTAATTTATCTTTTCTTTAGATTTTATTCGTAATTTGTATTACAACTAGAAGATAGGAGAACAGAGGCGTTAATAGTGGTGGACCGTTAATTTAATTTCACCGGCAGAAAGACGAATCCAACAAATTTGTTACAATAATAAATGTCATAAGGCAGACCCTGGCTAATGCTGTGAAATTGCCAGGAAGAAGAAGATATGTATATGTCATATTATATAGTACCTTAGATTTTTTTAATTGTAATAAATACACCAACATAGATTTACGAATGATTATATACATAGTATAGACAATTCTAGGGGACATTTTTTTTTAATAATACGATTACAGTACATTTCTGAACTTATACATCGGTTTGTGTCTGAATGTACCACTAGGTACAAACCGAGTGTTCTAAATACATATTTTATTATAAAAAAATCGTTTTGATATTATGTTATGAGATATTAATTTCATTGACCTTTCCTAGTGACGGGAATTCCGTTAAAATGCTAAATACATTTATATCGTTACTGATAATGTGATTGACAATAAAATATAATTGATGATGCATAAATCACAAAGAAGAAAGGCGGAAGGTAAAGTCATTAGTCAGATTAAGTTTAATGTTGAGTTTTAAGTATCATTTTAAATCAATTGACTTAAAGTGGAGTAGGTAAAGCTATTAAAAAGTTTTATATAATTATCATTTCGGTGGTTTATTGTATTACGAGTGATACCGGAACGAATTAAAAATAATTTATAATAAAAACGTAACGTACTATAAAATTTGTTACATCATTGATATAAAAATCAGCGAATCAAACACAAGTTTCAAGAATCGCTCTTCATACGAAGGATTTACAGTTATTCGTTCATAAAGATACGTGACATTTTAACGTTGATTTATTGAAAGACTTGAGACGCTTCGTATGTAGTACGACTGAAAACATGTGGTAGGGGTTATATTATATTACTTGTTGCAACAACCTTTCTTCATTTCAACGTTGATGATTTAACTTCATTATAAAATCAGACCATAAATGAATCTGTCTCTAACTTTTGTTTTCGTTTGACATTAATGACGTTTGTGATTTTTAATTTAAATCAAGTTTTTTCAATATCAATAATGGAAACTCGGCTCAAGAATGTTTTGGTGTAAATTTTTGGTTGTAGTTAATAAAATTTTGGATTATATTTACAATGTACAGCAGAACCGGCTGGCCTTTGATAATGCACGAGAAAGCCACTGAGCTGATGAGAACTATCAGGCCGGAGATTCCTATGATGACGTGGGGAGCAGTTCCGGAGAATTCTGGAGACAACTCCATATACTTGTACAGATCAAATTCAGCCCAGAGGCCTACCACCAAGATGAGGAGACCTGCCAACTGTTGAAAAGAAGCTATTGTTAAAAAAATACATATATTTTCTTTATATGACTCTTTTTTGCTATCGTCATATAGGTACATATCTCGCTAAAATGTTAAGCGTTTATAAATTTATCTCTTGCCACTTGATAATATTTTAAAAGCAAGGTAATTGAACTAAAGTATTACGGTTTTATACGTATGCAATTTAAAATACGTACCCAAAAAACAATATTGAAGATGAAAAGCAATGTTTTAAGGCAGGCTATAATTGCGACGTTTTTAAACTGATTACCCATTTTAGAGGTTTTGAGCTTATGTTACATTTGTGCAATATTTTGTTAGAACATATGTTTGGTTTGGGCTTGGGCCCTGAATGGACTATTGCATGAAAACAAAATGCGCGCGCCGATGCAATGCGCATGCGTTAAAAAATCGGCGTCCGCTATTCTCTTTGTTGGTAAATATAGGTAAGTGCATTTCATTCAAAGGTCAGCTAGTCTATATTTAGACCCTCTGGAACTTTTTGTATCTATAATATGTGTAGGTTAACTTACACGTGGGTATCTTTTACATAGTCTAGGTACTTCTAGAATAATATATTTAAGATACGACGTCAGTTTTTTAACATTGGCCACAAAACTATGGTGCAAATAAAAAAAAACATGTAGGCATAGTCTTTTCCGCTAAAAGTAAGCTAGGACAGCAGCTTTGAAAGTTTTTGATTAAAGATTTGATTTCAATTATCAATTTTAATTATTTCTATCTATACAATTATCAGTAAGTACCTATAGTAATTGTCGTCAATAAATATTTTAATAACTTAGCATCATATGTAATTATGTCAAAACATTATACCATTTTGACATACAGTTGTAAAAGGCATACCCCGTATGTAAAACCTTTCAGTATTTTATAGTTTTGTTAGTCGTTCCTTAGCCACAGAGCTGCGCAGGCGCACACTTTCTAGTGACGAGCGGACCACGATCGCGATATTATAATATTAATATTTGATTTTTATTTACTTGACCATTATAATTATGATGTCTTCGTTGAACTTATTTGTTATATGTTTTATAATTCATTTTACAAATGTGTCTCCTATCGCTGAAATTGATTCGGAGGATGGTAAGTTGAGTTTATATATTTATTTAATATGAACCTATATACTGTTGCGTCTATGTAATATTTATATTCATATAGGGCTCCTGTTTCGTAATTCGGTATGGTATTGAGCAAGTGATAAGTAGTTTATAAAGAATTATTTTATTTAATTTTATTAAACAAAAAAAACAATATTTTCTCAAGATTTAATAAAGATGTAGTAATGAATCTATTAAAATATTCTCTTTTTTAATATTTTTTTTGTATACTTAAATTTTTTTAGGCAGAAAAATAAGGATAGTTTAATGAGATTTTTGTTTAATCTATTGACAAACTTATATCGAAAATATAAATAAAGTAAATTATAGTAATTATTGAATACAGTTTTTCTGTAATACAATTTTAAAAAAATAAGGTAATTTATGGAATCGATTTCATGTTATAATTTTAAGGGTTCCGTATCAATTAATACGAAACATAAACATCTTCCCTATATTCGTAAAAGTAACTGTTTGTTGGCAGCGTAGTTCTTTTTTAGAGAAAGCACAAAGAAGGTAAGGTCCCACAGCATTACTCTTATCACTTGTTTTGTCTTTAAACTAAATACACACAGTTACCAGTTTTTTTATTCATAATCATCACACGTGATAAACTGATAACATATTATAGTAAAACTATACTACTTAAAATAATCACGTGAATATATAAACAGATAAATGTAGGTAAAAACTTTAATTTATTGGAAACGCCAATAAATTATAGAATTTTTCACGCTATTAATTCAATTAAAGTATGAAACAAATCTCTTTATATTAATTGTTTATTAAATTTAAAAGTAAGGAACCGAAAAAACCTGTTTGTCTCACGACCTTCGTTATATAATCCCATAACAATAGTCACATACCTTTGATAGATCAAATATTTTCTTTCATAATTAACGGTTAAATTAATCTATTAAAACCTTTTTTCAATGCACATGCCTAGTTAGTTAGGAACGAAAAAAAAAAACAATAATTGTCATTAAAATACATTTTAATATTTTTTATCTGTAATATAGAATGTTAATCTCAAAATCTGTTCTCGATCTCATCGGGAACGTGAACTTATCTGTAATCTATTCAATGCAGTTGTGACCGAATAATGTTTACGGTAAAACAAAGCGAGCCATTGTGAAAATTTATGTCAAATCCTATCACTCCATCGTGGTTATTGTTTGGTTTGACATGGTCTGCTTGTCCGATTTGTCATAATAACAGAATAAAAAATTGTACATCAACATTTATTATTATAAAAAAAAAATCCTATATAATTTTTAAATAATCGTGATTTAGAGGTCATTGCGGATAGTAATATATTCAAAGTACGTATAGAAGTACGCGGTTCATATAAAATCACATTGACCTATTCCGCGTGTGGGTTAATCTTATTCAGATGGACAGGTTTTTGCGTTGATACGCAGGTGATTTATCACAGGCCGCACCAAGCTAGCACTCGAGAACTGTATCAGATGTTTCCTGATAGCTGTCGTCATGCAGGTGATCGCTGTCCCGTTTTATGAAGTCATTAGGCTCTGCTTTACTGTTACTACAAATTATTATAATTCAACTTCTCTAGATTGCAATAAAAATATATATTATAAGCTAATGTTCAGCAAGGAATTCACAAAAGTAGACAAACTGCTGTTTTTAAATTGCTTCTGCATGTGATAGTTGTTTTGAACTTTCCTACTTTTGCTTTGAACTACATTCTCAGGGGTTTAAGTGTTAAATGTCAACACGACACAAGTGACAGCTTGTTCGTTCATTTCATTACGTCAATGGACTAGTCGCATTACGCATGCGCTAATGGCGACCGTACGACAATGTCCCTATTTACACATGTAAATGCAACACAATGAGCACGGGTAGCGGCTACAAAACACCAAAGTACCTTCGACATTAATCTTTATATTCTGTATTTAAAAAATATTGACATAATTTTTGTTTATAACTAAATCATTGGCTGTTTAATTAATTAATTTACATATAATTTATATAATTATTGGAGCTTTTGATTTCGTTTTTTTACATGTTAGTTAATTAAAAAAATACTCCTCCGTGTGGCTTCTTCAAGAATAACGTTTAACATTTCAGATATAGTATAAATTAGACATATTTGTTATGCTCCCATTACCAACATATGGTTTATAGTGAAATTATACTTTCACTGTATTATTTTATCTGGTTACTTTTAATTAGTTTATTATCTTGAGTAAGTAGAACTCTACATCTCAATACTGTCCTAGTGAATCCATTATGTTATACCTACACATTAATATTTTTATCAACAAAACTGACAGTCCGCGTTGCCGAAACCGGTTATTTTGCATGCTTAGAAAGTTGGCGAGTATTTTTGATTATATCAATTTGCTACATTGATTGACTGTCAACAAAGAAAGCAAACAAAGAAACTGAAACTTTTTTTATGTTGTGCCTTCATTCACACTGGAATTGTGACATATGTCAAAATTGAAACTTTTCGTTGGATAAAAATGATAACTTCATATTGCAGTGTTTGTCATTATATATATATATATATGTATTTATATGCTAATTAGTATTACATAGATATAAAATATTATTTATATCTATATTGAAATTCTGTTACTGTTTTAAATACTAATGTTATAAAATGACCCACGTAACATGTCCTAGCTTTCATAGAATGAATAAATTTATCGGTATATGCAATGTACGTTTAAGTAAATTCTCATTTAAATAAATTTTAATAACTTTTTTATTTTTCTACATATTTATGAAGGCATTCGCAAACGTAAAAATGCGTTAATTTTTACTTCTAAAATTCTACCTCTATGATCAATTATTCATATTTGAATAAATATTTCAGACTCTTGCTCATAGGTACTGTAAATAGGTCACAATCAAATACGTAAGAATTTATTCATAAAGAATATATTCTTGAATATTTACTATTTTTACATATTAAAAATAGTAAGTATTTCATCACTTATTAATATTATTTCATTCTTGATTAAAATATAAAAAAAAATTATTAAAACTTTTTATTCTATGTAGATTTGAAGACGTAGTTAGGTTGTTTTGCCGCCATTCGGTTCTAATGATAGTTATAAAATATTTAATAGTTTATTTTGATACAAAAATATTTAGACGTCCTGACTCTATAATGTGAGTTAAGAAAAAATATATTATAATGTATTATTTATTTATAATAATAAAGTAAGTTTAGTTTTTTTAATTATAAATAATCGAATAAAATATGGCAACATACAAATTTACCGTCTATTTAAATACTCGAAATCACTAGATAACTATGATTTAAGCTTTATCATATTATTTATATTAAAACTATTTTGACGTTTAACCTTTAAATTAACTGATTATAAGTTGAGTTTGAGTAAATATTATTTGGTTGTATATAGAGACTATATTAATTCCTTCAAAACTGTTAACATTAAAGCTCAGAACAGATAGTATGCAGAACGTGTAATGTGGTATGTATTGCATGTAGGTCGTCTAGCATTGGTCCTGTAGAGGTCAACGACCGAACCTTCTTTAGTTTACACCCGTTTGGGTCAAAACTGATAAAATAAATTTATTTCACTCATCTAAATAACATTGCTATAGCCAAATGGGGGTATCTGACTAATATACAATGTAACGGCTCTCAAATTTTCAGCTTATTCGGTATTTGCCATTTTCGTTTATAGAACACGACCACGCTGCAGCAATTTTTAGATTTGAAAGAGATATAACGTTATTTTCTTGCCACAGTCGATAAAATTCAAATATATTTATGTAGCTAGCGTAAAATTCATTAAGATTTATTAACAGATTATAGTAATAATTTCTTACACTTCCTAAGTTGTTATAGGGCGTAAGCATTACCTATAAACTATGAAGTCATACCCATAGGCTATAACATACATACATTTTTATTCAATACTATGTATAGAGATTTTTTTTAGCATGATCGTGATCAAGACTCGAGTTCTTCCTTAATATTTCATTATTAACTAATATAGAACAACCCTCCATTTTGTATTTAAAATAAGTAACATTCTTTATATGAAAATAATTGAATTATAGGACAGCCGGTTTAAAATGAAAAAGCAAGATTTGATCCTAAACATCTTTCTTATATAGATTAAAATAAAAACTTCTAAATACGTATAAATGTTGTCTCATAAACTTAGCATTTATATTATTATTTTGAGTACCACAATGGTATTTCAATAATGATGTCTTCAGAAGGACCGGCCTACGTACCAGAATCTTGCGAATCTCAGATGAATCTTTAATCCTGCTTCCCACGCGCCGCGACAAATGTCTTGTTTCAAACGGGCAAACGACTATGTTAGGATTCCGAATAAATACGACAAAATTTATGTTTATTTCGATTAATAGCATTTTATATCAAACATAGGTATTATATTGATGATTAAACTACAAGGGAAAATAATCAAAATATATGAAAAAGTATTTGTCAACTAAAATAAAGCAGTATTGGATGTAAAATTAAGGAAATGTTCAGTTTGTAATAATTTAATTTGTGACAAATTAGTTAAGCATTAAAATTAAGTTAATTTATTGCTAATGTTAATTCTCATTACAAGTTTATTAATGGGCGTTAATTTCTACATCCGAGATAAGTTTTGATAAACTTGAATACTTAATAAAAGCTTTGTGAATTCAAATCGAGTGTTTATTGAGAGAAGATAGCTAGATAGGTCTAAGTAAATTGTCGTCAACCAATTCCGTAGCTACGTGCTTATAAGACAAACAGCGGTTACAGTTAAGTTAAGGTTCCGCTTTACTTTCAATGTAATGGTGTTGTGGACATTGATCGATGGCTTTATTAGATAAAACGGACATTACTATGGATTCTAACAACCTTTACGAGTAAAAAATATTAATTATGAAGATATACTAAAGATATTAAAACTATATTGCGATGGTAATATAAAATAAAATATCATTCTGTTTGATACGCTTAATTATAACAATAGGAAGATTTGGAAGGGCCTCACGTTCACGGATGTCGGATATTAAAAGGCGAAACTGATTTAATTTCCGTAAACAAAACCGCAAGCAAAAAATGCATTAATATTATGGATACATATAAAATTCTACAAATGGATTTGGATCCGAAATAATGTGTCGGCCGTTTATGTACGATAGACTTGGTTTGTAATAAATACTAAAAACTGTTAGTTCCTAAATAAGTATTAAACGAAATTTGGATATGGTTCACTTCAGCAATCCGTTTTCGTTGTGACACGGATATATACACCCGTTTAATCCAATTACTTTAAGTAATTGGTATGTTAAAGTGAATCATCTAGACCGATGCTGTTATCGATCTAGTTTTTTCTAACACGAAGAGCCGTAAAATGTTTTAAATGTACGACACACGCTGTTTTGTTTAGCCGCGCCGACAGTGGGTCAGTTTTAATTGAATGCCGCCGTAACAATGATTATACACGCACGTCCGACTCGACAATAAGATTTAGACTTACATCGTTTCAAGGCCTTTTAAGTTTAAAAACTTTAATGGGGATTCACACGATAAGTAAAATTTTATGCACCAGTTTCATGTTTTTGTAGCGATAACTCTAATAGGTTGGTGTGTATGAGGGTCACGCTTCATGCTGGTGCCATTTTTTAAATAATATATTGAAAGAATATATCCATTTCGCGTTCAATAATCATCACAAGCTTCTTATAATACTTATCTATTATAAGTTCTTGACTTAAAGATTATATGCAATTTACGGTGCTTATATATCATATATGTATTAATTTTCTTATATCAACATAAATGTTTATGTTCATGCAAATTACTTCGATTACTATATCTTTATAAATAACTATTAACCATTTTCATCTTCTGAAAATGTACATACACACCTTTTTAGGGACGAAAATATTCATATACATTAAGAAAAGCTAGCTGAAACGAATTCGGATTGTATTGATGATGGACTGGTGAATGGAGGAGGCAAAAAAAAGTAATTTGTATGTGCATAATATTAGGTACATTGGTCATTGGGACTTCGCAGTTCACACTGTTTACTGTTATAATGTATTCAAAGTTTAGATCACCTACTTTAATGTGTGTGTTACGGACTACCGAGCACTCTGTGCGTTATTGTTTGGTTACTTACAGTAAGATTGCCATTGTTTTCATACAATACTTATTAAATTATTTAAACAAATACAGCTTATTGCATTTAGAATAAAAACGGGATTTCACGGATTATTTATTGTAGTGGGAGTGAAAAGCTTTGATTTTTGATCGAATTTTGCTAAATTTGTATCAGTTCACGAATCTACTCTCGTATTATCTAATGATGCCTTAAATTAGGTTAAAAACTTCATAAGAATTCGTTCAAAAGACACACAAACAAAGAAACAAAACAAAATAAAAACATTTTTTTAATTGTTTTGGATTCCAAGGAAGACAATATATATATATATATATATATATATATATATATATATATATATATATATATATATCTAGATTACTGAGATTATTAGAAACTTAGTAGAAAACATTACTATATTATAATTAATGTTGCCATTCGTCTAATACTGTATTATTAAACTTATTACACCCGTTTACTTTGTCTGTAATGAGTTGCTAATATATGCTTTTATGTTGGCACTTTGTAATAAATAAGTTTAATAGTGGCAATGTTGGTACTTTTACTTGTCAAAGCTATGTAGTATTTATTTTGTTTAAATATGTAATAAAAACTTTACAATTTTATATATTTTAAATTATATTATTAATGTAAATTATTTAAATATTATGTTCATTACGTATTAATACAAAATAACTTCAAAATGCAAAATGCAAATAAACTGATAAGTAATTATACTTTATATTTTTTTGTAGAATCTGTATTCAGTTCACAGATGATGTATTAAAATGTTATTATCAAACAGAGGAATGTATATCCTAAATTACTTTTATAAATAATTTTTAAACTACATATTATGTAAATAACAACGACCGGAAGGAACGCACATATATTACAATAGCCTGTGTATCTCGCTAGCATTGTTCCAGCTTCCTCTTTGTCTGTCGTGAGGCCACGTCCGGTCACAGACAAAACAGAATGACATTAAAAACTAATTGACATTTGAGTCGACGAATTTTGATGATTTCGGCTTTATGTTATATGATTTAATACGTTGGATAATATAATTTAAAAATAATTATAACAAATGTTTAAATTGTTGAATATATACATATATATAGCCAGGTTCTGCCTTACATGTTGTAAATAGTTTTGGTTAATTGTTTTTACGACCGGCCGCCTGTTTGACATCAACCCTCTTTGGGAATATACCTATTAATCACCACGCTTGCTCAAGACGGGTTGGCGATTTCAAACTTATAAATGTGAAATTAGAGGTCCAGGTTTCCTCACGATGTTTTCCATCACCGTCTGTCAGTGGCGTGTAAATACTCTTAGAAAGTACATAAGACTCGGAAAAATCACATTGGTACTTGCCAGGATCGAACCCGCGGGCCTTTAACCACTAGGCCACCACTGAGTGTATATACGAGTATATGTATATGTATGTATATATATCAAATACGGAAACCATGAATAAGTTAAGTTTAAGATTGCATTTAAATCGTAAGACTTGACTATGTCCTTCAGTTATATTATTAAAATTTTATTATATGATTCGCATAATTTCCAGATAAAACTACTTCCCTAAATCAAAGTATATTTTATTGTTGGTAACACTATTTAAAATTAAAACCTATTCTTTGAGCCGGGGTATGGGCAATGTAATTTAAGTATTTATGACACAAGTACTATGGTGCGATCAAGTTCAAAGTTCAGTCACGAACGGATCGTATCTAAAGATTTTAGTATTATGGATTAATACTACCACCACGAGGAGAAAAGAGATCAGATGTACTTAAAATCTAATACAACGACTTATTAATAAAGAAAACTTACCTTTTATATATTGTTAACATTTCACTGTAAAAATAATTGATAATTAATTCGTTTAACTAAGGTGTAAATTTTCTTTTCACGTAAATTTTACGTAACTTAAGGCATTGTATGTTTCAATGTAATTTAATAGTAATTTCTCTTTAATAAATTTTGTTTTTACTTACGAGATATCATGTAACAGAGGTCGTATTACCGATTAAGGAACAGGCCAGTGAGCAAGTCATTGGGTCAATAGTAGAAGCGGATCGTAGAGATTATCGGAGCGCATCTATTGAAGGAAACCAATAATAGAAAACGATTTGCTGAACAAAACGCTAATACATTTATTTGATATTGATTACCTACTAGTTTGTGGAAATTTTCATTGCAAATGATGGCAGTTAGCAGTTAAATTCAGGTTACGATAACGTCTTAAAGAGATCTAAGAATTTCGCGAGTATTCATTTAAATAAACTAATATTTTCGGATTACTACGAGCAATTTTATTATTTTTAAAAACGGTGTACACGGTTGCTACAAAGTAACCGAAATGTCGGGAGTAGGTATGTAATCTTTTAAAATAATAAAATAACGCGTAGTAATCCGAAAATATCAGTTTCATTTAAACGATAACTTCTTTACGAATGACAAGTGTTTAAAATCAGTAGGTATGTATCTAAGTTGGCATAAACACGTTATACGAAGCGTAAACAATGTTTTATTCCACGACCTACGTTAATACGAAGTCTTGAGAGTTATGAATAGAAAAACTGTTAACCATCGCTTTGGTTATAACGATACATACTTTGGGGTATCTTTATAAAGTTATTTTTCTTTTTTTCAGAGGTTCTGCATCTTATAGGCGAGCCAGACTTTCGCGATGTCAGATTGCGTTGGGAGTACGGCGGGAATGAAGATGAAGATTTGCAGAAATTACTGGCCTTTCAAATACATTACTGTGAACTACAAGCCTGGGGGCAATACAGATGTAGGACTAAGGTGAGCTGATTAAAGAAAAATACAAAAAAATACTGCAGTACCTATAACTTCAACCTCCTTTTGCTACAGATCAAGTATATTCGAAAAATATTTAGATGTTATTGTAGAATGTAGCACGAAAGTTATTTTTCTGTTTTAAATCGATTTCTATAATAGCTTTATTCATTCATTTATGTTTCTTATGTGTTATAAATCGTACAACGGTGGCTGTATATAGTAACTTAATATATTTTAGATTAGCTTTATATAGATTACAATCAAAGCAACGCCACAATAACTGCTGCGTTTCCACTCAAAACGGGGGATAATAGCTCTGTGTGCGCGCCGTAGCGTGACCGTGTCGTGCGACCTGACGGAAACACGTCAAATATTTACTTTATAAAATGTCATTTGAAACAATTTATTTATACCCCTATACTAACAGAACATTAAATTTAATGATTTCAAAGAACATGAAATAACTTTGATGAAATTTGACGATGATTTTTCTTTTTACATTATTAATATAATTTTATTGAAATGATTATTAAATTCCTGTAATGAATTGACTGATTTTAATTTAGTTCAAACGTATGTAGGTATGAATGGATATTACCGCTAACGACTCCAGGTGGTAAGTGACCGTACATAATACATATATTGTTTTCTTTAAGGTGGTAGATAGTTTTGAAGAAGAAAGATCTTCTAGGATGATGATTGAGACGATGACCAACAAGGTACCAACCGGTAAACGTGGTAGGACCTACACCACATATATATCTGGTCTCCGTATGGCTACCACGTATTCTTTCGAAGTACGCCCTGTCAAACGCGAGGCTCGAGATTTGGCTGACCCGCAATCTATTGGATCTAAAATAATTATTGTACCTACTAAAGGATGTAAGTGATTTAAATAGGTTACAATTTATATATTTCTTCGTTAAACTTTTCATACTAATTAAAATATTATTTTTTGTATTTTGGACAAATTAAGTACTTTAGCTTCATAGCTCCAATTCATAACCAGTTCTATCAGATCGTTAATATAATTTTAATCGTGGTTTCTATTTAATTTCCAGTATGAAAGCGAAGTTAATTGATTGATTGTAACAGCGAAACAAACGTGTGCCTAATTCTCTTATGAGGCGGATCGCAAGTAATTAATAAATTATATCCAGTTTCAGCGCGAGCTACCCAGTGCTTGCCTCATGCTAGTGAAGTCGAGGTTTCTACGGGGCCTTTCTTTGGTGGGCGGATAGCTGTGGAGGCGGCTGACGGTGGACCAGAAAGATGCTCCCTTCAAGGGAATCCGAATAGTGCCCAAGATGCCTACATACTAAGGATTCATCATGAAGAATGCGGTTCAGAAGTCAACGAGACTACCGTCGCGACTTATGTCATAGTACAAGAGAACCTGCCGATCCTCACTCACAGTACTCGCCGGTGAGTGAAACAAAAAAATACTTTTCACTTTCGTCCGAGTGATTGATGATGAGATCAAGGACGTTTTTTCGGCTGGTCGGTGTGTTTTTTATACGCGTTTCTTATTAAGGTCATGGCTAAGTCGTTTATCTTACGCTTTTATCTCAATGCAGAAACATCTCTGATTTATGTGCGAAATTTCTGTGCATATACTTACTTACATGGAAAGGTGTCTAGGACATTATTAATATTGTGTCCTAAATGTATTATACAGGGAATTATTGAAAGAGACATTAACCTTTTGCAGTTTCTTGGTGTTATGCACCTACAAACCGGAGACATTAACGGTGCGGGCGGGCATCAACCTGCCAAAGTCAAATCCAGGAGATGTTTTGTTGGACACGAAACCACAAGGAATCGTCGAGCCTTACGATGACAACAACCTGCAACCCGCGAGACTTGAAGCCAGGAAGGAGGAAACACAGCAGAGTAAGTAAATGTAATTAATATGATAGTATTTAATTTCAACTCAAAACCAAGTTTAAATCGAACAATATCGGACCATTCAACTTAAACAGTAAAGAGTTTCTTTCAAAAAGGTTTTACTATGGTTGTAATTTGTTTTTTTTTTAATTCTAGGTATGTTCGGCGAAATTATGCTAGTGATGTTCTTGGTAGTAGCAGCGTTTGGGGGTGTCGCTTTTCTGATATGGAAGGTCGTGCCTCAAGCTGGCAAAGAAGACAGCATCTCTATATCAACATCCTCAACCTTATCCCGCAGCGGTATATTCAGCAGACGGAATATAGATCGATTCTCCGATAAGAGTTCCGTATACTCCATCACTCTGTCAGAAAAAGACGTTAAGAAAAGCGATGGAGACGATACTTCCGAAGCTTAGTGATTTTGTATAGCAGCAATAGCTGTTACCTCCAAAATTCTTTTGGGCGACATATTTTTCGACATTGTATTTTGGTGACATAACTTTGGATGCAAAACTTTCCGGTGTATTGTGCAGACGGATTCTGTGATTGCAAATTATCTGTATTTTTATTTATCAGCGTAGTATATAATGGAATAGTACCTAATGTATCAGTTATACATATTTTTACTTTTAATCCCATGTATAAGACTGGATAGACTGCCCTTAATTGACAGATGTGTGATAAAAACTATTCTATTATCTGGTTAGTTAATTTGAATTGTATGTTCATTAAATAGCCTTGCTTACGTCGGTACTGATCGTCTTAAGTTATACGATAGTATTATAACTTAACTATACAACTCATACTAAGCTTTCATTCGCCCTTACTTAGCCGATACTGTTAATAATATTTATTTACTATTGTTAGGATAAGAGTGATTTTAATTTATAAGCTGTATATATTTAGAATAATGTTTTGCCATCAGGCCAGTATTAAAAATGTATCTTTATAGTTTCTATACGAGTGAAATAAAAGACTTTATGAATATATCTTGTTTTATTTGAAACTTATGTTATTGGGGGTAGTAGTTAATGTAATTTCTTTTTCGTATGGAAGACGTTGTGTAAGGAATTCTTTGACGATGTCATTTAGTTCTTCAAGAGCGATTTGGGAGTGAAGTCTGACTAATGAGTCTTCTTCATTATCTTTGTAGAGTTTGAGTAGTGTTTTATATATGGGTAGTAAAGTATCATTTAGTTCTACTAAAGTATCTTTGCCAAGACCCTTAATTAGATTCGCCAGTACCATCACAGCCGCTCTTCGACATTCCAAAGCTGGGTCCCCATTTATAACATCCCAAATACATAGCAATATCTGAAAAAACAGTAATAAATATACCTAATTCGATAAATTAATATAAAATATATATCGGCGCTTTCAGCTTTAATAACGGATGCGACATGAAAATAATTTGAGGCTGTCATCAATTCTTATAAAAACTCATTAGTATTCATGGTTATTGTTAAAAGTAAAACGAAATCAAAGATTGTTTAAAAGGAGAATAAAACTATGATTGAATCTTGGTATAAATATGACGTCTGGATGCACGACGGCAGAGTTGAGAGTTCAGTTAGTGCGGTCCATTAAATAATGTGATTATGAAGAACCTTCGAGAAATACAGGAACATTAAGAACAATTGAAGTTCATTTTAAAATATCATGGAACGTTCTAGAAGAAGTGACATTTGTAACGTCAGCGAGGCTGGCGTCTCTCTCTCTTTAAAAACAAAAAAATTGTAATAAATCCGATATAGGTATATATATACTAACTTCGTATAAAATAGAACCGATTTTGTAATTCAAAACCAATGCTATTTCAGCTAAATTCGATAAAGCCGAGGTTCTTATCAGCGGGTCATCATCCTTGCAGGCACAGAGCATCGTGTTCAGTAAAATGGTTTTATGAACTACCGCCATTTCACCTGAAATACGATCGATAGATAGAACTATTCTAAAGGCAGAGGATACTTATAAATAATATTTAAAATAAATATACTTATGTAGATAAGTTAAAAACAAAAACCTTATTTCTGTTAAGACGACAGGATTAAAGATATATGTGTAGATTTAAATTTATAACGGTACTAGGTTTCCGCCCGCAGCTTCGCCCGCGTGGAGTTCGGTTATATCGCGTTTCCAAGAGAACCTTTCATAAGTTTGGGATAAAAACTATCCTATGTTCTTTCTCAAGGTCAACTCTATCTCTGTACCAAATTTCATTAAAATCAGTTCAGTGGTTTAGGCGTTAAAGCGTAACGGACAGACGGACAGTTACTTTCGCATTTATTATATTAGTAGGGATTATGTCGTATTTATACTAAAAGCAAATGAAATTTCTTTATTTTGAATACTGATAATTTTCATATAGATTAATATAGACTTTTATTAAAACAAACAATATTTAGATATAAAATAATGTAAGGCGAAAATCATTAAAAAAATTTGTGTACAAGTAAAGATAATGAGTTAAATTTAACTGAGTTGTTTTAGTTCTTACCTAATCTCCTCGTAACTTTAACTATTACATCTCCTATTTTCATTCTCAGTTCTGCGCTTTGGTTTTCGCTTTCCTTATTTCTGATATCGGAAGAAATTTCTAAATATTCTTTACAAAGTGTAGACAACGCTTCACTGGTGCAGTGCATAGCTAGCGAGGCTATACCGTTCACTGACGCTAAATACATATAGGAGTCGGGATGTTTGAGTTGTTCCTGTAGAAGAAATATTCATGAATAGTTTTACACATACATATGTATATGGTTTAAAACACAAAGATGTAATTAGGTTTTTATGTAAATGAAACTAATATTTTCGGATTACTATCACGGTTGCTGCAAAGTAACGGAAAAATCGAGAGTATGTAGTTTTAAAAATAATAAAATAACTCTTAGTAAATATTAGTTACATTGAAATGAACACTCGCGAAAGTCTTAGATCTTATAGGTTTTCATATTTGATTAACTTATGAGATAGATATTTTTATGATATATTTGTTTAAGACAATGTATGTATAATGATAGGTAACCTCTATTTTTTGAGAACACTACTAATGTGACCCAACTACTAGACCAGCTGAATGGATTAAAACTATAAGACATAAGTTAAATATAAATGATTGGTTGAAATTTACATACTTCATAAATTAATTACTGTGTCATGATTTCACAAGTAATTATTAAGTAGTTTATTAGGTAGACATTAATATGGATGGTACAGGAATTTGGAATGAAAAATATATACATATATTTAATATTACTTGAGACTAATTGCATATTGCAATATTATAATATTGTATATTGTTTTTATTGTATATTGCATTGTTAAGTTTTTACAAATGTATAAATGAAATAAATAAATAATGTAGAATATAAAATTCACATCATCTCACAGACATCTCGTCTGCCCTTGATCACGGTTGCTGTAAAGTAATCGAATCAGGAGTATGTAGTTTTCATCAAAATAAAGTCGCGTAGTATATCCGCAAAATATTAGTTTCATAAAAATAAATTGCTATTTATCTGATGTTATTAGGCCTCGGCCTCGAATTTTGCGGGCAGCGGAGCGGCAGCGGGAGCGGCAGGATCTTACGCGTATAATCAAATGGACCGACCCTCGAATACAGCGGTGCCCGCTGCCCGCTAGTTTGGAGAACAGTATGCGTTTCCGTGCCGCTGCCGCCGCCGCTCCGCTGCCCGCAAAATTCGAGGCCGAGGCCTTAGTGAAGTAATGGTGAGACAAATGGCTGATGGAAAACATAGATAATTTTACATACCTGGAACAGACAAAATACGAAATGTCTCTTAGAAATGGTCTCCACATCTGATTTATCAATTAGTTTAGTGAGTTCAATGACCCCGTGAACTCTCACTGGCAGTAATTTGTCATAAATATTGGACACAGCTTTTTCATAACCACTTTTATCAGCTTTTGGACATTCCATTTCGATCAAAGATAATGTTTCCTTGGATAAAACATTTACATACGATGAATCTTCCTCTGACAACTGTTTTAGCCTTGGCATCAGACAACTAAGTCTTAATTTTATATCCTCCGTTTTCTCAATATTGGCTACAATAGTATTAAGAAGCACAAGAGCGATTGTACAACATTCATCATTTATTGGGTTTATATTCTTTAGTAACAATGATTCAACGAAATCTAGTACAATAAGTGGATTGTCTTTCAAAGCATCTATAACTTTTTTGGATCCTGATATTTCAGATAGGATATGAAGCATATGAGCATACTTTTTGCTCTCCAAGTTAAGTAATTCAGGCTCATCTTCAACCAAAAGAAAAGTCTCTTTATTACATTTGTCTTTTTCTTGATTCAATTCAATAAATATTAATAAACAGGCTTCAAATATGTTACAAACAACATTTTTGTTTGTTATTAAGTTAAATATTTCTATAAAATATATAACTGCTTCGTCAATTGGATATTCAAAGTCTGCCGTTACACATTTCACTGAAAGACCAGAGTTATATTCTTTAGCCATAACTTTATGAGAATCATGATTGTTCAGTCCAAAAAGAATTTGTTCGATTACAGCTTTTATATCAGTTTTATTTAATAACTCCAGAATTTTTAGTATAATGTCGTTTAATTTGTGCTTAATTTCAGTGTTTGTACAGTTAAGACGTAATAGATATAGCACATACAAGTTCTTGGAAATAATATGTTTCGGTAACTCATATTGTGTTATAGCTGTACATGCATGAAGAATTTGTATGTTGTGTTGAACTTGTTGTGATACCAATATAATAGTTCCCGGCAAAGCATCGGCCAATAAAATTTCATGATCAAAACTACCAAAGACTTCTTTAACCAAATTAATCACTGGTGTGGATTTATTGTATGTGGAATACAAGCTTAATGAACATGAAGATGCCGTTATCAAGTAATGTTTATTATTCATAGTGTATATATGCCGTAACTGTGAGACAATGTTACTCAAATAATCATCTTCGCTTAAATTCAAATGTCTACAAGTAACAATTTTACAGATCATTTCTATTTTCTTCCATTCAACACCTACATCTACCTCGTGGCTTTCAATGAAACATCGAATTAAGCTTAGTAACCCACCCCAAGTCGTAAGACGCCTACTCATTTCCTTTGAAATAACTTTCTTAACAAACATTGGCGGTGGATGCTCTGTTATATTCTGTAATACTAATAGTTCCTTCATTAACATTGGCTGGAAACAATTATTCACTAAATACTCATACATCTTCATATATTTCTGCTTATCAAACAATAACTTGTTGTACAGCTCTTCAGTCATAGTAAAATTTGTATATTTTCCAGGTTTCTTCAAAGGGGCAAACGCTAATTGTATAAGTGCCGCCAAATAGTCGGACAAATGAAAAGTTAAAATAATATTTTTAAGTACTGGCACTTCATAACTTCTTGACAAGAAATCAGTACATAAAACTAATAGTTCATATTTCTCTGTATCTTTAAGTGATAGTGTAGGCAGTGACTTTGCAGTGGAACATCTCTTGGACAGGCTGATTCCTAAGCCCGGCAATAAAGATGTTGAAATACCAAATGAGGTAATTATTTGGTAACAGGTACGCAACATTTTTTGATTCTTGACACTGATACTAACACCATCATTGTTTTTTATTATAGTACCAAGTTCATCAATTTCTTTAATTATGTTGTTTAGGAATGTCCTTAAAACTTCAAATATATCATTTTCGTTAGGGCTGGTATTGGATTTGATGATTTCATTGAAAATCGCAACCATGAACTCGGTCTTTGTGTCTGAAAATAAGATAAATTAAAGTAGGTTATAAGTGCAAAATATTAAGTGCAAAACTATGAAGATTTTATTGTGGTTTACCAATTTTCAGAATCTTTTCTATTTGCTTAAATATAGAATTAATATCTGACATCTTTTATACTTTGTTTTAGTATTTGGGCACAATGTTTATTTCACTATCGATAATTAATACTTTTTCTCGTATTCAACTTATAAATAGTCTCATAAGTCATATTTTAGTTTTGACATTAAGCTGTCATAGTTCTAAATATTTACATAGGTACATTTCTTTCACCGCAACCTTTTCACTTATTCCATTAATAAAATTTTAAATATATAACTTTATATTACTCTGTATAAATAAAGGAATAGATCGTTTTTTACATATATATTAAGAAATAGATTACTTTTATGTACTTTTATATGTATCATTTTTTAATTAATAAATATTCTAAAACAATAACTAAAACATTTTAAAAGTTAAAAAATCTTAAGTATGAACAAACAAACGAACAATATTTGTTACAATTTATAGATACTCTTATCTATACGAAAATTATTAGTCTATCGAAAGAAAAATGTCAACTTCACAGTCAATTTAATGATTTGTCAAAAGAGCCGAATTGCGGTTTTACAGTTGCAAAGAAAAAAATTGGATTAACGAAATTCCGAAGGCTTTTAATTTGTTTTAATCATTAATAGGGTCATTGTAGAAGTAGTTTGTGTAAGATTTTACAGTTCTATCATCTAAAATGTTGATCAAAGTAAAGGTAAGTGCGTTAATGCAAAAAAAACACTTGTAAGAAATTTCTTTATATCTAATAACCTTTTCTGTTTAAAGACTCTTACAGGTAAAGAAATTGAAATAGATATCGAACCTACAGATAAAGTAGAACGTATCAAAGAAAGAGTCGAAGAAAAAGAGGGTATTCCTCCACAACAACAGCGACTTATATTTTCTGGAAAACAGATGTAAGATATAAATTGTTTATAGTTGTAAAGATGCTTTGATTGTTTTTATCATATATTACTAAAACTTTATTTAATAAAGTCACATTTTGTGATTGTCGACTTATGTTGTATATAAAATATAATTTGCTTATAATACTCAGTAATGAATTGGATTTGTTCAAAAAATGATCTATGTATACTATTTTAGTTAGTGTTTATCTATTGATTAGAGAATTTTACTCTGGTTTCTTAAATTTTTTGTTAAAACAGTACTGTTGTAATATGATAATGGAAAGCAGGAAATAAATTTGTTATTATGTACAGATAATCATTAAAAGATACTCTATAATTATTAGTGATTTGCTTCCATCATACATGTGTCTCAAATTAAGTGTAGAATCTTTACTTGATACACATTTGTCAATAATATTATCATTTATTATTACAATTTTATTATATCTATTACTCAACTTTTTTTTTAGTAGAAACAAAAATTTTAACTTTGGTTAAAATTATGTTGATAATAAATAGTTAGGTATAACTTTTTCTCTATATTAATGACGAAAATAATATAAATGATCTCATTTTGTGACTCATATATGCATATTTATATATAACTAGGCAGACCCTGGCTAAAGCTGGGAAATTGCCAGGAAGAAGAAGAAGATATATAACTATTTTACATAATGTTATTTTTAAGACTTCATTATATATATATTTGAGAGTTTTTTTTGACTATATTCATTATATATTTCAGGAATGATGAAAAAACAGCACAAGATTATAAAGTGCAGGGGGGATCGGTGCTGCATTTGGTGTTAGCTCTGAGAGGCGGCAAACAAGATCTCCTGTGATTCTCACACAATTATAATTTAATTTAATATTTTCATTTACTGTATAAACATAATCCTGATTAAAATAATGTTACACACTTATTTTTAATCACCATGAAGCATTTTATTTATTTATACTTCCCTATATTGAAGATATATAAAAAAAGTTACATTAAATTCAAAATGTATCAATATATGGATAAGCACTAGAATTATTTGAATTTGTGTATATATTTTAACTATTTAATAGCATTTCTTAGATGATGGGAGTTAAAGCAAAGTGTTTTTGTTGTAAATGGATATAATTAGCATTAATCTTATTCAAATTACTGTATATATAACTATTAGATAGCATTTTCTTAGACAATAGGGTTTAAAGCAAAGGGTTTCCGTTGTATGGAGACAAACATTATTGAGCAAGTAATTTATTACACTCATAACATTGTACATATAATCCAGCTATACACATGTCGCACTGAATCATTTCACATAAAAATAAACATCTTTCTTTGGTTCACTAATTAAATTAACAACATCAATTTAGACTTTACTTAATAATCCTATACACTAAAACATCGCCACAAGCCTTTTTTTCACATTTTTATCTACTTTTTAGTACTTCTAAAAGTACAATACAATGTATACACAGCAAAAAGGAGGAATTGCACATACATAATTATCAATATTAATAGAAATAGGTAAATCGAGTCTCCTTCACTCCACAAATGGGAAGGTTTCTTTTAATAACATCAAAAAGGTTTAAAATGACACGGGGACGGAAATATTACATTTGAATTTTTATGACAAAAACATTGGAAAACAGATTAGGTAGTTATTATAAAAAATGTGTGGCATTACTAATGAGCAAAGTACATTTCTTCTTTGGCACGCAATATTTACAACAAAAACTATATTTAAAATTTATTATATGGCAATACTATAATTTTATTTAAAAATTTCTCTTGAACTTCAAAGTTCAGTCCCAGAGATAATTTCACTAAGTACATTAAAAAATTAAAAACATTTAATGTTTAATTGTTTTCGAAGACAAGTTTTTTTTTATTATTATTTAAGACAGAAGTATATATTATATAGAAATCGATACAACTAAAATTATTTCAATTAAATCGAATTTAATTACTACGAGAGATCCATTCTGCATTATAGTCGAATGTCTGCATCTGGAACAAATAAAAATATATTTATATAAAAGATATTTTGAGGATTGTCATACTTAGGTGCTGGCTTTAAAATCTTTTCTCATACATTTTCATATATTCAAAACAATACTTATATGGTGATACAAATATATTACTATTAAGTAACTAGATTTTGTTTTTTTTTTATTTCTCGTCACCAGTCGTGCTTTATACAGCCACTACGTATGTAATCATTGTCGTAACAACAAACAAACATGATTTAAATACAATGCCAATAATCAGAACCGGACAAAACAAACATTAAATGACAGCATCGATATATAAATTTGTCATATTATCAAGCAACTACATAATTATAAAAAAAATAACAATGATTTTTTCATCAAATCTTATATATAGTACTTATATCATGTACGTATTATTAATGTAGTTATTTTTATGTATTAAACATAATACAATCATTAATCCCTACTAATATTATAAATGCGAAAGTAACTCTGTTTCTCTGGCTATTACGCTTTCACGCCTAAACAACTGAACTGATTTTAATGAAATTTGGTACAGACAGAGTTAACCTTGAGAAAGAACATAGGATAGTTTTTATCCCAGTCTTTTGAAAGGTTACCTTGGAAACGCGATATAACCGAACTCCACGCGGGCGAAGCTGCGGGCGGAAAGCTAGTTCTCTATTTTTCCATACACACATTCTTTCAACATGAGAACTCTTCCGTTATGTAGTATGTAGGTACTATGTAGGTAAATATAAGTATATAAGGGGATCACGTATTACCAACATACCCAAGGTTTTCAACCGTCGGACAGCGAGGGTGTGACCCAGCCGTACTTGTCGTGTGTCTTGACGAGCGACCTGAACGCCTCCTCGGCCCTCCTGCGGGAGAACTCCCGCGAGGAGCGAGCCGGGGCCCTCACCACGCGACCCTGACCTTTGACCACAGAAGCCGCGAACTGCATCACCACTGCCTCCACGGTATAGGCGGACGCCCAGCCGCGAGGCGTCAGCAGTTCCATACAAATGGCACCACCTTTATAGAATTTCGTATCAAAAAGATATTATTCAAATTCTACGCTCAATCCTACTAATATTATACATAATTGCGAAAGTTTGTGAGTGTATGTGTATGTTTGTTACGTCTTCACGCTCAAACGGCTGAACCGAATTTGATAAAATTTTGTGTACAGGAAGCTGACGTCCAGGAATGACACATATTCTACTTTACATCCCGGAAATCCGCGGGTAACACCGTACGGCGCAGCTAGTTCTTAATAATTAAGCTTTTTATTCTTTAACATAACAAGAAATGTAGATACAAGATAAATCTGAATATGTAAATTTTGGAAATCACAATGTAAAATATCAAATACGATCTCATGTGAAGGGATGGCGTTATATTTTAGAATAATGTTTTTACATAAATCTTTTGTTGAGAGTTAGACTTAATGTATTCAGTGACTGTGTTATATTCGTATGAGTCATACCTTCCATTACGAATCCTTTTTCTATTCGCGGTTCTATGACACGCATGAAGGGCGGGGCGAAGGGGAAGTTTTCGGGGAAGATGAGATGAAGCAGAATGTTGGGGATGCTCATCTCTCTCAGGTCAGACGCCAGGTCGCTCTCAGGATCAATCTGATGGAGTCTCACGTGCCACTCAAACAAGTTGTCATTTACAAGCTCCACCTATTGAATTGAATTCGTATAGACTTTTTTAGTTGCGTTTCCTATTAATTTGCTATCTTAAAAGGCCACAAATGATTGAACGGCCAACGTGATGAGAAGTGATTAATTACGTCCATACACCTAGTATGGCTTCAGGAAGCAGCAAAAATTTTAGAAATGATGAATCTTTGTGAGTTAGAGATAATACTGTCGAGCTAGGCCAAAATATATAAAAGTCTCGTTAGATTAGGCTTAGTTTGTATATTTCAGTTGTATATATTTACCGTGAAGACCGGATTAGGTCGGTGTTCTTGCAGGCGTTGTATTTCTTTTAGTTCTTTCATAAGTCTCCTTGTGCGCACTCCGGCGGCTCTCTCCCTAACGTCGTTAGCACAGCCAGCCTTCTTCTTAGACATTGTCGAGGACGCGGGGCTTGATGGCAAACTAACAGCTGCTTCTGCTGGGCTAACACCGTCTCTAAACAATTTAAAATTCAGTTTAGCATCTATACTTATCACTGTACATAATCAGGTTTTTAACGGTTATATAATGCTGAGCTTTTGCATTGTTATCACCAATGTAATTGAAAATTGAGAAGAAAACAAATATATAAACAATTAGACGCAATTAGCGATGCTAACTAGAGGCTCCTCATTGCCAGTCCTAACATTAGTATTGAACCCACTAACGTCGCAACCCATTGATTCGCAAACTTGACCCAGTTCAGCCTATGATGTTGACATTGCTCCAGTTGGTCGTTGTATTGACCTAATTAGTTCTGGTCTGTTTCGCCCTTCGATATAAATAACCATACGATCCAGTTAAACAAAAAAACCATAGCCATTATAAACTTGCAATACATAATTAATTAAGTTTAAATTATCTGTATCTTGATTCTCTAATTAATTATTTATCTGTGGGAATTTAATAGATAACAATAATTATAGATATAGATTATAATTAAAAGATTGGATAGTATCCAAACTTAGAATGTAACTATTAATTAATGATTTCATTCAGTCAAATGTACATATTTATCCTTGTTAATAATAGTGTAGCCGAACTCAGTGAACGGAATGTAATACATCAAAATTCTAATAATAAGGTGTGCTTGTATAATGTTAGTTGTCGTGAGATTTGCAAATGTCATAATAATAAAATTATCAACGCTATTTTAGGTTTACTAATACATATTTGTTATAAAATATGCTTAATTAAATAATACAATGAATGTGAAATATAAATTTAATTATGGTTTTTATTCTCCGATCATTAAACACATATTATAATTTTTTCAATAATTTCATCCAGTAAAAATTAAGTGTTGCCATAAATGTAACAGTGATTGCCACTTATAAAATAGGTTACACAAGAGCTGTTGTTAACCCGAATAATTATAGATTATATTATTAAAGGGTAAGGGCTTCACATTAAAAAACACGTATGCATATATAACTTTTTTATAAATAAGATTATAAATTCATTGCTAGCTTAATTTTAATAGCATGTCTAAAGTAATGTAATAGTAATAAATAATTTGTAATCCGTTTATAGTATTACTTGACATTGCAATTGCAACTTGTCATAGTCAGTGTGAAAAACATTATTTATATTTATTTGTTTTTCTCTTGTTTATAAACTAAACTTAAGCATGAATTTATCACTTCAATAAAGCTTAGACAAGCTATTTAAATTCAAATTAATAATTTTTTATCGTATTATTTTTTAAAGAATTATTTTAATATAGCATTTTGTTACTCAATATAATTATATAATTTAATGGTAATATATATGAAAATGTCGCGGTCACCGAACATGAGAGGTATTCTGGAAAATATGTTGCGCAAACAAATTCCTCCATAGAGTAGGTATGCGTCGGTTGACATCGTTTGAGTTTAGTTGCCTATACTATGAATTAATGTCAAATTTGTACGTAAATTACCACATCTAACCAAATATATTCATATAACCATACAATTAGTAGAAATTTTTCAGTATTATATATAAAACATAGCTCGTATTTGTATAGGTTTGGTCCCTAATATATTTCGTTAGGTCTAATATTGTTGAACGGTGTTACAAGTTTGTTGAAAGCAAGTCACTAATTAATATGCCATCGCTACTCAGAAGTCAGCCTGTCTCTGCTAGTATATAGATAATTAGATAACTTATCACTTCAAAGTTAAACTATCTATAGTATCTATGTTACCGAGAGTGACAGCTTTCTATTTTACGTAATGTATATCAAGTCACTTGTAATAGGGATGCTTAAAAGGGTTCCTTTCAATCCATATACGATAAAAGGATACAATAAAAACCGTTTGTGCTTGTTCACATTGTTAAATATCGATATAACGTAGTGTTGTGTGACTATTCCGATTTATCGATATATATTATGCATCAGTGGGTACTAAAGATAAAAAAATTACATTTATAATTCTTTAATATTAAAAACAATATAAACTAGCCTCTTTTGTTTATAAATGTGCTGAAAATACAACAAACACGATTCTATATAAGGAAGTTATGCCGTGAGCAATGATTTTATTAGAGGATGCATTGTAAATGTTAAAGTAATTAAGAATTGACTTGCCTCGGTTGACCTTGATAGAAAAAAGACTGTTTATAGTTCAATAAATAGTAATACATATCTTTACAGACAATTAAAATGACGGAAATGTATCGAGATGTAGAAAAGGTAATGTAATATTTTGATTACACTTTCATTGTGTACAAATTTATGTAGTAATGTACTACGAGAGAGATTTAAATCTTTTAAAACTTCGTACATTCTTCTTCTTGCTGGCAATTTCCCAGCTTCAGCCAGGGTCTGCTTAAAAACTTCGTACATTAAATATTAAAAAAACATTTCGTATGTGAGTAAAAACTTGTATTAAACATAAAGTAGTGTGTAGTTATAGCTTTGTTTCCATTATCTAAATCTATTACAACATAAATAACTGCTAGGGCATGAGGTCGAATGTATTTATTCGCTTCATATCTCCTAACAAAGTAGATAATAACGAATGAATGGTTCTATATTTGTAACGAAACCGTCTTTTTGTTGTCGCTTTGAACATTTAAGGATATTATTTTAATACTAGAAGACCCGGCGAACTTCGTATCGCCCTATAATCAAGAAATATCTATTACGATTTTTTATTTATATTTTTGGAGTTTACCTGTAAGCCATAAATCTCCGTGTTTTGAAGTGCGACAGAATGATTGACATATTAGTAAGTTGTCAAATCTAATGTCAAAAAAACTTTTGTATGGCAAATAGAAAAGGACTATTTTTATGGTTTTCCCAGTAATTAATCAATTTTTTTCAGCTTTTATACCATCCCTGAACCTCCACGAACATTTCAAGACTAAGATAAGATAAATCCGTTCAGCTGTTCTCGAGTTTTAGCGAGACTAAGGAACAGCAATCCATTTTTATATATATAGAAGAAGAAGATAGAAGATTGACGATATTCGTTATATATAAAAGAAAGTCGTGTTAATTACAAGTTCTATGACTCAAGAACGGCTGTACGGATTTGGCTGGAAATTTGTGGTGAGGTAGGTTGGTATCAGGAGAGGACGTAGGATAGTTTAGAATTCGTTCGACCAAAAAAAATTTGCTAATAGAATCCAAAATCTGGTTATTTACTGCCTCTAAATCGAAATTGTTCGCTTCGTTAGCTATACTAATTATGAAACTAATGCGGACAAAGTCGCGGGCAAAAGGTAGTATATAATATATAACATAAAAATATTAGTAGTATTTTTAAATAATTCAACAAACCAAAATATTTTCATGATATGCATAAATTTACATTTAATCTAATAATTACAAAGTAGGCTTATAAATACTAACAGCTGCTTTAAGTTGATTAGAAATTCTTAATCAGTCAATATATTAAATGTCGTGTTAACTTGTTCTTCTACTTTCTAAACTTTTAAGTTATTCTGAATTCTGATGATTTTCATCTATATATAGGTACTTTTTAAACGGAACAGATTATAAATAACCTAAGATTTATCGGTTATTTTGTAATCTGTATTAATTTATCATGATTTATAACGTGAATGTTGAACCTCGCTCGTATTATGCATTGATTTGACGCCGGAGTAATTCTGTTCCGCATTGGAAACTGACGCAGTGCGACTGCCTCCATAGTGCTGTGATCATACGTTTTAAGTAAACAAAGTCTTTGTCTCTGCTTGTTTCGCAAAATACATACACGTCACCAATGATTTAAGTTTCCTACATCAATACAAGTTTAAGGTTTCGTGTTTTTTTTAACGTAAATTCGGATGACGTAACGACTGGAGTGGTTTTCATTGACGCGTGTAGTTATGTAAACTTTATAGGTAGAGCAATTTAAGTTCACTTTTTTATTAGTTTTATATGTAATCAGCGTTTTGAGATATTAACGGTAAAAAAAATAATTGAAAAACAAATATTAAATTAACGGTCACATGTATTTAGTGCAAAATAGTGTTGGCATTGTAAATATTTATGATATGTACCGGAAAAGTGTCTTGTTAGACGAGTTACCGGTAGCGTCTATTCTTTAAAAGAATTGCAGAATCAAATTTGATATCTTATAGAGTATATTGATTTAAATATAATTTGAATTACCTATATTATCACTTAATTTAAATAATACTTATATATCATTTGAATATAATATTCTTAATTATCTATTATGATATGTTATTCATTAGTCATTACAGGCTACTGTATTTTAATTGTTCATATGTACATTTTAAAGCTATCTGTGATCTAAACTTGACACGGATTTGACATTTAGAACAATAAAAATTACTAACAAGTATGTAACATGATCTTAAATAAATTTTAACCACATGTTTCCCCCCATTTTTGTTGTTTTTTTTTATACATTGGCGTAATAGTGTGATAGAATTTTGATTACATCGATTTTTCAAAGCTTATAAACAATAATGAACGATTCAAAAACTGCTTCAGTTCAAAGCGACACATTCTTCAACATTCCATATCCATGCATGTACATATACAAGACAACATTCAATTCATTAAATTTCCTGGTTAGAGAATACGATATTATTATCTTACAAGAAAACTTCAACAACATAATGTTTAACTAATAATTTAAATACATACATTTTTGTTTCACTTTTAATACGATTTAACGAGAAGCTGCTCCAAACACGTTTAGGAATAAAAACTTTTTTGATTGTTTGAATTCTTGAGAACAATTACGCACAGATAAAATAAAATGAGTAATGATGATATTTAAGATGTGAATATAAAACAATAAGAAATAAAGGTGAGGTCGATGGAAATATTATGATTTCTGATTCAACCACTCTCTAATGGTGACAGCAAAATAAGGAAAACATTTTTTTAAAGTAATATACTAAGATCGTGTTACCAAACGTCAAAAATGTCAAGGATTTGTCCATTAATAAATTGACAAAATTGCTTTTTTATGAAAATTGTATTGTATTACGTACAATTGCGGAAAAAAATAAGAATTTCATAAGAATGGATAAACTTGCCCTATAATTATCTTCTATATATATAAAAATGGATTGCTGTTCCTTAGTCTTGCTAAAACTTGAGAACGGCTGAACGGATTTATCTTATCTTAGTCTTGAAATGTTCGTGGAGGTTCAGGGAAGGTTTAAAAGGTGAGAAAAATTGATTCATTTTCGGGAAAACCCTAAAAACAGCCCTTTTCTATTTCCCATACAAATGTTTTCTTTGACATTAGATTTGACAACTAACTAATATGTCAATCATTCTGTTCGATTGAAACAGGAAAAACCTGATTATTTATGGCCTCTAGGACGGAATAGAGTTCGCCCGGTCAGCTATATAGTCTAAGAGCCCGTGAACCCCAGACCTTCGTTATTTTATAAAAGCTGAAAGTTTGTCAGCGCATGCTCCCAACACAGGTAAGAACGAAGGTCCATTATGAAATTCGGGTTGTAGTGGCTTTGGCAGGTAAACGGTACTAAAGGTGTGTAAAATACTAATATAGTTTCGTCAAATTATACAGAGCGATTTTTTGGTATTACCTTTAGAATGTTATTAAAAATCACATTATTCATTACCAGACACTTAACATCGTGGTAACCCCTTGCCAGACACCCTTAATGTTCAGGGTATAATAATTCTACTTACGTTATAGTATAAAAGCTGATTTTTATACAGGATACTTGGGTAATGAGTAGATGATATTTTCTCAATAGCCAGACATTTTTGATAGTTCCAACCCCTTGCCAGACAAGTATGTAGGGTCGCTGTAGAAACGAGCGCGAGGTAGTATATATATGTGAGTGCGAGTGAGATGCGCTTGTATTGTTTACTACTTTGTACATGCGTATGTCAGTAAAATTAATATATGCTATTTTTAAAGATAAATTTAATATTCATTATTAATTATAAGAAAAATATCAATAATAGCATTACTTACTTTATAATTAAATCGCTCATTTTTATATAATACTTAGGTAGTTATTAGATGATGTTTCCTCCTTAGCCAGATATTTTTTTCTGTTTTCAATCTCTCTGCCGGACAACAAAAAACTGAACAAATCGTAAACAAATAATCTACTTATCATACACTACGTATCATCCACTAATAATATTGAATTCACTTAATAGTTTTGATGTACTTTTTTTTTTTTTTTTTTTTTTTTTTTTTTTTTTTTTTTTTTTTTTTTTTTTTTTTTTTTTTTTTTTTTTTTTTTTTTGATGACGTAGTGGAAACTCTTTTTACGAGCCGTCCAACCGACCTTGGTGGGGCCGGAAGGGATGTGTGAGGCTCGGCCTGGGCAGGCCCCTACTCACTAAAACCACTGCGAAAGCCATCGGAGACCGGGCTTACTCCCTCGGAGAATGGGGGCGATCCCGGCAATTAGGACCACCCCGACGACGCAGGGCTTTCAAAAGGGCCGGGTTACCACGCCGACTCCAGCCCGGAACACAGGGGTGCTATTGGAGGCGTAGGAATTGCCTCCGTCGCACCCCCGTACGTCGCCTGCGGGGGGAGGGAGCATCAGCCGCCCTCTCCCTTTCCCGCTGAGATGCCTCCTTCGTGGACATGACCGTCTCACAGAAGGAGGACACCGCCAACCAGGACCCATCACTCTCGAGCATCTTCTCCACGACACTCGAAAGCGACAGGTCCACTCCGCCGAGAGCCGCCACAAGGTCTTGGCGCTGCGCAGCCCATCTCGGGCACACCTCGAGGGTGTGCTGGGCCGAGTCCACCGCAGCGCCGCACTCATGGCAGCCTTCTCCCGGCTTATAATTAATAATGAATATTAAATTTATCTTTAAAAATAGCATATATTAATTTTACTGACATACGCATGTACAAAGTAGTAAACAATACAAGCGCATCTCACTCGCACTCACATATATATACTACCTCGCGCTCGTTTCTACAGCGACCCTACATACTTGTCTGGCAAGGGGTTGGAACTATCAAAAATGTCTGGCTATTGAGAAAATATCATCTACTCATTACCCAAGTATCCTGTATAAAAATCAGCTTTTATACTATAACGTAAGTAGAATTATTATACCCTGAACATTAAGGGTGTCTGGCAAGGGGTTACCACGATGTTAAGTGTCTGGTAATGAATAATGTGATTTTTAATAACATTCTAAAGGTAATACCAAAAAATCGCTCTGTATAATTTGACGAAACTATATTAGTATTTTACACACCTTTAGTACCGTTTACCTGCCAAAGCCACTACAACCCGAATTTCATAATGGACCTTCGTTCTTACCTGTGTTGGGAGCATGCGCTGACAAACTTTCAGCTTTTATAAAATAACGAAGGTCTGGGGTTCACGGGCTCTTGCTCTAATACATATATTACTAATGATGAAATTAACGCGGACGAAGTCGCGGGCAAAAACTAGTATACAATATATTAAACACTTTTTGGTAGATTTATCTTGCGACCTACGTCACGTTTGGACGAAAATTTTAACATACGATATTCAAGTTTAAAATTCTATGAATAACAAAGACTAAATTAAATATTTTTTCTGAGATTTTATCTTTATAATTATTTGTATATGACTTTATAAAAACTACTTTCTCGTTTTAGTTTAGGATACTATAGCAAAAATGTGATACATAAAGGATTGTGTGTATTACAATTCACCATTTTTTTTTCTGTTTATATAAAACATTTCGATTTTTTTACTGTATTTATTTATGAACAAAATAACATTTGCTGCAATATATAAAGCACAAGAAATATAAATGTATATTAATGTTTTGATATATGTAATTTAAACGTGATTAATTATAAATTTTACGAGATTCTTTTGCAAAACCTATGTTTTATTTTAAATCAATACGAAGTCGTAACAAAAACTTTGCTGTGTTGCTAACAACTTTACAGACATCCTTTTTATTAAGCTGACGCACAGTCTCAACGATTTTAATATAGTATTTATTATTTGATTCGAAGATTCACTTATCTTATTCGATATATATTTTTTATTTATTAGGAATACTATTTGGGACATTTCGTTCTTTCTATAATTGTTGACAATATCAATGAATAAGATTTAATATTAGTAATTACATAGTAATTTTTTTATTACCTGTGTCGACGAAATAAACCTCGGCGGGCCGGCGAGCCGCTTGGTCCGGCAGCTTCATTATCCAGCTTCTCAGGAGATCGGAACAGCTTTCTGAAAGCTGCTGCCACCTTCTCCTTGGATCTGGACGTCATTTTGCACTATCCGACACAAATTATACTAAAGCTTTACCGGTCCACTGTCTACACTGTGTCACAGTTTACAATTTCAATGTCAAAACAACTTCAAATTTTTAAAAAATAACGAATTTGTTTAGTTGTCAGCCAGCAAATGAACTAACTGTTTTATTATATAGTCTGCAGTCTCGCTGCGTGATACACACGTGCGACTACTGACGGAGTGAGAGCGTTGATGAAATTGAAACTTGGCACATTAAATGTTAGCCGGCTATCGTAACACTGATGCGTAGTGTGTCCGAGCGCCTTGTCAACGGCATGACGCGACGCACTAGCGCATACTAAGCGTTCGCACGCCCGCGCGCGCACCGTGTGAATGAACCAAACTTAAGGTTATAACGGCTCTGCGTGCTGAAAGGCCTAGCCCTGAAACAAAGGAAATTAATTTATGTATTTAAAATGTTAAGCAAATAGGTCAACATGACGCGCTTATTAATAATGACCGTCAAATCGTACATGAGTATTTTGTAATGTTTGTTTTGATCGTGATTTAGATAAACCTGAGGTTAGATAGCCGTTTTATATGAAGTAGCATTAAGAATATATTATTTCTGAAGCTATTAAAATGTTGAGTACTTTATTATCTGTGTCATATTAGAATGTCATTTTAGGGAAAATAAAATTGAAAGATACAGATTATTTCAAAATAATTAGTAATAAAAGCTGTCTATATTATTTGTAATTAGTAGAAGATTTATTCTAAAACATATTTACGAAAAAGTACAAGGATTTTGATACAAGTGTTACGTATATTAATATAAAACTTAAAAGTGAACTATTTACGTAATATAAGAAAGTAATTAATTACAATGGAATAAAATAAAAAAGAGAGAGTTCTAAAATCACTAAGTGAACTATAGACGAAAATGAAATAAAAAATAACTTAGAGAAAGATTTTTTGTATGCTCTAACTTATAAACAAATAAGTTTTCTGTTCACTTGATACTCATCTATAACCTTGTTCTTTTGTTTTATATCTGGATAATTTCTAATAAATATATTCTAATATTTTTCCATCTAAAAGTCAAAGCCGATCTAGTTAACGAGGGTAATAAATAAACATGGGATAGTTTCCTGAAAGTTTATATTTTGTTTTCGCCCTTAAGCTTCTCCTTAGTGAGGTTGAAGGTCAATATGTTGGCTACATGCCAGATCTTGTGACATCCTTTGGGTATATAGGGCCCTAGCCTTCGTTATAATAAGCCTTGTTAAAATTTCAGTAGGGATATTATTACGGGCTGTTACAGTATAAATAATGAATAATATATTATACTACGTGCTTCTTTATCTCCTTTCTTTTACCTGGCAATTTCCCAGCTTTAGCCAGGGTCTGCCTTACATGTTGTGAATAGTTTTGGCTAATTGTTTTTACGACCGGCTGCCTGCCTGACATCAACCCTCTTTTGGGAATGTATTAATCAGTGATGTCTAAATACTCTTAGAAAGTACATATAACTCGGAAAAATCACATTGGTACTTGCCAGGATCGAACCCGCGCCCTCATGCTCAGAGGCGGGCCTTTTAACCACTAGGCTACTATTGACTTACCTTACGTGCTTCTTTATATGTGAATATTATTATTTTAATTCTGTTAGATCTAGTCCTATTTGATATATAATTTATATGAATCAATATAACATAAAAATTAAAATGACTTAAAATGTGTTTGAAATACAAATACATTGCTCATTAATTAACCTAGACATTTTTGATAGAGTCGAATATCGATAAAATTATCGTACTTAATTCAGTGTTTACGTAAGAAATTTAAATAAAATATATCTTTTACCTTATTACTCTCAGTTTGTATTGTCCAACTTACTATAGATAAGAAATGTTGATAGTTTTTCAGTTATAAATCTCCTCAAATTATAATATTAACGTAAGCTATTAAATGAGATTATGACGCTTAATAGTTGGTATGTTTTGTGATGTTGCTTACTTATACTAGGGATTTTAACGAACGCAATAAAATTAATAAAAGTTGTTCAATTGGAGACAATCTTTTTTATTTAAAGAGCAATTAATCCAGTTTAAAACAAATACTTACTTAGTTATTTTTGTCAATAATTTTGATTCTTAAAAATTATGATTAAGTAAACAAAAAGATTTCATTGAATAACAGTGGTAATAAAATATTTTTAACTATTTATTTATTTATTTAGTACATACCAATTGATAACTCGATAAGGTGATTTAAATAGTGATTTAAAATATTATAGACATAATAAAATGTTATGTTTGTTCATTGACTTTAAATTTAAAGTTAGCTAGACACTAATTATCTTTAATGTGAAGCTTCTTGTGATGTCTCGAGTGTCTTTCTTTTATGTCAGACACAGGGAGTGGAGTGAGTATTCAAATGGTTATGTAAGAGTTTTTCTGTTGGAACAAGGGTTTGTCACGTACGAAGCATATGACAATATCGACCACACAGGTAGATTAAAATGGATTTTTTAAGAGGACTTTCATTTTTTAAATTGATACATCCTTCCGTATATAAAATTTATTATCTGTGGACATATTAGATAGTCTGTGGACAATTGATTATAAATAATTTCAAGATTTGATTTAAAAAAAGTCAAGATGGAGACTTCATTTGATGAAAAACCCAACCGTAAATGATAATTATTATTGGTAAATATTTATTTGACATAAAAATTGCAAATATATTTATAATTATAATTACTACTGAATGTGTAAAATAATATAGTTGCTAGTTGAATTTATGTTCGTCGTTCGTATAGAGAGTGGTGACAAACACAAAGATAATTTCGACACATACTTTTAAAACCACAATTTCCAAGAACAGTCCATTTTCCTGTACGAAATATAAATATGTTATTGTAATGTTATTAACACAACATCGTTATACATTAAGAACAAATTGTAAAAGACATACATACAGTGCAATAGAATGTAACCGCATTGATATATTTGATAAATTATTTACAATGTAAATTTTTACGATTTTTGCAAAATGATAAAGAAGAATTAAGATGTTTTTGAGCTAGTTCGAGTTAAAAAATGTTAGCGTAATTTAAAAATATTTCATGTTCGTCCATTTAAAATTGTATAATCTCGGCAGCGATCCGCACGCTACTGACTGATAAGAGAAAAAACAAAACAAAGACGCTAAGTTTATATTTATTTCATACTAACACAGTTTAATTATGATAGAAATATTTATAAATAGTCTTAACGAAACTTACTTTTTATGGACACTTCGGAAAAATTGTTTGTTTTAGCAGTTAGAGAGTCATACCATGACTCGATCGTGGGTGCAATAACCGATATTTAAGAAACTATACAATATAAACACAATAAAACAAAATGGCGAATGGCATAACAAAGTACAATTAAAAATTCAACAAGGCACAAGCGTTATATTCAAGATTTAGCAAGCGTTTGTATCTATATGTGCAATGTTTTTTATTGACCAGCATCAGACGGTATCTGAATAACTGTATAAATAAAACGGGCCACGCTATCAATGTCGACGTTCGTAAATAAACAATGCACGTGATAAACATGAACTATGAAGATAAATGAACCGGCTCAGACACATGTAACGTCTTTATAATGTTGAAATCACAGATAAGTAAGTGTTTTATTTGCAAACAGTTATTTAAACAATGTCTAAGATGTCTAAAACAATGCTTAAGACTTAATCAGTTCTCGTAAATCGTCGTCGTCATCAGCCTATCAACGCCTACTGCTGAGCAAGGCCTCTTTCTCACGTGGAGAAGGTTTGAGCATTAATCACCACGCTTGCTCAAGACGGGTTGGTGATTTCAAACTTAACTGCGAAACTATAAGTCCAGGTTTCCTCACGATGTTTTCCTTCACCGTATGTCAGTGTTGTCTAAATGCTCTCAGAAAGTACATATGACTCCGAAAAATCACATATTCGTAAATCGTAATATTTGTTAATTCAATAGTTTAAAGAACAAAATAGGATTTTATTTCAATCTCTATTCCATAGGTATACTTAATAAAACCTTACTCCTAAGTGTTTGAAACGTAGAATGAAATCAAAAACAAAATAGATTCGCTTATATTGTAAATCAAATAAATGATTGTATTATTTTCAATATCATTGAGAGCTTTCAATGTTTTAACTCTGCGGGGATTCGACCCCTACATGTCATAATAAATCTTTGTATAGATGGAGTACTGCTATTTGTTTTAATTAATTTACTCGTGATATTAGTTTATGAAATGAAATATAGAATTTATTTGGAATTTTATGCTAAAGAAGTAAGTTTTAGAGACGCCGTAAATCATTGTTCGTTGTTCGGCAGTCGAATAATTTGATTTGAAAGTGTCACGTACACAAAACGATGTTATGCCGGTGGAAGGAAATGCTCGATGTACGTCAATAAACATCAAACATGATACTCGCTATGACAACGGAACGGATTCCTTTTGCTCCGATTTCTAAAGTGTACAAGCTTATTATCCGCTTTGAGTGAATTCTTTTCATTTTCACGATATATTCCTCTTTTTGAAAAGGAATATTTTCAGCTATATACCTACTTGACGTTGTATTAAAAGAAATATTTAAATTGTCCTTTATAACATTTTCATAATACACTATGAGTGTAAATATTAAAATGAGTTGCACCAATTCCTATGTAGTAATATAATACTAATTTTAGAAAAAATTTAGATTATGACTCATACTTTTACTTATACTTTTTAAGCACCTCTTGTTTTTGATCTAATCTTGGTAAAATAAAGCTCATTTTAATCAAAAAATTTAAGGTTAAATAAAAAATGTATAACAAATCTAATTACGAAATATTTTCCGACATTTTCAAAGGAACGTAAGTCAATAAGGAGGTTTTATGAAGACATTTTTTTATACATTCAATGTCGCCGTATCCGGTTGCGAAATCCTAAATAAATTACAGGGCGGATGTCTAAACTGCTCCATGTTACACTTCCTATTAATG